GTAGGTATACGCGGGCAGTGGCTTTGCCTCTCGGGAAATGTGACGGAAGCCGACCTCGGCTGGAGGCAACAGTGAGGGAAATACTGGTACGTTGGAATGTTCATCAGCGTCGGGCGAAAGTACATAGAGGCAACATAGCAGTATCTATGGAGACGCTTAGGCAACTGACTCTGGTGAAAAGACCCGACCAAGTAGAAATCTACAATGTCGATACTTTCTTGCCCTGGCATGGAGAACATCTTGTTCTCAGCGATGAGGTTCAAGATGAGGTACCCTCTTCTCGAGAACATCCCGGAGCACGACCGCGAGTCAAGGCTCCCTGACTGCCGGGACGCTGACGGATTATTCTGTGCATGAACTTTCGAATACGAAGTGGTCCAGAAGCATGCCGCCGATTTCCAACCGTGATCCACCAAGATTCATATATATGGGCCTCATGTCCATCAATACCCGATGCCGGTGCGGCCCTGCTGTCCCTGACCCAAGCACCTCGCTCGATGACGAGAGTCAGTACTTGAGGATATGAAGGCCCGCCCCGACAACAAATTGCAGAATGCAATTGAGCGTCTGTTGCTTACTACTTCGATTTGCAACTCCAGATATTGTGAATATGCTCGCGTGAGCATTGCCTGCTGAAATGTCTGAAATTGGGGGGCAAATAATGGATTGCTTCTTGCAACATGCGACAACAACATGGCCCACTTCGCACTCCTTGAGGGGTACCTAGATCCCCATAGATTTACCGCGGCACGTCTTGTACCCCAACAAATCGTGGTTGGTCAGCGAGCACACCCTTCCGCTCCGCTCCTGGTCACCCAACTGCAGGGATCTCATGTGAAAACGAACTGTTCTAGGAACAGTAGCTCGTGTTTGCTCACCACACCAGGCCCGATCTCGTGCTCTCTTGCAATCCGACTAAATGCGTTTTGCATAGCTGGTGTGCAACTCAGCGAGCTGGGCCACTTAGTTTGTGGCGGACATCGATGCCAGCTCTTGCTAAAATCGGAAGCAAGCCCGAGGCTGTTTGGCACATCAGGCTGAGGGGCGTATTCTCATCCGGCTAAATTGTGGACGGTGGTTAAGAATGGCCGTGAGTGGAACTGTGGCTCGGAAAAGGGATCGCAGGCAGCGGCAGCTAGAGAATGCTGAACTTTTAGCCCGGCCCTTCACCCCGAACGAAAGCAATAATCCCACTTACTTGCATGGTGGCGCTGGCGCACAGTGTTTGACTTTCTTGAGGTGCAGTCCAAGACCAGCCTGATGAATGCTTGCCTTGTGCTGTATTGTGATCTTCCTCTTCTACTGCTTCATTCAGTATGAGCCGCAGTCTGCTCCGGAACGTGAGCCATCATTGTCAGCTTCCGGCTGCTGAAGGTCGAGGACAAAGCACAGAACAATGGATAAGTTCATTGTCCTGGGCACTCTGGCACTGCACAATCTCCATGATGCCCTGATGTGCATGAACACGAACACATTTCTCAGAGTGGGCCCCGATTTACACAGAAGCATGCATGCCCTGAATATTGCGCGTAAGCTCGTCGAAGCATGTGCTCTTTTTTCCCAAACTTCCTCTCGATGACATGAGTGCGCTTCCGAGACGTTCGTTCGGCACATCTCCGACTTCCGGCCCGAGGGCGTGAGGCATCGCTAAAATATCACCGCCGCAACCACATGGCAGGCGTGAACTTGGTGCAGTGCCGTTAATGCTCAACGAGTCGTGTGCGTCGAAAAAGCAGATTTAGAACTGAAGCACCCAGCCTTCGAGTCTTGCTTGGTCAAAGGTCTAGCCTCTGTCCTAGCCCACTCGCCCACTACTGCCTGCAAGCTTTCGATATGCGTACTGTACTCCAGGCCACCCTCGTTTGTACCGCTCCCTTCCCTTAGCGCGCGGCAAAGCACGCACTTGTGCATGCACCTTCTTGCGAGGCTTTGAAATAATATGTGCTACATGCTTGAGGTGCCGAACGCTCTGGCCGAGCACCAGAAACGACGGTTTCCGTTTCAGGGATTGCTGGTTACCTTGCTTCTTGGATGCCGAGAAATGGAAGGCAGAAGGGACTAACTTCTTCGCGTCATCACGGTGATCACTAGTGAGAGGCTTGTACTCGTTAAGGGGCCCTTCAATTCGACACTGGCAAGACAAAAACTGCTGTTCGGTCATTGGATGCTGGCAGGTGCCGACGGGGCTGATCCAACTGGTAACAAAGTCAGGACATGGGGACTGAAATAGTGGTCGTTTTGAAGTCCCGTCCACTCATTACGAGGTACTAGACTGCAGCATAAGTGTCCGAAGATCTGACGATCGGGCCACGTAGACAGTGATCCAAATATCGAGATTCGGCGCAGCGACCAAAGCCCAAGTCGGTTCTGATCAACTTTCGTCCTCCATCGAGAGTGATGTACTCCGTACTGAGCAGGCGAATCATTTCACACTGAAGTGGTACTTGTACTCATACGAGGTATGCGATATGGCCTGAGGTTCTGGCAGTTTGTGGCTGTGAACTTCAACAGAAATACTTCTTCTCCTCACTCGAGGCAAAGGAGCGCTCGTTGCTGCCGAAAGTGCCTCACCATGTCGCTCAATATCAAGTTGATGTCAAAGCGGTCGTTTGGCTAACCACGTACTCATGTAGTTTTGACATCCGTGGAAAGGCACCGTCATCGTTTGAGATAGGTCTGATTCTCTCTGAGAGGGCTACTTCCTCAGCTATGGTTGTGTATGCTGCCCATGGGCGTGCCTGCCTCACATGGCAGGGCAGAAAGGGAAAGACGTGCCTGCCGCGACACCAGATTGGCACTCAACCGCGTGCCCAGTAAGGCCCGGATAGTGCGTACCCAAGTAGACTTCACATGAATGGTTTTGAGAATCACCGTCTGATGGTATGGATATTTGTAGTCGAGTGTAATAAGCCGCTAAATCCCTTGAAGCCGATGAGCCGCTCGATGCATCCTGCCACTCACTCACCTTTCAACTGTTAACGGTCAACGAGAGGTGCTTACTGTTTCCCCCTGCTTCCTCGCCGGAGAACCGCCGCCGTCGCAACGGGCGCTCATGCAGAAAGAGCGGAAGAAGACTGGTGCGGTGAACGGGTTGACCGGGTATCCAGGGCGTATAATGTGTTGCGACCATTTCCTTCGGTGCTTCTAGGACACGCGACAGTAAGGCACGTGAGGAGGCCCAAAAAGTGGACTGAGAAATGGCAACATCAAGTTCTTTCACAACTCTTTGCTCATTCGAGCAGAGCCAAATTAGGAAGAGGAAGGGATACTTCGACAGCGTTGGTCAGCATCGTCTGAGTTGGTCCTCGGTGGACTCGCCGACGCAGCAACTGGGAGGTTCAATACTTGTCTAATGCAGCATACCGGGAAAAGCCCGCCTTGGTGATGTTGCGAGGTCGTAAGCGGAGTCCCCGGGATTGTCGCTACTCCGTCAAATGGGCGACCGAGCAAGGTTGAATGATGGACGGTCTAAAGTCCAGTCTCTAGGTCGAGATTCTTCTGATTGGGCTCAGTGTTAGCTGCTTTTTCCAAGCACAAGTATGAGCATCACCTTGGGAGAACAACGGCACCCTCTCTTCTCGTATCAGGTATCTCTCAGTTCTGGCCCACATAGTCACGCCTCCAGAAGAGGGTGTGGACCGTGCCCCCAGTCTGTCCAAGGCCGGTGAAAGACGGCGACTCCACGGCAAGCCTAACCTGGAAGTCTTCCAGTCCCCGACTACCCAGTCTGCACCACAGTGCTACTCGTACCTCCTCCTGCGAACGGCTTCAAGAATGGTGGTTGAGTATAGAGAAGTCGAATTACCACCGCATCCCTCGAAGGGTGTCGATAGTCGGTCACAAGACAACACGATCGTTGAATGGAATTCTCGATTGCTGGCGAGATTGGAGATCACTGACGGGCAGCAACGACCCAAGACGCTAGCATCATAGGCTGAAGTGGTATCCCTCGACGAGACCAGGATTGGAAGAGTCGCAACCCCCACGCTAGCGAAGGTTTCTCCGTGCTGCTGCCCTCCACCAATTCCCGTGCAGCGTCGCTGCTTACCTCCTAGCCTGGAGAGCAAAGTCCGCAAACATGCTCGTGCATGCGCGAGAACATCGCTTGTGACAGTAATCGTCTCGTGTGAGTAATGTGATTTCGTCAAACTCAGTCGACCTGATCTCGGCTGAGCTGCTCGATATCTCGTGGGAAATCAATGGTGCTGCCGTGGTCTACGGCCGAGTCGGACGACATACAAGCAGAAGGCTTGAGGTGAAAGTTTGCTGATATCCCGCATGCCGCCGCCGCACGCACTCATGAGTGCCAAGCACGCCCTGACGGGAACCGCACAGAAGCCTAGGGTCGTTGTAATTGCCAGAGTCCTGCCAACGAGTCACAGGCTCGGGAAGTCGACGGCTGCCGTGCACGAAGAACAGGCGAGGGAAGCTCTTACGAGGAAAGGCCGCGCAGTTGGTAACCATGGAACCTTTTTAAAGCACAGTAGGGCCAGTTTTTCCGTCGGCAAATGATAAGGGTAAGGAGATTAGCGACCGGTCTTTTCCCAATCACCTACTCCGTCTTTAACACTGATCAAGTGATGACAAAAAAAATTGATTGTGTTCGGTGACTCAATAGGCTGCGACCGCCCAGAAAGGAGTCACAATGCTGGGTTGGTGATAAGTGGACGACCCCGCGATAACACTCCGGGCATCCGTTTGCCGGCCTGATAAACAATCTGGGGCAAGGTCCTCAATTCAGCAGGTCATTGCGGACTCGAGGGCAGTATCTGGGTCATCCTTTCAGTCACCGCCTCTAAACTGGGCTGGCAACCTGAATGTTGTGTTTCATTCGATTCCTATCTGTTCATGTGACTCCATCCTTATCGTTGATGTCGTCTTGACTCCAACGAATAGCGCAAATGGCCTGTAGAGCCGCCCTCAGAGACCAAGACCGTGATGATGCCCGCGATGACGAGAATCTCCGCTGCGTTTTGATTCTGCAAGTGCTGGAACATTTCTCATCTGCGATTGGGCGCATTGCCAGCCTTGCTCACTTTCTGGACAACGCAACAGATGTAATTCGGATCGGGAAAGATGATGATTTCCTGGTGTTTCGTTCGTAGCCTAAGTAGCTGGACTTCGTCCTCGCTGGGACCACTTTCCGCATCTTCATCGTAGCTCCTATCCTTGTTTGTAGAGTCCGTGTCATCTCCATAGGCACCTGCCGTGAATGCTCCGTTGGGACGAGGCGCTCCCCGCGATGTGACCCCTAGAGTCTCTCCAAGCACATTGGCGTTGTTCACGAACTGGAAAATAGACGAGGCGAGAATCTCGACCGGTCTTGCACTCTGCTGGGCCTCTGCAGACTCCTCTGACTTCTCTGCTATCGACGCTCCTCCTCGCTCTGATCCTTCTAGACCACCCGTCGACCCAGGAACCTGCGACCACTGGTAGACTGCGGATTCCGGATCACCTCTCTGTTCCGGCAGGCCAGTGCCGGTCGCTCTTATAATAGAGCCATCTTTGCGGGATAGAATGAGGGTAGACTGGACGTTTGGTCTCTCGGTCAAGCCACGTAGCATGGCGTCGATGGAAGGGCCGTTCAAAGACTCCTGGACAGTACCGGTCAGTACATGTGAATCCGACGCTGGACCAGAAACACCGACTCTTTCAGCTTGAGCCATTCTGTCCACCTCTGTCTGGCTCTGCATCACTCATCTGGTACCTGCACCGAACGACGTCATGCCATGATGCTGATATCGCAATGGGCTTGATCAAACAACAGCGTACGTCTTCCGTTGTTTTCCGATTGCTAGAGTTCAGATTAATAAGGAGTGGCCGTGGTGTGAAGTTGTCAGGCAATCGCGTCGCGCGGTTGAGGCTGGAGCACGTGGAGCGTGGTAAGGTAGCGCACCCGAGCTGAGGGTTTCTCTTACAAACTGAATCCGCACCCTTGGAATTCGAGAATCACTTGCAGGATTGATGCGATGGGGGAGCGGCACGGCCCGTTATCTGAAAGGCTTATCTTGCATCCACCCCGCCGCCACCTGGAGAAAATCTTCCGTCCTTCGCGTTTGGGCCATCTATTTCTCCCTCATGAACGACTTTGACTCGCAGACATGGGATCGAGCGCAAAGAAAAAAAGAGAAAAGAAGAAAGACTTTCAAGTTCGACGGCCCTCTCACAACTGGCCCACAATCTAGCTAACACCGCCGCAGAAACAGAAATTGAAAGTTGGCAAGACACGACCCAAGGCTGATAATCACACCGATACGAGCTTCCGAGCCAAAGGTAGGGCGACTGTCCCAGCAAGCCTACATCTAGCTGACCACATGTGTAGCCATTGTTCTGAACCAGCAGCTCGACGTCGCCGCGCCGACTTACTCGTCGGTATTTCTTCACCAAGTCTCTCTGCTTAATTCACGTTCCGACTCCCAAAGGAAAGATGCCCTCGCCCACTTGACAAATTACGTTGCATCGAGCTCTCCAGGAGAAGCTTTGCCGATTACCACCAGTTCTCTTCTCGGTAGCATCTATCCTCTCGTTCTAAATGGCTCCTCTGGGGTCCGGAATCAGTTGCTCAAGTTGTTGCACGCATTGCCCAAAGAAGACATCCGAGACCATGTCCACAGGGCTCTACCATATGTTCGTGCCGGGATAACACACCTGTCGCGAGATGTCCGTGCGACGGCCATCGACTTTCTATCCTTTCTGATACGGATCGCAGGAACGGATCTTGTCTCCTGTCCTGGTGGATGGCACCAAACTCTGGAATGCCTTACGACAGTTCTTGGTTGGAGATCAGCCTCCAGCAAAGCTTCATTTGCTGGAGACGTCAAATCTACAGCTCGCATCATGAATGTCCTTTCTGACTTGTTGCTTGCGGGTCTTCTCATGGACAAGCTATCTTCCTCTCAGCCCGACCCACTGGTCACAGAATTCCCCTTGTGGCGGGTTGAGACACTCCTCGTGGCGACAAAGTCGAACGTGTACGCTTATCTGAATCTCTTTGGGGCGCAAGCAGAGGATGACAGCCAGATCCTTGATGAACAGGAGGATAGATTACAAAACTTCAACCGCCATTTCCGCGATCCTGTCTTGGCCGGTGTTGAGGCAGCAATGAAAGAGGGCGGAGAGCTGGGCCGTGCCGCAGGTTTGGTGGTCAAGACATTGGAACGTGCACGGAATACCTGAGCGACAGCACTGCTGGACATTTTGCTCAGACGGCTTGTGAATGAGAGCCCACCGCCGTCTCCCCTCCCTTGACGACCAAGATCACGGACGATGATCAAACCTTTACAGCATCCCGCCAGTGCAAGCAACGGATCAAAACTCTCTCCATCCTTCGCCCCCAGTAATCATCTGCACGGCTTTATCAGCGTGCTTTTCATTCATCGATACCCAGACGTTCGAAGCATCCATCACGGGGTTGGTGTCGAATTTCTCTTCGCAGAACGATAACAAACGACGTATCTCCCACAGAGAGACTTCCGCCAACTCGTCCTCTCCCGGAAAATACTTTTCCGAGGAGGTAGCGCCCGAACTGGACTTTGTTGACAAGAGGGAATTCTTATACGCCTCGACCCGGTCGAGGAAAGACTTGGCAGTCTGGAATGCTGCCTCTGGCGAAGTCGTTTGGTTCGAGGCGTCGTCTCCTCCAGATTCCGTCCCACTCCAAACCGACCTGAATACCTCCGACTCCTTCACATCTCCGTACCATGCCCTCGCATTGTTCAAATCTCCTTCAATCCGATGGAGCAGCCCATGGAGATACATCGCCTCCCATGCCGGTGCCGCTTGCATGTGCCGCAAGAGGAAATGAGCGGCCGGAAGATCCATATTTAGAATATGCAGAGCCGACTCGAGAACAGGGTGTAGAGAGAGATTGGAGATATTATGGCTGGGTGCATGGGGTTTGCACGGCGAGACGGGAAGAGAGAGGACATGATGGGGACATGCTGGCGGTAGAAGCGATTTGAGTGTTGCAGCGTAAGAGTTGGAGGATGAGTCCGGGGACATTATGACTAGAGTGCTGAGGAAGAGAGAGGAGAGATGCGCACGAAGCCTTTGTTCCAAAACATTTTTGTAAGCCCAAATCAAAATCCTTAAGACCTGATCAACGTTGTCGGGCCTGTCAAAGCGTCAAGACAAGACGTCATGATTCTGAGCCCCGACGTCGAGACTTTGTCTCACCAACACGTATGGAGCACTAGGTGTAAACTCGAGGGGTATTTCAGCGACCTTCACAACTGACAGAAGGCTGAGACATCAGGGCCGCCGAAGACTCAGTCGGTCATGGTGCTCGGTCCCATATCTCTTGCATTGCCTGCTTCCTTTCGCGCGCCGCCCGTACAGCCAAGGCCAACTCTAGCGAGTCTAGCTCGCGACCGGTGCCGAAGCCCAGGCTCGCCGTCCAATCAACGGCAGCCAACGCCGCATCACACCCGATAAGATAAGATCACGCGCACCTCAGCCGAGGAGCTGGCAAGTCCATCGTCAAGGAACCGTCGTCCCGGCCTTGTTACTTCATTCCCGACCAGCAGGCTGGCCGTCCGACAGTCACACCACGAGCTGGTCGGCTGCGCGATCCGTACATCTACACGCACACACGCACACACGTACCAAGTCGAGCCCGTCACCGAGTGAGAGGCCCAAAACCACATCACGCCTCCCAACACCGAGTGCTCGGGGATTCTCATATCCGCTGCCGTCGTCAACGCCTGCAAACACTCGCAGCAACTCTACTCTAGGAGACGCCCTCTTAGTACGAACAGGATATACTGGAATACACCCCACGCGAAGGGAGGGAGAAAGAGTGAAGGAGCAAGCTCCAGGACGCTGATTTTGACAACCCCACCAAGATGAAGCTCCCATCCACGACCCTGGCTCTAGCCGTGGCGCAGCTCGTCACCCTCGCCTTGGGTGCTCCCATGATCGGAGAAGAGACATCCACACCCCTCGATGTGCAACAATTGCAAGTCCACACCCAAGAGCGGATTGACGCGTCGTCCATCCCCTCGCGTTACCAATCCACCCTCCTCGCGCGCCGCCTCCTCCACCTCTCCTCCCACGGCGACCTGATCACCGTGTTCCCTGCGGCGGGGAACCTCTCCTCGCGCATCCCCCCCTCGGTGGCGTCCACCCCGATCGGCCTCCCAGAATACATAGCCACCTGCGAAGAAGAGTCGGGGCATGCAGCCGACCCGACCATCCTCTCGCTCAAGATCTCCACGGCGACCCGCAACGCCGAGGCCGGCTCCAACGCCACGCTCTCCCTGAGCTGGTGGGACGAGTACATCCACCGGACGGGCCGGGCGCCGTTTGCGCCGGCGAACCTCCCCCGCCTCAGTCTGACGGGATACCTCGAAGAGATTCGGGACGAGGATAGTCCCGCGCGGGTGCTGGAAAGTTGCTTCCTCAAGAAACACAGGGACAGCGTCATGTGGTTGCCCGGGCGGAAGTGGGCGGCCCATGAGGGCGTGTGGACCCGGCTCGTCGTCCAGGAGGCTTATTGGATCGGTGGTTTCGGTGACAAGAATTACATTGGCTGGCTGGATCCCGAGGAGTGGAGGGCCGTGCGGAGGGAGGAGTGGGAGGATGTGAGGCTGCCTGGGGAGAAGGAATAGACGTGTGGCATGAGACGGTCGGTGGCTGCCTGGACAGAAGACGTGAGACGGGAGGCATGAGACGGTGGTGGAACGCCTACAGAGTTGCGGGGTTGCAGACTATATTATAGTACGAAGCACGGTACATGATACTATAATCCAATAGCTGGGTGAGGGAGAGTGAGAGACCATGGGTGGGGGAACCTGTAGTCGAGAACAGGGTGCGATTCTTGCCCTACTCGTACCACAGGAAGTCGCAGTACCTTGGGTACCTATGTACATCGATTCGGTACATTGAGTACCGCGGTACATAGATAAGATGATACAACATGAACGGTGTGATATATAATATGTTGCGTCCTAACATGACTTGATATTTTCCGACCAGGAAGGAGATGCGTGCAAACTGGTCCGTGACTGGGAATGCAAACAGAAGATAATTATGCATTACGAGACATGCCCTGTCGTGCCATGTGTGCAGAAGACGTCGCAAAATCACAACATCCTAATTCCTCTGTGTCAATGACTTGACCCGGGAGATATCTTTCATCTGTTCTCCCAGCTCGCGTGGTCGCGTGGTCGCCTGTCCTGTATGCGTATGTACATGGTTACATGTATATGTACACACTACACACGTGTGTAGGTACATGTGTGGCGGCATCCTCCTGTCCTTTGCAACCCTCATACGGACTGTTTGGCCCTGCCTTCGTGTTTCGTGGTGGATGTAGATAATTATGTGTCAAGGCCAAGGGCTGGCTTCATCATTTTATATCATATCATGGACCGCGGGCGGAAATGCACAAATTGAAATCATTAGACCGTTTCTGAAACCAGTAGTGAAGTATGTTATTTAATTGGCGATGAGAGTCTACCTACAGTATTCTCATATCATGTCGACGAACATCAAACCTGGGCGCTCCACTGCGCTTTCCGCAGATATTTTCATCCGTCCTTGTGTTATACTCGCGTTGGCCCCTCCTATTCCTTCGTCTGAATCCTTTAATGTAGCCATAGACATCCTCCGCGCACATAAATTATTACATCCATTCAATCGTTCGTTCACTCATTCACCCAGCCGCTCGCTTGCTCGACGGCTCACTCGCTCGTCGCTTACTCACGACTCCCGAATCCCCACCCTCACCACGAGAGCCACCTCCAACGCCCTCGCCTCGCGGATCGCACAGCTCAAACACGTCCTGCCGCTGCGCGCGATGATCGCGTTCCTGCCCTTCTCGGCACACCATGCCCTTACCAGAATGTCCTTTTCCCATAGTTGCGGGTCCGTAGAGCCGTACAGCCACTTCTCCAGGCTAGCCGGGTCGTGCGTTGCGGAGTATGGGGTCTTGTTGTTATTGTTGTTATTGTTGTTATTGTTGTTGACTGACGGGGAACTCATCGCCACGCCGATGCCCGTGTTCGCGTCCTTGTCCGTATTATTGTCAGTGTAAGACATGGCGCCTTCCAAGGTACTGCTGGTGGACGCGGTCGACGGGGTGGACCCCAGCGGTGGGTGCGAGGGATGGCCCCTCGCGTCGACGATCCAGACCGGGTCATCGTGGTTCGTCGGGTTCGGGGGCTCAATGTCCGGATCCTGCACCAGATCCGCCAGCGACTTGACCGTAAACTTGTAGGTCTTGTGCAGCGGGTGCGCTGGGATGTGTTCGGCCACGCCGGGCTTGTGGTGGGGGTGTTTTTGCTGTTGCTCGTGTTCGAAGTCCAGAGTGCCCGGTTGGAAGGTGGCGTGGCCGTGTGGGAGACGACACGGGTGCGCCGTCACAAAGTACACGGCGCGGTTGAGGCTGTATCGTGCCTGTATGGCCGTAGAGGTGACGATAGAATTGTCTGTGCCTTGTGTGAGTGTCAGGTCAAACTGGGCCCACGCTGCGACTGGATTTTCGGCAGACGCTTGAGTGAGGTCGGCTGAGGACAGGTGGATCTTGATGTCCTTGACTTGCACTTCGAATGTCCGCGTACTGTCGAAGACGTGGTCTGTGACCATGGAGAACTCGCTCGCCATAATGCCCCCCTTGCCTTTGCCCAGTGGCGTGGAATCCTCGGCGAGTTTGTCGCCGTCGAAGATCCTCGGCTTCGCTCGATCTGTCGGGACTGGGAATGATTTGATCTTGACCCACCGACTCGATATCGGCTGTAGCGTGTTCTCATCCAGGGGCACGAAATTGGGCGTGAAAATCCAGCCCATTGATTCCTTTGCGCCACGCATCGGAGCCATCACGCGGCCCACGATGCTGGATTTGGACCACCATGAGGACCCGTTGAGGATGAATCCTGATCCGCGTAGTGGGAAGCTGGTGGAGCCGAGATCGCGAAGCGTTTGTGGATCAGGGTCGTTTTCCAGCAACGTCGATATGAGGATATCGCAGATGGAGGTCCCTGGCATAATGAGGCCAGATAGCCAGCTGTGCGAGAGCCAGCCGCCAACAGTACCGGAAGTGGCAGGATGGAGGTCGACACTGAATGAAGCGAGTGGACTGGTCAGGTTATGTGGCTTGGGCTCTAGGGCGGTGTCGTCCGAGCACATGATGGCGTCCATGAGCAGCCTCTCCCTGTCCTCTGCATTTGGCGTGCACAGCTTCTGGCGCAATGACTCCTGCAGCTCCTCGGTCCGTGGCCAGTCTATGTTGTTCGCAAAACGAACTAGGCCATCCACCATGACGGCAGCTTGACGTGGCATCACGACAACATCGGAGGTGTCGAGCGCATGATGACGTGGTGTGGCAGACTCTGCTGAGGTGTCCAGGCCGATGGCGTGTTTCAGTCCACCAAAAAGGCCGCCATGGTGCTGCTCGTGTGCGGCTGAAGACGGCTGCGTGGAAGTAACAGGTTGTTCGTGCTGCAGTGACTGCGGAAGTCTCTTCTTCTCGGTCCTCTTGACGTAGGAAAGGAACAAGTAGCGTCTGGCTGCCACCAGATCCCAGTCGACCTTCAGATTGCGAAGCCTGTTGAAATGATGTATCTCTTCGCTGCTGACTTCGAAGTTCTCTGCGTGCAGAGCCACACCCAATCTCAGAGCAGCATCCAGCCGGATGACCAGTTCCACGGATAGAAGTAGTTGGATGAGCAGCCATTTCCGCTCAGGGTCGATGACGAACATTCCCGTCGCACCGTCATACCGCGTCGACCGGCTGTGCAAGATTTTGCCGAAGCGCAGTCTCGCCTCGGGTGCGCTCAGATCCAGCCAGGCTCCAGGCGTGGTGAGGACCTTGACCAAGGCCTCGATCTGGATCTTCAAAGATGCCTTGTCGTGTTTCGCTTCCGTCGGAATTTTGCGGGGAGGGTAGAGTAGTTCGGTGAACAGATGGGTGTATAGCTCCGCGGAATCCATGCGGTTCAGCACTGTTTCTCGCCATCCTGCGACAAGCACCTGGTCGCGCAGCGTGCTGATGGTGTCCATCCTATCCGCCAGTGTCTCGATGCTGATCTCTCTTACTCCCACGGCTTTCCACGAGTGTGGTCCTTCGCGGATGAGTCTCGCTCGCTCGACCACAGGAGCGTGCTTGCCTATCTTCGCATTCAGCTCGTCATTGTCCTTGCTGAGGGCGAGCAATTTGAAGGCTTCCATTGCAGGCGTATTGGCGATGGCCATTTCAATCTCCACGTCCTTGCCGTGCTCTTTGATCTTCTCGTCGGCCATGCCGTCGGCCACGGGGCGTTCGAGGAAATAGCGCATGCCAATGGTCCCCGGTTCCCGACCCTCCAGGCCGAGCATGTTCGGCCTTTCGAAGATGCCCAGCTCGAACATGGGCCGCTTACCGATATCTAGGCCTTCGCGCTTGGTCGGCATCGCCAGGCCTGGCTTCCAATTGACTTCGTCGGGGATAGGCAGGTGCGCGTGCAGTGTGGCGAGCGCGAAGCTTTCGTGCTTGATGTACCTTCGATCTTGGAGGTCGGAGGTCTCCAGGTCGTTGTTCCAGGGGAAGAAGGCTTGTGGGAAGTAACGCCCCCTTCGGCCTTTTTCGAGGACGAATTGCGGGGCTCCAGAAAAGAGCTGTTCGACGTCTTCCTTCGTGAGGCCGTCTTTTTTGTGATGGCTTCTGTGGTGGTGAGCTCCACAACTGTCGGAGGGAACAGATGAGATCTCCTTCCGCGGCGCTGGATCGCTGCTCTCGAACTCTGTAGAATGCTTCTCCTGCTTGGGTGCATCATGTCTGCTGGTCGGCGGTACTTCCTCTTCTGCAACCTTGGACTTAGAGACTTGGCCCACCACCCCTTCTGCGGGTGGTTTCCTTGCCTGCTCCTCGAATCAGCTGTGCCTGCCGCTAAGACGCATCGCTTTGTCTAATCAATTAGAACAACACTCACCTCGGGCGAACTGGAAGCGTCGCCGGCTAACTTCTGATCCTCCCTCTCTTTCTCTCTGGACCGACTGCTCTTTCTAAGTCTATTCAATAGCGAAGATTTAGTCTCGCTCTGAGCACGCTCCGCCGTGATCGCATTCTGCTGCCCTTCACTCCTCCCTCTGTCCTCTCGCTCCGACAATGACTTGCTGGAAATCTTCCGCGTTAAGCGATTCATGGCTGCTGATGAGTAATCTGGTCCTCCCCAGGCTGGAAGGAAACAGGCCGGGAAGAGTCAGTGTGCATATAGTGGGACTTGATCTCCTAGGAGGTGTGCAAGATGAAGCCATGAGATCGAGACACAGCTGCTGAGATCGTAGTAATCATTCTTGCATGGCAGGCAAGCTGGAGCCCAAGGTCATCTTTCTCGCATGTTGTGCAGTATTCCACGCGTGGTCGGCAAAACTGTCCAGGATGAAGCTGGTGATCAAGTAATGATTGACTGGAAATTTGCAGTGCCCAAGTTGGAAGGCTCACGTTGCATTGTCAGCGTTGTGCATGACAGGTCGACGGCACGGCACGCCACGTGACTGCGAGATACAGGCGTCACGTTCCACTGATGTCATTGATAGAGAGAGTGACACATGGACACAGGGAGCAGCTTTCTTCGGGACGAACGCTCGGTGGCTCGGGAAGACGGCAGAATCGCAACATGGCATGGCACATGGTCACCACCGCCACCCCATCATTCCGAACTATCTCCGTTTCAATCACTAGAAGATGAGTAATTATTAAGAGGATGAAAGAAAGCATCTGCATTTGTCTGGGACAGAGATATAGCAATCTCGAGCAGCCTATCTTACAGTATGACATATCGGACGTAATAAAGCGTTCACTATACGTACAAAGTCGCCTGCTGAGGTGTATAAGCAGATAAGCAGGCTCTTCCTTCTTCGTCATCGTCATCCTACAAACCCTCTTTGGACACTTGGCCACTGCTGGGCAGCCTCCTGATAGCCCACCGCCATACCGGTCGACATGTTCCAGTACTGCGGCACCATATCAGGATCTCCGAGCCAAGCTTCGACCCCTGCAGAGTACGGGACATATGCCGCAGGTACTTCAGGAGCGGTAGTAGGCACTCGCCCATGAATGTGAGCCAGAGCAGGAGCCGGAGCAGGAGCAGGAGTTTGGCTGTTGGCATGCCCCAGGCTTATCGGTGGCTGTTCTGCCTCTGGCTGTTCCGTTTTGGTGACGGGTCGTGGCGCCTGTGCCCTTTGGCTTGCCATCAACCCTGCCGGTAGCAGAATTCGATCCATAGGCGCTTCGTACACGGGAATCGACCCGATCAACTCGCTTGAATGGGTAAAGAACTCCCGCCTCATTGTCCATGACCGCAAATCCCACTGCCGCTGCTTGAACCCCGATGTGATCGAGTAAAGCTGGCTAGATTGATCCTTGTTGTACGTGTGGGATATGTCGTACGGCCAGACGAATTTGAATGAGTGCCGAAATGAATCTGAGAACTTGTTGTTGATGTATTTCTTCGTGTTCCTACACAGGTTGGCGCGCAAGGCAGGCCAAATAAAATGCTCAATGATAGGCGTCTTCCTCAGCACTTCTGGGTCCTCGGAGGGACCTCGTTGGAAGAACGGCGGCAGGGGCGCCAGATATTGTAGATTAGTGTTGCTCTGGTGGAGAAGCTTCAATCTCATCATGTAGAGGATCGCCATCCGTTCCACAACGCCACATTCACGGAAGATGTTCTGGTCAATGCTTCTTAACGCCCGCCACCCCTTGTCGAGCAGATACTGATCTTGCACGTCACGCCAACCATGGAGGACTGCCCGGACGATGATGTCTTCGTCGAGCAGCTGATTGGCGAAAGATTGGTGACCACCTGCTAATGCCCGGTTGACCTCACGGTCAGACAACAAGAACAACTCGCCCTCTTCCCGGTCCTTGGGAGCATCGCTTCGATCCGACGTCGGGGAATCTGGTCTTATTACAGGAGCGGAGAACCTTCCGGAGCTATTGTAGACATCGTGTTGTTGCAGGGTGTAGGGTTGGATACCGTGGGATCTCGGGGGATACTCTGACGCAAATGCCTCGGCACGTTTTGGTTGGTCGAATGGTACTGGGTATCCAAACTCGACCAGGGGAGACGACGAATCCGAGCTGTGGGAGTAAACTGACGCGCAGTTTTCAAACTGGTCGTGGGGCCCGCATGCGAGAGAGTTCGCAGTGGGCGCAGCCTGTTCGCCGTTGCCGGTGCTAGGCATCGCAAGCCAGCCATGCTCATCCGCTGGGTGCAAAACGGTGCCGACGAGCTTTTGAACTCCGGCTAGCATTTCCTTCAATGTGCGGACCTCTTCCTCGCTCTGCCGCAGTTGTGACAAAAGCGCACGTGCCCTTTCACCCTCGTGCTCGGCTACCGAATGGTCGTGGGACTGCTGCACGCCTTCACCACTATTTGTCGAAGAGCTTCCGTTCTCCATGATCCTCACCAAGCTCTCCAGATGAGCAATGTAGTTCTTGGTCTTCAGTCGTATACTTCGTTGAGCTTCACGATCAATAGCTCTCTTCCTTTCTCGCTGAGAGGCTGTAAGTTTGAGTGTGCGCTTCGGCCGCTTGGGCGTCACTTCGGCCGAAGCAGACTTCGCTTCTGTTAGCGGCCCATCCTGTGCTTTGTCGGCATTCTTTTGGGACGAAGCAGTGGTCCTCCGAGAACTAGTATTTGAGACGGGGGCTGTTGTTGGAGACATGTCCACTGTCTGTGCCTCAACCCGAGTTTGTGATTAGATGGGGCCGTCAAGGAAGATCGTCGCCTTGACAGGCCAGCGGCGAATCCTTGCTGATTTATTGCCTGAGGATGGCTGTGTATCTGCGTCAGGGTGTGGGAATGGAGGTCGGCATTGGATTTTGCACCGCTTCAGGCCGGGAGTACAAACAGACTATGCTCCAGGTGTACCTGGCAGAGCATTTTCAAGATGTACCTCGACAACACACAGGTCAATTTCGGACTGGGGTACAGCGGAGTGGAGGGGACAGGATGAGGTAGATTTTGCATAACCAGTGATGAAGACGACCTACGTCCAATAGTCACAATATCTACACTCCAAGCGATCGACTTCCAAACCTACCCTATGCAGGGGTGATCCAGGTACAGTACTTGCAGAACCCGGGAGGGCGGAGGTGCAGAACCGGAGGCTTGTGAGCGGTTTGCTGTTTGTTAGGATGCGGGAGGAGACTTGGTTTCAAATGGGGTAATATTGGCGTTCCAGACTCGTCGTAAGCAGGTTGAAGAGGAGGTCAAGCAAGGCCGAGAAATCATGCCTGGCGTGCCCTGTGTGAGGACGAGCGGGTTCCCTGGGTCCCCGCTGACCTCGTGTCGTCTCTGAGGTGTTATAAATCGGTCGTATGGAAGGTTAAGTCCGCTTCCGTCTAGGCCATGGCCGGTAACGGCTACCTGGTTAGTGCATCCTGGGACGGAAGTGATCTCGATTATTGTGAACTAGCGGGACGAAATGGGAGAATGGTGTTGCTTCGAGAGGTGGGTGTTGATGAATCCAGAAGTAAGACCGAGCACGCCAGAGGATTATGCTTACCCAAGGTTCCAACGGCGAAGCGCGGAATGCCGCTGGCTGCCAGTGAGGATGCTCGTGCATGCTGACAGGGCCGCTGTCTGCTTCTCTGGTGTCCTGGCGTGCCTGGCAAGCTGGATTCTTACTTAAGCCGACCCTGGTGAGACGGCAACGACGACGTGCTATTGGTGGTTGGCGCCGCACCCGCATCACCCGGAATAGACTCCCCGTCGCATCGTCGCTTGCCCTGAAAAGAGGGAACGCGCCATGCCGCTGGGGCCAGCAGCCTCACTGGATCAGAGTTTGGCGCATCAGGCTCGAAAGTCGAGCCTTCCGGGTTGCCGGGGTATCTTTTTCGTCAAGCGATCGCACATTCTGCTGGCATCTGACGCTGTGGGAACTTTGCACCGCTCGCCTCGATGCAGGGGGCGCGCCATCCGCGTCCCAAGGCGTCGCCATGAATGAGGCTGCATTTCCTGGCCAACATATGCCGTTTCACAGCCTGCAAGTGCGGCGTACTAGTACGCAGTAGACAGAGACGACCGTGTTAGTTTCTGCAATGGAAGCATCCCCCCTTACTGTATACCGTTTTGTCCGAAGCCTGTAGAAGGAGTCAAGATTCCTGCGCTGTAAACCGGGATATTCCCATCTCAATGGTGAAACCCATTCTCGTATCTCTTTTCGCATCAAAGAGATTGGATGCTACCACAGACCATCGACGATGAAGCTGCGGGTGGAGGCGGTGCAGTTCGCAGACCAAGGCTTTTCAAGGGAGCTCCTCGCTTAGGTCCTTGGGAAGATCTCAATCCCCCAGAAAGCCTATACCGAGTCCAGCATCGTGATGATGTAGGAATTCGTCGCACCATTGGGTAGCCCATTTGGACCTTCTTGGGTACAGGTACTTCTCCAACAGGGGACTGTCAGCGCTCTCTATCTATATGCAAGCATTGTGCCAACTAGTATGCAGGGAAACCGTAATGGCACGTCATATGGAGCCACGCAGAAAATGTCAACGCCCAATATGCCCATTGACTCTACCAGGTTACGTTCCAGACGCCCCTGCGACGCTCCAAATGCAGCATCATCAATGCCTTGTCTGTGCTCGGCTTCCTAGTAAACACTGTGCAATATATGACAATCATCGCTCAGCTCATCAACACCCTGCAGCGCTGTTGATAATAATTATGTGCAGGAATGTCATCGAATATCCGTCGTCTCGTGTGCTTTTTCCCCCGTCCGATCTACGGCTCTGAGGGAATGTTATCTGGGTCGTGCTCCTTTTCTTCCGCCACGGTCGAACTGTTGCGTTTTGGACCCAGTGGTGTCGACGTGCTGCGCCGGTGTCCACGTCGGATAGCTGGAGCTTCCGAGCCATTGGGCGTATCAGCCACATCACCAATTGGTGTGCCAGTTCTTGACTGCCCACGCAGACTTGCTGCACGGTTTCTGCTGGGGGCGTCGCGGATACTCTCAGTGCTCATTCTTGCATGCATAGGATTTAGGCCTTGGTCGAGGTCCAGGCTCTGGAAATCTCTTGTGCTCCAGCTCGAACGATGGGGCCTCGCTCCATACGGCAGGTTCGACATACTAGTCCGAGAGAGCATGGATGTGGTTCGAGAACGGTTGAAATGTTTCTCCATGTCTGCAGATGCTCTCGGAGACATGCTGACTTCAGGGATTTGATTTTCAGGATCTTCGTCCTCGATCTTGAGCTCCCGACGGACGCTGGAGACTGCAAAGTAAGGTTCCTTTGGACGTTCAGGCTCTGGTGGTGGAGGCGGCGGAGGCGGCTTCGGTCGATCAGTTGCTTTGTAGTCAATGTGTGAGAAGTAACGGGTTCGAGGTTTGAACCACGAGCGCGGTTTAATGGTCTCTGAGTAGCGAGTGATCGACATATAACTTGAAATCGCTCCAAGGACAATGGCGATAAAAAGACAAATGGTCAGGATGCCCTGAATGACGATGATGACCACTCCGATCACCGTGGTGATGATACGGTCAAGTCGGAATCGAGCATCGAAAGCCGACGCCAGTGCAACTGTCGCCACTTTGCTGAAGCCAAGGAAGTACACCATAATCAGATTGAGGCGATTGCTTTCGAAGGGTCTCATGAAGAGGACGGTAACGAAAGCAATGATTTCCCAAGCAAGCAGACCGAAGACCTGCACTAGAGCGTGCCCTGCGGCGCCTCCGTAGAATGCAGCCCTGACGAGCTCGTAGATCAACCAGACGGAGAAGAACCACCACTTACTCCTGCGAAATCTAGAGGCAAGCCAGCCGAATTTGATCGTGTAGTTCTCGTCGTCGTGTGGATGGACTCTGCCTGAACCAAGGTTTGGCAGATGCTTTCGCCACCAGGTAGTCTTGGGACGGGCGTCCGGGTTCTCGGGCGCTTTCTTGAAGCTGATCTTATACCAGGCAGAATTTCCTGTCTTTTCGCTTCCCTCAGATCCCTGAGAAGCCTGGTCGAGGATCTCCGGCAGAGGCTCGGATTTAGTTCTGTACCATATCGCGAGTGCCGAAATGGCAAGCATTATCACAAGAAACAGCGAAAGGATCACTGCTGCAAGAGCCTTGACGCCGTGAGCTCCGCCCAAGGTGAATTGGAACATTGTGAGGAACATCATCATAAAGAACGCAATGTAGCATGTCCGCAGGACAGCTGCACCCGCAAACCATAGCCAATGCTTCCGGAAGTACCCGAGCCGAGTTGTTTTGACGATGTGGCAGGCAGCAAGAGCTTCAATACTCCACTTAAGGAGGATTAGAGATCCCAACAGGCAGGCGACGAATATGAGGTACCAAAACAGCCCCGTCATGAAGGCGTTCGAGGCTGGTATGTTCAATTCTGCAAGAGTTCCAGCAAAGCCGGAGTAGTTGCCGGGTAAAGGAAGGCCGGGGAGCACGGGCCTCCCATACCATGAAAACTGGGCAGTGCCGCTGGTCGTGTTGGTCGGTTCTGCCGCCTGTCTCTTCAACACCCCCCCATAGGATTCCAGCGTAGCAGAAGTTGCCCGCTTGTAGATCTGCGTTATTTGGTACCCACCACCAAGCCCAACAGCATTCTCACCGTTCGGCGCAGCACCAATCATGCTGATGTTGCCACGGTTGCTGCCAATGAACTGATTGATGGTATTTTGCATGTTCCGATTGTAGATTATACCGGCCGACCATGCATAGTTGCTCCAGAACGCCACAAGCACGCTTGGCCAATTCATCGACAGCCCTCCAGTAAAGAAGATGTGATGATAGACCGCGAACACGACCAACATGGACACGGAGTGGGCATAATGCGTGCGCATCTCGGGGACATTCTGTCCATAGATTGAGGTTGCGATTGATGATATCAGTGCGATCACGGCGAAAACGCCTAGAACGGAGGCCACGGCAGAAGGATGTGAGAACGAAGCTCCGTTCGTAACCACCGCCGAGAAGCAGGCGATTTGAGACTCAGTCGAGTTGGCGAAAATCCGCAGTACGGCCATCCCCTCAAAGTCCGGTATCGTTAGTGCTATCGAGGGAATGTTGGCCACGTCCGAGGGTGCGACCGGGATGATGCCATTTGCGTTGATGGGAATTGAAGAATTGATAGGGCAGAGACTGTTGATGTTGGCGACACACGGGTTGAACGTCAGGTTAAAACGCGATTCGCCGTAAGCGTAGACGCCGATGTACACTGCGGGTTGGATTTCAGATCAGCCGGCTGTCAGCACGTTAATCCGGGGAAAGTATGCCAACTCACACATCAAGCTCTCGTTTGTCAACGCCGAATGGCCCTCCAGATGGAAAAGAACCGTCATGTTGTCCTTGTAGTAAGCCGCGTCGAAACGAGTAACATTTATCAGAGAATCGCCCTGGCAATCACCATAGTCTTGAGTGTACAACGACGGTCTGCGGTCATCGTCGAGCCAAACTGTGCCATCGTTGCCGGTATATTGTATCCACCTCGTGTTGTCCGCTGCGGCTGCTCGCTGCACGTTCAAGGAAACGAAAGCCACCAGAATCGACCATGCCGTCAGCCATGAGAACATCGTACGGCCGAGGGCCGAAGCCATGGTACCGGGGACGAACTCCTGGCTCTTTAGCCAGAGCTGGAGTCGGATACGCCAGCCACGAACTTCACCAGCGCGCAGGAGGGGGGAATGGACGCGGTCTCAAATACTCGGCTCAGCTTGGTGCCTGCGTAGGCCGGCTCCGGCGAGCAGCTTCTTAAGAGGCAGTGAGTGTCGTGAGCAGTTGGTGACCCAGCTGCAAATACTCCGTATGTCCGTGTTCTATTCTATCGAGAATTCATTCTAGGACGTCTCCAGACCTCACACCTCACATTCGTTGTTGCGACAAGGTTGCATCGGAAGTGGCAGACCGTAGGGTTTTGAGATATTGTATGTCGGTGGGTGCTCGGGAAGGGCGGGACAATGTTTCAGCGAGTGCTATGTGCAAGATTACGAGTATTTGAACGGCTGATAAAGAACGGTGCGGTGTTGGGGGTGCTCAAGTGAAGCTGAGCACTACCAGAGTGATAAAAGAGAGACGACGGGCGGGAGAGGTCAAAGTCATGGCACGGTGAAAGTGGAAGGTGGGAATCCAAATGCAGCCCGATGGTACCCAGTGGGATGGAGCATCCGGCGTCCACGTTGAGCGTATCTGGACGCCGAGGAGCCTAAATAATACGACGGCGGCTGCAGCTCCTGCAGCTCGATGCAAGCTCTGCCTAAACCCAGATCCATCCGTAGCTCACACTGTGGTACTTTTCCGCGAGCGCCTTCACGATACGCTGTGGGAAAACGACAAAAGCAGGTTTTCTCCCGCCTCCATCTCCGCCGTTCACTACGGGTTCCCGCTGAGTTGTCACAACTATCAAGACATGGTCATCTATCATCCTCAGTCTCGCCAACATTAAGAGGACGAGCACTCTAGGCGCAGCTCCGCTTTCTCAGAGTCATGACGCGCATCTGTTCATATTATCCGCCCTTGTGGAGATAGATATACGAACGCTCACATCGGGCTTGTGACATTTTGGCCGGCACCACCAGTAACGAATTTATGACGTCTCCAAAAAAAAAATGAGAGTTTCCTGACCGAGACACGGGTGATGTCTGTGGTGTCTGATGGGTGGCTGAAAGGGTGGAAAGGCGCCCAGACCGCACCCTGCACGAGTACCGATCGGCAGTCCGTGCTCGCCTGGAGTCGCACGTTTCGCCTGGGCTCAGGCCGAAAGAGGAAGTCATCTCTTGAGGTGTTAGCTAATCTTGGTGCTAGTCAAGCTACTGTAGCTGCTGCTTTGGTCAGCGATTCGATTGTCGGCTGTGTGCTGTTGCAGGTCCAAGGGTGTGGCTGCCCGAGGGCCGGTGTTGCGCGTACCAAAGGTGCTGCTTCTCATGGCACCAGATATGTTTGTCAACGAACAATGATTTACTCTATAGAGATACTGGGGCAGAATGATCTTGCGTTTATTGAGGCTCATCGGCATTGCCTGCATTCCTTAGAAGACCTCAACAACCTGTGCCCAAATACGACGTACGGAGTACATTTCTCACCGGACACCCTGGCTGGCAACTAACGTACTCCGTACCGCATACAAGACCCAACCCCTCCCCCCCCGCCGCCTTGGTGTCTGCCGGCGCCATGAATTTAGTGTTCGAGAATGCAACTTTCCCAGCCTCCATCAATAACTGGCCGCTCCCTCTTCTTATGCATTTTGTGCTCCCAGTACGAGATACCCCGTATGTATGTGCTTCAGCTGGTCGTCCCGTAAAGATCAAGTCCAGCTAGATATCAGAGGGATTGACGGCACCTCGCGTGGCTGATCTAGATCACGATACCGTGCTTGTGGCTTGTTCATGTCGATCTCATCTGGGTTTGAGTAACAAGGAGTCACTTTGGCGAAGCAGCCACGGCGGCCCACCAGCTGCAGATTGCCTTGACGAGGTGGCTTGCACGGCGTCCACGTTGACCAGGGTCAGGCGATTGGGACATGACGCAAGGCTGCGACTACGTTCTTGGAATGTGCTTAAGGACGAGCAGTTGCCAGCAGCAGGTGACTTATATTCCGTACTGTGTACTCGTACACAGTACGCATAAACGCAGCACCACTTGTGGCTGCCTACCTACCTAGGTAGGTACTGTGGGTTGCTGCCTGGGTCGCTAAATACTATGTTCTCCAGCTTGGCATCTCCTACGGTCTAACCAAAGGGTACTTTTAGAACTGGTTCGCCATTTCTCTTCAACGTGTTCTACCTGTTAGATACCTCATAGCGATTTCTCGACCTCATCTAGAGGCAACATCGCTTCTACGATCTTGGTCTTGACCGCCTGACTAGGCTCTTCGTACGGATGCCGAGGCCGCAGCACGGCCTCCAAGTCACCCTGAATGCCGGCCTTCTTCGCACTGAACTGACTAACAGCGTACTTGGTTGTGGCAATGCCTGCCTTGGTGGGGTTTTCGGCATGGGCAGACATTCTCTGCATTGCCAATGCCTGGTCATGCTTGCCCATCTTCCACAAATCGAAGATCTTAACGACTGTCTTAGGGAAAATGTTTGCAAACGCTGCAATGCATCCAGCCGAGCCTGCTGCCAGCCCACCGACCAGGAAGTCTGACTGCCCGCCAAAGATTGCAAAGCGCTCAGGTGGAAATGTTGCAGACAAGCGTGTAATCTTTCCCACCGAGCCGCAAGTCAATTTAACTCCCACGATATTTGGGAACTCCTGAGCCAGTCCTCCAATGACGTCCGAGTCCAGATCAAGTCCATTGCATACTGCAGGGAAGTTGTATATGAGGATCGGAAGAGGAGAAGCTTTCGCAATTGCTGCGTAGAAATTGTGGACGACGCTGGGCGTGGTTTGTTTGCCAAAGTACGCAGTTGGAAGGACAAGGACATAGTCTGCTCTTGCAGCGTGCGCATCTGAGATATATTCTAGGACTTGTGCTGTTGAATGGCCACCAACACCAGCGATGATGGGATAGCCTTCTGGCACCGACTTGCGCGCTAATCGCAACAGTGCTGCTCGTTCGTCTCGGGTGAGCAGGAAGGTCTCTGCATTTGTGCCAAGTATCACTAGACCACGAAGGCCACTGCTCGCTAGGTACGCATAGTATTGCCCCTGCTGTTCGGGTAGTAAAGTGTCCGTCCTAGGATCGAAGAAGGTGACGGCTGGCGCGTACACTCCAGCCGGTGGGACCGGGTATGAATGGGGTGTTGGATCCGTGGAACCCATGATTGATTTCGACTTCTTCTGAAAATGGTGTAAATAGGGAGGACAAGGAGAATAGACTGCGTTCAAAGGACAAGTTCCTTTGCTCAGACTGATTTTATTCCAGGTCCTTGATAATGCGCTCCGACAGCGGCATGTCTACCGGAAACTGCGCCGTGCTGGCCGTTCTTCCACCCCTCACACAATTCCAATGCGGGGCTGAACGAGTGGCGATTGGTGACGGAGCAAACATTCGGCGCGAGATGAACCGGTGTTGAAAAGTGTCAGGGGTGCGATTGCTAGATAAGTTCTTAGAGAATTACGACGAGGTCATGGAGCTTGTTCGAACCGGAATGAAAGAGCTTGTATATGTGGAAGTTCGGTGTGGCTCACCTTGTAGAAGGCCCAGTGCGACCACTGCGATTGAGGGCGGGGGCTTTCAGTGAAGGTGAATTCGGAAAAGGAAGAAACGAAACCTGACCTGCCTTTCGTTCATATCTTTGTCCTCACAATCTCACGGTGCATAATTTCCGCATACTCTGGTTCTTGAACAGCGTTCCAGCGACATCGCATAGAGTCTTCTTACAGCCACGCATGCGACCTGTCGGCTCACCAGAGGCCACCTTAACTCTGTTAGCAAGTGAGAGTGAAGTGATCAACCAACCGCCGTTTGGACCCAAGGTCGAGTCACCTGTCAAGAGCAGCGAGCCACGAGACCGAACCTTGCTCCTTGAGCTTGACATCCATTACCTGATGAACTGACTGATATGGCTCTGCTGTGGCAGACCAAGTCGAGTGCGATGTCTTCTGCACCTGGGATTCAATTAAGAACACGTCGGTCATTTTGGCGCACCTTGTTTTTGGTCAGTCTCATCAACATTTCAGGCTTTCTCATTCTTCGCTCTCTGAGCCAACTTCATGCTGGCTTTTGTAGAGGCCCTACTGTCTTAGCAAACAGTGGACTGTGCTTTTCAATCTCACAAACCGGATGGAATCTCTTGTACCACTTGGGCGGAAACGGACCTTGGATAAGGAGAATCGATGGCCGGTACTACTACGATGCACCTCTACCCAAGAAATGCTCCATTGATCAAGTCCATATGGTAAGCAGCATGGCACGCAGATTGACGGATCACTTGCTCCATTACTAACGTACCCAGTTATCGCGGCATGCTGAGCGATATCCGACACGGAATGCTGGTATCAGTAGGTTCAGTCACCCAGTGACTTCTAGGCGATGCTAACCTCTCGGAATAGGACATCTCAAACTACTCGAGCGACTTCATGCCCCAGACGTAGCCCTCACGGGGTCATTATCATTTGCCAACGACTGGACTTACTTTACAGACGCCTCCAATCCTGCGTTTGAAAACCTCACAGCGGTTGGTCCCTACGCCGGGACAAAGCAAGCCTCTAACACAGGTCGAGCCATGCGGCGGCGATACGGTCACCTGGCATCCAAGAGACATCCAACAAAATTCTGGTCTTGCGGATCGCCGCGGGACGTCGAGACAGCAGAATGTTTTGCTGATGGGTTTTTTGGCCCTGAATGGAAAATTGATGGCTCAGCGGTGCTTGAGGTTATCCCGGAGACTGAAGATCGAGGTGCGAATACACTGACCCCTGGAGACACCTGTCGCAATTATGTTACGGACACTCAAGAAGGTCACGACAAGGGATACATCAAACTCGCAGAGTGGCAAGCCACTTTTAGTAAACCCATTTCAGAACGGCTCGCGAAGGATGCGGTCGCTGTGTCCTTCAGTCCTTTCGACATATACGGCATGATGGAACTGTGCGGCTTCGAGATCCTTGCAAGGGGAAGCAGCCCCTGGTGCGACGTCTTCTCCAGACAGGAATGGCTCGAATTTGAATACGCCCGAGATCTGCTACATTACTATCGAGCTGGGCCAGGGAACGAATTCGGAGCCTTGATGGGCTGGTTGTGGCTAAATGCATCCCAAAGCCTCATGTCGGATCACTCCGCAAAGGACGTGTATTTCAGTTTCGTCCACGACGGCGACATCGTCCCTGTAATGGCCACCTTGGGAATATCCAGTGAGCTTCCGGAGCTGGAAGGGCTGCCGACGGACCGCGTGGTGCACGAGCGAAAATGGAGGACAAGCGATGTGGTACCAATGGGAGGACGATTGGTCTTTGAAAGGATCACCTGTGATGCTGAGGCCGGAGCACAAGAGAAACGGCATGCAGTGCGACTCTTTATCAATGATGCGCTCATTGATCTGACTGGCATTCCCAATGCTGTCCCTTCCACCGATATTGAAGGCGCCATCTCGATGGATAGTTTTCAGACCTTTCTATCCGCCAGAGGTGCCGCGCTTGGAGATTTCCGCCACATTTGCGGGTTGACTGAGGATGCGCCGGACCGGATCGAATTCCTTCACCAATAGAGAAAGCATTCCTAGAGTAATAGACATGAGGAGCATGACGCAGACACATCGAGAGACTGTCCCAAGGAAGTTGGATTCTGACGCCATAATAATAGCCCAGCTCTACCCCCTGAATATCATCCCATGCTTGCATTGCTTGACTGGCCGAGGCTGAGACAGCAATGCAGGTTTCAGGAACGAGTCGGGAGGGTCTCCAATTCTCAGAAATTCCAGAGCTGATCTGAGAACATTTCACCGCAAGGGGGCCAATTGATCGATACAAAACCGCCCATCCTGTCCTTCTTTCCAGAGTTCGACATCGCACTTTCTGTCAATTGTCAGTTTTGCTGTCGCTGTCGCTGTCGCTCTCACTTCGTCGAAACACACCCATACATACAGACCGTCCTGTGCTAGCATTGTTGACATTTTCTCCAACTCTTCAACTCTCACTCACCACTGTGACGCGAGCCCCCTAGGCTGACCAGCTTAACTCGACCAACTCTCACCGTTCTTTTGACATTGCTCGGCCTTCTGACCTTTGTCCCTCGTGACAGAAACGCAGGCTAAAGCCAAGTCCGAGCGCCAGCTGCTCAGTGACATCTCTATTCGAGAAAGAGACATCCCTCAGCAACGGCGACAATGGCCGACGTCCAGACTCCGACGGAAGCCAGTCTTCTGTCCACCTCGAACCCTGCTATCGAGTCTACCGAGTCGGAGTCACAATCGCAGTCCAGAGAAGCAGGCACGAAAGTCTCTTCGACCGCCCCCAGCACAGCTACAACCACAGAACCTACACCTGCGCCTAGAACTGCAGTGAACGGTGACAAGGGCAGCGAGCCAGCTACGCTCACGAATGGTACACACGCATACGCGCCCGCTCCCGATGCCTCGATAGCCACCGCCATCCCAACCACCAAAGCTACAACCACATCCACATCCACGTCGGCAGCCCCGCTTTTGGCGGACGAACCCAAGCAGAACGGGAAGCCTGCTTTTAACGATGAGAATGACCCGCCGTTATTCTCGCCTTCATTGATTTCGGAGGAAGTCGCGGCGCGCTTGCCAGAAGGCTATACCATCAGACCACTGCGACGGAGTGATTATTATGGCGGTACGAGTCTCTCACTTTGCCTACCCCCCATATTGTTGACTCGAGGAAGACACGATTTCTTCCCTGGTTGCTTCCACGTGTACTTACTTTTCTTTCACGCAGGCTTCCTCCCCACGCTCCGTGTCCTCACCACGGTCGGCGAACCCACGCTCGCGGAATTCAATGCCCGCTACGACTTCATCTCCTCCCGCAACGATACGTACTACATCCTCGTGATCTGCGATGAGACCGCCACCGTGGTCGGCACGGGCGCCGTGATCGTCGAGCGCAAATTCATCCACAACATGGGACTGGTGGGCCATATTGAAGACATCGCCGTGGCGAAAAACCAACAGGGCAAGAAGCTGGGGTTGCGCATCATCCAGTCGTTGGACGCCGTGGCCGAGAAGGTGGGCTGCTACAAGAGTATCTTGGACTGCAGCGAGGCGAACGAGGGATTCTACGTGAAGTGTGGGTTTAAGAGGGCGGGCTTGGAAATGGCGCATTATTACGAGCCAGGGCCGAAGAGCAGTTATGAGAGGTCGTGAAGGACTCGAGACCAAGTGGTGCAGAAATGCGCAATAGACAGACCCAAGGACAGTCCGTTGAGCGCTCGGTGCGGTGCGGTCTGACAAGACGTTCTGGCTTGGGAAGACAGTTTTCAGAGGCGTTCATGGTTCAGGCGCAGGTCCATCCGCGGACAAGCGTGCAGTATGCTTAGAAGGGCAGAAACATCGGCTGTAAGATATCAGGCAAGATTAGACTATTACTTTGTGTAAGGGTGGGAGCGGGCCACTGGACCAAGAGCCTGGAGACCGTGTGCCACGAAGACAGATTAACCGCATAGACAGAATGCGATGGCGCAGGACAGTATTCGGGATAGAGACTACCCAGGCGATGGACGATGGAGTGGGAAACACATGAGAACAACAGTCAGGCCAATGTTCGACACTTATATATCTACCAACCTACCTAGTTGGGACTAAGCACGCGGATGGCTGTCGATCGATTTGTCTTGAAAATCCTCGAAACGAGGCCCTGATCATGGCGGTCTAGAGCGAGTTTGACGGGTATTCGCGAGATGAAGTGGACTGAATATACGACGGATCTGTATACGCAGCCCACTGACTGATATGAAAACCACCTCCCACGGAGGAAGCGAGTACTCGAGCAGAGGAGTCGACGCGACGACATAGTGGACACCGCAGCGCTGACGTGGAAAGCATAGGAGTTTGGAGAAAAACGAAAGGGAGGATAATTAACGATAGACGAGCAGGGCGTCGAGCTCGACCGTCGTAGGGATATGAAGCAGGGCCACCCGGTGGCGAGAAAGGACTTCAAGGGATTCGTACAGAGGTGCTGCGTTCTTAGCTTTAACAGAAAGGTGGTATGAGCGCATTGAGATGATACTGAGTACTGAAAGCAAAGATCCATCCACCGTAAGGATTACAAGCCGACGTTCAAAATCACTGAGACTTGAGGGATAGCAGACAGGTGCCATCTTGCAAGTATCTTGTGGTTGACTATCTCCTCCTCGAGGATACATTTTGGTGAGTGGTCCCCTGGTGTGCACGAGCTGACGCAGGACTGCGGCCTCGTCAGGCTCATCAGCCTTTCGGTTGAACTCACCACGCAACAGAAGCCGAGACTGGAGACCGCCACGATACCGTACCATCATCACCGCCTTTGAGTCTTGTGACGCACAGCACAACATAGCAACAGTATGGCTTGTCTCGAGGGCATGTTTTGCGATAGGCGCCCTGATGATCCCGCCCAAAACAATGCGGTGGGCAGATCTTCCTTATTTTCTCTTGATTGAGCTCGGCTCACATCGTAGCCTCATCATTCTTTAGGCCAACGGGGCCCGTCAAGCACGGACGCATTGACGCATGTAGGGAATTCGGCTCAATAGTACCAATACAGGTCCCTAGCTGCGTAATGACGGTGGAACAGAGGACCGAGGAAGCTCATGATAGGCGTAAGTAGCCTCGCAACAGGCAGAAGCCCCTTCCCGGGCCATGATGCTCACGCATTTTTTTTACTCTTCAACCATATACAGCTGTTCTGATCTGAGTGGCGTCTTGCCACAGGGTGCCACAGTTCATAAAGCCGAAGTCTTCCCGGTTGGCAGTGTCGCCATGTCACGTGGCAGGCACCTAGCAGGCAGCAGCAAAATGCTGACGATTTTTGGGGACCTTCAACTTTTCCACCGCGCAAACTCACCACAGACTAGGCCAGACTTTTGCATCGAAAACTGGCTTTTCAAAGAAGATTTGCAAGTCAAGATTGGACCTTGTTCAGATTTGCCACAGTCGCCCGCGAAGTGGTGTGAACTATCGTTCATCCTCCTCGGGCCTTCTCTCGTGGTAGACGGAGCCGATGGCTCTCGGGCAGGCTGAGGAATTTGAGTGACGAAGTCTGACTGGTTTTGATGTTCTGATATCGCTCTATGCAGTTAAAGCTGGATGTAATCATTGCAGTCAAACCTCATTCTCACCTCAGGCCGGACTGGAGGGTGGTATCGCCAGGCAGAGTCCCAGGTTGCTGGTTTCAGCATTCAGAAGACCTTGGACATGACCTCGACCAGAGATGGCAGGCCGCATTCAGTCGGAAATGACACTGGATACTGGTTGCTCCCTCGTCCCGTGCCACCTGTCTCCGCTAAGGGCTGACGACCACTCGCGTCGACCGGGAGATTTCCATTTGGACAGAAACACTTACTGTAAAGCAAAGGTGGGCTCGGTGGCATTGCACGGGGTCCTGGTAGATCCGTTTCCCGCTCACCGTGCAGCATGGACGACAACACCCAGCTATCACAGTAGACATCAATGGCCTGCGACGTCACATCCCTCAATTGCGACCGATCGCTCTGTGGGAGTTTCGTGCGGATGACAAATTCAGGAGGCCCATCGGCCGTGGGTTGTTTTTCAGAAACAGCGAGCCGACCTTGTGCACCATGTACAATTCGGGCGAGAGGTGTAAGGCAGCGACAAAGGTCCGGACTGATGCCTGAGAGTGCTCTCCGCAGTTGTTGTCATCCTGATCGTCGGAAGGGAAATCAAAGCTTCTGCCTGTTGGTGGCCAAGTTCGGCCGTACAACTTTTCCAAGGGTGCATCGGAAAATGAAGGAAAGTCTGATCGAGATTCGGGGCCAGTGAACTAGGCCAAGACACGCGCCAACGCAAGATGACATTCCACAGAACGGGTCGCCCTTCAGTCCCCTACCCCACTCGCAGGCAAAGGCAGCCCTTCAGCCACCCCAAAATCAGCCCCAGTCCACGTCGTCGGCGCCCGTTCACTAACTGGCGTTGGTCGATGATCTGAAGATGAATCTTGTGTCAATGCTGAGTGATCTCAAATGTAGCGCTCTGAGTTACTAGACGGTGACGCAGCCATGGTCGCAGTGGAATGATCCTTTGCGATTTGGCAAGTCCGAATCTCGGGATGGCGGCGGACAAGATGCTCCGGGCAAGGTCCTGAAGAAGGAAAGGTGACGGGCACTGGCGGACACCTCAGCTCTCATTCGCCGCCCGACTGGGTCTGGTTTGAGTCACCGACGTCTTGTCGCCTCTGGCCAACTTCGCAATTTTTCCTCACCCGTCGGTCAGTGTGCCGACCTCGCACCTTACACAAACGAGGACGTGGAGCCCTCTTGCACCACTCCATCACGGCATGATGGCCTTCCCACGGTGGCCAATGAGGCTGTTGGTGATTCACGACCACGCATGCTGCTGAGTGGTCCAACTGGAATGTGCCATGCGCTGGTTAGGTGTTCTTAGGTAGGGTTCGCTTTGCTTCTTCGTGTTCTTGTATTATGAGTTGTGCACATGCTGAGACGTGCTTCCTCCAGCACAGCGTTCGAGGACAGTCTCCGCATATCTTTGCATAGCACCGTACCGTTGGAAGTTGGGTTGAATCCAGCACATGCTGTTCTCGTTCTTGAGAATAGATGGAGGGGTGTTAAGGCTACAAGAACGCAGATGTATTCTGTTATGGTTGTGATAGCACAAATTAGACGGCATGACTAACAGAATCTGATATAATCCGCGAATGGGCAGAATCCTCGATGGACTCATTGGCCACTTGATGCCTGGTCTGTGGTCGCGCAGACCGTGGAAATGGCTTTCAGTGCGGACAGTCGTGGGCTGAGAGGTATATGAGGCAGCAGTGCCGCAGTGCCGCCTGGAACACGGAGTAGATAGGCACTCTCATATTATGTACACACCCTTGGAATCAAGAACGATGTGGGTTGCAAGTTATAGGCAGCGTGCACTCACAGTACAATGATGTTGTTCGAGATCTCGAGACAGCCGTCCTCGTAACTCGAAGCATCAAGTAAATTTTGCCCCTGACCCGAACAGTCGCGCGTAGTAATGTGCCTGAGAGGTCCAGCGGAAGCCTCAGGAAGAGCAATGAGGCACCTAAGTGACTTGGGGATTGGGGGGGTTGGTTTTGAGTCATCGGCTGATGGCCTGGAGTCGCCCCAGCAGCCTGTCTCCAGCGAGCCACCACAGCCCGGTCATCAGTGTGTGGCGACATGGCTGAGCCCTTATAACCTACCAGCGCCTGCACCAGACTGAGGCGCTCCCACCACGACACCAGAATGAAGCCCTCCTCGAGTTGCAGCACGAGCTGCTCGCTATATTCTACGGAGATCTAACCAACTGCTTTCACGCTCTGTATACCAATAGGTCCTCCTGTGTCGAATTCCTGTCATCCCTGTAAGCCTCCCATCCGAAGCCTCCTGGTCGGGTAGCGATCTCGCCACGCAGAGAGACTCATGACTGGGCGATTGAAAAGAAATCACAAACAAACAAACAACTGACTCACTTCGGCCATGGCTGCCTATAGACACCGTACCTTTAGTTTCATCATTATTTGCCACGGCTATCTCAAAGCGCGACTCGTACTTGCGGGACACACAAAGACCAAGGCTGTTCTCGGTCCGCCACTGCCAGCGAACCTGGAACGCCTGCGGTCGCGAGCCTCGCATTCACTCCTTGCCAGCACAACGACTTCACTATAATTCTTGACATCAGCGCGGTCGCGAATCCTGTCACTCCTCAGCAATACCCCGACGGCACGTTGCCAGTTGTCTAGGGTGCATGTGATTGCGACCTACTCCCTTCGACCTTACTCTCCTCTCACAACACAGTCATCGAACAGACTCCCAGCCATGAGTCCTTGGTTGTCATACATGCCCAAAGAAGAAACATCTGTCCGTCGAAGCCCACCGCCAGAGTCACCAGCTGTTTTGGTAAAGCCTGATCAAGATTGCCTTGAATCACATGAGCATTTGTCCCTCGATATCACCACGCGAGCGTTGGCTTTGGCATAACTCTCGTCGAGATATCGACCTCTGCTCATATTGTTCATTCTTCTTGTTTCACGAAACAGCTTTTGGTGCTCTGATTAGCGGTGGGTCTGACACTCATCCCCTCGGTAAGGACGCCTGCAATGCGCCCATGGACCATCTTACTTATAACTTTGCGGCAGATATCCTCCTCCTCCTGCTTCCTTATCAAACACCTCTACAACAAACAGGCGACGTGTCAAGGGGTGATCTGTCTCAGCACTGAGAAACTGCTCCTATCGCCTTCATAAGATGGGACTTGAGGGGGTTGTTGCCCTCTCAGATTCCCTTACGCCACAAAATGTCCAGGAATCAATACCTGCTTGGCTCTCGAACCAGCAGATATACGATCAACTGTACCGGCCTACGAATCCACCCAGCGGCAAGCAAGATGTCGACTCAAACAATCTTCAAGGGCCCTGGATCCCTAACCTTGGAAGATCCAAGCGAGACATGGATCAGAGCAGCATCGCGTCAGTCGATGACGACGTCAGTGTAAGCGATTCTGCGCATGGATCTTACTCCTCAGAGGCTTCTTCCCAGACGTCATGGACGTCCACAACGGCGTCCAGTGACATTTTCTTGGATGAGGACGGCAAAGAGCATATGCCAAATTTGACCAAGACCAGTTCTCAAGCGGCGCTAGAGTGTCAGGAGCAGATACTCAGAGGAATACAAGACAACGAGCAGTCTGCGCCCAGAGCCAGTCGCGCAGACTGTCCGATCAACAGTACATTTCGAAGCCTTACCGGGGACGCCTCTACGTTTTTGCGTCGAGCCTGCACTGGCCGCCCACAGCAGCCGCCTCAGACGTGTTCGAGGCCTTGGTTGTCAGAAGCCAGCTCGGAATCGACTGCGCAATACTGCCGTACTCGAAGATCAGCATGCTCGTTAAACAGATCATACCCTCCAAAGCTTAAGCGGGACACCGATGTGACGGAGCAATTTGTCGCGTGGCTCATCATTTTTGCGAAGAGACTCATTACCGCCATCTGGCCCTCCTCGGACTGCCCACCCATGAACACAGACTGCTTCGGCGCCGGCGTGTTGCCTCTTGAGACCTTTATTCGCGAGACTCTTCGTCGCTCCAAGACCAGCTTCTCGACTTTGCAAGTCGCCTTGTATTACCTGATTCTCTTGAAGGCCAGGATGCCTCAAGGCCAAGTTGCGTCGCGGTGCAGAGGCGACACACCGGAACGAACTCAGTGTCGTGCCATGCAGTGCGGACGCCGAATGTTTTTGTCGGCTCTTATGCTGGCGTCCAAATACCTACAAGATCGAAACTATTCGGCTCGCGCCTGGAGCAAAATCTCTGGCCTGCGGAGTAACGAAATCAACGAAAACGAGAGGGAGTATCTTGCAACGATTAACTATGACCTTCACGTGCCTAAAGACACGTTCGAAAATTGGAGCAAGATTGTCTTGGTATTGAGCAAGTTGTCCAATGAACGGCCCTGTTTTCCGCCAGGGCCTCTTGATGCTCATTTTGGTCCTCCTGGGGCCGGCTCGAATACGACGTCACTGGCCGCCATGGTCTCGCAAGTCGATTTGGACGAGAATCTCGAATTTGATCAACAAATATTTACAAGCCGGTGGTGGACCGGGTTACTTCAAAAACTGGATCCTAGCATCGTCAAGCAGTCACCACTCGTGGACTGCTTTCTTCGCGCCAATTTACCCAGCAACAAGTTGCATATAATTGCATCTCTGCCACATTTGAGTAAGGAAGTCAATAAGCCGTTGGATTATTCGTCAAGCTCGAACTCTGGTACGCCTGGTGAGGATTTGAACTTTGGAGACCTGAATAACCCACGCAAATCTCAAGCGTCCAGCATCCACGGCTCCCATATTCCTCAGACTCCCGTCCAGATGAGTCCAGTCAGCGACCCTGCATTACCGAGTCGGCCCCAGCTTGCAAATCTGCCGACTCCCCAATCAACGCCTCGTCTGCAATACCAGTTTACGAGCGAGAAAACCTGTTCGAGACCTTCGCTTCGTCTGGCTGCATCGATGGATGGCATCCATAGCAGCCTTCGGAAGGAGTGCTTCCGGAAGGCAAGTCTGGAACGGTGTCCACCCCCTCATCCACAAGATGTTGTTCTGCCATCTTTGAGGGACCTGATGCGTTCTGCAGAGACGATTCAGGAACTGCCGAGTAGATCTACTACTCCCTTAACATCCTCTCCGGTATCTGTGTCATCAGATTCGATATGCTCCACATCCCGCTCTCGGTCGTCCTCTATCTCATCAGTCTCTTCGTGGTCTTCGTCGGGTCCGGTCATGCCACATTTGCAGAGAAGGACTGCCTGTGGACTTGGTCCCACTCTGTCTCGAGTTTGCTCGCTGCCTGACAGATCGTACAAGCCACTTCCGGCCGACCAGTCAATGCCAAACCGGGGCTTCCGGGCCGCTACGTGCTCTGCATCTACCAGCGATCAGACACCGGCGCCCCTGCTTAGCGACGAAGGTCCCGGCGAAGTTCTCCGTCATCGGTCTCCCGGCGCTACTCCGACAAGTTCTGAGGTTGCTGCTATACATGGTCTGATGTCGCTTTCAACGCAGTCCGAGACCTCCAGCCAGAGTGTCACTCCGACTCCCGAGCGGCTTTCTGAGCAGGGCGTCACCCCAACTTCACAGCTCAATGGACGGTCGAATTATCACAAGAGAAAACACTCCAAGACAGAGTCAAACCTCCAGTCTCAAGTAAGAAACTTGGTTTGGGATGGCTCGTGGTCGATCAACAATGATGTCGTTGAAGATCATCTACTACCCTGTTATGGCGCAGTCCATAAGCAATTGCAAACCCCTACGTCGCTTCGAAGGGAATCTAGAGTGCCAGTGCTGACCCCAACGAAGAACAAACGTTTGTGCTCCCTGCAGCACACGCCTTCAGCTCTTCAACTGCCAGAGCAACTCGAAAGCAACCTACTGATGTGTCGTTGAAGAGAACGAATCGATACAAGGTTCCGAGGTGACATCCGATGCTGGACATGGACGGTTGGGCTTGGTCCCCGTACAGTGCTGTTCCACTATTCCGTTCGTTTCCTTCCCGCTTGCTGCTCCCGTTTTCTCTATCGCAAGGTAGGGAACACAGCGCAGCGGGAAGGAAACAGGGGATCGTTGCAGCTGCAGCTCAATCGAAGTGACAAACCAGACCACTCAGCACTCCTAACTGAAACAGCATCCATCCCAAATCCGTCCAGCCCATGTTCATATCAGTAACGGAAAGAGGCATGAGGACTCCAGTTTTGGTCTTCGCCTGCCAGGGCGATGGTGTCGACTGTCAGAATATACTGCACCGCTTGATACCCGCTCGGACAATGCCGCGACTCCTCGATGGTGCAGAGGAGCAGTCGAGCAACCAATACTCGTAGCGTCCGTAATGTGCATCAGGTGGCTGCCCAATCCAGCCCATGCAATGCAAATTCAATTCAAATGTTGAAAAGTTTCAGCGACGTAGTCTTCTGGTTGTCAACTGGGGCCTGATGAATGTGCAAAGCAGTTTCTTGGTCGCCTATTGACCGAGTCCTGCTGTGCTTGACTCGCTCGTTGCTGCTTGCCCCTTTGCCTTCGAAACATGTGATCGTTAACGCGGAGATATCGGGTATGTCCGGGGCGTATGTCTCATCCGGCGCTCGCTTGATCAGATAAGATTGCGGAGTACGGAGTAGGTGCCCCGGATATTTCTAGATGGATCTCCTTGAACTTCGTCGAACCTCATCGACCTCAGGTCCCAGTCATACAGATAATTGTCTCGCTCTCCAAAAGTCGTTACTTGATCTTCGAAAGTGGCTTTTAAGCACAGAACTTGGCTGATTTGCGTCGTGTCTCTCGTGCTGTTGGATCTCGAAGCAAAAGCTCCGGGAGTTCGGCGTAAATAAACAAACAACTGAATCCGGCATCGGTTTTGTGCTTCAAGGCCTCGTCAGCTATCGGCGCCGCTTCAGCCACAGAGCGAAACCGGCTATAGCACGATCCTCCTAAGTTTGTGCAACTCAATCTCTGCTGCGGTGACAAAGGAACCTTCATCGACACCATGTCCGCTCCCGGAGCAACCACTGCGGCCCCAAATAATACGACCTTGCCGGGCGAGGTGTCTGGCATCATCCCTTCGTCCGAAGGGACGACAGATGCACCGAACAATACCACTCTTCCTGGCGAGGTCTCCGCTGTTGTTCCCGACAGTGAAGGGAAGCCCTCGTCGACTGAACCACCCATTGTATGCCTTTTGTCATTTTGCTTAATAAGTACCGTGCTGACCTGGACTCAGGAGGCTCTTCCGGTCGCCGATCAAAAGGACGAGGCAAACAAGGAGGTCTCCGTTGCAAAGACTGCCACGCCGATTGAAGAGCTTTGGGCACACGCCAAGTCCCATGGACATCCCGAAATCTGGGGAGTTACCCTGGCAGATCCGTCCAGTCACATTCCGACCAGGGTTATCCTGCAAAAGTACCTCAATGCCTATGACGGAGACTTGGCACAATCCAAGGACACACTCACCAAGACCCTGGACTGGCGAGCCAAGATGAAGCCACTTGAGTTACTGAAGAAGCAATTCAACCGCAGCAAGTTCGCTGGCCTTGGATACACGACTGTCTATGGCGATGCCGAGTCGAACGACCCCGAGGCGAGGGAGGTGTTTACTTGGAACATCTATGGCGGTGTCAAGGATCTGAACGAGACGTTTGGCAATCTCCAAGAGTAAGATCAGCAATCAAGGACCGTAAGGCGTATTTGCTGATGCCTTTCCCGCAGGTTCATTGAATGGCGTGTCGCCCTCATGGAAGATGCCCTACAAGCACTCGGTATTGACAAGGCCACCAAGCCCATTACAGCTGAGTACGACCCGTACAAGATTCTCCAGGTGCACGACTACAAATCGATCAGTTTCCTGCGGCAGTCCCCTGTTGTGAAGGCTGCCAGCACTGAGACCATCAAGGTCTTCGCTCAGAACTACCCTGAGCTCCTCAAGGAGAAGTTCTTCGTGAACGTACCGGTCTTCATGGGGTTCATCTATGCGTTCATGAAACTCTTCGTCGCGGCTAAAACGATCAAGAAGTTCCATCCGATGAGCAATGGTGCCAATCTTGCCAAGGAGTTGTCTACCAGCAGCAAGGTTAAAGGGCTGGGAGAGCTGCTGCCGAAAGAGTACGGTGGAAAGGGTGGCGACCTGAGCACTACTGGCAGGCAGGCAGCTCTTGCGGAAGAGTCAGTGGCCAAGGCCGAGTCCTAAGAAAAAGATCGAGGACCAGGACCAGGAGGCATGTGGTCGGAGGCATGGCTGCTTGTGGCAAGATCGCCCAGAGGCGAGACGCAATGGTGTCAGAAACACAGGACAAAGGTGGCAGAGCGTGATACTGAGGTAATGGGGTGGACGGGGACGTGTGCAGTAACTCGTACATGCTTTTCTTGGATTCATTTGGTCGGTGTATTCAGCGAGCGGATACCCCTTGCTGTTTTGTTGTGGCTCGGTGGCTTGTTCAGAGACGATCGGCGTTGAGATCGGCTGCAAAGCGATCCGGTCCTATCGCCAAACATGCCTCCTTCGTAGCAGCTCGCCATCACTGGCGTTGGAGCGGTGCAAATGGAAATCTCATCTCACATGCTCCTCGGATGAGTCCACCTTACGGCTGCCTCTGTGGCATGTGCGCCTGCCATGTCGCGTTTCCCGCAGTGACGTCAAAGTTGACACGGCGCCTTCCCACCCACTTCACCTCGCACCCCACCATTAACATCCTGTTGTACACCAGCGGCTGTCTCTGACGCGATTGTTGGGTTGCGGCTGCCTTGCCTCGTGACGAAAAAAACAGAGATATCTTCGACCCGCTTCTCTGTTCTCTTCCTCTTTATAATTTCCTCTTTTCCACTTCAAAACTTCTTTCCACCACCACATCTCCCAAAAAGCCCCACTTTCACTTGCGCATATCGCTTTACCAGAGAACCACATACTCAATTTCATCCTCACCAATCACCATCATGTCTGACAACGCGAGAAAGCCTTTGACTGATCGTAGGTGTACTCTCTGCACCCCCTGGTCTGAGACATTCACTGACCTCATTGACAGAGGCCCAAGAGAAGATCACTCCCGACTCCCAGAAGTCATACGCCGACAAGGCCAAGGAGGGTACCACCAACACTGCCGATAGCGTTGCCGGAGCCGTGCAGCCTGGTATGTTGCTCTATCTCTGTCGACTCTGGAGTCCAACACTGACCCGACACAGGTGACAGCAAGTCTACCACTCAGAAGCTCTCCGACGAGACCTCAAGCAAGACTAGCTCTGCCCAAGACTCTCTGTCCGGAGCCACCAAGAACGTCCAGGAGACCGCATCCAACATCGGGCAGAGTGCTCAAGACAATGCTGGTGCTGCACAAGAATCCAGCAAGGACTATCTGAACCAAGCTCAGGATGCTGCCTCCAACACCGCTCAGAGCGCCCAAGAGACTGCTTCCCAGTACGGTCAGAAGGCCAGTGAGACCGCTGGTTCCGCACAAGAGACAGGCAAAGGCTACGTTGCACAAGCCCAAGAGATGACTGCCAATGCTCTTAACACCGCCAGCAAGGCCGCCGCAGGTACGTCTCACTGTTGCAGTCACAGGCTTCCAGATCTTCGCTGGCCGTCCTCTCCGCATGCGCCATTCATACTGACTCTTGCACGCAGACCTTGCTAGCAGCATCTCCGGCGAGCAGAAGAAGTAGACTGCCAACAGCCTTCTTTTCGTTACATTGTCGAGCCATGGCAAACATGAATGAGGAGCGACGGAGGGAATGAGATACCCCAAGCAACACCTTTTGTACCACTGGCATACCCTATTCTGTACTTTTACCCTTTGACCGCCATCGGTCCTTCCTGGGAGATCATTGACGCGGTCTCCACCATCAGCAGACTCTTAAGGGGAATGACGAAAGTCTCGAGGGCTTAGAGCTCTTTATCAATGAATTGATATTCTTTCCCCACATCGTCTACTCCGTTCTGTTTCTTTCTCTTCTCTAATCTCGTACGCTGAGCGATGCACTCTCAATTCACGGAATGCTTATTTGTTCGTCGGATTGCAACAAGCTCGCAGCCCATCGAGCCGCGTAGGATCACACCTCACTCTGATGGCTAACCATGAGACATATCCGGACTGTGTTTGCAGCTCATGTGTGGCGCTGCTAAGATGAAGAAGATATGGCTGAGGAGTCATAACTCATAATCCGTATTGAAGTGAGTAAACTCGGGAGAGCCACCGGTGGAGCGGTTTATGCTAGCCAACAGGGTCCGGCACCGCGTTCACTGTACACTGTACTCGATGTGGTATAGAAGATGCTCGACAACATCTGATACGAATTCTCTATCGCCTCTTCTCAACCTGTGATGAGGTGTCTTAGTGGCACAGCTTTGTGGCGAGAAGGTGCGACCAAACGACCTTGAATGACGCCAACCGGCACCGGCTCCTCGGTGATCCTGCTCGCTAGCGAAGGCATTTGTCCGCTGTCAGCCTCATGCATACTTGACATCCGGGAATCCCAAGCCACCCATCGGATGTTGCGAGTCCTTTTCTTCCTACGCTAACCATCTGGCCTTGCTCCAGATTGGAAGCTGCTAGCCATCGTTGCCACCATCGTGGAGTACTTCGATATACGAGCTGGAGCACCCGCAACAGCACGCCTGATTCATCAATAGGAGCCTCGCAGAGACCGCCCAGAGACCAAGCACCGACTGGCTACGGGCGAAGCCCGCGGCTCGTGGAATATGATGCCTCCAGCTGACTCTGTGATGGAGTGCTCCTGGATGGAGCGGGAAGGTGGTGCTCAAAGGGAGGGCTATGTGCGCCCCTTACGCGGATATAAGGAGGAGGCACCGTCGAGGTTGGTCCTGTACCCCTGACACGATCTCATAACTCATAGACTTGAGCGACATGCTATCGCGACAGTTCCACCACAAGTCTCGACATGGATGCACCAACTGCAAACAGAGAAAGATAAGATGTGGTGAAGAGCGTCCGAGTTGTGTCAACTGTAACAGACTCGGTGGAGGCTGCTCTTTCCTCGAATCAGATTCCACTGGAGGCCCGCTTGTCCATTCATCGCCCGGGAGTTCGGGTAGTACACCCCAAGCATCGGCGGCGGGTACCCACGATCCTCACGGAAGCACAGATGACCTCGAGCAATACGAGGGAGAACTCATCAAATGCTGGTCAGAAGCCACCTGCTTCACCATGAGCGACCGTTGGGAAACGTTCCCGGTATGGCAGGTGTCTGTTCCAGCTCTGGCTTCGGACCATCCATTTCTCAGGCACGGCCTGCTGGCTCTGTCATCGATGCACTTGCGATACACGTCTCCACCCCTGCTGCAGTCGAGGTATCTAGATCTGGCAACTCAGCACCAAGCCCTAGCTCTAGCGGACTACATTCCTGAACTGCGAACCATAACATCGGGGAACTGTCATGCTCTTTTCGCTTTTTCCGCGTTGCTTCTTCCCATTCGATACTCTTTCATCTCAGCGACGGATGGAGAGATTGGCACCGAGGAAGTGCTTGGCGAAATCACTTCTGTTTTCGACTATGTCATTGGCGCCACCATCATCGCCTCCCAGGGGGAGGCTTGGCTGCGATCCGGTGTGCTGTAGCCTTTGATGGACAGGACGACCGATCCCGGGAATATGCTCCTGTACTTGGTCAAAGAGTCACAGGACGCTCTCTGCAGTCTCATGGCTTACGTGGAGCACCTGGCTCAAGAAGCAGGATCGAACGATGACAGCGAAACTCTGGTCAAGATTCCAATCTATGGACGCAGCATCGAGATGTTGACAAATGCATTTCCTACCGAGGATGCTGAACGCGGGATCTTTGACGACATGATCGCCTGGCCTCATTTTGTCGGGGGCGACCTTGTGCGCCTTCTTAGGGAACGCGATCAGATGGCGCTCGTCATTCTGCCCCATTATGGTGTGGCTTTGCGCGCGTTCAGTGGGTTTTGGTGGTTGGACAAAGTGGGCGCGCGACTGATCGGTGCCATCTCGGGTGTGTTGAGATCGGAATTCCTCGCATGGGTACAGTGGCCACTGAATACGATCGCAATGGAACAGGCGTGACAAGATTTGTAAATAATGTAGGAACACCGTTGGATGGACTGCGCAGTACAACAGGCGCATAACAGGTGAAGGCGGCATTCGCAAAGAAGTCATGTCGATAATCAAAAGTACAGCCTAATGCTTGGATAACCCAAAGCGCCTGGGCACCATTGGCCACCACGAGGGTTTCGGTACGTATGCGAGCCGATCTTTCCCCTACCCGAGAGCAGACATCAGTGGCTGGCTGGTACATGCGCAGCTCTCCACATTTCGATCTCAATGCTGGGCTGCACTACACACGTTTCTGGGGCTCTATGCCGACGAATCGTGGGGATGTGCACCGTGGGTGACACAAGGCGAGTACCCCTCTCCTCCATGGGTTCAATTAGTCCCACTCAGGCAAGCAAAAGTACCCCTCTTAGCTCGATGCGGTGAGTCCCATTAAGGCAAATGGACTGAAGACAAGATCTCTCAAGCTCTGAGGAGCACAGATATATAAACAACCGGAGAGTTTGAGCATGGCGCGAATCTGCCAGTGTCGATCTGGCGCATGGGACACAAGATGCGTTTCCACGTCCCGGTCTTTGCTGCCGTGCTCGCCGGCGCCACAGCAGCCACTCTGAACGATGTCTGCACGCCATCGTACGTGCGGGCACATCTCCCGCCACCGGGCTTCTACCAAGGCGTGAGTCTTGATCCGTCGTCCGTCACCGCGAACCCGGTGACCCAAGTCAGCGTGGCCGACAACGACTTCTTCCCCGATGCCACCTTCGACTACTGTAACGTCAGCTTCACATATTCGCATGACGGTCTGGAGGATGACCGAGTGGCTCTGACGTACTGGCTGCCCGCACCTGGCGCGTTCCAGAATCGCTTCCTGGCCACGGGCGGAGGCGGCTACGCGATCAATTCGGGCAACGGGTCACTGCCCGGTGGAATCATCTATGGCGCTGTTTCCGGACTGACCGACGCCGGGTTTGGCGCCGCGCAGAGCAACACGATCACACAGTGGCTGGACGCCAACGGCACGCTCAACTGGCACAAGGTGCATATGTTTGGCTACCAGGGGATCCGGGAGATGAGCGAGCTGGGCAAGGCATTTACTACGTTGTTCTTCAACATGACGCAGATGAACACGACCCTATATACATACTGGCAGGGCTGTTCCGAAGGCGGTCGCGAGGGCTGGAGCCAGGTGCAGCGATACGCGGACTCGTTCGATGGCGCGATTGTCGGGGCGCCGGCGTTTCGGTGGTCGTTCCAGCAGACCCAGCTTCTGTATCCGAACGTGGTCGAGCAGACCATGGGCTACTACCCGTCGCCGTGTGAGTTGCAGAAGATCGTCAACGAGACCATCATCAGCTGCGACCCGCTCGACGGGAAGATAGACGGCGTGGTCGCGCGCACGGATCTGTGCTACACGCAATACGTCGAGGCCGACAACTTTTCCATGATTGCCGGGCAGCCGTACTCCTGTCCCGCCACGCCGGCAAATGCAGTTGCTGGCTCACCTGCAATCCCCACGCAGCAAGGGAACGTGACGAAGCAAGCCGTTGACGTGGCGAGGAAAATCCTCCAAGGCCTGCACGACACGCAGGGCCGACGCGTCTACTTTGCCCCCGCGCCGGGAGCGCAGATGACCGAAGCAACAACGGGCTACAACGCCACGACAGGGCAATGGGGTCTCAGCGTCATCAGTCTAGGCGGCGTCTTTGTCGAGGTGGAGATCAACCTGCGCAACGGCTCGAACCTGCCCAACCTCGACGGCGTGACCTACGACACCTTGAAGGACTGGATCACCGTGGGCATGCAGCGGTTCCAAGGCGTGCTGGAAACAACCTGGCCGGACCTCACTGCTTACAAAGAGGCCGGCGGCAAGGTGCTCATGTTCCACGGCGAGGCGGACTGGGGCATCCCCACGGCGTCGAGCGTGCGGTACTGGGAATCCGTGCGCAAGATCATGAACCCCGGCAAAAGCTACAATGAGTCCACTGCGGCGCAGAACGAGTTCTTCAAGCTCTTCCTCGTGCCGGGCGCGACGCACTGCGCGGCGAACCCCGCGCAGCCGGATGGGCCGTTCCCGCAGACAAACTTGGCCGTGATGATCGATTGGGTTGAAAATGGCGTCGCGCCGGAGACGTTGAATGCCACGGTGCTGATGGGCGAGAATAAGGGGCAGAATCAACAGATCTGTGCGTGGCCGCTGCGGCCGGTGTGGCGGGGGGGCAATAATGCGACGAATGCCAATCCGGAGTGCCGGTTCGACCAGAGCAGTGTCGACTATTGGAATTATGACCTTGATGCGTTCAAGGTGCCGATCTATTAGTTCTCACAGCTAGTACATACCAGCATGTCGCACCTAATTGTTCTCGGAGAGAGAAGCATTTTACTGTGTCATACTCGTTGATGGCAAGATAGCTAAGAAAGCCACACTGATTGCTGCCGGGAAAGATACAAGTGCCCTACGCAGCAGCGTCAAAACACCCTGCCGCCTTGTGAATAATGTCCATGATGGTGTACGCTTCTGGTGCTCCCCGTCCTCTATGGCCGTATATTTGGATCCGGGCCCGCTGCCATCACAGGCGGTGTTGATGATCGACAAACGGTTGAAACAAGCTCCATGGCGTCAATCAGGCAGCTTCTTCCGGTGGTCGCATCGGCGGGTCCTTTCTATTTCCGGAGGGCCCGTCGTTCTCCCAGGCTTCCCGCTCGAGCCGCTTAACGTGGCACAGAGCCCAATCACGCCTGGAACCCATGCCTGTGGAGCCTGGGATCAGCCCCTGGCGTGTATCACCCTCGAACGGCCACGGTGCTGGGCGGGCCCTGTCGAAGCTTGTGCATTTGCTCGCACCATGTCATCTTTGGTGCCACTCGACCACTGCGTTGGTCAATTAATGCCCATGTGATTTGTGGAAAGGCTCAGGGATGGTTACCTCGTAATTAAGTAATGGCTTCGTCAAATTCTTCAGCACCAGCCTTATGCTGGGAGCCTTCCTTTCCAGAGTCTCATTTCATTTCCATTGCCTCAGTGGCAGGCAGCCACTGGTACGCCGCCTTCCGGGTAACAGAGCTTGTGTCCAGATCTTTCACAGGTACATATGCGGACGGATGCGCGTACTGTACCTTTGCTGGCGAAGGGTGGTGCTAGCGACCTGAACCGGTCCGTGTTCAAGACAGCTAATTATCTCTACACACCCACTAACGGACTGCCTTTGATGAGAACGGCAGCTTCGTCGTCTGCTCTCGGGAGATCACGATGTGGCGTTTACGGCCGGGAGTTGCCGTCATCGCCGCCGTCTCGGTACTCCTGCTCTGGTGGCACCTTCCTCGATATCAGTTCCAGGACGTCGATGTTCAGAGGCTACCCGTCATCACGACGCAGATCACCCCAGAGGGTGCCACTATCGAGTACCTACCCGGGACGCCCAAGGGGGATGGCCAAACCTACACGAGGACAGTCGTGGTTGCTCGACAAGAATCCGAAGACGTGTCCTGGCTGGAGAGCTCGGCCTTGAATGTAACAAAGGCCGTCTACGTGGTGGACAAGCCATCTCTCTCCCCGGGCTACGAGATCCCGCGGAACAAAGGTCACGAAGCAATGGTGTACTTGTCCTACATTATCGACCACTACGACACCCTCTCCGACGTGTCCATCTTTGTCCACGCCCACCAGACGGCATGGCACAACAACGACCTCCTCGACTCGGACATGATCACGACGATCGAACATCTCAGTGACGCCCACGTCACGCGCGCAGGATACTTCAACCTCCGATGTCATCACGAACCAGGCTGTCCCGACTGGTTACACCTCGACCGGCCGGACGAGGAACTCGACACGCACCGGAAAATGGAGGAGCGGGCGTTCTCCCTCGCGGTGTGGCATGAGTTGCACCCGAACGTGCCCCCTCCACGGGCCATCTCGCAGCCTTGCTGTGCGCAGTTTGCCGTCTCGCGGGACCGCATCCGCGCCATTCCGAGGGACGAGTATGTTCGGTACAGGGATTGGATCCTCAACACGGAGCTCGGTGATGTCTTCTCCGGTCGCGTGATGGAGTACACGTGGCAGTTCCTCTTTGCTGGGGTGGCTGAGCTGTGTCCGGCCATGCACGTCTGCTACTGCGACGGCTACGGGGTCTGCTTTGGTGGTGCTGAGCAGTTCGACCAGTGGTTTGACTTGCGTACAGAGATGCGGAGGGTCCAGGCCGAGGAGGTCCCGGAAAAGGCGGGAGTGTCGCTTGAAGCTGAAGAGGCCAGGGCTAGCGCTCAGGACATGGAGGCGCGGCTGGAGCAGTTGAAGCAGGACGCGTTCGATCGGGGTAGAGATCCGCGGTTGAGAGCTCTGGAAGTTGGACGGCCATGGCGGGAAGGGGATGGATTCTGATGACTCTTCTTGGGCACTTCTTGCATATCAGCGAAGGGTGGGTTGGAAAATAATGAATAGGGTAGTCTGGAAATACATGGATAGACTTGGGTTGGGAAAACCGTAACGACAGGGCAAACAAGATGGGAATTTCACAGATTGTGGGAATTTACGCAATGACAGAGAGAATACTGGTTCACAACGAGAAACTTGGCAGAACAGCTTACGGCCTCCCGTCTTCTTCTGCTCTTGCGACGGGAAGTGTGGACGGAGTACTCGTTCAGCGCCTAAGGATTAACTGAGTCTTTGAATTACCGGGCCTTGGTTAGCCTGGTGTAGCCTTGCGTGCCTTGTGCAGCCTCGTGCGGGGAGGCCAACCAACCATCGCCGCCGCTGCTGCCACCCCGCCTTTAGGTTCGCCTAGGTCGCCCTCGCGTCCGTATCAACGATCGTGAATGCTGAGTGCGGACGACGACCCGTGTGCCAACATGGAGTATTCGGAGATATGCTGATGCGTTACCCGGACTCATCATCCACACCATCCAAGCCCACAGCCATGGCACGATCTACTTGAATATCTGATCCCAGAATCACACCCAGTGCAATTTCCCTACTCCACCCGTGGAAGTCCCTAGTCTACGTCCAAGTCTACGTCCGAGTCCTAGACAAAAGTCCAAATCCAACTAGAAATCCAAGTCCAGTCCAGTCCAGTCCGAGCTCATGGTAGAAATGTCCTCGTCAACACCCCACCTCGACGCCCTCCGGCGCGACGGCTTCGTGAAAGTCCCCAACCTCCTCCCCCACCACGTTCTCCTCGCCATGCAAGCCTCCTGCAAATACACGACCGACCGCGCCCGCCGGGGCAAGTGGCCCCACGTCCGGACCGTGCCCAAACAATACCCGCCCTGGCACGAGTGGCAAGCAGGCGACAACATCTGGGGCGTCCAGCACCTGCTCCACCCGGACATGCCGACCCGCGACACCTTTGCCGAAGTCTACTTTGGGGATCCCGTGCTGGACGTCGTCAAGGAACTGCTCGGTCTCACGCAGGACGGGGACGACCGACGCCGAGACCCAGACGAGCGCCCGGAACCGGACGACCGCCTCGTCATGGAATTGTTCAACTTGCTGGTCAGCCCGGATGGGGCCAGGGATTTCGAACTCGCGTGGCATCGCGACGACGTGCGGCCTGACGTATCGCCTGAAGAGGAGGCGCGGCAGCTGAACTTGCGCGGAGACGGTGGCCCGCAAAGTCAGCAGCTCCACGCCCAATACAATATCGCGTTGTTTGAGGATTCGTCCCTCGTCGTCGTCCCGGGGAGTCATGCGCGGGTGCGCACGCGGGCCGAACGCGACGCCGCGCCCTACGAGCCAAACCTACCGGGCCAGGTCGTCGTCGCGCTGCAGCCTGGGGATGCCGTGTTCTATGATTCCAATATCCTGCATCGCGGCGTCTATCGGGGCATTGACGTCACTAGGGAGCTCGGGCGGATGACGTTGCATGGGTCTGTTGGGTTGGCGGGGCATGGGACGGAGCGTGCGAGACAGGTCCTTCAGCATGGGGTGGGTGAGTGGGTTGGCAGGGCGAAGTTCTCGATAGAGGGATCCAAGGGGTTGAGGGCTGAGGGGATGCGGAAACGTCTGATGGAGATGGGGAGTGGGAAGGATCTGGGGTATTCTCTGGTGGGATGAGCAGAGGTACAAGGGTTTGGTGCGCTCGAGCTGTACGGGTAGACCTCGTAGACGGTATATATATCACACCGAGCGAGGAATGGGCCGTCATCTGATCCGCAGCTCGGTTGGATTGGGGGTGGATGTCATGATCTGCTCGCTTAGAGCTCGACTCATGAGTACCTTAGTTGTCATGTCTCAGGGGTGCGTGAACGTGGTCATAGTAAGCTCACTAGAAAGCATATATATTGCCCTTCGCACTCGACTCAATCGCTGCTTGGACATTCGGGTCAGTTCCAGAGCCATACGAGTCATCCCCCGCTACAAATGACCGTACTTGTACTCCTTTTCCGGGTCGTCCCTCGCTGCTCGTCTCACCATCCTCAACCATCCCAAGCTATCATACGTGGAAAGCAAGAACAAACCACTAGGTAAGCATTCCTCTCTGTCAGTATGTAGGTGGACGCTCACAGAATCGCACACACCGGGACCGCCGATTCACGTACATGATGACCCCAGTGACCGCGTTCAACGCGTAGCTGCAATACAACCCGCCCACCCCTAGGGCCGTGAACTGATGCGTCACCAACTCGTCCGTCAACGGGATATCATGGTCGACGTCGAATTCGTATTCCTTTCTGAGATTGTTGAGCCGGATGTTTAGTGCCACCAACAATCCAGTTGCGACGATCCAGTCGATCAGCGCGAACGCCTCGAATGCGAGATGAACGGTCTGCTCGACGGCGGAGCAGCGGAGGTCGTGCGTCCACCATCGTAGGCATGCAGGGACCAGTGTCCAGCTGAACTGTAGGGAGTAGATGCTCATTAACGTGCTGTCCGTGCTGTCCGAAAGCCAGGTGGGAGCGACAGTGTTAATGGTAGTGCCAGTGATGATGGCGAGGGTATGTGTATTTATGGATCTCAACAATAAAAGCAAGCGCCCTCACTCACCGACCACCAAACGACGGCGTATCCGAATTCGGCGCCAAAACACACGGCCGAAAAGGCCGCGAGGATCAGAGCCACGAAGCCGAGTAAGAGCTGGAGGATGATGATCGCGGTCAACGTGCCGGATGCAAGCATGGCGCGCAGGACGTTGTAGTGTCACTGTGTGAGTCGATGTAGGAGAACGGGGCACGAAGGTTTGCTCTGCCAGATGCAGTTGGAATGTCAAGCAAGTGACTTACACCTACTGTGTAGACTTACACCCCCAACACTGTGTAGGTACGAGTGATAATGCCTCATCTCACTTCCCTTTGCTGACATGTTGCCTCTTTAAGGCCTCGAGGACGTACCGTATGGGTCCCTTCGCTGCCGTCGACTGAGCTGTTCAGTGCGAGGTAGCCCCGCTGGAATGGCATTGCTGCTGCCTGAGGGTTCGGCTCCGAGTCGAGTCAGACCAATAGGTGGGTGACATGGGTGAGACTACACTGCTCGAGTACCGTACGCATCCGATTCGAGATGGTCAAAGGATTCTCTGGGCTGATGGCTGATGGCCTAATCGGAGGGTCTTCCACAGGTCGTGGCGGTGCGAGAAACACGTCCGGTGCAATGCATGTCACTTGGATAATCTGTCCGCTCTGTCGAAGTTGGGTTCCTTCAGGATCAGGAGCAGGTCGAATTGTGCGCGTGTCTTTTGCTTCTGTGTCCTACTGTAATTATGGAGTCCATTCACAATAATTATGCAACGCATGACTCAGCCTCGTGGCACACCCCTTTCGGGTGCTTTTCCATCTCGACCGCCTATTCGCTTGTCTCAACACGTCCCGCAGCTCGAAAACCATGTATAGAAAACCTGCACCGCCACTTCAATCCCCCTGAACAGATTTCTATAGCTGCTACTCTACGCTCCGCAGGAGCAAAAACAATCAACAGCCCGGATTCCCAAGTGGTCACCCACCTTAGTACTAACGGACCGGCACGTGGCTTAAGTACGGCTGAGCGAACGGGAAGCCCTGTTTTCCACATCCTATGGTCGATTGCGCAGGAAATTGTGCTTAAAGAAAATATATCCTTGATTGTAAGTGTGGACTCTGTGTGGGCTTGCGCTTGAGGTTTTAATGCAGAGATCATGAGATAGGGTATTCCACGTCCCCAATTTGTGGTCTGGCTCCCAACTAGATCGGTGTACCTCGATTGACTTCCACTCTTCATTGTTCATTCTCGATTAGGTACTTACTCTTCACTCCTCGCTCCCCACCCTTCTCACCGACGCCCTTGGTTCTCGTAGGAATGCGACTGAATGAGGGAGATGCACTTGGCGAGGTCTCAACACACTGCACAAGGCAATGACTGTACTGTGGCGGGTCCAGCTTCATCTGCAGCGCGACCTGCTAGAGTCGGTGGAACACGAGGCAGTGTTGGCTTTCTCGATGGCACCGACACACCGAGCATTATACCGAAGGTACTGATCGGCAGGAACAAAGTCCGCCAAGTAGCTCTACTTTTGCCATCTCTGCGCCAATGTTTGACACTGAGCACTTCCTCGTGATCGAACGGAGCTTGGACAGGAGGAAGTCGCTGTTCTCGAACTCTCCTCTTCGCCTCGTGCTTTGGACTTCTACAGCTCGCGCTGCTCCGGTGTTTGGAAGTACTCAAAGAGTGGCTGCGCACTGTACAGTACTTCGACTCCAGCTTCGTACGCTTGCTGTCGCCAGATTCCTGTCATGGGTTCCAGTCGCGTGGCACGCACTCGAATGCCTGCTCGGAGCTCGACTCTTGTTTAGGCATACCGAGACCGAGCAGAGCTATCGGCTTGATGACTGATTGGCATGACCCATATCCTGGACACCGCGTACTTCTCGTCTCGAACATACCACTTGGACTCTTCATGACGATCATGCTATCACTACCCCGTCACACGGCTGGAAGACAAACACGGTAGGTCTCAACCACACAGGAGCAGCTGACTGACACTCTTTCACCATGGCCCAAGCTTTGTCAAACCATGAATCTCCAAGTGACTACAACGAACGCGATTCCTTTGTTGCTCTTTGAACTGGTCACACCCTCTACAATGATTGCCCCATGGTACAAGCAGAGAAAGAGCACCGGAGAAAGAATATGCATGGCAGAGGTCTCTCCGCGATTCCCCCTGCCCCTCTGTCTGGATCCATACTCGTTATGCAAAATCCCGTCGCCTGCAATACCACATCCAGCATCGTGCCACAAAATCATCACATATCGTGTACCATCAAACACAGATTCCTCCACGCAGTCGACCATGATGCCACCAAAAGGCTCCAGATCCCCTATACCGGTCTTCGTCTTCCTGGGCGTTGTGCTGGTCTTTCTCCCCATCGCTGCCCTCGTCTGCGTCTGTCTGCAGCGACGCCACAAGCGACGACAGGCAGAGAACTCCCGGGCCGGCACCGCGCATGCTGTGGCGGAGAGCATGCACCGGTGGTCCAAATCCGCGCCTATCGAGATGGGGGATATGCAACCGCCGTCAGCAGTGACCATCATCAGACCAATTCGCGACTTGTCAATGGGGAAGAGGCCTGTACATCACATGCATGGCGCTCTGGGAGCACATGAAGCTGAATATGATAGCACGCGCATACCTACCACCCAGATCGACGCCCTGCCGCCCACCAGAGTTGACGAGTACCGGGATCCCGACCTACATCGGTCCGAAGCCATGTCTTCTGTCGCATGCGCTCCCTTTTCAGATTCTCCGCCTCTGCACAGCCCGCGGTATACTTTGCAAGCAGCATTAGGGAGCGAAGACTCACCAGCCAGTATTCAGACTGGTGGTGAGAGAGTGGCTTCGCTGAGCGATGCGCCCAGAGTAAAGAGCCAGAAAGTGAGCCCGCAGGAGGCTGCGCAGGCGTATCATGGCGCAGAGAGACCGGCTATGCCGGAGTTTGAGACCGGATATGTCGTACACGAACACCAGCAACTGCCCAGGGGGTGGTTATGAAAAAGGGGGGTGTGTGTGCCGCTAAGGTTTAGACACAGAATCACAAACGCTCGAGAGGAGATAGACTGAGCATATCGCGTTTCCGCAATCGTATTTCTCGCAAACGTCAGTATCCACGTTCTAGGTGTCGTAAGGTCCCCAAGATGAGATGGAAGTCCGGTTTCTTCAGCCGGAGGATGTGCTGGTGTGTTGCCGGCATACACATAATCCATACTTTATGTCGATGCGTCGATCTAATTCGTTTCAATGAGGATTGTGACGGCAGAGCCCATCAACCAATCGCACCGGGGCCAGTGACTCTCGATCCTCCAAGGGCTCGGAGAATAGGAGAAACGGAGGGCGGGGATACGGTGGGAAGTTGGTCCCCCCCGCCACGTCTTATGCCGTCAATTTATCCAATTCTTCCTTTATGTAAGGAACGTAGCAGCTTGATTCCCAAGGGCACGTCCTCTGGGTAAAGTTCGAGCGGATCTTGCTTCTAACGCATTCGACAATCGATAAGCCAGCGTCGGCGATGTTCAATGTTGGTTCGTCCTTTCTGTTCGTTATCGCGGAGACAGGCCGCATCTCAGAATTCCTTCCTGAGCTCGGCTGCGCCAGGTATTGACCACTTGGGACTCACGTGCCGACATTCGCAGTGACTATACTGTAATACAGTAGATAGCCCGGACCATAACCGTGGCATAAGCGTCATTGGCAGAGCATATCGTCTATAGACATCACGCTCGTGCCGCCTGGCTTGCTTTCCGTGGCTTCCGTGGTTTCCGTGCTCTCCGTAGTCTCCGTGGTGTCCTCTGGACGTATTCCTATCCGCGACTCAGGCCGGCGACTCGACGCGGGAGAACATCTGACCTGACGGTCTTCGTCTTCGTCCTGATAAGAGTTCTGCCGGGCCAGGCTTGATGTCGATAGGAGGTTCGGAATCCACTGCTACCATGTAAGCAGCCAAAGGATTGGTCTAGGGGGAATAGAACAGTGCTATCTTTCTTACATCGGGAACTCGGGGGATACCGCTGTCGGTAATGCTATTGCAGTTGCTATTGCTATCACTGGTATGGTCAATACTCAGGCCGATCTTCCACAGTGCATTGATGAGGATCGAATTCTGCTCCTCCAGCAATCTGATGCGCCGGATGTTTCGTTCTAGATGCCTGGATTGCGTTTCAGCAGCGGAACATACTATTGCATGGATCCCGTACTGCAAGAGGAAGAAGAAGAAGAAGAGGACTTACTTTTTCCGCTTCTGTATGCCTCGGTCGCCGTAGACGCAAGGAATACCCTCTCTCGTACAGCTCACACAGCTTGTTCCCCCAGAGCATTTCGTTCGTTTGGTCCTACATCCGTCGCAGGCGTGAGAAGTCCTTTTGCGTGTGCGAGGGGTCTCGGAAGCCCTCGAGTGCTCCATGTGGTGGGTCGTGTGTCTGGGCAGATGTATTGCTCGGGGTGGGTGTCTTATTCTTTTTGTTGCGGGTGGTACGCCATGGGTATGGGTGCGATCGCGGACGAGATATAATGCGCTTCTTGTTGACCCCACCTTTATACTCTCGAGAAGCTGTGCTGTATGCCTTCGCTCCAACTGTTAGCCTTTTGTTCTCACGAGGGGGCTCAGATATGGGTACTCACTGAGTAACTATGTTTTCACGTATGTGTATGGCCCGTACGATATAGACAGAAAGACGCACCGTGGAAAGGGTCCGGCGACATGTAGAGTGTTCCGTTGCCCACTGAGGCAACTCATATAGTCATTACCCTCGGAAGGAGGTGCGGTGCCTCCAGTTCCTGATGTACGAGTAAAATGGGCTCGAGAATGGGTCAATAGCGTGGCAGTGGAAAGGGTTCCGTTTCTGGGACGCGATAACCCACAGTCGCCTCCGTTTGCATTCCACAAGCAGCTGAAGATGGGTGTTCCACCCTGGATGCGGATTGGCCCGAGTGGCGTATCGCTAGACGGACACTTGTTCCCGTCGAATGCCGATGCGTCTTTCTTACTGCACCCTGGCAAGAGCTTGTGGAGGACCTACGCATGCCGGGAAACCTTTTCCAGCGGCTCGAAGCTGGGGTCACGCGATGGACCCGTCCGGAGGGTCCAAACCAACATCTGGTGATACCGTAGAACCAGTCGTAGATGGTGGACAATCTCGACCGATTGGACGCATAAACAGCACAGGATTTAGATGCACTGCTACCTTTTCAGGCAAATTCCAGGTCTTAGATGCATTTCATTCGTTGCTCAGGGCGCTGCCGTTAAAGTGTTGTTAAGCGTCGGCGATTTGGGAGTTGAAGACAAGGGAGCACGGTATGGTTGAAGCCGAACACATCAAGGGGTTGAAAGCTCGAGTACCCTTGGTGCTAGCCTCGACTCTACAGGCGGTGCAGACGTCAACGAAAAGGAGGAATCATCTCGACGGCGTCAGTGTCGGTGTCACCATTCTGGGTGACTCAGTTATGGGCAGAATTGCACTGCTTCTTCTACACAGTACCTTGAATCGCTTCGAACTTAATTAGGATTAATACCCACTTTGGAATTGCCCCTCACATGGCACTTTCACTTCTCCATTTCAAGAAGTCCCGCAACATTCTTAAAAATCGATGTTTCGGGCGTACGGTTTCCACCCAATCATCTGTTTTGCGTCGGTTAGAGTACGTCATACACTTGTTTTCGCTCCGATTTCACTGTCGATCCTTCTACCACAAGTGAGATCTTCATCGACAATCTTGAACAGGAAGGACAAATGTTGGCGGCCCTCGTACCCTAAAGTACAGTAGCAATCATAATTCACGATTAGAGGCCCAATAAAATACCCTCCCATAATAAGTCTATCGTGTACACAGTTACTAACATGTCATGACACGTTCACACCATGTTCACTTCTCCTTCCCTCGACTAACTTTCCGCCCTTTTCCCCCCAAAATAAGCCCACTTACTCTCCGCTTGCGCGAATGTCGTGACCATTGACGGGGCGCTTTCGGGTATAGCCTTCGGCGTAGGAGGCAGTTGGCTGTAAATATCATAAATCTCGTGCATACTGTCTGGTCTGTCTTCATCTGTAGGGCAAGATGGACGCCGGCGTAAATTCCTGCCTCTGCTCTTAGATCTTGCTCTGGCTGAAACCCTACTTGGTGGTGAGAGAGATGGGGCAGGAGGAAGGAGAGGGGAGTGAGGTGGTAAGGGGGGGATTGCGCGGCCAAGGTAGTCTTGAGGTAAGGGAGGCGGATACTCTGCTTCGGGAGTTGGAGGCCGGAGAGAGCTTTGTGGTTGCGGTGGTTTGTGGCGATAGGTCGTTGCGGGTAGGAAGAATGGCTGTGCTGTCTCTGTCCTGGCTGTTACGGTATTGACTTCGCCAGTCGTCTGATCCCTTGAGTCATCTGACAGCGGAGGTGGAAACTCGGCTTCGGGCGTTGGTGGACGCGGTAATTGTGGCGTTGCGCTTCTATCGTTGAGGCCAGACTCTGCTGCCGTTTCCCTAAGAGGAGTACGTAGTTCTTGCTCTGCTTCCGAGATCTGCAGTCTTCTTGCGTCTAGTCTGGTCCTGGTTGTGTAGTATATTGCGAAGATGAATGTCCCCGTGGCGAAAAGTCCTACCGTGCTGAGGATGATTAGAGCGGCCAGAGGCACCATCACGATAGAGCCCAAGCTGTTTTGCTCTTGCAAAATGGAATGATATGACACAGAGACTTAGAGTGAAAGTGGCAGTAGTCGAATCTTTGCTGACTTAAACACAAAGGAACGTTGGGCGAAGGTCAATGTGCGCCTTCAGAAGACTTCTTGGAAAGGACAAAGAGGTCTTGGACGGGCGCAGTGTGCCGAGTCTGTTGGCTCAGTTTAGCCGTTTCCGGCTTATTCTGACATCTGCAACTGGGTTCTGTGGGAGAGTTGTAAGTGATCTTTTCCGGCGTTCCTATACCGTTGTTATTGTGACCGGATTCTTGATGACTTTTCCGAAGATCTCATCGCCCTCGGCTTTAGCCTCAGCTTTCTTTTTGTCACGTCTGATCTTCAGCGCGAATAGGTATACAATGGCGAGGATGAGGATGATGCCGGCGAACAGAGAGACAAACAGCCAGGCAACGGGGCTCATAGTAAAATCGGAAGGAGCCATTTGTAAGTTCCTGACGCTGACTAGAAATGAGCGCACGGCTAAAAGCAATACGAACCTGACCAATAACGATATGTCCTTAACACTGCTCTTCATCTTTAAAAACCAACAGCGAATCTTCTTCAGCCGCCAGTTGTGCTTCCTTCTTTGTGGCTATTTCCGGCGACGAAGGGTAGCTCCATTGTTCGATGGTTTCAAGACAAGCCGGAGACCTATCATTGTCGGTTGAACATTAGAAAGGGTTGTAGAGTGGTACGAAATGTACAGAGTGACCTATTGCTGGAAGTGAGTTTGTGATGCTTTCGCTGGTGGTTGAAAGAGCTCGCGGAAGAAGAACAGGAATTGGTAAGGGATGGATGCATGTTTAATGAGATGCAGTCCCAGGATGAAACCATCATGCGGTCCCTCTATTAGCTGGTGCTCATAGGGATACTTGATATGATGCGATAAGATGCTCTTCTCATGGCAAGGTCAAAGCAAATCAGACACGAGGTTGAACTGAAGGGAGATAGATGCGGCGCGGGAGCCAACCGCGAAACCAGACGACTTAATGCATGCACTTTGACCGATACGGTTAGCCTCGGTTGCCCCTATCGCGCGACCTTCTCGAAGTTGTGCAAGAAACCGCGTCCGCCGCGCAGGTAGCGGTTGGACCCATCAACAGTGATCGAGTCTCTGGCATCCTTTTAGCGACTCAATCGAGAATCCTCATTTGCCTTTACTGTTGCCCTGTGCTGTTCGAAACGTGAACCAAGATTCTCTTTGCGACAGCTGCGTCCTCGCGCATTCCGCAACCGTCAATCCCAGCCACCCAGGTGCCGTACCTTCACCATGTCCTTTCTTCTCTCCCCAGCGCGACGCACGGCGTCAGTCATCCCCGCCTTTTCCGCGCGCACATTCTCAACAAGCCGTCCTTCTCAGCTCGCACGAATGACCTTAGTCGGTCGCCTCGGCACGGACCCCGAGCTTGCAGAGACCGGCAAGGGCCAGGTGATCAAGTACGTCGTGGGATCCAGCTACGGGCCAAAGGACAACAGACAGACTTCATGGTTTCGCGTTGCTAGTTTTGCACCCGAGGGGAGTCAGCAGAGGGATTATGTCATGGGGTTGAGCAAAGGGTAAGTTCAGGCAGATGTCTCTGGACGGAGCCTTAGCTACAAGAAACTGATATTGTGACGACGTAGCACCCTTGTTTACCTTGAAGGCGATGCGACCATGCGCACTTTCGACGATGCAGACGGAAAGAAGCAGAGCTCGCTCAGTCTTGTACAGACGAAAATTGAGGTATTGAAGAGACCACAATCCAAAGAGGAGGAGACTGTGGCTTAAGCGCTCTCGCAAGAGCATCCCCGTTAAGATGACGACGACCTTTCTGTGTACAATAACACCTCATGGACAACGCGGAGAATCTTGTGCCATGTTTTTGGCGTTGTCGCATGGTGTTGGCTTCTTTCTCCGCATGTATTCGCCACTCACATAACGCCTGCGCGGCGCGGGCAGGGCCCGTTGTCGAGTACCAACAGGCTTCCCGCAATAATATATATTTCCCGAAAAGTCTACAATATGTCTTCACCCTCGTTGTTTTCCCCGAATCCAAATGATTGCTGATGGCTCCGGTTTACCCACTCAGTTCTGATATGTTGGAGTGGTGGGGATGAGTGGCTTGAGGGTGCTCATAAGTGTAACGGGCGGCCGGCAACCCGATATTAAGTCCATCCTCGAGTGACATGAATTCGTGAGGGGGCTGCGTGAACGCCTCGCACTTTGATTTCGCGTACTTGGAAAGGAAACTGCGTGTTCGAGTGAGCCAACCCTTGTACATCTGGGTTGCTTCTTGGCCTAGTCCAAAGAAGAGAAATGCCAGATATGCTGTGAGGACTTGTGCCCAACAGTCAGCTGTGATGTACTGCCCGCTCTGCCTGGTGTCTTGACCCAACATAATTCTTTCCGACCAGTCAGGAGGATGGATATCCGGCCAGGAATACTTGTGCATTGGGATGCGAATGTCCTGCACGAAGCTGAATATCGAAAGTGGGCAGTATATTGCCAGCAGCGTGCAGGCGAGTGCGAAGAGCCGATAGAATCGCGAGGTCGTGGCTCCAAGGGTGTTGGAGAGGACCGATGCCATTTGCTTGCGGTGCTTCTTCAGACGGAGGATGGCGATCAGACAGTAAGTGCTGCCAATGAGTGATACGACCAATGGCCACAGGTAAGTCAGGAAGGGTGCAGCGTAGTTGACGTCGAACGTCGATATGCAGCCAGATGAAAGTCGGACCCAGTACCTGGTACGCTGAGTCAGGTAGTGGCCGATCATGACATATACAGGCAACAGTATGCAAAGTGTGAGCTCGATGACCAAGGTTATCTTGCGCTGTCGTGGACTCGGTGCCACGGCCAGATGATCAGGGTGGAGGATGATACAGATCTGCCGAAATATGCTTGCTATGGCTCCGCACATAGCCTGGGATATTCCAAGGTAGAGTTTCACTTCGATGTCACACAGTATCTTCCCGTCCCACCAACTGGAGGTACTGGGCGAGTGCCATATGACTGTGTTAATAAAATTTTGTACGTTCAGAATGGTGACTCCGACGATGAGGACCGAGGCTGGGAAGTTTCTGGCACGTATTTGTACGACTAAGGGAGGTATAGCTGCAAGAATAGCCAGCAGAGAGAGTGGTGCCAGGATCAAAGAAGTAGCTGCCCATGCCATGTTTGTGCGGAAGGTAGATGGAGGAAGAGCAGTACAGAGCGTGAAGAGGGAGAAAAAGGACGGGGAAGATGAGGAAGGCATCCTCCACGCACCCATGGCCTGGCAGGTCAGTTCTTTCCGGTTTCATCTCAGCTTGATCGACTAGGTTGAAGCACTGGCAGAAATGGAGGTATTGGTGGGGTCCTCAAGATATCTCAAGACATCCTTCCAGAAGTGGTGTTGAATAAGGCTCTGCTGAAAGGGTATATTCCAGAAGGTGCACCCGCCATACGTGACGGGAAGTGATACGCTGGCTTCAGGGCTTGTTCCATTCGCTGCGCGAGGACTTCATGATGCGAGTAAAGCGCGAGCAGCTCTTCCTCGCGGACCTCGGTGTGTGCTTAGAAATTGTTCATCTGCGGCCTCATCATGTGAGCTGTCAGGTAGAACAGCCTCCTGGCCATGTCAGCGAATCAGCGCAGAAAGAGAACTTTACTGCGGCCTGATAAGTCCGCACGAATGATGTTTTTTGTGGCACAATACTGTATGGATGTGTTGGAGTACGTTTAGAGGGCGACAGTTAAGATATTCTTCAGGCGCTCGTCGGCCGGAAGAACATAATACCAGGGCGCCGAGGCTTCGGCCATTATGATTGGTGTGGCCGCCCGGCTTGCCCGTTCCGGCACTTGCAGCCTGTCAACGACAGTCAATCATCCACCTGGTCCATGGATTCGTCGTCGATTTTCTTTAGTTCTTTTTAATGGTCTTATTCTCAACCTTTGGCAGGCGCAGAGGGCATCTGGGTGGTTGCAGCGGTCATCGACCATCTTCTTCATTTACCGCGCCCGGCATCACGACTTAATTCCCCAAGATGCGTCCAGTAAACAAATAGCCGCCGTCACCTCCCTTTTTGCTTTCCTTACATCTCGATCCGTGTGCTTTGGACAACAGTTGTTCAGCTCGATGGCTTCTGAGAAGCCGTCTTCAATTACTTTGCCTCCGCTTTCGACATCCGGTCGCCAAATCAGCCCCTCGCCGCAGGGATTAAGGCAAAGGCCACTCGGGAGAGCATCTACACTCGCGGAAGGAAATCCCGCGCTTAATCGGCGACGAAGCTCGTTCCTCTCCGAGACCTTCTCCGAGACACGAAAGTCGCTACGCTCATCCACGGACGATATATTACTGCCTCGTGCAAAGGATGAAGACGGGTTCCACGACCACGATGATGGTTCGCATTGGCAGTCACTGCCTTTGGGCCTTGCGCTATTGCCCGCTGTTGGTGGTTTGTTCTTCAAGAATGGAAGCGCTTTCATTACCGACGTGACCCTGCTGGGTCTGGCCGCGATTTTCATGAACTGGGCCCTCAGGTCTCCATGGTGAGGACTCATCCACCTATCCGTGTCAGCGTGATCTAATGGACGTCGCAGGGATTGGTATCGTGCGGCTCAGACGCCTACATTGATGGACTCGACAATCCCAGCCGTCTTCACTCCGATCGACGAGGAGGATGAAGACCATGATCCACTTTCTCCTAGAGGGGTTGGCGACGATGGCGCGGCCAAAGTCAGGCCTAGCATGAGCAGTCCGACTACCAAGCCAGTCAATGAGGAGGCGGCAGCTGCGCAAAAGGAGCTTCGCGTACATGAGCTCCTTGCGTTGTTGTCTTGTTTCGTGTTTCCGCTCATCGCCGCCTGGCTCCTGCACAGCATCAGGTCGCAACTCTCCAGGCCATCGGAGGGCTTGGTCTCCAACTACAATCTCAGCATATTCGTGCTTGTCGCCGAGATCCGACCTATAGCCCACCTGATCAAGATGGTGCAGCGGAGGACTCTATTCTTGCAACGACGGGCGAATATGGACTTCCTAAAGGAATCAAGTCGAGCGGATAGTCAGCAATTCCGCGACCTCACCCACAGGCTGGACGAAATGGAAGCATACGTGGCAGACCGTGCTGTCCACTCAGGCAAGCAGAGGGACGAGCAAATCAACGCTGATGCCCTCGTAGCCAGAACGACAGCGACCGTGGCCTCGGAGGTAAAAAGGACCGTGCAACCAGAGGTTGATGCTTTAAACAGAGCAATGCGTCGATATGAGAAGCGGTCGACAATCTCGTCAGTCCAGATCGAAGCACGGTTACAAGACCTCGAAATTCGACTCAACGATGTGGTGTCTCTGGCCGCGGCTGCTCAAAGAAACGCAGACCGGGTACCGAACAACTACATCGTCATTCTAGCCAACTGGGCTTGTGCTCTCATTGTTGTGCCGGTTCAATACCTGTTTCACCTTGCAAGTCTGCCATCAAAAGCTCTGATGTCGGCTCTCGCTGTTCCGAGGAGATACCTAATGAAGAGGTCGAGGTTCCCGCCGCCGAAGGAGGGTAGGGCGACGAGAAAGGGCGCCGCAGCACGGTCAAGCGACCGCGAAAGACGACTGAAGGTGCCTCCCTAGACTGGGGGCGTAGGGGAGCGAGCATTTTACCTTCTGTCTCGGTGCTGGCAACGATCGGACCACCATTCTCCCTTTTACGTATTCGAGTAGGGCGGAGGGACGGTACGCTCAATTCCTGAAAAGTACACTTCTTCCACCTTTCTATCAATATGTTCTCGTTAATATCTATATTCTAAGCCTCCTCATGGAGTATCAAACTGTCCAACGAGCTAAATCCCGCAGCAACACCACCCTCATCACTATCCTTGCCTTTTGTCCTCAACAAATACCCACCCTCCGTGTTATGCAAGGTCTCCGGCACGGTACTGCCAGGTGTATTCCTCCAGAGGCACGTCCCGAATATCCCCAACTCAGATATGACATTCCCACTCACGACTTGTCCGTCACTTCTCAGGACAGTGTTCTTGGCAACCGCGGGTGGATGGATTAGCTCCATCAGGATATACTGTTTCCACTGGTCCCGAGGGATGGAATTCAAGAACGGCGGGATCTGTGTGCGGTAGATGTTATTGCCCCCTCCCTCACGCTGGGGCTTCAGTACGTGATTTGCTGCCGTCTTCTCGTCGAGAGCCAGACGGATTCCCTCCGGCTCGCTTGAAGCACTATATTGCGAGGCCGAGAGGGAGTACTGTGGGGCGAACGTTGAGCGAAGGCTGTCCAGGGCGGTTTCTGGGTGGTTTGGCAGGAACGCTTTCAAGTGATCTGCATCTGGAGGCCGAGAAGTCAAGACCTGTTGGACTTTCTTGGACCCGGCAAGGTGCAAGAGAATGGACGGGCATTTGATTGCAGCGCTGCGTTCGAGGTGGTGGCGCGCCGCCCAAGACGTAGGCGTGTTATATTCTGTAGGCGCGTACAGGGCGCGGAAGTAGACTACAGTCACTTCATATGGCGTGGAAGGGGACGAGGGCGGAGTGTAGATTAGGGGCCGGGCAGGGTTCGTGTCATTGCTGGGGATGGACGTGTAGGCAAGGATCTTGCTCGTGGGTAGTCTGAAAGAGGGGATGTGGTGGTGGTCGTAGAGATGCGTAGAGAGGGCGAGCTGGTCAAAGACGTTGCGCTCCGTGTCCTGGACAAGGAAGAGGATGCAGGTTTGGAGGGGAGGGTCCGAGCGCGAGGGTCCGTATGCTGTGTGGGCGGCAGCGAGGCCGGCGACTAGGGTGGACACTGCTTCATTTTTGGGAGGATGGCCGGTTGTATTGATCGGGCTCTTGTCGGTTGAGTTGGCGAAGAGTGGGTGTGGTGGATATGCTATTGGGTGCTTTGCTGCGGGAAACGTGGCAAGATGTGTATGCATTTCTGCTACCTTGCAAGCAAGACCTCCAAAGGATGAAGATATTGTGTTGAATTCGACCTGCCGCAGTGATACCGGCGCATCCTCCGCCGTATGTAGCATGTAGTCAGATCGGAACATGCCCAACGACAAGTCTTGGACATAGCCTTCTTCTTTGACCGAGAGATGAATCTTCCAGAGATTGGCGAGGAAATCATCCACCTCGATGAGCCTGGTAATGAATGGGTTTAGCACGGGCATGTTCAGAGCAAGGCCAAGTCTTTCGAACAAAGCAAGCTCGAAGCGACGGGACTTGCACCGACGGTGACGTGGTTGACTTGTTGACTCACTCTTTCATAATATGTTCGAGCCACTGCTCATCACTAGCTATGCTAGCATAAAGTTCGTTGTAGACTTGCTGGAGACTCCTTGCCTGTTCAAAACACGCCTTAGGGAAAGGGCTGGGAAAGAGCGTGACTGGGGCACTGGTGGCAAGGACATTGGCCGGATTTGTTTCCTCTGGTACTATCGCTGTGGAGGGTCTGACCGTGAGCGCATGCTCTACGACCCAGTTTTTAACAGTCTGGACAAGATATCCTTCTTGTTCTGGTGTCAGAGGCGGTGGATAGTCGTTATAGATCTCGGTTCCTGCATGATGCGGCATTGTCCCCTACTTCCAAGATTGAGCAGAGGACCCGAAGCCAGGGTCGTCCTTTCGCTCTTGTGGTGTGGTATGCTGGTGAGGTGAAAGACAGTCACAACTAATTATCTCAGAGAGATGATCGAGCCCCGCAGAATTATCGCGCTGGTGGCATCGCGGAGTGCTTAGTCAGCCAGTGAATCTTTCGGCCTACTTTCTGATCTTGGACCCGCGTAAAGTGCTCCAGGTGCACGTCAGGAGCTAAAACACGGGCCCCACCCAATTTTTTAGCGTGCCATCTGCCTTCTGAGGCAATCTTCATATCGCGAGCCTGATGGTTCACTGTATCGCCAGATCATTGCGCTGGACTACATCCTGGATGAACGTCTCACAAAACAAGCGAGGCAGTCGACTGAGGTTCCCCGTGTCTTGCGCCATGTGAACGGCGTACCCCTGCCGTTCTTCTTTTTCAAGGTTCTTGCTCTTAAAACTATTTGTTTTAACTACAGCCGCTCTTTCAACAGCACTTGTACCCGTCCTACTGCCCACCACAACTGCCTGTCGTTACTGGCGGATGGGTTCGCCTCAATTTGACTGCGCTTCAATGCCTACAGGGTCTTCTTTAACAAGCACCAACTCCGCCTCGTCCGATAACTTTTCACCAGTCAGACCCCTCACCACTCACACATCGCTCATATTGCCTGCCACCTCACGCCTCACTCGCGCCCTTTCTCTCGACGGCCACCCATCATGGAGTCGGCCGCAGAAGCCGACGACGACCCGCGGGCGTGGTCAATCGACCGAGTTGTCTATGAACTGTGCCACGCGCCAACTCCACAATGGTTGCCTTCGGTCCATTCTCAGTACAAACAGAATCGCCAGGCGCTTGAGCCTACCTTCCGGCAGAATGATATTGATGGAGACAGTCTCCTGACCCTGGAAATGCCGGCCCTGAAGGAAGAACTTGGAATTGCCTCATACGGCATCCGGAATGTCATCATGAAAGCTATCAATTTCTTCCGAGCCAAGTCCAATAGCTATCAGCAGACGTTGTTCCAAGTGGACAATATTGCCAGGATGCAGTCAAGCACATTCCCGTCTCCTCAGATCACGCACCCGCGGTTCTCGGCAGTGCCCCAGTCACCCGCATTCTACGGCATTGGCATGCACCCTTCCATTGAGACCCGTCATACTCCTTCACCTTCGCTTGCCAGTGGTTTCGGGCAACAACGAGCCCCCCTACCACCACCTCTTCCCCCTCCTGATCCACTAAAACTTTCCGGACCGGAGCTCATGGCACCTAGACTTACAGACAAATCCCACAGAAGTGCAGATCTTCCGAACATACCTGCAACTAGACCGACGCGAAAGCTAGAACCGAGTTGCGCTGCAGCACCTCGCGCCGGAGAGGCCGATTCCAGAACAGACCACGAAACGCAGCCGTTTGGCCCACTACCTCAAGAGCAACATGATGCAAAAGCAGGTGGCAAGAAGAGGATCGCACCGACTCTCATTGGCCACCTACCCGAGAGTGCCCCTTTGATGTTAAGCGATGAAGGCTACCTTGCAGCAAACGCAGTCCCTGTACAGGACATATTCTACTACAAAAGATCGACAACAATGGAGGGTGACGACACTTATCGTGTTTCTCTTGATGACAACCGGCAATTTGACGTCTCGATCCGAGTCCCAAGTGGCCAACGACGTGCAGTTGCCCGCCTTATGAGGTCCTTCCTCCGACGTGGGACCGAGATATTGCCTAGCAGTGGATTGCGCGTCAAGGTGCCTTATGACGAGTCACTGGTCCAGGGTCCTTCCTCGAGCCAGTACTTCACACTGTTCTTGCCAGGCAGCCAGCTGCCGCAGGTGCGCAGCGTTGCAGAATATCCGGAGCTGAGGACTCTGCATTTGAGCAAGGTTCGCAAGGGCCGACGATCTGTCCCGAACACCACTCAGGAAGAACACCACGCTCATGGCGAAGAAGATGAAGCGGTGAGTGCTCGGGGAGGAGTGGTTAGTTCTGACTTGGACTATCTTCTTGCCAAATATCCACCCCAGGACTGGGATGCGGGGCTTCCGCTGTATGGCGATTCCGGTGATGAAGGTGATTACGACGAAGCTACTTGGAGAGAGATGGAAGAGGAGAAGGCGGAGGAGGCGGAACTTCGCAGTCGTCCCGCCGACCTGACTCCTGCTCAAGTGGAAACTGCAATCAACGAGGCAGTGGAAGACTTCAAGCGCGAATGGTGGGCGACGAAACTGGCCACTGTTCAGAAAAGAGCATATCGCCACTGGACAGAAGCAGCCCGCATCAAGAACCGCCAGCCCAAGATTCAGTACTTCAGGAAGTTCAAGGATCACTGCTTGCAGAGGATGATCAAACTTAGGCGCGAGGTAGCTGGCAACACCTGGCGCAATGCAGCTGAAGTCAAGAAACAGTGTCAAGTCCTTGAGGTGACAGTACATCAACACGAGGAATACAGCTACTACGGCCAGGTCATGTTGCAGGATGCACCCCCAGAGAAACCCACCAAAGAAGCTCTGTCGAAGGTATATGCGCGGAGGCAACACGATCTCGAGGCAGGAGAGGAGATCATAGAGTCGGAGCCAGAGGCATACTCAGAGGACGATGATCATAACTTCATTGATGATAATGCTATCGACGACAATTCTTCCGATCTCGGATCCATTCATCATGATCCTGAGGCAGAGGAGTGGAACCCGGAAAATTGGAAACCGGTCAATATAGCAGACAAAGGGGTGCCAGAACCCACTATCGCCGAAGCAGGACCTCCTTTGGTCACACGAAACTCTCCTGTCGAGGACGCATTGATGCCTGATGCCAGTGCAGACGACGCGGACGCGGAGAGTGATGATGAGGACGATGTCATCACGCCAAATCGACGGAAGACCGAACTCATTATCGGCCAGCCGGCTCCTCAAACGCCGATTCCCAGACGTCCAGCTCCTTTTACCAAGCCAAAACCCTCTCTCACAGGGGAGGCCGGATCTTCAGACAATTCTGACCTGGACCGCAACCCACGTCTTCCCAAGTCCAGGTATGGCGACCGTGGACGATCTACCGCTGCACCTATAGATTTGACCCTTGACAGCCCTTGTTCAGGGCTGGAGAGAACTTCTAGTACGCCATCGAGCGATTTCAGCGTCCACACCCCGAAGCTCAATCCGGTCAAAGTTGAGAAACATAAGACAACGCCCAGCGATGTCTCTGAAACTGCGGATACTCGCCAACGTCACACCTCCCCACACGATGATACGAATCTGCCAAAGTGGGACGATGTTGACGGAATGAGGGAGGTACATTGGTCCGAGATGGAGCCTGCGGACACTCGGCGAGCGCTTGCAAAGTGTGTCTACATCCTGACAGAGCGTTGTGCTACCGATTTAGCTTCATTCCTGACCACATTATCCACTGATGAAGTTAGAGAGAGGTGCATAGCCGAAGGAGTTGCAATCATCCATACGACGAAAAACTTCCGGATCACGGGGGTTTCTCTTGACGATACATTCAATGCTTCGATGGTGGTCTTGCTTTACATCACACATTGCACTGGCTACAATGCTCTGCAAAACCCTGTAAGACAGGTTCACAGAGATCAGGCATCTAAAGAACAAGACACAGCCATCCGTCCTTTCTACAAAACTCTAGCAAAACTCCTTCAGCTCCGTTTCGAGCATGACGCACAAAAGAAAGGGCAGAAGAGAAAGAGGGAACCAAAGGCTCTGTCCGAAGTTGAGATGCTTGATGACACGGAGACCGAAATTGCTGACTATATATCGACGGATGACCTGGAACCAGCTGTCCGACCTTCTTCTCATAAGAAACGAAAGCGCAAAGTCGAACAGAGTCAAGAAGCCATGTCCCAGCAGTACAATGACAAGATGCGTATCCAAGCGCAAGAAAAGCGCCGCAAAGACATGGCAAAGAAGCTTGCAATGATGCAGCCCGACGGCACTGCTGAATCTCATGTCATCATCAACACGGAGGAGCCATTTATCGAGCTCCATGAGCATATTGCTGGCCGCGTCAAACCACATCAAGTCGCCGGACTGCAGTTCATGTGGCGGGAGATCATTGAAGACCCGAAACACCAAGGCTGCATCCTGGCACACACCATGGGACTTGGCAAGACAATGCAGGTGGTGTCACTGCTTGTAACCATCTCCCTGTGTACCCAAAGCAGTGACCCGAAAGTCAGGCAACTCATTCCTGATCATCTTCAACGAAACCGAACTCTGATTCTCGCGCCTGCATCTTTACTCAATAACTGGGAGGATGAGCTTCTCATGTGGACGCCTCAAGGAACCAGCATTCTCGGCGCTATCCACAAGTGTGACCTGCCAGGAGCAAGAGACAACAACCGAGCCATCTGGAATTGGTCCAAGAAGGGCGGCGTATTACTTATGGGCTACGAGCGCTTCCGATCAACAATCACAAACAGCATCAAGGAGAAAAAGAAGGGTACTGCCGCAGGTGATTTTGAGGAGATTTTGCTGGAAACGCCGAGCATTGTCATTGCGGATGAGGCACACACACTCAAAAACCCCAAGTCAAAGATCAACGAATATGCGAAGCGGTTCAAGACTATCAGTCGCATTGCCCTCACAGGGTCGCCTCTCAACAACCATCTCGAGGAGTACCATACCTTAGTGGACTGGATCGCTCCTGGGTATTTGGGCACTATGGTTCAGTTTCGTGTCAAATATTCGGAGCCCATCAGAGACGGTCTCTGGTCTGATAGCACTGCATACGAAAAGCGGCTCGCGCTTCGCAAGCTGCATGTGCTGAAGAGAGATCTCGACCCCAAGATCAACCGAGCTGATATCACTGCCGTTGAACAGGATATGCCTTCGAAGACGGAGTTTTTCATCACGATACCCCTCACTGCACTGCAGACGGAAGCATACAACATCTATGTGCGCCATATGGTGCAAGCCTATGCTCTTATGGGGACGGGAAGTGGGCATGCCAGGGTTTGGGATTGGATTGCAATGCTGTCATGGCTTTGCCACCATCCTGCTGGATTTGTGACCAAACTCAAAGAGCGTCAGAGAAAGGCACTGGAAGGCAAGGACGTGCGCAATCAGACCAGCAATGGCGAAGACCTGAATGAAAGCTCAGACGAGGCGCCAGTTGTTGAGGAAGGTAGGACACCAGAAGCGATCAAGGAGGATACCGACGTCGACGTTACGGGCCCCATGCGTCAGGCGATGGAGGCCGTCTTACAGATCCTTCCCGACATCAACGACCGGACAGCTCTATTCGATCCATCTCTGTCCTACCGTACACTCGCTGTGCAGCGCATTGTGGAAAAGGCCACGGAAGCTGGAGACAAGACCTTGATCTTCAGTCACAGTATCCCCACGCTAAACTACCTCGCGGACATGCTGCAAGCTATGAACTGCTCGTTCTGCCGAATCGACGGCCAGACAAAGGTCTCGGAACGACAAGCACAGGTGAAAGAGTTCAACGAAAAGAACCGCTACCAAGTCTTCTTGATCTCGATGCGAGCTGGTGGCCTGGGACTGAACCTGCAGGGCGCAAATCGTGTGATCGTGTTTGATTTCAGCTTCAACCCGATCTGGGAGCAACAGGCCATTGGCCGGGCATACCGTCTGAACCAGAAGCGACCAGTCTTTGTCTATCGGTTTCAAGCTGGAGGCACCTTTGAGGACAAATTGTTCAATACTGCCGTCTTCAAGACTCAACTCTTTGGACGCGTGGTCGACAAGAAGGCTCCGAGACCCAATGCCAGCAAGAAGACCGACATGCAGTACCTTTTTCCAGTCAAAGAGATCCCACAAGAAGATTTCAGTGAGAGTCTTGGCAAGGACCCGAAAGTGCTCGACGCCATCATCCACGATCTCGGGTTTGTCCGTAGCATTGTCTTAACCGAGACTTTTCAGAAGGAGGACGATGAGCGCCTGGATGCGGAGGAGCAGAAGGCGGCCGAGGAAGAATATGAGAATGAGCGTCTGCAGCGAGACGACCCTGTGGCGTGGCGACTGGCGCAGGCGCGCAAGCAGCAACAGCTACAGCAGGCCGCGTTCCATCCTCCGCCTTCAACGACGCCGCACCTGCCAAACGGTTCAGCGACCACCCCTTTCCGATTCCCAGCCAGCTCTGGTCTTCCGCGATCTAAACAGTACAGCCTTGTACAGCCACCATTTGGCAGAGATGACATGAGGAAATTGGCACAGCCGCAACGACCTCAGCCTAACCAGAACTCCGACAGCCCCGGTGTGCGCGGCGCATACGACGATACCTACTGGAGCTTCAGTCGGATCGATCGCCCTGCGTCCAGTGATAGTAATGACAGTCGGTCTGGGTGGCTGAAGAGGTGACAACGAAAAGTGGCAGAGCGATATGGCAGCGATCGGTCAAGCTGTATTTGTCCAATAGTGATTTCGTTTTCTTTCCCGCGTTGAGCTTGCTATGGTCCTGCGATTGTTTACAGAAGATACCCCCTTGAGCATCCTCCACGATTTCACGAATTACGGTGCATGGCGAGTGACAGGAGGACGGGGCACACGGGCATGTGATTGGGCAGGGAGTTCAGAGATTGTCATTCCAGTCATGGACATGCTGTGCCGGATGGATCATTCCGGGGGTGGAGCCGATGTACTGTATGCGGCACGGTTCAGTATTGCGATGGACGGTTGCTGCACGACAAGGGCCCAGCCGGAATAGATACAGGTGACAAGGCCAAATAAACTGGGCTCAAAGATTCGTCATCATCCACCCCAGGATGTGATACTATAGACTGTGCTTTGCATGGTCCTTGAGTGTAGACCCGTGAACGAATATCGTGAGTGACAGACACCATACCGATTGCCTGTTTGATGAGGCCGAGAAGGTATCGTCCATGTCTGACAAAAGCCCCCCACAAGGCCTCGTCCACGTTCATCATGCATGTAATTACGGGGCAAGCACCCGAAATACACACCGGTCTGACGCTGACATGCCCTTTTCATGCTCTCGTTCTTCTGGGCCCCCTTCACCGGTGTCATCTTACATGGCATGAGATATCATACACAGCATATAACCTAGCCGCCAACCAGCCGAATCTCCCCATAGAAGACCACCAAGGCGAAAACTCCAGCACACCCTCAACACTCGAAGTACACCACCCACCATCAGATTGTTGCCCGGCTCCCAACTTCGCGACATGACAACGGAAAGGCGGCCGCTCCAATCTCAAATCTCACCCAACATCTTCATACACGCCGGGACAAAGCCTCGGACACCTCGATATGAACGGACAGAGGAGCGGAACGCGAGGCGAAGATCAAGATCAAGGTCATCACCATCACGGCAGGACGAGGACGGGGACAGCAACGGCGGTGACGACGACGACGACGAGGTATCTTCAACTACCACGCGAAGATGCCGATCCCGACCCCGATCCCGATCCGCATTGAAATCCCAGCTCCGCCTCGTCTTCTTCATCACAGGCAACCCCGGCCTCGTGGCGTATTATCATCCCTTCCTGTCGTTTGTCGTGCGGGATCTCACGGAGCAGAAGCGGGAACGCTGCGCGGATGCTGATGCGGATGTCGTTGTGGTGGTGGGGATGAGTCTTGGTGGGTTCGACGTCCGCAGTACGCATGGGACGCATGGCGGAGAGGGCGCAAGGAAGCGGCGCGGTGGCGGTGCTGGCGCCGGTTCATATTCAAAGGCAGACTCGCATCCAGGTTCACGTTCACGTTCAGACTCCGCCTCTCTACACGAGTGGGAAGAGCAAAGGTTGCTCTATCCCGCGACGTTCAAGCGTGGGGGCGGAAAGTTGTTCACGTTGCGCGATCAGGTCGATCTCAGCTACGCGAGGGTGGAGGATTTGGTGGACAGAATACAACACGAGCAGGATGGTCAGCCTGTGGAAGTGGATGTGGTATTGATGGGTCATAGTGTTGGGGCTTATATCTGTCTGGAGGTGGTCCGATTATGGCATGAACGGCATACAGCAGGACAAGATATTCAGACGAGCTCTAATACGAGTACTCCGGCCAAAGTCACGCTCAGCTCAAGGTCAGCGCCACTCTGGTCACCCACGGCGTGTATCCTTCTCACGCCCACAATCCAAGACATACATCTCTCGCCCTCTGGGCTCATAGCCACGCCACTTCTCACGAACCTTCCATTCCTGCCATTTTTGGCTCAAATCCTGGTCCGTTCCGTCCTCTTGCGACTCGTTCCTGCGTCATGGTTTGCCGCGCTCGTTTCACGTGTGACGGGTATGCAGCCGGGTAGCCATGGACTCGAAGCCACGTTGGTCTTCCTGAGAAGTGAAGAAGGTGTCGAGCAAGCGTTGCACATGGCAAGCTGGGAGATGGAAGAGATTCGACAGAATCGGTGGGGGACGGAAGTTTGGGGAGCGAGCCATGGTGAAACTTTGGCGGTTGCTGCTGAAGAGAAACGGTACCCAAGTCCGAGACTGTTCTTCTGGTTCTCCAAGGATGACCACTGGGTTGCAGAGATGACGAAAAAGGCTATCATCGAGGGTCAAGCTCCAGGGACTGCTGTACACCGACGCCATGTTGCTGGTTCGGCAGAGACAGCAGAGACTGATGAGATCGCGGTCCAGGTCGACGGCACAAAAGAAACCTTTGGTGCGAGTCCAACCATCCGTATCCTGGAGTCAGAAGGACTGCAGCATGCGTGGTGTTTGGCCCAGAGCGAGATCGTGGCGAAAGGGGTCCGACAGTGGTTGTAAGAACTGTGGGCTGACGATTCATGATCCCGCCAGCAAGCAACAAATCAAGCAGCTCCGTCCTATCGAGCCCCAAGACCCGCTCTCCTAAAGAGGTCGCCCAGAATATCAGGTTGTCGCTGGTCCATCATTGACTGTGGAGGCTGTTGAATTTGACCATCATATTCATGCCCTCTCACGCTAAAAGCGGCGTCATTCGCCCTTTGCTGGCCGAAGCGCTGCTGCAGAGAGATCTGGTGGCCAGCGCCAGGAGCATTCCCCTGGTGATTGTTCAACGCCTCCCCCGCCTGCTGAATGTGCCCATTTGTATGCTGAGCGGTGGCCGCGGAGGCAGCGGCCTCAGCAGCTTGACGGCTGGCGCCCGCATGGTCGGCGAGCGACTTCATGAGCTCGCCATTCAACTGCATGGCATTTTCAGTCGAGGTTCCGGGACCATCGTGGAATATGTAGACACCGTAGATCTTCTGCTCATGGCCTTCTTTGAAACTGATGATGACGTATTCACCTGTTATCTCAACCCCGGCATTTTCACCTTCTCTCAGCTCGGCCTCGAAGTTGTCCAACCCCCGCCGGTTCAGTACGATTGTCGAGTACCTGTCTTCGCCGTACGGTCCGGGCGTGAGCTCGCAAATGAACAGCGAACCCTCCACACCTGTTTTGGTCCATTCGGGTTGTGGCAATGGAGAAAACTCATAGACCACCGCATACGGAGCTATCGAGAGGATGGACTTTATCTGCGGATTGTGTCTGTTGAGGACAGCGAGGTTCAGCTCCTCATTGGTACGGTCGGGAGGGGGTGGCTTGGTAGGATAGTCTGATTGATAGCCTTGGTTGTCCGACTCATAGTCTGAGACCACGACAGGCATCTGAGCAGCACGCGGAGCGACTGAAGGAACCGGTGCAACTGGGGGCGTGGTGGCATCAGCTGCGGCTGCGGACGTGGGTGCAGGTGCAGGTGCCGGTGCCGATGCGTATATTGACTGCTGTGACTGTGATTGCAACTGTGACAGGGGAGGGTAGCGGGGGAAGTCGACAGACTGCTGCCGCCGTGATTGTCCTGAGCGTCGGTTGGAATGCGACATGGCCGGACGGTCACAGCCTGCGAACGTGGGACAAAGCCAATATGGAACCCAGTGACCTACCTGATGGGTAGGTACGTGCCTTGACTTCTGGACCTGACAGGAGGGTCCACCACTACTGTACAGGGTAGAACATCAAGATGATCGCAGTGAGACCATATTAGCAACACTCCACGAGTATCGCGTCGGGCTCTTGACGATTCGCAGTCAATAAAGAGGAAAGAGAAGCGGGAAGAAGCATCACGTGCCGCTCACCTGAAACACGCCGCTTTAGACACGCGTCGCACCCAGTCCGCCCGTCTTCTTACTCTTCCATTACCTTTGCTACCTTCTTCTTCCCACCCGCGTTAATGAAGATGCACGTCTCAAGACGACCACGGTTGACCTGGTGATCGGTAACGGTGGATCTTTGACGAGACACTGTTTGGGAGAGGATTATCTCCTATCCCTCTACATCTAACGCCTGGCTCTACTGCAAAGACTTCGTACAGATATACCCAGTATCTTTAAGCCGAGATCTAAATCCACACCTACCCTCCAGTACCGCTATCATAGTCTCGGAAGAGGCACGGGCTGTCGGCTGCTCAAGATGTGGACGGGCTCATCTCCAATCTCGTCCATCTTGTCCTCCAGCAGTCTCGTCATCCGCGCCACAATGTCCTGGTACTTGGGGTCGTCGTAGACGTTGAACAGCTCTAACGGATCTTCCTGGCAATCAAACAGCTCCCACTCTTTATAGTCCTCTCCACCGGGCCGTGCACCTTCGACCCCCATATCCTCGCAGTACCAATAGATCAGCTTGTATCTCTGATCCCGCACGCCGTAGTGCGCATATGCTTCGTGGATGATGTCGTTGTGCATCCAGTACCGGTGGTAGGCGACTTGCTTCCAATCCTCGATGGCCTCGCCCCTTAACAACCTCCGGAAACTCTGGCCTTGCATGTAGTTGGGTTTTCTGGCTGCGGCATAGTCCAAGAACAAGGGCGCAAAGTCGACGTTGTTGACGAGATCATTGTTCACGCTGCCGGGCCTGATCTCGCGCGGATACCGGCACAGAAACGGCATCTGGAAGCTCTCCTCGTACATGAAGCGTTTGTCGAACCAGCCATGCTCGCCGAGAAAGAAGCCCTGATCCGACGTGTAGATGACGACCGTATCCTCTGCTTGACCCGTCTCGTCGAGCCAGTCCAGCAGCCTTGCGACATTGTCGTCTAGGCTCTGAATGGTCCGCAAATACCGCTGCATGTAGCGCTGGAACTTGAACTCGGCCAGGTCCTTGTCGTTGGCAAAGGTAAAGACCGTGCCCTCGTCCGCGTCGATCAGGCGCAGCCCCGGGGCATTGTTCGGGATCTTGCGAGCACCATCCCACATCATCTCGCCGAGCTGCCTCCTCCCGCCGTCGGACTGCACGAGGCCGAGATCCTTGTACGTCAAATCATCCGCGACTCGCATCTTCGCGATCTTGGCCGCCCTGGCTCGGTTCTTGTAGTCGTCCGAGAACGTGTCGGGGACCTTGATTTCGTCTCTGTACAGGTTCTTGTACCTGTCATGACATTCCCAGCTTCGGTGCGGTGCTTTGTGGTGGCACATGAGGAACCAAGGCTTATTGCCCCGTCTCTCGCCCAGCCAGGCCAGCGACTTATCCGTGATGATATCCGTAGCATATCCCTCCGTCACGCGCTCGTGCCCGTCCATGTCGATGAAGGTCGGATCCCAGTAGTCGCCCTGCCCTGGCAGGACGCTCCAGTAATCGAACCCACTGGGCTGACACGACTTGCCCTCGCCGAGATGCCACTTCCCGATCATGGCCGTGTCGTAGCCCGCCGTGCGGAGATGCTTGGCCACGTTCGGCAGGTTCTTGTTGATCTTGCTGTCCAGCGTGACGACGCCGTTGACGTGGTTATACGTGCCCGTCAAGATGGCCGCTCGGGAAGGCGTGCATATCGAGTTGGTCACGTAGCAGTGATTCAGCAGCATGCCTTCTTTGGCCAGACGATCTAGGTTCGGCGTGTGGTTGATGTTCGCGCCGTACGCGGAAATCGCTTTCGACGCGTGGTCATCGGCCATGATGAAGAGGATGTTGGGTCGCTTTGGTTGAGCCATAGTTGAGTAATTGCCAAGTTCCGCGTCGATGTGATTCTTCTCGTGGTAGGTGCACGCGACGACTTCAGAGTCGATTCTCACCACAATGGTCTGCTACGTTGATCAAGGTGCCCAGGACGATACTTCCACATACCACTGGAAAATGCCCGAGGCAAGAGATGAGTGAGATGTATATTGAAGACTCTCGGAGGAGGACCAAAATTCCAGATTCTCAATCAAGCGTGGGCAAAAGACGGCCTTTCCTACTGTGTACTCAGCGAAGAGACGCTGTACGGGTATCGGGCCAGGTCGCCATCTCGTGAGATGATCGCCGTCCCCTGGCCATATGTCTGGGATTCCAGAAGCCGAGTCGTGGTTCTGCAATGACCGATGTTCCGGCATTTTTGGTTGGCACTGTCGGCGCCACCTGTGGGAAGGAACCTTAAGTGCCAGCGCTACGGATGTCGGTCGACAAAGGCGGGAGTGTGCAGTGTGCTTGGGCGTTCGGTGGCACCAGTGGGCTGGGTCTTGTCAAGCAGCGGAAGTCGGTCGACGAAGGGCGGGAGTGTGCAGTGTGCCTCCTGTGGAAGCGTTCGGTGGGCCCCCGAGGCCGGACTTGAGACGCCGCGGCGGATGTCGGTCGCTGACCTTGAAATTACCGGAAGGACGAGACTTGGCTTGGTGTTGCTTGTGTTGTCCCCCACTGTCTACGCTCATGGTCACGGTATGGACGGGAACGGTTACGGAGTAGAGGCATAGGAATGTGGGGTAGCCATAATGTATGGAAAGAAACCTCTGCGCTTATTCTTGTGAAGCTGATATGTACGGCGCACCTAGGTATTTGCTATATGTACAGGCGGAGACCCGACCGAATCCACACTTTTCGTGACCATGCTGTCACGGTCCATCTCGCCCGTCTTCTTCTCACCATATCTGACCTCCAGACCGATGGTACCAGTTCCAAATCTAACCTTATAGACTGATGGTGGCATTCTTCAAGTCCGCCATCCTGGAGCTTGACCCCACCCAAAAGGTGTAATGGCCCGAATCCACCTGATACTTAGCATTGTTGTAGTATCCCAGATCCGCCTTGTCGATGACGAATTTCACCTGTCGCGCCTCGCCAGGCTGCAGTTCCACCTTTTGAAACCGCACCAGTCTCTTGTTGGGCAATTCAATGTCCGAGTACTGCTGCCGGAAATAGACTTGGACCACTTCCTTGCCAGCCACGTTGCCGGTATTGGTGATGGTGCAAAAGATGGAGATGGAGCCACCGCTTGAGTTTGAGTTTGTGACTTGAGGCCCCGAGATGTCAAATGTCGTGTAGCTGAGACCGTAACCGAATGCCATGGGAGCGCCGTCTCGGTTGAGACAAGGCAAGTTCCAGTCGCCGGCACAGACAGTTGAGTCGGTAGGATCGGACCCACCGCCTCCCACGTTGTCCGACGGGAGGAAATCGTAGTAGATCGGAAACGCTCCATCCGCTTGCGGCATGCTGATGGTGAGCTTGCCGCTAGGGTTGACTTGGCCCGTGATGATCTCGACGAGGGCATCGGCAGAGAACTCGCCTCCAAGGAACTGGTGAAGAATAGCATTGCAGCGCATGGTTGAATTATTCAAGACAAAGGCTTGACCACCGTTCAGCACAAGAATGGTCGGGACGCCCGTGTCGAGCACCGCGTCCAAGAGCTGTTGCTGGTTGCCCGGGAAAGCCAGGCTGGCGTGACTGTAGAATTCGCCGTCGGTTCGCTGGTTCACTGCGGCGTCTTGAGAATAAACAGATAAAGAGCCTAGTGATACAATGGCGACGCCAGCTGCCTTGGCGACGGCGACTGCCTCTTGTATCCCAGCCGTGTCATTGGGACTTGTGGTCCGGATGTCCACGCCTTTGACGTAACGAACGTTCCCAGCACCCATGCGGGCTTCCAAACTGCCTCTTAGAGTACGTCCGTACTCTGGGTTCGCGCTTGTCGTCGGAGCGTAGGAGCCCGGGTCAATGATATCTCCAAAGGGTCCGATCAGCGCGACCTGTGAGAAATTTGCCTGCGGAAGGAAGCCGTCATTGCTGAGCAATACGATTGCTTCTCGTGAAGCTCGACGATTGACGTCCAAGTGTTGAGGTGCACGCAGGGTCCGGTTCAGGTTTTCCATAGTCGGCAGAGGAAGGTCAAACATGGCCGTGTCGAACTTGATGATCAGGTGCTGACGGGCTGCTTCGTTCACGAGGTCCACGATCTCCTGATCGCTCGAGCTGTTGACCAGGTATGGGAAGCAAGCGGGTTGCCCAGGGGCCAGCTCGAGCTGGAGGCCGGCGCGCAGCGCTTTGATGGCGGCATCCTTGTACGACGAGGCCACATTGGATTCGGTGTACAGATGTAAAATCCCCATGGCATCCGACATGATCAGACCGGTGAAGCCCATCTCTGACCGCAGCATGTCCTGGATTAGAGCAGTATTCATCGACATGGGAATCCGGTCGACGGAGGAATAAGAGATCATGATCGATGCAGGCTTCTCCTTGAGGACCCTGATATAAGGAATGGCCAGGTCATTGTATAGGTGATTGACGCCGCCGTCCATGCTGGCCGTGTTCACACCACCCGAGCCTTGTCCGTACAGGAAGTGCTTGACCGTCGTGGCCACCTTCATGTGACCGCCCTCGTCACGTTCCTGCATGGTTTTGACGTATTGAGCAGCGAACTCGCCGACTAGGTAGACATCTTCGCCATACCTATGCTGAGTTTAGTCAAAGGGTTTGGGCACCACACCTTCGACTTACATCTCCCCAACACGGCCGTTTCTGGGTTCCTTTGCGATGTCCAGCTCTGGGCTCAGTACCCAGTGTGTTCCTAGTGCCATATTCTCGTCGCGGATGGATGCCACGATTTCCTCGTACAGCGGGAGGTTCCAGGAAGTAGACAAGGACAGCGTCGCAGGGAAGAGAGTACCTCCAGGCACATAGATGCTGTTGACAGAGTCCGTAACCGTGATCCACGGGACCTTGGAACTGTTCAGCTGCTCCTCCCGAACCATGTTGGCATACGGCAGAACATCTTGAGCCTGGTTGAGCTGCGACCCGTAGCTCAAAATCCCATGTTGCAAAGGGTACAGGGCCTCCCAAGCTGTGCGGTTAAAGGTGGCATTGGCCCCGAGTAGGCGTCGAATGCCGCCCATTTGCGCAATCTTCTCCTCCCAACTCAGTTGAGGCAACAGGGCGTCGGCTCGCTGCGCAGCTGGTAGCGTCGTGTCCTGCCATGTCGGATCCCCTTGCCGCGGCAGCAGTACAGCGGACAAGGCCGTGGAGATGTCGAGAGCGAGCAGACAAAACAAGAATCCAGCCATGTTTCCTCAACAGCGTTGTGGTGTTTTGCTGAGCGACAGAACCGTTCCCTTCATGGGCTTTATATCTGTGGCCATTTGACCCAAGGTCCCGAGTCTGCACATCTTCGCATAGAGAACCGAGTACTCCGTATACGCCGGTGGAACCTTGTCATAGGTGCCCGAGAACATGACGAATTTACAGTCCGGGGTTGCGGGGCGAGCCATGTCGGTGCAGGATGCAGAAGAGAGCTACGGATGTCGGTCGGTGCTAGTTAGGCGTCGCCATTCTCGCTAAAGTCTCGTAATCCCACGGAAAGTCGGCTGGGGCGAGTCTTCTTCGTAGGCCGCACCTCCGAAGCTCATGTAGTACCAAAGTATCTTGTCGAAGCGCAGTCGGTGGAAGGTGGGTTTTGAATGCAGATCAATCTCTGTTCGCTAAGCGGGACCTAGTCTCGACGATGCCGTTTCAATGCGTGAAGCGTGGTTTTCTGCCCAGTTTCAACAACGCAGTATGCTCATGTTCAGTATAGTTTGAGACAGAGAGTTCCATCGCATCAAGTTCACGGGCTTCACCGGGGACACACCTGCCATGGCATTGATATGACGTGCAGCCTCCGGCAAAGTCCCCTTACACTTTCCCCATTCCAATCTCCAGCCCACGACTTCCTCCTGTGTAACTCTTCCTCACCATCCAAAGCGGCTTATAACGTCGGAGCTACCGGTGGCTGCTTCCTCAGATTGATCTGACTCCGATTATCAGCAACACGACAGGCGGTCATGCTTTCGCCTCGACGTGACTCGAAGCCAAGTCCTTCTTCGCGAACTCGAGCTCGTGCTCGGCGGCTTCGATATTGGCAGCACCCATCTGTGTCTTTGTCGAGCCGAAGAGTGCCTCCATATCTTCGAGAGCTTTTCCAGTCGTCTAGAAACTAGTCAGCCTGATGGTCGCTGCCGAACACAGGTTTCTTACCTCTTTGATAACCAACCACGCGTAAACTACCAGCGCCGCGTTAAAGATGGCGAACATCAGGAACGTTCTCCACCCGAGATTGTCGACGGCGTGCGGAGTGGCCTGGGAAAAGACAAAATTAAAGAGCCACTGCGTGGCGGTGCCGATGGCGATGCCAATTTCTCGAGTCCGGTTGGAGAAGATTTCGCCCGTGTACAGCCACGAGACGGGGCCGAACGACATGTTGTACGCAGCTAGAGCGAGATTAGCTTGCGAAGCAGCAGAATAGCTGAGCTTCCATACCTGCTTCCAGATAGATCATAGTGATAGAAGCCGCACCCGCAGGCGACACGCTGGTCGCGTCCTTGCTGGGTGAATGGGTTGCGGTAAGGCACGCCACGATTAGCATCAACGATCCCATGGCAAACGCGCCGCCCATCAAGGCCTTCTTTCGCCCGATCCTTTCGACCAAGAACGCGAGGAAAATGAAACAGGACACCACTTTGATGACGCCGAAGAAACCGCTGACGAGCAGTTTGGAGTCTCCAGCGCCGACTGTCTGGAATACCTGTGGTGCGTAGTAAGCGAGGGAAGTGTTACCAGTTAGCTGAACGCCAATTTGTAATGTCACAACCACGAAAACACGCCATCGGTTAGCTGGCAGCAGCATCTCTCGCCAGGTAAGTCCTTCTGTGGCTTGAACCTCGGCATCGATTCCAGCGAGAATCTCTGTCATCCTACACACCATCAGTACCGGCTCCATCGGAAAAGGCGGATTTCATACTCAGCGCGAACCTCTTCGCTATCGCCGCCGCGAACCCAGATGAGCGATTTCATCGCAGCCTCGTGTTGACCACCCTTAGCAAGCCACCGAGTACTTTCGGGGAGAATAAGCATGCCCAACCCAAGAATGCCGCCGGGGACAAGTTGCAGCCCAACCGGTATTTGCCACTGGCGAGTCTCAGAAGCCAGCTTCGTCGACACGGCATAGTTGACCCAGTAGCTAGTCATGACTCCGAGCGTGAAGAAGAACTGAAACATACTGCCGAGCTGACCACGTGTGTTCTTCGGAGCCATTTCGGCGCTGAACATGGGGATCATGACCGTGGCCATGCCCACACCAATACCTGACACTACCCGGGCGGCGTAGAAAGCTCCAATGTGATGCGTGTTGATGGTTTGGACGACGGCACCCACGCTGCGGTAACAAATGATTAGTTTTATTGAGGCCAAGCATGAACAAAGATACGTAGTTGAAGATCTTGCCACGAGAAAGGATCATCAGGGAAGAGCTCAAGGACACATACCAGAAAATGGCAGAGGCTAGTGCGATTGACCAACGCCGCCCGAATCGTGCGGTAAATGGCCAGGTGAAGAAACAGGCGAAGAACGCTGCGAACCTGTCAGCTACCTCCTAGGGTGTCACGTAAAAGCCGCACCTCCAGCTTGAAGAAGGCTGTTGGAGTTCGAGGCCACAGTGGTCTTCTGCTTGTTGCTATACCGGAAGTCATTCTGGAAGGACTGGAGAGTGAGGACGCCGCCAATGATACCGGTGTCGTAAGCGAAAAGAAACGAGCCGACACAGCAGACTCCCACAAGGAAGAAGGCTCGAAAAGTACCAAGTCGAGAAGACATGATGAAAGCGTAGTAAGTGGTGAGCCTGCAATGTTCGCGATGGCCGCAGGATGGACAACAAGCCAGACAACCCGGCGCAGCAGGGTCGTCGGTATAAGTAAGCTTGACAAGTCCGACAGTTCTCACGTCCGTCAAAATTAGATCTTCAGTAGTCTCCCTACCACATGGCTTCAATAATCTGGAGGGCGTTCGGCACTAACCGTGGAGAGGATTCAGCGCTAAACGTGGAGAGGAGGGGGAATCAACTGACGCCTAGAATTCCGCCTCGGGAATTACTCGACCGACATCCTGATAGCAGTTCCACCTGTCGACCGACATCCGTGGCCTGCGTCCAGAGGCGAGCTTTCCACCACAGGCTAGCGGGAATGAGGTCTTGCCGGCGGTCGGGTTGCGAATGGTGCCAGCCCGCGCAGAGAACCGCAGAATGCAAGGATCGACAGATGACCCCGAAACTTCGAGTCTCGGTCGTGCCGGACCTCCTCGGTGCATTATGGGAAGCAGATGCGCAGAGAGTCGAGAAAGGGCTGGTATGTCAATTCACAGAACAGCTTAATCTGGAAGTTGGAAAACTTCGAAGCAACGGTGGACTGGCTTTTGGGCATGCCTTATACTCCACAAGGTATCCCCATTCACACCCATGGGAACAAGAGTGTCTGTAAGGAGAATGCAGGCAGATCTTCATATCCAGGGCTTTGTTGCACCTGCGCATCAGGCTGTGGCACATAGCCCAGTGACGAGTCAGCTCGTATAGACCAACCTTGTTCCAGCGACAGAACCTTGTACATATTACGGTGTCGAACCGATGGGATCTCAGTACTGACACTAGACGGAGAAACCACAGCCGGGGGTTCTCCATCCTCGAAATCTGCTTGTCGTAGCAGACTGTGTATTGCCAAACGTTGTTTTGCTCGCGCCACCTCCGATAGCAGCGGATCTCGGCTTTGCTCGTTAGATGCGGATCTCACAGTGAGATGAGTCCAGTCGTTGGGAGAAGTGTCGCACTTGGATATCAAATTTTCGAGGTCTTTCAAAATCGGGCCGGCAGGTGTCGAGTGTCGGAAGAACCGCTTGATGGCAGCCAAACACAACTCTGCTCGACTAATGGCATACTCCTTCGAGAATCGGACTCCACTAGGTTGTGCATGTGCAAGGAACAATACAAGCCGGCACGCGTGGTAGCCACAGATTGCCGTGTCGTATTCCAGGACCGGAGTGTTTGTGCTGTGTAAATTAACATCCGACAGCGTTTGAATCATCGACAGAGCACTTTCTGAGCACATCTGAACCGCATCACTCATGGCTTCCGGATCAAGATCTGCAAGGACTATTGACGGAGCGGCCTCGGGATAGCCCTTGAGCAGTAAGCGATAGAGGTCGCAGCGACACTGATGCCATGATAGGTGCATCGCCAAATGCCTGGCCAGCCACGGGGTTGATACACACCTCAATACACCGGTGCTTGGGGACGTTGGATCCACCGGCATTTGAATGCGCAGTTGGCCTAGCTCATTATGTAGGCTGCGAACCAACTTGAGGAACTGAGGAAATGGCTCGTCACAGAGAGCGATCGAGCGAGTCAATTTCATGATGTCTCTCCGCATCGAAGTCAGTCTGACAAACAGCATGTAAGACCCCCCTTCCATTGGTACAGCCGGTGCCTTGTCCTGAAATTGCTCTTCACGACAAGGAAGTTGTAGATAGACATTCTCAAGTGGTAAAAGTTCGTACTCGGGTAGTCCAATGGAGAAATACAGCTCCAAAATTTTCAACGACCACAGTGTGCGCCGTCGTACCTCGTTGCTGATGGGGTCGAGGTCATGTCTTTCATGATTGAGCCTCATCGCCGCGGCGGCTCTAGCAGCAAGACCTGCGAGCATGAAGGCTCTGTGCGACGCGCCGGTAGCCGTGCGGTATGCAATGCAGAGGATCAAGGCTTGAAGTCGTGCCATGCTTGGCCTTTCGAGCTGCTGCCACACTAATTCCTCACTTCGAGAAATCCAGGAGAGGCTCCGATCTCGGCTCTCTGGCTCCGTGTATCGCTGAGAGGTAGTGGTGCCACATATTGCAAAGACCAGTGCCTCGTCCAAAGAGCCTTCCGCCAGGCGCTCTCTAGTGGTTCGGGGGTGGAGGAAGGAAAAGGAGGGTACGGGATAAAGGACTTGGAAAAACTCCTTCACAAGGCGGCTCGTCGACTGATCAGGTCCAAAAAGGGGAGCATGTCCAGTGAAAGTGTAATTAGGACTCTGGGACACGCTCGAATCGAGTTCCGTAGGCCCATCGTCAAGTCGTGCGGCAGCCGGTTCTGACGAAATTGCCATGCTTTCAGGGTGCAGGCTCACGGGCCTACCATGCTCTTGAAGCGTTGACTCTTCAGGCTGATATGGAGGAGCGTAAGCACAAGGCCATTTCTTCTTGACGCAATTCGCACATTGAGGTACACCCTGATTGCAGCGACTCTTCTGTTTGCGGCATTGCAAACACGCGTTTCCAGCGCGAAGTTTTCGAGGTTGGTTTGGTGCTACATTGGGACAAGGACTTGGGGCTTCGTCATACGCTCCGTGGGCAAGACTGCATGCAAAACCGAGCCTTTGGCAAGGTTCGCAGCCTGGAGATCTCCCATGGCAGCGCACTTTCCGATGATAACACTGCTCGCAGCTCTTCTTCGTTCTCCTGGCAGACAGCCGGTGTATACTCATCTTTCACTGTTGGTCGAGCCATGGGCGATGGAGTCTAGGAGACTTGGAAGCCTCGGTAATATCGGAGTACAAGAAAGCATGAAGAAGCTTCGAGCTCGCGAGTTTGATCGAGGTTAGCATCGATTCATAGAGATCAAGAGGTCGTTATGATCGCTGGAGCTTACCCCACATTTCTATGGCTGCCGAGGTACGGTCAAGCAGTGTCAACCACTGGCAAACAATCAGGGCCTGACTTAAACCCAAAGAAGGTGAGCACCGAGACGAGGCTGAAGACGCTTGCTGGCGCCCCAACAAGGGAAAGCGCGACCCCGGGGTTGTCCATTGGCGTGTCGATCTCGCCGTGTTTCCCCTTAATTTTTGAAAAGTGCAGCTTCACGTCGTTGTCCTTCGCTTCACCGTCAGCGCCGTGCGTCTCTTTATCCTCCTTCTCTTCTACACCTCTGATTAGTCGCTTAGCCGTGTCAACCGCATCGCCTTGCAGCGTCGTCTTTTTTTGGCCAGCGCCCAGCTCATCGCTTAGTTGTTCGCCAACATGTCTTCACCCATGAATGCGGTATGTCCATGTCCTCATCTTGACCCCTGACCACCGTGACCGACGACACCTTCCTTGACCATGAACTCAACTAACCGTATGCGTATTGCGCGACTGAAGGTGCGGCGGAAGAAGAATGTCAAGAAGGGCATCCAGTTCTGTCTCATGGTCTGCGGCGCAAGTGGGACTGGTACGTGCTTCTCTACTCTTCTCAACTCGCTTTCGTCTGACCCCTGTACTGACTCAAACAACAAGGCCGGACCACCTTTGTCAACACCCTTTGTGGAAAGCGAGTCCTCCAGCCCAAAGACGCAGACGACGCAGCCAATGCTCACCTCGAGGAAGGCGTCAGAATCAAGCCAGTCACTGTTGGTACGTGCAAGAAATAGCTACATCATAAGAGAGGTCTGTGGTCTGACCGCCACATACAGAGCTGGAATTGGATGAGGAGGGCACCCGCGTGTCTTTGACCATCGTCGACACCCCCGGCTTCGGCGACCAGATTGACAACGAATCGGCCTTTGGCGAAATTGTAGGCCATCTCGAGAGACAGTACGACGATATCCTGGCCGAGGAGTCTCGTATCAAGAGAAACCCTCGATTCCGTGACAATCGCATCCACGCTCTTCTCTACTTCATCACGCCAACTGGTCACGGTCTGCGCGAGCTTGATATTGAGTTGATGAAGCGTCTTTCTCCACGTGTCAACGTCATCCCAGTCATCGGCAAGGCCGATTCGCTGACCCCTGCCGAATTGGCTGAGTCGAAGAAATTGGTCATGGAAGACATTGAACACTACCGAATCCCAGTCTACAACTTCCCCTACGACATTGAAGAAGACGACGAAGACACCGTTGAGGAGAATGCAGAGCTACGTGGCTTGATGCCTTTCGCCATTGTGGGTTCAGAGGACATTATCGAGATTGGCGGGCGCCGGGTTCGCGCACGACAGTACCCGTGGGGCATTGTTGAAGTCGACAACCCTCGTCACTCGGATTTCCTGGCGATTCGTAGCGCCCTCTTGCACTCCCATCTTGCCGACCTCAAAGAAATCACCCACGACTTCCTCTACGAGAATTACAGAACGGAGAAACTCAGCAAGAGTGTGGAAGGAGGCGTCTCGTACGTACCCACAACTCGTTGCTTTTTGTGCCGCTTGACTAACGTTTTGTGCCACAGAGCCCAAGATTCGTCCATCAACCCTGAAGACCTCGCCAACCAATCAGTCCGCCTCAAGGAAGAGCAGCTGCGACGTGAAGAGGAAAAACTGAGGGAGATCGAAGTGAAGTGAGTAACCCCACTCTCTGGAAGACGACTATCTTTCAGCTCTCATCGTGATTGTTCCGTCGATATGGGCACCGGCTAACAAGCGTCCACAGAGTGCAACGCGAAATCAACGAGAAGCGACAAGAGCTCCTGGCACGCGAGAGCCAGCTCAGAGAGATCGAAGCCCGCATGCAGCGTGAGCAATCAGTCGGAATGGGAGAAGACCTGAACGGCCACGGCGAGTAAGAGGCGCAAGAATGCGACACTGGGAGGCAGCCGGGGAAGACGGAAGACGTGTCAACAGGGCGGTCTCATGCAGGCATGGGTCGAACGTAGGGTGAGGCTTGAGCAGAATCGCAGTCAGGTGAGACTGGCAATGGGGGCTTCATGGCTTCGGCAGAGAGACAATGCGGTCATGTTCAGCCAGGTCAGTGGCTCAATTGCTTGTCAGCGATGGATAATTATGCAGCAGAGTACATTCTTCTAATTAGCGGTGAATGAGAGAGGCAAATGATGAGATGCCCTCTTTCCTTTTTCTGATGCGCTGGAGCATGCATGCGTGCTGCATTTTTTCAGTGGTGACCATGTACGGGCGTGGTGACTGGGTGGCATGGGCAGCCCTCGAGAGGCCCGAACCTTTCCTGCCGCAGCCTAACACTTGACCAACATCCCATTCGCTGGTGCCTGACAGACAGACCTTCTGACCGTGTGCCGCCTCCCAAGTCCGACCCGGTTTGGTGATGCGGTGCACGGACGGAAGCCCGGAAGGTGACGGCCTGTTGGGCTCACAGGCTACAAGCTCTCAGCTCGATGGCAACAGCGAGCGTGGGGTGCATGCAGCCCGGTGAGTTGCACCCCAATCAGCTGAACGATGGACGGCTGCGAGTCAAACCGTTTGGTGACGGGGGTGTCGCTGCATTCTAGAAGCGCGGTGCCCCTCCTCCGCAAAACGCTTCCAGCCTGCCAGTTGCACGACAGAAAGGCTTGACTCGATATCCAAGGTCGGCTGTCTCACCTGCGAGCTGCACCACGACATCACTGTTCACACCGGTTCTTTCAGTCTGACCACTGCCAGGGAATCCACTGAATTAAATCGCGCACTGTGTACCCAGACCTAACTCGGACCTTCATCTGATAGAGGGTAGACGCATGATGAATGGAGGCGTGACAACTCGTCTGGGAAGTATAGCCTAACGAGGCAGGAATGAGTGTGCGGCCAGAGTTCAGAGCGAATCCAGGCAACAATCTCCCAAGCACCCAGACGACCATGACTCGAGGTGAGCTTCACGAAGAGGCAACTAACCGGTGGTCCACTCAGGCAATAATGAAGCAGCATTCAGGGTACAGTGAGGGGATGATTGTGCGCTCACTTTCCTAGCCTAGTGCGTGGGGGGCGACCTCTTGCAGCGACACCAAAGAGGGCAACACCCTTGGGATCACAATCGGCGCGGAGTGCATACTGCAATGCACAAGGTCTGTGGCTGCAGTAGCCTTGACCGAAGCGAGCTGAGGGCGGAAGCAGTAAGGGACCGTGGGTTAGCACAAGAGAAAGACCTCAACACTCGGACAGGGAACGTTTGAGACGATTGTTCAGAATGGTCAAGGTGATCGTTATTCCCAAGTGTATCACTGCCAGGACACTCACAACAGGGTGAGATTATCCTCAAAAACCCTTCAGGCCAGCGGCTCTCGATAGCCGAGTCCTCGTGATCGACAAGCCCATTCTGCCAGCAGCGCAAATCCGGCACGCGGTTATCAGGTTGGCATCATCCCCCACGCTTTCTCACTTGCACCTGCCGATCGTGCATTTACAGCTTCCGTGCCAGTCGATCAACGGTGGAAAAACAATGTGAGAAGCATCGATGCTTGTCTATTCTAACTAGTATTATGCGGAGCCTCATCTCGTTGCCCAACAGTGCTGTCAATAGCTTAACTTGCTTCTTAAATGCTCCACTGCTGATCTTAGCATAGTCGTGCCTTGTCTTCCGAGCGATTCCGTCGAAGAGAGTCGCTTGAACACTCCTCCAACTCGTCATCGAGACTCCGTTCACTCAAATCTTCGATAACCTGCCAATCAGGCTGTTCGGGTCTCGCGGTACATAGGTGTGTCCTTCACAGCATCATCCTCATAAATAGAACAACACCGGGCGAGCGTGCCGTATGATGCCCCGACTCGTCGGAGCGTCTGGGCGACCAACATCAAAGCCGTTGAGCAGCCAGATCAGGGTCAGACGCGGAAGGGGAAGAGCCGGTCTGAGACATCATTCCCAACCACTGACACGGCGAGTGGCAGCCACGCGGAGCAAGACTCTTCTGAGTCTCCCAAGAGAACAACATCCAGTCGACCGACTATCGTTGTGTCTCGCCGGTTGAACCGCCGAACTCAATGAGCGCAAGCTTATCTTCAAGAACCTTAATAAGAATCTGGACCCGCTTGCTGGAAAAGACAACATCCCGCCCTCTGTCGGTTCTCGCCCCACGGGAAATCGCCATTTGTCCCAGTACCTCCTGCGTATCCTGGGACCGTGTTACAGACTCCAGTTGCTGCACTATTCGTTCATACTGCGTCTGTGGCATATTCGCTTAAGTCCTCAGACGAGGGATCACGCCTCGATAATATCAGAGTACTCTTGTTCGGGAAGCCCCACCATAAGGATCTAAACTCACCACAGTCAAATATTCGACCTCGGACGAGATCCAGTCCTCCCCCATACTCCAACTCAACATCAACCTTTTCAGGTGCCGTCAAGTCGGAGGACCTACCTCGGTTATCTCTCTTCGCACGCTCAAACCTCCCTCGCTGTTCAAGCTGGCTCATCTCCGGCTGCTGTTTGTTCACAAGATCGAAAATTCTCATTCTACCCGCTCCACTTGTTCTTATCCGCGGAGGGACATTGGTGGTGATGGCCAGTGAGCCACCACCCCTGCCGACGCGCACTTCTAGTGGATTCAGCATCTTAGCCAAGATACGATCTCACAAGGATTCCAAACATTCGAGTCCGGGAATAGAGCATGTGCGTCGGAGTACCAGTTATGATAGCAACTCCAGCCCACCAGCCAAGTCGTCTCCTTTCTCTTCTCCTGCCCTAGAAGGCTCCGGGGTGAAGAGTAGGCGTCTGAGCGTGGATCCTCGAGATGACTTCGTTGTCAGCGTCTGTTCACTAGACGAAGAGTTTGTCTCAGCTTCGAAGATCGGTCGCAGGAAAGAGATTGGTAAAGGTGCCAGTTCGACGGTGAAGATCATGCAGAGGAAGGGCGGTAAGAAAACGGAAGGGACGACGCTCTATGCAGTCAAGGAGTTCCGCAAGAGATCCTCCAGGGAGACCGAGGAGGAATATATCCGGAAGGTGAAATCAGAATATACCATTGCCAAATCGCTCAACCATCCGAATATTGTCCAGACTGTGCGGCTTTGTACCAGCAACGGCAGATGGAACCATGTCATGGAGTACTGCCAACAAGGGGAGCTTTTCAGCCTGATGGAACGAAAGTATCTGAAGGCTGCTGATCGGAATTGTATCTTCAAACAAGTCCTTCGTGGGGTCGAATACTTGCACAGCCACGGTATTGCGCATCGAGACATCAAGTTGGAGAACCTGCTGATGACAGACGACGGTTATATCAAGATCACCGACTTCGGGGTCTCGGAAGTCTTTTGTGGCGATCATCCAGGTGTAGCAAGCTCGCGAGGACGTTGCGGACAAGGCATGGGAAATCCGCGAAGATCTGCTCCTGGCATCGTTGGTTCGAGGCCGTATATCTCGCCAGAGGTACTGTCCCGGGACAGACAATACGATCCTACCGAACTGGATGTCTGGGCATGCGGTATTCTCTTCATGACGATGACTCTCGGCGGTAATCCATGGCAAAGTGCAAGCAAGGAAGAGGTGAACTATGCTCGCTTTCTTGAGGGGTGGATGGCGTTCTTGGACCGCATTGGAGACACTCCAATCGATGAGAATTGTCATCCTCAATGTGGGCCCATGTTCAACGCTTTGCCATCAGACTCGGTCCGGAGGTGTATCCTCAAGATGCTGCATCCGGATCCGGAAAGGCGATGCACCATCGGTGACGCCCTGAACGACCGCTGGGTCAGGGTCATCGAGTGCTGCTCGCGAGAAGATACCGACTCGACGGTGGAGGCCATCGATGTGGCCAAGACAGGCTGCCACATGGTGGCAGCAAGAATGAAGGTCCAACCCAAGCACGACCATTTGCCTCCACCAATCAAGCGGTTGCCTCAGCATAGTTTCAGCATGGGTGATGGGACGTCGCGGTATGACTGATGGGGAACGGGCTTGACTCTCAAAGGCGTTGAAGGGTGACTCTGCGGGTGGGGTCCTCGATGTCTCTTCCCTTCTATTCTCTGTGTCATCGACTCTTGCTTGCGTTACGAAGTGCTCGGAAGCGCAGGAGTAAAGGTCTGTCTGTTCCGCGCGAGGTTGGGTTCGGCGTTGCAGCAATCAGAGGTACTAAAATTCAGGGGGTTCTCTGCATTGGGAGGTCCAAAAATGGGTGGTAGACTGCATTCACAAATTCCATAACGGCCGCAAATGAATACATCAAAGCACTTACGGGAACCGCACCAACGCAGACCAAAGGGATATGAAGATGTCTTCGATCGCATACTTGAGGTCACTGAAGTGTTGAATGCTGAGATCAATGTTGATCAGTGTGAGTGAAACTGCTCCTGAGTCCTGAGTCCTAACCGCCTTTGCCAGCGCAGACATGATCCGTGTGCATTATCCCCTGAGCATTCGTCATGAACATGCCTGCCGAGAAATTTCCACGTGAACAGCCAGGTACCCGCGACCGGAAGCGGAGACTCGCATACTTCCGAGAGCAAGTACATAGCAAGGACGTGGGCGGATGATTGGCGAAGAAGAGGTGGTGCATGTGGTGATAGTAGCGACGGAATATCTCATTACTCCATGCCGAAAGATGGTGGGCCATCTCACGTGATGGCAGCTTCGTACCTCGTATCGCACTCATCGGGACAATAGCCGAAGCCACATAAGCCACCGTCAACAACACATGCATGCCACGTCGCCCACTACGAAACGTCCAAGCAGCGATAGCGGCCACAAAATAATTAGGCCGAGGTCTGCGTTCAACTCGTACTTGTGTGCCGTTTAATCTTCCCCATATACCTAAGTACCTACCTATCCAAGATCATTGCCATTCACCGACAGTGAGTGAGAGACACCCTCTTTTTCATCTTAGCTGTATCTTCCGGGCCAGACTTCCACTGGTAAACCCTGATCGACTGCGGCCGAGTACATCCTAGGTCATAGGCGGCCGGCATCGGAAGGAGGCAACCCCAGAATTTCTGTCTCGGACGAAGCCCTGTAACTTGGACTGGCAGGGAAGCGTCGACTGAATTACGTTTAGTCCTGAGAGGGAATTGCGAAAGCTCTCTACCGTGGAAACGAAACAAGACCTCACAGCATCTTCTTTTGAGGAGAGCGACTCTACGGCAGCGGCATTGCAGAGCACGTCCTGATTAGATCGTCACTGCCCGGTCGTTTGCGTCGAATACTGCAGCGGAAGACCTGGCCCCCTGGCTTGTTTGCCTCTGGCCAGTTAGGCAAAAGGGGTATCAACAGTCAACACTGCAGAGAGACTATCAGAAGGCATCACCGCTTGACACTTCTTCGTCTCGGCTCGGAAAGGAATTGGCTTTGAACACTGCTGCACCTCGACCGGAGAAGGATCGGCTTGGACATTGTCGTGTCTCGACCAGAAAAGAAACCGGCTTGCACAATTGCTGCATTTCAACCAGAGAAGAACCGGCTTGAAGGACTGCTTCGTCTCAACCAGAAAATTAACGGGCTTGATACTGCTTTCTCTCGACCAGAAAGACCCGGCTTGAGTCGTATTTTCCCGCACCCGACTTTCCACCATCCACCGTTCCAGACGCGCGTCAATTCCGAGTAAGTCATCAGATGGCACATCCCACCACCATCGATCCCGCCGACAACGAGGCCCCACAACCAGACCATCCCTACCAGCCCTACATGGACACCGCACCACCACCCAACGCGGGCCTCTCCGACGCCAACGGCATGCCTCTCACAGAACGCGAGATCGAGTCGCTTGAGACCCAAGCCCGCGCCGAGCGAGAAACAACACCCGAGCCCAAGGATTTCAACATCGCGTTCCCAGATAACCTGCCCACCCCGCCGTTCTTGCACGTCGACGGCGTGCCCAACTTCAGAGACCTAGGCGGGTATCGATGCGCGCCTCCGACAGAGATGACAAGCGGTGCTGCAGACGGCGAGGGCAAGGTAACGTACGTCCTGCGGCGAAACCTGCTCTACCGCTGCGCGCACCCCACGCACTTGACGCCGCAAGGCCTTGACTACCTCACAAACACACTGAACGTGCACGACATGTACGACCTGCGATCCGCACCCGAGATCGCGCGCCTCGCCCACACAGTCGCGTCAAGTGGCCAAGCGATCTATCCCCTCGCGGACCCGCAGACGGGCTGCCTCCGCGACAACCTCCCAGGCCTCACGAGGCACTTCGTCCCCGTGTACCAGACCGAGGACTACGGGCCCGTGGCCCTGGCGCGGAAGCTGCAATGGTACACGGCCGAACAATCATTCAATGCGGGCCACGACTTCCCCTACAGCGAGGGCTTTGTGCGCGCGTACCGCGACATCGCCACGCACGGGGCGGGCGCCTACCGCGTCATGTTTAGGCATTTACTCCGCTCGCCGACTGCCGCTCTGGTCTTCCACTGCACGGCGGGCAAGGACCGGACGGGCGTCTTTGGCGCGCTGGTCATGAAGCTTGTCGGGGTCGACGAGGAGACGATCTGCTGGGAGTACGCGCTCACGGAGCCCGGACTGGGGTCGTGGCGCAAGGAGTTCATCGAGCGGATCAGCAAGACGGGTCTGGGTGGTGGGGGCGGGAAGGCTCACCACGAGAATGGCGATGCGGCCGGTGCCCGCCCCGCAATCTCGCGCGACGAGGCCGCCCGTATCTGCGGCAGTCGGGCCGGCAACATGCGCGCCTTTCTGCGGACCGTGCTGGACGGCGAGTTTGGTGGTGTCCATGCCTATTTGACGGATCGGTGCGGACTTACGGCCGAGGAGGTGCAGAGGTTGCGGGACGCGCTGATCGAGGAGGTATCCACGGAGGAGGTGCTGGCACGGGTCGAGATTGAGGGCTGGACGGCCGAGGAGGGTTGCGTGGATTAGGTTCCGCAGGACACGCACAGCTGTCGTCGCAGTCATCAAGGTCGCCGCAGTCACCGCATTGACCCGGCCAGACTAAAGGGGATAGAAGGATCAACCACGAGATGGACGGACTGAACGACTATTGGTAGCTGATTCAGCTGATCGGCTGGTCTATGGGTACATTGACAAGATAGCGTCGTTGGGACATTCCAAGATGAGACAACACAGATCAGCTGGGTTGAGGCGTTCTATCATGGTTCTTAACACTAGAAATGGAAGCCAGGCAATCCGTAAAGATATAGAAGACATTACTCGTAGTACAGGACGGAAGGAATAAGGAAGAATCGTTCCAACGCGCAAGTGGCCCGCTGGTCCCTTGTTGTAGACCGGTTCCTGCCTGATGTATGCTTCCTGCCACTCTGATCAGCATGCCATGACATTCCCATAGGTAAAGGGCCTCGCCACGAGGCAACTTCGTCGAAACATGCCGCCCTTCGAGCTCTAAGTTGCAACTTGGGCGGTATCGTGGCTATGCCTGAGGCTCCCAGCGTTCGCTCTATCTATGGGTGGTCTCCAAGTGCGCAATATGCAATAGCCGCGGCTCTTTGCACCTATGCTTGCTGATTCTCCGAACTGAAGCTGACCAGGCCCGTCGCCTGTGATCGTGTAGTCTGTCCCTAGGGTGATCACAGAAGAGCTGGCTCTTAAAAGTGACCTGTCACTCGCAGGAACTGCAGTGTTCAGATCGTTCTGAACGAAGACTCCGAGCTTGACTCGAGATCCAAGGCACGATCGTCGGATACCCATCCTAGGCGTCATTGTTAATATCCATCTCCTGTCAAATCAACACAATCTCCTCCAACTCGTTTGCGTCGTCCGGCCAAGCTTCGCCGTACATGATGCCGTGGACGTAGACGTGGGTGATGAGTCTGTATCCTCCATCGACAGGGCGGAGCAAGAGCGGCATCTCCATGCCTTGGACCACAGCGATCACGTCTCCAGGAGCGGCCGGCGTAGGTAAAGGGTCTGGTGCCAAGCCGAAATACCCTTTCTTCGTATGGAAAAAGCATTTGTGACGGCAATGACTCTCGGCTGCCAGGTGAAACTTCCAAATAGATCGCCAAACCTTTGAGAACAATTGAGTGGGTGTCTGGAATTCCAAATATACCTTCAAGTGCGCCTCATCACCAGGCAACGGCCGATTGGGGTCTGCGGCATTTATATTTTCAACACCGATCTTGACAAACTCCAAATCACTGGCTGTTGTGGCTCTGAGCCATGGGTTGTAGGCATTAAACTCGGCATACAGAGAGGCGAAGGTAGGCTTGTCCATCAACAAGGTCCGTAGTAGAGCTTTCTCCCAATCTTCTCCTGTAGGATAGCAATTTCCAGGGTTACTCTTCACCCAAGCGGTCATGATCTCAAACGTCTCTCTGTGAGCGTCCAGGATATCGTCCCTTGGGGATATCATGTCGCGTAAGTTTCGATCACGCCAAATATTGCCAAGTCGGTAATCCTCGGTTACCCCTTCTAATCGAAACGCGACAGAGTCGAAAATTATTCCCGACACGATGAGACGATCCGCATCCGGTGAAAATCGCCATCCTCCGCGTGAATCTTTGGCTGCAGCGAACTGTTTGTAGCTGAAGCAATGTCTGTGATCCGGTTCCTTCCAGGCCGGCTGGCTCCAATCCGGGACCCACGAAGCAAGGCCTGGCCTGCGACTAGCGGTGGGTACACAGTAAAGGACAAATAAACTCTGATCGTGCTTGATAGTTGCAACCACCGACTCCTTGTATATACGCTGCACAGTTTTCTTATAGTCAGGCTGAGGCATCTCAAATTGAAGTTCCTGCAATATTCCATACAATGCGAAAACTTTGTCCTTTGGGTTTGTCGCCAATTTATCCCGTGCTTCATCAAATATGAGACAGAGCGAGGAACGATAGCCTTCCGCGCGTGGTGCAGACTGTGCGGAAGGTGCCAAAATGTTCGCGCTTTCGAACAGTTGTTGTTCGTATGCTCCCTGTTCTAGAGATAGCACGGAGGCGAGGAGTCGTGTTTGTAGACGCATAGCCCGAGCACATATATCCCAGCTGTACGCCGTGACTTCCATTGCGAGGCCCAGCTGGACCAAGTGTACCCAAGGCACGATGGCACTGCCACACCCAACTATGACCCGATCAGAACGGCCTAGTACGGCTTCTTGAATGGTCCAGATGCGATAAAACCAAGATCTCCTGGAAATGGGACGAAAAGGGTCTTCCGCCGCACTTGTGATGCCTGTCATCGTGTCAGACCCGTCAACAGATGTGCTCGCTTTTCTTACCAGTCGAAAGAGCTCGGAGCCTCAGTTTTAACTCGGCCGAGCTCTCAAAGCGTTGAGGTTGGTTGATAACGTTCTCGACTGCCAACATGGCAATTCTGGTATCGTCGTCCATCTCACCAAGCCATATAATGACTGTGTCCGCCTTCTTGAATATCTCGCCCATGAAGGATACCTGATGGTTTCGCTCGCCTATGGCATCCTCGGTTTGATCAATGCATATGCTATCGATCCACATCAATCGTGAATATGTCTTGCCCCGAAGATAACGAAGAGCAGCTTCACAGTTTGGCGTGACGGGTAAAACTCCGTTCCCGCAGTCGAGTTTGGTGCTCCCAGCCGGAGCATCCCACGAATATGATAGTGCGGCGTAGGGAAGAGGCTGATCCAGCGTTGTCTCCACGATGCAGAAGTTGAGAGGTGCTGCGTGGTTTTCAGCCGGAAGTAACACCACGAGACGAATGTGCCGAGGGCTCGAAAGCGGTACATGCATATATTGTCGCGACATGACAAGCTATATGAATCGTATACAATCTGGCAGGAAGTACTTCCTGTCATGAGGGCCTGTCGAGCTTCTTCAACCTCAGCAGCGTCGGCGGTGTGGATGAGGCTGAGCCAGGGACACAAGGCAACTGTTCGCCCGAAACGGGAAGCCGAACAGAGAAAACATCTGGTTACTTTGCGACCTGCTCGTTGCTCCGCCTCACGCTGCAGACGCTAAAGTTGTTCCAATGAGGTGGCTGTGATGTAGTGTGGTTTTGGATAGACGAGTAAGGAAGGACCAGTAGACCGTACTGGCTGCAGCTGGGCCGCAGACTCGTAGCTGTCGTGGCATAACGACGAGGAAAGCACAGGTTTTGCGCGAGTGGTCTCACCCATCTTGCCATCAATCGAGGGTGTAGGGCAGTGAACATGGACACGGGCATGGACATGGACATGGCGGTGGGCAAAGCAGGATAGACAAGAGAGGAAGCCTGCCATCAGCCTCGTTCGGGAGGGAATGTTTTGACTTCCTGCACAGCGAGAGGCGCAGTTTAGGGCCACACCTGCATGCTTCGGGCCCATCTAGCAACGCCGACTATGAAGAATGGAATGAGTAGCCATAGACACAGTGATGGGACGAAGGAAGTCACACTGGAACAGATACTTGCCGCTGACAATCCGTGTTTGGCAGACGGTACCGTCTGGTGAAATACCTGTCTCCAAACCGGGCTGGATACTCAATCTGCTTCTCAGCCTTGATGCTCGGTCGCTCCTATTCAATCTCAATCTCGTCTGTCGCTCACCTCACCTCACTCTACTCCCTCAACTCTCCCTCCTTCCCTCTCCACCAATATCCCTCGAACTATTGCCCCGGACAAGCGACCCGGACGTCCCATGCGGTGCACGCGTGGGACTGGCGCTCGCACTGGCATTGCCACCCGCAGCCGCCCTCTTATCCTTCTTGTTGATCAGATTCGCAAAGAACTGCGACATCGCCTCATTGCTCTGTTTTCCTGCCGCGTTCGCCGCAGGAGTGTGTGCGCCTTCGCTGCTGCCTCCGCCTCCCCCATGATCGCTCCCCATCCTCCTCATCGGTGTACTCGTCCCCACTGGACCGGAGGTAGGCGGGACATTCTTCGCATTCTGCCGCTCACTCTCCCGTTCTCTCAACCGTCTCGTCGCCTCCTCGGGGTCAAAATCAATGCCGTTCACGTTGATCTGATATGGACCGATATGTTCCGCCATCCTTGGATTGCTGACGCCTTTGGGCCCCATGTCCTCGCTGCCACCGTCAACACTTCCTGCCACACCTGACCCCGTGGGTGCAGGGGCTCCTTTGCGAGACTTCCGCTCTGCCTTCTCGTCCTCGGTCTTGAGCTTCTCCAGGACTTCATATTGGGCTTGGAGGAACTCTTGCACGGTGGGCACCGAGACCGTTTCGTCCTGGGAGCGTGGCTGGAAGGACTGGGGGGCGGAGGCGGGGTGACGGAGGGTCGACTCGAAGAGATGTACCGCTGATTCTGCGTCCTCGCCGTTCTGTGTCGGGTGATCTTGCTCCGGCCCAGTAATTGGTCTAGATGACAGATCAAATTTCTCGTCAGGTGGTGACTGGATCTCGACGGACCATGCATTCCCAACGGCCTCGGGGTCGAATCCGTCCTTCAAAATGCGAATCTTGCCCCACGAATCCCAGTTCGGAGGAACGAGAATCTTGTCCCGGTCGACAATGTTGTGCTTTGCAACTTCCCGCTTCAAGAGCGAATGGATGCTCAGGCTCGAGTGGATCAGTGTCCGGACATTGTTCGAGTCGAAAGTCGCGGTGTACACCAACGAAGAGCCATGCTTGAGTAATACGCAGCGAAGCCACTGCATCAAAAAGTCAAACTGATCCTCGCCCCAGCCGTAGTCTCGCTCCAGGTTCTGAATCTTCTCAGCTTGGATGCACACCACGGACAGTGGAATCCCGAGTCCTTCGTTCCACTCGCCCGGTCCCGGCGGTACAACCGACTTCTGCTCCGCGGTGTCTTTGCCTCCGCCACCCAGTTGTGCAGAAGGTGCGTCGGGACCGACTCTTTTCTCCTTCCACGCAGTGATGACTTCTTCCATTTCAATCTTCGTCTGCTCGTCCAGCGTCAAGATCACGGCCCTGAGTAAGCGGATCCACTGTCGTAGTTGCCTGGCCCATTTCAAGGGATCTGACCAGTCGAGAAGGATGGTAATTAACGTGTGCTTGACCGTCTTTGCCGTGAGAAGCGGCCTGAGTAGCGGTGCGAAGCTCGCCGATGGGTGAGCAAGCATGTATACATTCAGCCTGGCCAGGACGTCCTCCTGATCCACGTCGAGCACGTCGTGGTATGTGTATCCGAGCGCATAGCGATTCGAGATCGGTGCCGTGCGTGGCTGCCGTCTTCTGTCGTTGTTGGCATATCGAGGCCGTAGGTTAGGAGGGTTCAAGTGGTCGAGGAACTCGCGCTGTTGGTCGGGCGTGTCGCCCAGGACGATGAGTTGTTTTTCGGTCAGATCCTTGCCCTTGGAGGCTCGGTTGAGCATCGGCACCCATATTGCTTGCTTGTCGCCATCTTTGCTGCCGGGGCGGCGGAGGGAGGGAATAGGTGTGGTCGATGGCGACGAGCGAGGAAAGGCGGGACTTGGTTGAGACGCTGTCAGCATTGTAAACGAGTAGGTGGGGGATTGATCTTGCGCGACGACGACTAGGCGCAGGGGACCAGCAGCTGCTGAAATTTCAGTGCGCAATGCAATAGTTAGTCTCCCTGTCGACGCGTGGATGCACTGAAGACGAACATTTGGGGTTCGCAGATCGCGTCTTCTCCGCATGGCGCACCCATGGATTCCCCTTGCACCCTACGACTAACTCAAAACTTAAGCTCGATTTTAAGCGTTAGGGCTGCTAAAGATACTGTGAGGACTGTGTATTATTTCTCCGCAGGCACCGACTCGACGCCAGAATTTGCGTCCCGCCAGAACCACTGAGAATATTCCTCCGCAGGCTGGGTGGCAGGCATCGCTGCCAGAATTTGCATCCCATCTTCACGACACTCACGACCTTGGACGAAGGATGCGCTGAGGTCTGAGACCTCCCTCTTGAACACTCAACTCGTCAAACGCCGCCACCATGAACGCGATCCGCCAAACCCAGCTCCTGAACAAGCGCGAACTCGAAAACGCCACACCCCCCTCCGCCTCCTGGCACGCCGACTACCGCGACACCGCGTGGATCTACATCGGCGGCCTGCTCCCGGACCTCACGGAGGGCGACGTCTGCATCATCTTTTCGCAGTACGGGAACCCCACGCACCTCAATCTGATCCGCGACAAGGAGACGGGGAAAAGCAAAGGCTTTGGGTTCCTCAAGTATGAGGACCAGCGGAGTTGTGATCTGGCCGTGGACAATCTCGGGGGCGCGGACGTGTTGGGCCGCCTGCTGAGGGTCGATCATACGCGGTACAAGAGGCGTGATGACGAAGATGAGGAGACGTATCGCGTTGAGAGGTTGGAGGCGCTGCAGGAGGCTGAAGAGAGGATGAATGCCAGCGGGAAGAGAGGGGGTGGGAGTGGGAGTGATACCGAGGATGAGGACAATGTGGCCGACGGGCACAAGAGAAAGAACAAGCGACGGCGCTTATTACTCAAGGAGGAGCAAGAGTTGGAGGACATGCTGGCTCCCGCGCAGGACGGCGAGGAGGAGGATCCCATGCGGGAATACCTTATCCGGGAGAAGAGGGAGGAGGTTGAGAGGGCAAAGGAAAGAGAGGCTACAAAACGGGAGGGGAAACACCGGCATCGAAATGACCGGGATCGGGAAGCGGACAGTGACGAGGACACAGATCGTCGGCACCGTCACCGGCACCGTCACAGGCATCCAGCTCGAGATCCTCATGACCGCGTGGACACAAAGGCTCAGCGCGATACCGAGCATAGCGAGGAGAGGCGAAGGGATCACCGTGATGATGATGATAGACGTCAAAGGCGCAACGATGAAGGTCATCGTCGCGGTGGAGATCGAGAGACGAGTAGAGAGAGGGAGCACCGTCACAGACATCACCGCACAGATAGTAGGGAGAGGAGGTCCCCCGGGGACCGAGAGACGAGTAGGGACCGCCGTCAAAGACATCATCGCACAGATAGTCGGGAGAGGAGGTCCCCGCCGGATCGAGATCGGGATCGTCCTTCAAGACGCCACGACGATGGTTGATGATTGGCACCTAGTACGCTCTTCGGTATGCCATTTACGGTCCAAGATCAGGGTTTTGTGGCCAAAAGATATCCAGAATCCTCCAGACACTCGCCTGGCAGTGGTGCTACTTCAGCAATCAGTATACTCAACGACTGTTTTGACCTTCCGACTGTTTGAGTAACTCGACGCCCAAGTCCCTGAGCTTGAACTTCTCTGCAGAAACACACAGGTCAGCCAACGCACCCTATCAAGAAAGCTGATCTGCTGGTCAGTACTTACGGATCTTCCCGCTCGCCGTCTTCGGGTAATCCTGCACAAAGAACACATGCTTGGGCACCAAGTAATGGCCCATCCGCGCCTTGACCCAACTCCGCACTTCCTCGGGCGTGATATCCGTCTCGCCCTCCGGCAAATGATGTCTCTTGACCACAAACGCGGCCACCACCTCTCCGTAGCGCTCATCGGGCAATCCCACGACACTGACCTCGGCGATCTTGTCATGGGCGAACAGACAATTCTCGATCTCCAAGGGGTGGATGTTCTCGCCGCCGCGAATGATCAAGTCCTTGATGCGGCCCGTGATGCTCACGTAGCCTTCTTCGTCGATGGATGCCTCGTCGCCCGTGTGCATCCAGACTTTGCCCTCATCGTCGGTTTTCATGGCCTCGGCCGTCTTGTCGGGCTGGCCCCAGTACTCTTTCATGACCAAGTACCCGTGCACAGCCAATTCACCGCGCTCCCCTACATTTAGGACGCGATTGTGGTCGAACGGGTCCACGACTTTGGCTTCAACGTGCGGCAGCAGGCGGCCGACCGTGTTGATTCGTTTCTCGAGCGGATCGTCGGTCGTGGTCATCGCAGAGACGGGCGACGTCTCGGTCATGCCGTAGCAGATGGTCAACTCCGTCAGGTTCAACGTCTTGTGCAGCTTGCGCATCAATTCCGCCGGGACAGAGGAGCCCGCGGCGATCCCCGTGCGCAGGTACTGGAACCCCTCGTAGGCGACCTTTTCGTCGTTGATCAGCTCTAGCTCGGCGAGGAACATGGTCGGAACGCCGTAGAGAGCCGTCGCCTTTTCCTCCTGCACGGCCTTGAGCGAGGCCAAGGGGTCGAATGCTTCGGCGGGGAAGACAATCGCTGACCCGTGCGTCGCTGTTGCCATGTAGCCTAGGATACACCCGAAGCAGTGGAATAAAGGTGGCGGGCAGCACACGACATCCTGCGGCGTCAGGAGCATCCTGTCACCTATCTGGTTGCCGTTGTTCAGGATGGATCGATGCGACAGACACGCGGCCTTGGGCATGGACGTCGTCCCCGAGGTGAACTGGATGTTGACCACCTCGTTGTTCGATAGTGGAGCAGAAGGCGTCGGAGGACTGCTGTCCGAATCTTGGGATATGGATCCCCAAGGTGTCGTTGCGCGGAAGGGACTCGGGTCGATGCGTCCTGCAGAGTTATCCACCAGGATGATGTTCTTGAGCGAGGGGACTGTTTCCGAAGCCAGACTTGAGCTTTTCAAATCAGACACGATGGCCTCGAGAAGCGATACATTGGGCCGGGGCGGCTTGTACGGTAGATTCGTCTCGGTGCCAATGACGAGGTGCGAAGCCGAGAGGTGGTTGAATGCCGAAATGACCTGTGGTGCCGTAAATGCTGGGTTCAAGGGCACCAGGATGGCCCCGAGTTTGAACAAGGCATATGTAATGGTCGCGAATTCCAGGTTGTTCCCCAGAGATACACAGACTCTGTCTCCCTTTTCGACTCCCAAGCTTTGTAGTCCCCGGGCCACCACATTGCTGTCGAGGTCGAGTTGGTGGTACGTCAACCGTTTATTTTGGTGTCTTGAAATCACAGCGTTGCGGTCACCGTGGGCGGACACGATGCGGGAGAAGTTCTCACCGACCGTCTCTTCGAGCAGAGGGGGTTCTGAGGGGCCCTTCACTTTGGCAAGGGTCAGGAGGCTACGGCGTGCTTGGAGATGTGGGAGTTGTCCATGGCATCGTGGTGACCGCGGTCGCAAGAATGCCCGCATGGCTCTGGCATTGCCCTCTGGAGCCGGCACTATCTATTGCCGAGGATATGTCGCTGTCGTGCCAGCATGCGTTGTGATGTCGCCAGTGAACAGCAGGAAGAGCCTAAATGCTTCGCCTGGTCGCAACGACAAACAGCAAGCTGAGTTGAACGCATCCCTGGACTGTGGACGAACACTGCGGTCCTCGGCGGCCGGCTTCATCGCGGTGATGCCGAGCTTCGACAGTAATTAGCTTGAGCTGACTCGTACCTGACCGCAGGAGCGGGGGCGGCTACGCACGGCTAGAAAAAGTTTGTGGGGTTAAACATCAGATCAGATCGGGGTGTCCGGCGCCGTATAGGCCTCCGAGGCACCGGCGACGTAGCAATCGTCATGTCCATGAAATTCTGTGCATGTTAGGTCTCGTCTGGAAAAAGTGCAAAACAGAAAGCACCACTGGAAGAAGAAGAGGTCTGAAAAGGCAGTACTTGAAGCCTGACCTCGCGGTTTTAGACCTCGCTTCTTGTACGCGTGCAAGCGAAGGAGAGTGCGAGATCAGTCACCAGCCGCACTAAGACAGCAGTGTGACACGCACTGGCGAGTGAGAGTGTGTCCTCGCAGCGCCTAGCGGAGTCGAGGACCTGAGCCACTTGTACGGAGTACAAACAGCCACCATCACCACTCGAAGCCAGTCCTACCAAAGCCCAGGATGCGGGGAAAGCTCAGGACGAGCGCCTAGGGCAATGCCCAGAATGAGAATCCGTATGGGGTCTCTTGTCCTCCGTAAGATGCCATTGGGTTGTCCTCCTTGTGTGTTCTCACGGCAGATGAGGGTATATCGATAGCCATACATTCCTCCGTCGCCATCGCCATTGCATGCTTGATCTCCCTGTCAGGACAACAAAATGCTTCTGCGCCGAACGAGTCTCAGCGAACAACATGCCGCCGGAAAGACCACAGCGGAACAACAGGCGCGCCGGGATTCCGACGGCCAACGACCGCTGACTTGCATGTTTTACTTTTTTGCTTCCCAAATGAAGCGCAATACCCAGCCCGCCGATTCGGACCTCGTGCGAAGAGGGACAGTAGAGGACAAGCCCACACATCGGCTGGATTCGATGATTGCAAGACTAGGCATGCAAGCCGCGTTTTCTCCTTTGATTTCCAAGTTCGACACATATCCGGCAGAGATCCCAGACGCCAGGCCCGAGAGCTCGCGACGGAAGAAGCCGGCACCTCCTCCAGGAGAAGTTCATGACACCGTCCTGATCATGAAGTTTCGCGACAAGCGCGCCCAGCAAGAATGGATTGCGACCAAAGAGTGGCAGGACTTCATGCAAAAGACAGAGGGACAGGAGGTCTTCAGGAGGATGCCCCATGTGCGATGTGCCAGCAGTGTCAGAGGCCTGATGGATCCCATGGATATCCTGACTGCTTGATGGGACATGGAGGCATATCGGAGTCAACACAGGTCGACCACACGTACCTGTGGGGTTAGGAGGTGTGCCCTTCAAAGCCTTGCCGCACATCAGCACGCGCTTCCGTGGTGATTGGCTATGCTCATGCTGCCTATGTAACCGGGCAAACAGACCGTCACGGGATAGGAGAGGCCGTGTGCCTCTTAGCATACTTGTCTTGAGAGCCCAAGCCCCTTGCGAAGCGCTGAAGGGTACACCGACTCAGCAGCCACGCGATTCGACAGCCGCTGGATTTGGCTTTCAAAAGTCCTGCACTCCGGTCTCACCTTTTAAATCATGGGCTCTGCTCCCGCTGCGGCTCCTACTCTTCCCATCCCCGTGCTCTCCCTCTTCCTCGCCGTCCACGAAATGCGGCGTTTCCTCGTCAAAATACCTATCCTGCGCGTCCCTCTCCTCAACCACCCGGTCATCGTACTCTGAATTCTGATCGACGGCATCATAGTCAAAGTCGTCATCCCCGCCCCTCAGGAACCGAGCCTCCATCTCCCACTTCCACCGGTCCAGCCCCTCCTCTTTGTTCGTAGGTACCTCATCCTTCTCTTCGGCCAGGATCTCTCCATCCGGGCCCCGTCTATACGTAAACAAGGCATGCGGGTCAGGATGGTGCAGCGCGTCTAGCTTCGCCTCGCTGCGATAGAGGTCCGCCTCCAAGATGCCCGAGTATCCCTTGCGTCGGCCTTCGGCTTCGCGCTCCTCGGGCGTCTGGAAGCGGCGGACGAGGCGGTCGTAGAGGAGCGGATCTGTGGGAGACGTGAGTTTGCGCGCTTACCTACCTGCTAAGGAGGAGCTAATGGCACACCTGCCAGCTCGAGCTGCGGGCCGAAATATTCGGGATGCCGGTCGAGATAGGTCTTGCGACGGTTCTTGATGCGGACGCGCGGAGGAACTTGGGCTTCCGCGGAGGGGGCTGCTGCGCTGGAAGCGTTATGCAGGTGAATGGGGACTCCTGTTCCTTCTGCGAACAGGGGCATTGTGCGCGACGGTGTCCTTGATCGAGGCTTTATATACACACAGGATTACAAGCGTTGCTCTCGAATGTGATGGTGAAAGGTCAACTACATGCGGGCTCGGGCTTGCTCGACGTCAAATGCCATAAAAATCCGCCGTAATGAAATAGTACTGCCAAATGTGGTAATTACGGTTGCCGGTTATGGATGAACACGGCGGCTCCGTAATTACCTGGTACAGTACCTAGGTAGATCGATAAGTCACTGTACTTTGTCGGTTTGAGATTCAGAGGATAACTGAAAGTGGCGACACCCCTCGGCGAGCGCCTCCATCTATCATGGGGTCGGTAGCTTGTAGTTGTCTTCGGATACCCATCGAAGCAGCTGCCTCCTACTGTAGCTTAGGCCACTCCCCCTTCCCCTGCGGGTCATGCAGCTTTGTACTGCGTGCGTGCGTGCGTATGTACACATTATAGTTGCGAAAGCCGCCTTCTCCAGGCGTTTTCAGACGCGTAGTTGACGAAATGGAGCAGCCCTTCACCATCCCGCTCAGATTCCGGAGTCATCCTGAAGGAAATGGTTCTTTGCCACCCATTCGTCCCATTTCTGACAGGTGTCCCGCAGCTGTTTCTGGTCAAAGGGATCGAGCTGCACTCTGGCCCCGTTCTCGACGATCTGCATTGCCAGCCCGCCTGATGCGTGAACTGCAATGTGGCCTGGAGTGAGGTTAGCAGTTGAAAGGGCAATAGATGCCAGGAGAGTAACATACAGTGCATCAGCCAGATCCCGGGGTTGTCGGCCTTGAACGCCAGCACCAGGAAGCCGCTGGCAGGCAGCAACGCCACGTCCCGCCGTGGCGGGTTCTTCAAGTTCAGGTTCAACCCGCCAATCTGGTACGGCTTGGTGGATTGCTGTAGAATCGCAAAATCATGACCGTGCAGATGGATGGGGTGAGCAAGTGGGAAGTATTGCCGGCCGGAGCGCGGGATTCCCGTGCCGGACACGAGGAAATAGACCCAACTGTCCTCGGTCGAAGAATCCTGCTTCACGACCACTGAATGGCTATTAAATTGCTTTTGCGAAGCATTGAGATTCTGCGCGAGCGTAATGTTGGAGAAATCCAGCCACATGGTGTCGCTATACATGTTCCAACGTCCTGTCTGGATACTTGCGGGCCAGAGAGAGCCTGCCGTGATATTGTCAAAGCCAATGTCGAACTGGCTATCGGCCGCAATGTTGGAGGGCGACCCGACCGTCCAGTTGAGTACCGGCACCAGCTTCGCGTATGGCTCATCACGACACTCGGTGCTGAAGGTAAGAGGATAGTCGACGGGGTCCTTCGCCTTGTTGTATGCTACGACACCGGTCCGGTTATCGACTTTCATCCCGGCTGGACTACAACCAGCGGCTGGTATGGTTCGAATCCAGTAAGAAGCATCGTCGTTGCCGTCCATGGGATTTGCTGTAACAATGATATGGTACCGCTGTCCTGTGCTCGTCGTCAGTCATATCAGAGGCACGCCAGAAGAAACCTACCGATTCCGACTACCACATGGTCTGTCATGTATGGTACAATTGGAACAAAATCGGCCCCGACTACCTGAATCTTGTGATTGTCAATGGAGAAAACAAAGGTCGTATCCACTGAAGTGTTGATGAGGCGAAGCAAATAGCGTCTCCCCCTGACGAAATCGAGCCGAAACTCCTTGCTTGGGAGGCCGGCTGGCCAGGTCCCTTTGCCACCAACCAGGATGTTTTCCGGGTCAGCTGGCCGCTTTCCATTCAGAATAGAGTTCCACCATGCAGTATACCACGGCAGGTGAGACCAGTCGCTCATCAACACTGGAGGTTGTGCCTCGTCAAAGTCTGCTGAGGATGGACCGTGTATCGTCAAGGGGCCCAACACGCCATCACCGTACTGCAGACTGTAATGGCTGTGATACCAGGATGTGCCGTACTGCATAGCTCTGAACTTGTAAGTGAAAGTCTGGCCGGGAGCGATCGGACATTGCGTGATGGCGTTGACCCCATCGTTGGCGGTTGTGTGCAACTGGCGGATTCCATGCCAGTGAATTGTTGTGCCATTGGTTGGAAGAGTATTATTCACCGTGATCTCCAGCCAGTCACCCCAGCATCTGCGCACAGGTAAGTTCATGAGCTTGCATGTCAAAGAGGCGGACACACGCTTCAATCCATGGTCCTGGGTAAGTGCCATTCACGAGCATCGCCGCCCGTGGCACTCCATCTGGCGAAATGGTTTTGTTGTTGATTTCGATATAGTACTTGCGTGTGATGCCCTCGGGGTAAAAGTTCTCGTAGTCGGTGTTGATATTGTACGATAGTTTCTTAGGATCCGGGTGCTTGAGCCAGCAGGACCGATCACCATACGTGGAACAGAACTTGTAGTCCTTTAGCTTCGGATACTCACAGCGAAAGTCGGAGCCTCTTGGTGCCGAGGGAGGGAGGAACGGCTTCGGGGGCAAGCGTTCGTCAGCAAGGAGACTCGGCTGGGCGGGCTCGGATGCCTTAGTAGAGACGGACAGTGGATGCTGGTCAGGCCATTGTTCTCTGGGCGGAGAGAGAAGAATGAACTGGAACACGGCAACGATTCTGGCCCAGAGGGACACCATCCTGACGAGACAGAGGCCAAGGCAGTGGGAGAAGAGGAATACCCCATGTTCCTGTCTCGAATAAGGTGTTGACCACCTTTTTATCTCTGTAATTGACATGACACCGATGACTATGATGCATATGGGCCTGAAGCTGCACCTTTTTGCCGGTACAGTAACAGTGCGACCCCGCCTCTTTCAGATCGCTCTGACATGCACCTCATGGCAAGAATGCTGAAGTTGACTGGTCATATCAGGGTGATCGGGCGAGAAACGCGAGTATGTCCAGCCAGCCGCTCGTCATGGCGGCAGCCATGTTTCGAAGGTGGCTGCAGCTGTTGTTGCAAGAGCTGAAGAAGCTCGCTTGCTGACGTTGTCTGTTGGTCAATCTGGTCGAGACACTGTCGATGGCTTGCAGGGGCTCCACCGATTCAGCTCCCCCACAACGGGGTCGACTGATTTACAGAAGAGGAATCGAACTTGTCAAAGCTACTGCATCGAGTGAGGCTTCTCGGCTGCTTACTGTGGTAATTGAAGCTGTGATATATTCTCGTTTCTACAGCTTCTCGATGTTTATGCAGTCAGATGGGTCTGAAGTGTCGCCGCGTGACGGCTGATGGGCAATAAGCTCAGGCCACCCAGCAGGTTAGTGTCTTGGTCTTGTGCAACAACGTCCCTTGTTCTTCCAACTGGGTTTCAAGACTCTTCTGGATGACCACCCTCACCTCCCGGCGTGGCGGCAGGAGTCACTTCTTGTCCCACGGGCGTGCAGTAAAACGATACTAGATCTAGCCAAGACAGGTTATCAATGGACCTTTAGGCCGCACAATATCTGACACTCTCTAGAGCCCGCTGAGGTTGTGATTGAGGGGCAGCATCCAACGTTGTCTCTCCATGGCTGGTTCTGGGCTCAAGATTGCATACTCTCAGCCAGCCCAGCCTTCTGGGTAGAGCAGTCCGCGCCATCAGGCATCATTGGTAGGAACAACGCACATGCTGGAGGGAGAAAGCTTCAGCTCGACCAGACATTGCCGCTGATCGGACCGCTGAAGCTGGGAGAGTTGAAAACAAGCAAAGATAAGCCTCTGAATCTCTGCTCGGAACGTCATAGCGCTTGCGTTTACATGACCCTCTCCTCTCGATGCATGTAAATGCCGTGTGCAGGATTGACCGAGTCGACCCAGCACACCCTTGGCAGCCTATTCCTTGAAGGAGGAGAAGGGAGATGAGGCTTGGAATACTGAAGCGAGTCGTGAAATATGGTCCATGTGCTCGGAAGACCTCGGGTCCTGTGCAGAGTACGGAGTATAGTGAATCTGAACATAGTCCCATGAGAGGCCACGTCAAGCTCCGCCAAATCGCGATAGCTTACAGTGACAAGACAGAAAATCACGAGCATTCTTTGACGATCAGAACGCTCACACGCACAAAAACCGCGTACCTGTTAGACACTTGTGCTACTAAATTATTCGCTGACTTGAAGCATCCTCAGATTGTTCATCTGACGCTAGACGTATTGCTCAGATTCCCGATCGTAGGGCGATGCTAGCTAGGATATATGACCAGCAAGATTTTGCTAGGCCCTTCACAGAATCTCAACCCAGATGTAGACCAACAGTGCGAACCCGGACCCATGTGCCGTCTACAGACTGTAGGGATAGTTGCTGCTACAGAGCTCGATTGCGAAGATTGCAAAGCGGGAGTGCAAGTCCTCGGTTCCCGCTTGAGGGATGTTGTTGGCGGCAAAGATGAGGCTGCTGATGGCGCGACCCATAAGTGACCTGCTCCGCCTGCGGAATCAAAGCTATGAAACCAATGCATTCGGTTTAAGTCAATGTGGCTATTCCCTAGATGGTACCGGCCTGGGTGGATTCGGAGAATGCGCCACGGATGCGCTGGAGAGTTTGCGCCCGCGCGATGACAACTAGAGAGCCAAGAAGCAGCCAGCATGGGCCCCGTGTTGCTTGACGAGTATTTTGCTTCCATTGGTAGGAGCACAACAAACACCTGTTCCTTTGCGGTAGTCCGAAATAATCGTGAGGGCTTGTATTTCTGAAGCACAAATGAGGCTGAGCCTCAAAGCGAAAGCTAGAAGGCGCAGGAAACCCCATGCCTTTATACCTGTCTTAGAGGCTGTTGAGGCTAGTAATCTGAGGTCGTGGTGGCGATGCGCTATCCAGGTCGAATGCCTTGTTCCACGTTGGCTTGCTGGTTGGCCATATAAGCTCTTCAAGGCGCGCCCTTCTTCTTTCGAGGTCCACAAGCTTAGCTACGAGGGGGAGTCTGTCCTGCGTGGGCATCGGCCAAGGCCGTTGGCGCAGTCATGTGTGGCTTCGCAACAGAATGGCACATTCTCGTCGAACCCACATAAGAATCCTGTAACAGTCCGGGTATTGTTTCACCGGTGGAACTATGCGGGCATGTGACTTGACGAGTACGCGATAGGGCGCATTTCCTGAAGGCGTTCTGCCACCTCATCTCATTTCTAGAGCCGGGAAGAATCGGGGACCGCCATACCCATGTGCAAGGATAGCCTGGATATCGATGTTGGCATTGGGACACTGCGCCCATAATTTCACCAGAATATAGCGGCCAGAGCTGCATACAGATTAGCTATTGCTTGAAGCAGTAGTTCTTCCGCCATCACTCACACTGGAGGATCAAACTTGATCGCTGTGCTCGACTTGCTTCGGCTTATGAAGAAGCGAGCATGGGGTACAACCACGTCAACCTTGGCGGATGAACTAGGTTCTGCTCGATTCAATATGGTCTTGGAAGCTGGAGTCTCAAACGACGTCGACATACTCGACTGATCGTCTGGGGGCCGAGCTGGATCGACAACCCCACTAGTAAGTGCAGCTGCTCGCGAGCCCGTCCCACTGTAAGCTGGCCGACGGAGATAGGACAACTCTTGATCGTGGTCGCGACCCTGGCGACCAAAGAACTCATCACTTTCGCGGATTTGCTGGGCCCGCATGAGATCCAGCATACGGTTTCGATGTGCCAGCGTGTTCTCAAGGTCGCGCTGCTGGCGATGAAAGCGCTCTCTTTCACTAGGCCCTCGGGTTTCCCGCGGTATGTCTCGTTCCGAGCCCTCTGAGTCGCTGGAGTTTGTCCAAGGGCGGCCATTATTCCCCTCATCTCCCAGATAGACGGGTCGATACCGATCGACATACGACCTCAGTGAATATTCATCGTCATGCCAAGGTCGTGGTGAAGGTGGACTGTCCGCCACCTCTTCTTCGTCGGAAGGGTCTGCCACTGTCACCTGGAATCCCGGGACTAGGTGGGTTTCCAGTAATGGATCATCCTCCAGGTATGTGGGAGAGGTAAGATACCTCGAACGGTCAATCGACCTCAGAGGAGATCTTGCCGAGTTCATGTACTCATGAGAGGGCCGGTATCGGTCTCCTGCACGCCGTTCATGACGGTACTTAGGAGACCAGCTTATATCGTATTGAGAAGTGCGGTCAAGAAGGGCGTCATCTTCCATTGCGACAAAGACAAGTCCCTCCTGAATAGGTGCATCGTATCCTGATCGTGGTGCTTTGACGACTATCTTGGTCAAGGTGAAGGGCATCCCACCGATATGCTTCAACAAGAGGTTACATCGGTTGCTTTTCGTGCAATAGACGGTAGTGTCATCTTGGAGCACATTCTGCGGGTAGGAGTTAATCGGCGTGTGAGGATCCGGATACTCTCCACCATCGCAACTGATGATGTCCAGCTTCAATCCCCCGGGAACCACTTGACCCTTGTCGCCATAGCTGAAGGTTCGAGGCTCCTCTTCATAGGTGCCGTCGTCCAACTTCCTTCGCTTCGCCCTCTGTCGATCACCACGGTCGCCTGCGGATTGTTCTTGCCTGGCAGGTGACACGTGAGGAGGCGAGATATGAGTCTCTGAAGCGGTGCCTCTTCCACTCTGAGCAAGTCTTTCTCTCTGATACCTCTGTAACCGTTCGCTTGGTCGAAAGGCTCTCCGGCGGCTCCGCACGAGGCTTGATGGGCTGCTGGCTTGGGGGAGGCCCCCAGAGACAGAGGGAGCGTCTCGCTCCTGTAAATGTGCTTCAAGATCCCTCCTTCTTCTGTCCCGAGTGGCCGAACGCTCACCCATAACCTGATGCCCCGGTTCCTGCTCGGCTGCTCCAAGTTCCGCCATCTGGTCGCCTATCTCACGGTCAAGTGCTTCGAACGCCCGTTGTTGTTCGGCGCCCAAATGCCGCTCTGAACTGAGTAGATTCCTGAGGTTCTGGAGACGTGCGGAAATATCAGACCATGCTGGGCGGTCACTCTGGTCAGACTGGCTATAGTTAGTTTTGATCCGTCTGAATGAGCAGAATTGCAAGACTCGGGTGAGAAGTGGTGATTGCGGTCGTACCATGTCTAAACAAAGAAGGCTCGTAGATTGCTTTCAAAGTCACCGCGACGGCTAAAGGCATACAATGGGCCCAATACGGTCCACTCAGGATGTTATGTGCTTGTAGCAACATACAGCTTCGAGAGAATTCCAGTGTAGATTCTGCAGCAGGCAGTAGGTGGCATCTGGCAAGACCACGAGGTGAAGGGATGTAGTTGGAAGTTCACCACTCAGAAGAGGCACCGCCCACGCATTTGTGACAGCGCACTTGACTTTTGCCCCACGATATCGGCTTGGTGCTCGCAGATGGCCCGCACGGCGCATGGGACCCAAGGGACTACCCGGAGATATAAGTCGCCGTACCCTCTTTTAGGCATGGCCGACTCCCTTTGGCTGCCTCTAGGGCGCGCCCCTGCAGCATCGCAGGGTCGCTTAAAGTTCGCAACCACAGAAAACCTGGGCGTCATCAAACATGCCACGAGCGCCTCGAAAGAGGAACAATCACATTGCACGTGCACCGGCCTTGACTGGCCCTAGTAGTTGGCAGTGACGTGGGAGGGCCTGGTCATAGTACTCTCAGTACGGAGTACATACTTTACTTCTACTTTAGTTTCATCTCTCTCTCTTCATAGAATACAGAATACCAGACCAGTGCCCTCAAATCACGTCTTCATTAATTAGCGCTCACAATCTCAGTTCATCCCGACCTTTCCTCACCTGGAACTCACGGGGACACAAGCTTTCGTCCTCATATTTCCTCTTCCTCTTGTAGCCACCGCCAGTGTCATTCTTCTCTTTGCTTCAACATCTTGGAGACGATGAACGATAATCCTCTGCCTGAAAGCTCTGTTACGACCAACGGAAACAGCTCCACTATACCTGGCGCTACAGGCCCTGGCGCCGCTACGAATGGCGCCATTGACGAGTCAGCATACGTGACACCTGTCCCTGAGATGAACGGCATCAGCACCTATCCTCAGATTCACGACCCAGCCTTCAATGGAATAACCCTCCCGGCCGATGGAATACCGACAACCATGTTTCCCGTACAACCACAGCATCCAATCTCTGCTGATGAGATAGCCCTCTATGACAGACAGATTCGACTTTGGGGAATGGCTGTACAAGAGAAGTTGCGCCGGGCGAATGTTCTCCTGATTGGAATCAAGGGCTTGGGAAGCGAGATTGCGAAGAACCTCGTCTTAGCAGGAGTAGGAGTGTTGACAATTCTGGATCATGAGCTTGTCACAGCAGAGGATCTTGGAGCACAATTCTTCGTTCGCGAGACTCAGATCGGTCAGAACCGGGCTGAAGCAGCTCTCCTTGAACTGCAGAAGCTGAATCCAAGAGTCGAAATATACACAGATCCGCATGCAGCAGTGACTAAGGACCCAGAATATTTCCAGAACTTCGACATCACGATTGCTACTGGGCTGGTCATAGATGTCCTGGGAAGTATCAACATGGCCTGCCGGATGTACGGTCGCAAATTCTATGCCGCGGACACGCATGGAATGTACGGCTATATCTTTGCAGACCTCATGTTGCATGACTTTGTCATCGAAAGAGAGGAAAGAAACAAGCCCACTAAGGTTGGGGACATTGAAAGCCCGACAAAGTGCGTAATAGCGGTTGAGTCGAAAAAGGACGGCGAGAAGTCGCAGGAGATCATTTCGTACCAGGAGACATACTCGCCCATTCAGCTTGCGAATCTCTCTCCACTCCACGAGAGAGTGAGGAAGACGCGGCGCAGTCGAATGAAGGTCACGCCGCTACTATCGTGCCTGCGTGCCTTGTTTGACTTTCAAAGTCAGCAGGGTGGCCGCTTGCCGTCTTATAATAGAGCGGATCTTGAACTGTTCACCAGACTAGCCAACCAAAAGCATCTAGAGCTTTCGCTCCCGCTCGAAACTCTGAAATCGGACTTTCTCCGTGGCTTCCTGCAGAACCTTGGGTCAGAGATCAGTCCGGTGGTTGCCTATCTGGGAGGTTGTCTGGCACAAGATGTCATCAACGTTCTGGGACAAAAAGAACAACCGCTTCAGAACTGGCTTCTTTTTGACGGAGAAGAGTTCACGGCGACGATATTCTCGATACACCCGATCAATGAAGATGCGATGGAGATGATGAGCGCGAACGGATCGACAATGATGTCGAACACTGTGCCCCTGGAAAGTGCAGTTCCCGTGGCTTGAGCTACTGGGCTACGACAAGCGGGAAGCTGGACAGCTATGGACCAATGATCGAGAATTATTCAGTCTTGGCATCAGAAAATTTGGCGACATTTGGTCCGCATGCCAGACCTTTCGAGCAGATCTAAGGAGGGTTTACTTAAACCTACAGTTTTACCCCAGCTGTTGAAGAGTCAGCAAGATCGCATCCATCAGCCTCACGGGCTTCTAGGTGGCTGGAAACCCGCGTTTTGGCAATCAGCAACTGATGTTAGGATCCACGAAATACCCCAATAACAAGCTGGATGTGAGGTTCAGGCATGAGTGTAATTCGACCAACCGGGTCTGATCCTACCCCTTGGCCATAAGATGACTCCTTTGGAGTTTCCAACAAGATTAGCTGACTTGTCCTTAAACGACTCGAGCCATAACCCGTCCTTGTATGCCAATCTTAAGTCGATCCGTAAATCAACCTTGTCGGTTTCGAACCGTCTCAACTCGATTGTTAAAGATGCCGAATTCGTCAAGGAGGTATCCTGCCATCTGGGCTTGCCGCTGGTAGCAAATGAGCGCTGCGGGAGCTGGTACATCGACCCAGCCGATAAAGCTGGCAGCGCATATTTCAAGAGCACCGACGGCCATCATGGCCAGTGGGACTTCTCGCCTCGAAGGCTCAACCTTCAATTGTTCCCGATCCTGTCTGCGCACGGCGGTGCTATCCTGGTTGATTCAACCCGCCGAGGCAAGAATCTGCCAGACGCTTTCAGCAAGACAGTACCGATATGGGTTGCTGTTGTCAATAGAGCTCTCTTCCCTGAAGCAACCTCCATGCACCGTTTCCAGAGTCCGCCACCACCTGACAATATTCAGCCCTCCGAGCTCTCCCAGATTGCAGCGCGTCTTGATGGGTTCACAAAGACTTTCTGCCACCTCGGTCTAGACCTACAGCGCCTGCGCAGTCAGCTGGGAGGTCCGATCAGGGTCAGCTGGGCCATCAATAGACAATCCGACAATGGATACGACCTAGGGGATGAGAGTGGCGTGACAAGTTCTTCTCGAGACCTTCACCCATCCTGTCATCATCTAGTGCTCTGCTCTGCTTCCCGGCGCGTTCGTGGGGCCGAGATTTCCGAAGGCGGATACATTCAAGGCGCTGGGGACGACAGTGAAGGTTGGTCTCATAACCTGACTGCTCAGCTCTTCTGGCAACATAAAGACCTGTTGATGAGAAGTCCCGAGGATGAGCTTCCTGCTCTTATCAAGACACTGCTGGAACAAGACGGGAATAGCCGGCTGTCGAGCATGGCAGCGACTAGAATCATCCCCACGACAACCATGTTCATCGCAAGTGGACCCCTGGACGGCTTTGGCAGCTTCGATCTCATCGTCAATTGTCAAGGTGATTCACAAAACTCCACATCGAAGGCTGTGTATCTCAAGTGTCGCCCAGGCAAGTCAGGGAGCAAGGACCTTCGTGACCAAGTCTCCGTCGCTGTCAATGCCATCCGCGACAAGCTTCTGCGGCAATCGGAAAGCCAGATACTCGTCACGTGTTCAACAGGAAAAGACCTCAGCGTAGGTGTTGCAGCTGCGGCATTATGTCTACTTTACGATAATGAAGGTAAGATAGTCCTTTTCCCTGCCTTTCGGCCTAGACTGAGTACGACGTGCAGGCCAATTAAGAGCAGCGAATGAACATCCTCTGGTCGATAAACATCTTGTGAAGCAGAGACTTGCCTGGATTACCTCCTCAAAAGCCGATGCAAATCCTTCGAGAGCAACATTACAAGCGGTCCATTCTTTCTTGATGCGGCGTCCTGAGTAATGCAGCGTTGAGGTCCGTAGTCACAGTGAGTCAGGTTAAGGTGACGACGGTTTTGACAGATTATTGGGAGCTGCGATTGTGTACCTCTAGTGGACGCTTCAGGCACGAATTCTCGGTGCGGTCTGTCATGACTGCCCACCGAGATTTGGTCGGGTGGGCAGAAGCTGACACCGAAGTGAAACCGAGGTGAAGCCATCGATGTGGATTGCATCATGATCCGCCGCCGAAAAACGAATGCGCGAGACCTTCAATTACTCGTTGATTTTCGATTGACTTCGAGGAGACAGACTTGCGACCTGATTCCGTGCACAAGAACTGTTACTGCATCTTCGCTCGACATCTTCCTCGCCGTACTGCCAACATGTCGATGCTCACAATCAACGACACCTTGCCGTTACCCAACTCCTCTGTCCGCATACCCCGCCTTGGGTTCGGCGTCTACCAGTCTCCTGCTTCTGTCTGCGTACAATCATGTCTCTCTGCGCTACAAGCCGGGTACAGGCATATTGACACCGCGCAATTTTACGCCAACGAAAACGAAGTCGGCGAGGCTGTGCGAAAGTCCGGTTTGCCACGATCCGAGGTGTTCATCACCACCAAAATCCTCTCCGCCGGCGGTAGCGTGGAGAAATCCTACCAGAAATGTCTCGACAGTGTGGAAAAGATTGATCCCGGCCACGACGGCTACGTCGACCTGTTCCTGATACACAGCCCCAACGCAGGGAGCGCGAAGCGGAAAGAGATGTGGCAAGCACTGGAGAAACTGTATGAGACGGGCAAGGTCAAGAGTATAGGAGTGAGCAATTTCGGAGTCGGGCATATCGAGGAGTTGAAGGAGTACGCAAAGGTCTGGCCGCCGCACGTCAATCAGATCGAGGTATGGCCAGCGTTAGCAGCTGTCAAGTCCGAGACACCGTACTGACAAATATTGCAGCTTCATCCGTTTTGTCAGCAGCGAACGTGTGTTGAGTATTGCCAGAAGAATGGGATCGTTGTCGAAGCATACTCGCCACTGGTCCGGAACTACAAATCCAACGATGAGACACTGGTCTCCCTGGCCAAGAAGCACAGCAAGACCACTGCACAGATCCTCATCCGATATTGTCTGCAGAAGGATTGGGTGCCGCTGCCCAAGAGTGACAACCCTGACAGGATCAAGCAGAACGCAGATGTGTATGATTTCCAGCTTTCACAAGAAGACATGGGCAGTCTGGATGGCTTGGACCAGGGTGATGGTGGCGCGATTGTGCAAGCCGTGCGAAACTCATGACTGTGCATCGTGGGCAACCGAACTTTGTTGCGCAGGGACTGAAGCCGCCCTCTAAACCATGGGACAAGTAGGTCACTCTTGAGCGAAACCGACTGACCAGAGTTGGTCAGTATCGAAATACTGCCATACCGTCGATGCGAGGGCTCGATTACTCTTTCTTACTCATCTGCACCTGTTCCGGGTTTCGCTACCGCCCGTATGCAACATTCGAAAGCTTTCCTGTCCCAGCGCAATCGACTTTGCTTGGCTGCTGCATTGCTTTGAGCATCAAAACTTGAGGTCTAAAACCGAAGCAACCTCTTATCGTTTCTACCACGGAATGTGCTTGAGTTCGTCGTCTCTGGCAGGCACGATTGTTTAAGGACATGAAAGGGTTCTCCTCACCCCGGGCTAGTGATGAGCTCGAGGTAGAATGCGCTTGAGAGCCTGAGTACGTCAAGCTCGAGGTAGGCAGACGGACATGCAAGGTCAAGCCAGGCGTCACCGCCCCAGCCAACCTGGCTCAGCTCCCAACGTTTTCCTCGCGCATCCTCGGCGACATGGGAGTGGTTCCCCCTTGGATGTATGAGGCCACTCAACACGCACAAGGTCAGGCATCGTGCATCCGGGTTCAGCAGTCACTGGTGAACTTATCGCTACTCAGAACAGCAATCTGAGGTGTAAGTGTTTGGTCTCCGTCGCACATCCCGGTTTCGGCCACGAACGCTGGAGCATCATCTCGGGCATGGGAAGAATACGGGCGGCAAGTAGACCAAATTCACCCTGGTGTCTTGACTGATGAAAAATGGCCTCCCGTGAACAGCGCGGATTGACACAACGGCCGCTCGTTGAATAAGCACAGCTTTAAGCGGCGGGAAAGCAGCAACAGAACTTTCTAGTCACGACTCTGAAGCCTTGTGCCTGGGAAGATTGCCAAAATCGACTTCGGGAAATCTAGATTGGGTGTAGTGTGCAGTCATGTACAGTATACGCCATTTCGCGATTACTTAACAAAACCGGCTTTTCCGCAGCACGCGTCTCGACGGCAAGGACCTGCGAGCCTTGTCAGCTGGACCATGTCCATACCCATCATCGGTGCAGGAAATGTTGAGATCGCCACACGTCAGAGGCAGGGTTTTGCAACTCGAAACCAGGAGCTCCTCTTCTGGCCATGGCGGCTTCTGGCTGTTCCGGATTACGTCGAGAGGCCCGAGCTGAACGGATCGATAAAGTAAACAAGATCTCCACATGATCGATATCCTCGCCAGAAGGGGGGACGAGGCCGCAGGAGTGGTCAGCCAAAGCGAAGACTGAGCGATTCGGAGTAGGCCAAGCTGTTAATGTGGCCCTTTGGTGCAAGAGCATTCGACCAACCCGTCTCGCACAGCGGCAGGTATGTAGCGAGGCCTCTCCCTTCGCCATCGGTACCTGAACGATTCACTGCACACAGCATCTTCTTTATCGTATCTTTTTCTACCGCTGTCCAGCCGAGAAATCGCTCCCAGATACAGACCCATCGGGACTCTTTCCCAGCATGGCGACCGAACCCAACCCCACCATTGAGGAGCTGCTTCAACGCAACATGTTAGTAGCCTCCAGTAGCCACCTCGGGAGACATACTGAACGACCAAAGGGAATATGCGTCAAGGCACAAACCCATAGGGTCCATGATGACCAGAATGAAGAACAACCCCAAAGCATACGGTCCACATGTGCTCATTGGTACGCTTTCTCCCAGAAGGCTCAGAACGCGGCTCGATCGTGACACTGAACCCAGGCAGTCTCATGCTTCGACTCTCGCGCCGACCCATTCGACTTTCTGAAGCTGATGCCACGTGAATGTCTTGTGCTGCGGAACGTGGCAGGCCGCTTTTCCACCGTCGCAGAACAGATCGCCGCACTCGATACTCTCTTCCATGTCTCCCAGATCGTGCTGGTTCATCATAGCAATTGCGGAGCTTCGCACGTCACCACGCAGCAGGGGCTCGAGAGCGTTCGTGAGAAGAGACCCGACTTCACAGAGTTTAAAGAGCTTGAAGCTAGATTGCCTATAAAGGAGGACAACTACGAGTCGGTGATCGAAGACCTGCAGATGGTCAAGCGCAACGGGTACTTGAGAAAAGATCTGACTGATGGCGCTGCCGTGTTCTGGCTTGACGTTGAGACCGGGTTGTTGACGAGAGTATATGCTGATGGAAGCACGAGCAGGATGTAGACTCGATGGCATTAGGCGGCTATTCAGTCCTCGGTACGCAGGGACTATGTATACCTTCTGGCATTATGCTGGGCGCCAAAGGAGATATACGAGCACTAAGATCATCGGCTTCGCGTGTCTCAAGTAGAAATGTACTCGGTAAGGGCCCGCCACCTGTGCCTTGGCTGTCTCGGCCCTGACGCCATTGCAGACTCGGTAAAGTCCATCAAACCTCCCCCAGATTTCAAGACAGACGCCCAAACCAGTTTAGCCAGGTACCGTACGCGTGAAACATCTCGTGCAACCACTCACCACTCTCTCTCTCTCTCTCCCGAGATTCTCCTGCTCTCGCGCCACCTCGATCTCGATGTGTTTCACAACCCGGGCGAGACTGAAACCTCTTCTCCGCAAGCGTTGGTCGACATGACAGGGATGCCTCCTTCCTCGCACATGTCAGACAAGCCACGCGTCCCATCCACCACGTCGTTGAACGTTTTCATGGCCACAGTCAGAGTCCACTCTTGCAATCTGGCTCTTTCTTTTACACCATCGTGACTATTTACTCAAGCTGGCTTACTTTCAACGTCGACGACTAGGAAAGCCTTTCGGCCCAAGTTAATTAATGTAGCCCACCATGGCCCCTCTCAGCGTCAGCAGCTGCCTCTTCTGCAAGCCCAAACCGTGGAACGAAAGGGAACTCGAACTCCTCAACTGGTACGCCTTGCACATGAACGGCCGGCTGGACACATGTATCTGCACGTGGCACAATCGGGCACAAATCCAGATGCTTCCGGATGTGCGGCAGTCGATTGCGCGGGAGTCGAGACGACGGACGACACCCCTCGGCGAATTGCGGGTTAAAGTCTTTATGGAGCATTATCGGGGGATGCAGGCCGATCGGAAGAAGAAGTCGTCCGCGAGGTGCGTCGTTATGTGATTGACATGGCCGTCTACGCCGCGTGTGGTACCAGAAAACCTGGAGGCGCGAGTTGCAGACAACTCGATCTTACACATCGCGACGACCCGACGACCCGACGACACTCTGAAATGGCCGGATTGCAGTGCTTCGCCGCGAGACGCCCATACGCGGGATCCACTCAAGTCAAGAAGAGCAGATTAGAGCCAATATGGTAGCGAAGCAAGACGTGAAAGGGGATCTGCGCCGCCATTGGAAACTGCGTGAAGGTACCGTACATGGCTCCCATCAGGCATATTACAGCTTGCCGAACAGCCACTCATCCTACGGTCTGTTTCGCTGCGAGATCAATCCACTACGCACGAATTTCACCAAGCACCCTCCTCTTTGTCGCCATATCGGCATCTTAGGGACATACCACGTAAGCTTCCCCAGTGCGGGTATCAGCGTCGTGATAATGTGGAACGGTTCTTTGAGCGCCATTTTGCTATGGGATAGGAGTCGAGTCGAATAAAGAGGAGGGAGGTGTGGAAGGCGATATTGGTTGCAGGAGCAGGGACAGGGTAGGGGAAGGGCAAGCAGGACGGTGTTTGCCTACACAATGATACCTCTCGGCCGACGGCTCAGATCAGTCAGACAATCGGCCAGTCAGCGAGTCCGTCCATCCCTCCATTTGTCCACGCAACCATCCACCCATCGACACACGCGCCTCAAGGACCACCTCACGTCAGGGTAACCGGGTAACGGGCACGAGTGGTATCGGGTAGGAACCGGATACCCGAACTAGTCATAGTTAGTCTAGCCTGCATGAGCGCAAACGTGTTGCCCGATGCGGCAAATATCGGACTTGGCCTGGTCCGGCCTGATCTGGGCGGAGGCGCAATTGGCATGTCGTGGTGTGGTATCGCTGCTCCTGGAAGCGAGGAACAGACCCAGCGAAGGAAGCAAGGGAGGACCCCGAAGCTAAGGCTCGAGTGGTTTGAGGTATCGTCGTCTTTTGAACTTCACGCGTGTCAGCACAGTAATATGTATGGAACTCGATGGATCACGGCGGACACTGGGTTAGGGCAACTGGGTAATGGGAATTTAGTTAGTGGCTTGCCTTGGTGTCCTGGAGCGACAGCCAAGCTGTGAGTCCCAGCCGCCCTTCTGGAAAAGCAATGGTTTCAACCAGCTACTTATCGAGTATTCGGTTCTGGACTGTGGGTGACAAATGTAGGAAACCTTTCCCACAGAAGGACGTGGCTACTGGATTGCTTATCAACCTCGCGGTTTGTCTCGGCGGTTCTTTGCGAGCACCTGACCTCTCTGTCAGGACAATGTAGCAAGCAGTATCTTGAAATGTTGAGACTCTAGCTGTCCATTTCGCTGTATAGCCGCGCGTGTTCCGTAAGTGCCGAGAACGGCGCAAGGATGGACGCTTCCTTGGCCGACATGGTCCAATTCACACATCGGATTGTAGCACATGAAGTGGTGGCCAGACCTGAAGGTGTCGCACTATTCCAGGGTCAAGCTGACTGAAAGCGGCTGATGTGATGCCCTCTGGTTGTATGGGTTGAGTCCAGGACATTCAAGGTGCAGCATGACATTATGATATCAAGTCTGTACCGCTTTATACCGAAAGACTTCAGCATCACCGGTGAAAGCCACTCTCAGTCTTCCATCCCGGCTAACAAGAGCGAAAGACATACGGAGCCGAGACGATCATGGAAACGCAGCCCGAAACAGCCTCTCCTGTCGGCGCCAAGCCTTGGAAGCGATGCGCACCACAACTCCAACAAAAATTCCCTACGCCTCCCGTCCGGAAGTACCCACGATAAGATGATGATTTTGGTAAAATCGCAAAAAAGAAACGAGCTGGAGAAGCTGGGAATCGAACCCAGAACCTTTTCCATGCGGTGGAACGCATGATGCTAAGGAAACGTCATACCACTAGACCACATCCCCGTCTGGCTGATTTGTTGACGACATTTGCTCCGTACATCTATATATAACTTGATTTGCTACCATCATGTGATTATCACTGCCTTTTTTATCGCCCGACCAACTGCACTTACTGCGAGTACTCCGTAGTACTGGCCTTTGCAGAGTATGTAATTATGTCCTCTGTCGGCTACAACGAATCCAACAGCTCAACATACTCGATCCTGATGTGCGGTAATTGATGGAGAACTTCTACCTGAGCTCACCGTCATCTACTCATTGCTGGAGCCGCCCGACCACCACCAAACCTAGCTACGGACGACTCTTGTGTGCTCTTGCTCTGACACCGTGACCACCTCGATCATCACTTTCGTGCTTTGCGGCGCGGTCGGGCACGTATGTAGGGCTATTTTGCCGGCTGCGAAATGCCTTGTCGCTCGGCTCGGCAGAACGGACCGGAGCGGGCAACACCACTCCGTATGTAACACTGACTCCGTACTCCAGCTCTCTTTACTCCCCAGCCAGAGACGGAGATGCACCATCCCATGACGCCAAATCTACCATCACGGTCCCGAAGCATCATCTCCTTCCCGAGTATAATAGACATTTCTTCCTGTATTGTGTCTTCTTCCTAGCTTGTACCATCGCCACGTCCGCGTCGGCTCACTTACTGTACGATACAGCTGGTGTATCCGACAAATGGGAACCGCAAATGCACTCCCTCGCCAGAGCCAGAGTTGGAGCCAGGATCCGCATTCCCAGAGCACAGTGCCACGACTACCAACCTTGCAAGTGGCCTCGTGTTCATTCTCGACTCCTGACCACCTCACCTGTTAACATGCGCCAGCACAGACTCCCAGCGTCGTACTACCGCGGGGGAACATCACGCGCGGTCTTTTTCCAGCCGAAGGACCTCCCGGCAGACAGGTCGCAATGGGCGCCGATCTTCCTAGGCGTCCTAGGCAGCCCGGACCCCTGGGGCCGCCAACTCGACGGCATGGGCGGCGGGATCTCCAGCCTGTCGAAGATCTGTGTCGTCGGACCGTCAACCCACCCGGACGCGGACGTCGACTATACCTTTGCTGCAGTGGGCGTGAAGGACGCCGAGGTGGACTTTTCGAGTAATTGCGGGAATATGACCAGCGCGGTGGGTCCGTTTGCGGTCGATGCCGGCATCTTCGCCACCGGCGAGACAAGGGAGCTTGGGACCACCGCCGAGACGGAGAGAGATACCGACAGCAAACCCACAACGATGACGGTGCGGATCCACAACACCAACACCGGCAAGATCATCCACTCGACGTTCGACGTGCAGGACGGGGAAGCCGTCGCCAGCGGCGCGTTCAGCATCGATGGCGTTTCCGGCACGGGCGCGAGGATCCAACTCGACTTCGTCAACCCGGCGGGCTCCAAGACAGGCAAGCTGCTCCCCACGGGGAATGTCGTCGACACGTTCGACGGCGTGGCTGCGACGTGTACCGATGTGGGAAACCCGTGCTGTTTCGTCCAGGCCGCGTCCCTGGATGTCGATGGGGCCATCTCGCCGGCCGAGATGGAGGCGCACCCGACGCTTCTGGCACGGCTGGAATCGATTCGGCGGCAGGCGGGCGTGAAGATGGGGTTGGCCCGTACGCCTGCGGACGTGCCGGGGAGTGTGCCGAAGATATGTCTTGTTTCAAGGCCGGAGGAGGGGGACAGTGCCGCGGAGATGGACCTGCGCGTCCGTGCCATTTCCGTGGGCCAGCCGCACAAGGCTGTGCCGATCACGGTGGCGCTGGCTTGTGCTGCGGCGTCGAAGTTGGCGGGGTCGACGGTGCGGGAGTGCTGTTCTGAGCATCCCGTTGACTCGGCCGGTGTCACGCTGGGGCATGCCAGTGGGAGGCTGATGGTTGGGGCGCAGTACGACGAGCACGGCCATCTGAGGTCTGCGACTGTTTTCAGGACGGCGAGGCGGCTGATGGAGGGAGTCGTCTACTGGAAATGAAAAATACATGAGGTGGAGGTCAACTCGACCTGGCCTTGCTACATGCTTGATCCCGAACTTCAACAGCGTCTTCGACTCAGGACGCGGTCAGCCGCTGATGGTTTATGGCCGTGGAGAGCGCAAGGGCGGTGCACAATCACCAAGGGGGAGCCATCGCTTTGCTTGCTGTGACTCGAGCTATGTACGAGGTCCCAGCTTGATGATCACTACTCGTGGCACAGCAACAGGAAGAAGCACTGGTGGAAGAGACCGGATACTGGACAGGACCATCGTGCATTAGACGACATCTCCGAGGTGGCATTGTCACACGGTCAGTGTGCTGGATCTTCGTGGGCAGCCCGAATCCATCGCTTCCACTCTACCCAAGGATTCGGTGCCACGGTGTCCAACAGAGGGCCTAAGACAGCTGGACTCGTGTGCCTTTATCCATTGGCTGGAACATTCCGCCGCCGTCTTCCTCTCCCACAGTGTTCATCCACGTCCCTCGATCTTGAATCGCTTTCACTCAGCTTCACCAGTCGGTGCTGACCACGACCGACCCACGTAATTCCGCATCCGACAATTTGGTGGCATGCGGCGCAAGTGCACTGCCAAACGCTTGAATCCACTCAGAACCATCTCTTCTCATGTTCCTCCATGCTTCGAGGTTGCCGCAGACGTAGAGTCCATATTTCGCTCTCGAGAATAGGACATTGAGTCTCTGCATGGTCAAAAACCCTGGGAAGTGCGTGGCCACTGGATCAACAATGACAACTGTACAAGCGTCAGCATCTGGGCTACAAGACGATGGAGCAGCTGGACCTGTGGTGTCGGTCCACATGGAATAACTTACTGTCATACTCCATACCTTGTACCTTATCCGCCGTTTCCACAAACACATTCTTCGCAGCGGCGGCTCCTTTCACCTCCTCGGCCATTTCCCTCTTAGCAACCCAGAGCATGTTTAGCTCAGACTTGTATGGCGCCAGGATAGCGATTGTGCAAGGCTTTGTTGAGCCAAATCCAGCTGTAAGAAGGCCTTGTAGGATTCGCAGGACCAGGTTGGCGTAAGTGACGCAAACGATTGTACTCCCGCTCTTTTTCTGCACGGCGCTCGGAATATCAAAGAAGATCAACGGCTTGGCAATCCCGTAGTGGACGGTGTTATGATGCACAATTTCGCCAGCCAGAGGTCGCCTCTCCAAGTATGTTGATGGATCGCTCGTGAGGCGAGACTGATAGCAGACCTTGCTGTAGATTTCGGTAATCTCGGGCATAGCCCGATACTGCACGGTAAAGAATGCCGCACGCATGCCTATTGTCTGAGCACGTTCCTGTAAGGACATCTCAAGTTGAGGCTGGCATGGGTTCCGCATCTCAATGTCTTCATCTACCCTCGGTGGTAGCTGGAAGTGGTCACCCACCATGATCTTGCCTACTGCGTTTGGGAAGTAAGCGAGTAATGGCCACCAGTAGTACTCCGCAATTCGCGAGGCCTCATCCACCACGATCAACTCAGCCTCTGAGTAGTTCTTGGTGAAGACGGCATCCGCAGCACCAGCAACCGTGGCGCAAACAGCCGCCGCGTTCGAGATAGTGTATGCCATCAACTCCTCAATCCCCGTATGAAAAAGCATCATGACATCGTCGTGTAGTTCCTTACCGTCACTGAATCGTTGATATAGTCCTGCAAATTCGGAAAACAAGTCCTCCCCCAGTAAATGTGGGCCATCCGGTTCTAAACCTGCAATTTGCCGCATCCTGTGTCCGACCGAGAGTTCCAAGTGCTCTACACGCTTGTCATCTACGAACTCGTATTTGCAAGCAGTAAAGGTTTGACAATGTGCCCTGATTTCTTCCTCCTGGCGTGGGAGGCTGGCAACGGCCTTGGTACCTGTTTTACTCTGAGCCTGGGCTGCCCCGCTCCGCAACTTCTCGCGTCGGGACGTGAGTGCGCCTCGTAAAAAGATTGATCTTTCGGTCTTGATGCTATGCAAGCGCACTAGGTATTGGGATCTGGGAACCTGGCCGCTGCCGATGAGTCCATGTAGTCTGCGCTCTAAGCCGATCGCCAAGGCATCGGTGGCACGATTCCCCTGCGCAGTCAGCAAAACGTGATGCTTTCTTGCACCATCGAGAAGAAACGGCTTGACTGCTTCAACCACAAAGTGGGTCTTCCCTGTACCAGGACCGCCATGACAGAGGACAAATCCAGCCGGCGCACACCTGGCCATAGATATAGCGGTCTTCTGGCCATCGTTGAGATCCATGTTTTGCTCGGCTGCGAGATCTTTGTTGGCTAGCAACCCATAGATGTCTTTCTTGGGAATGCTACCAGGCTTGTTGCCCACAAGAAATCGGCACACTGCCATTCCCATTGAGCCGGGCCTGGCAGCTGGTAATGTGGAGCGCAATATATCGAAAGCGTCCATGATATAGGGAAACTCGCTGTGGCGGGCCTCTGGACACACAGTCGCTTTCAGACCAGGCCCTTCCAGAATTTTCCTGAAGCCGGAACCACCACGACCTCGGGGGACGGGAGTGAGGCGTAAACGTCTCGGAGATGTTACGTCCTTCCCAAACTCTAGACACGCCGTCACAACGCCGTTACCAGACCATGGAATTGGTTCAATGACATGCATACTCCAGCTTGTTGCTCCATTGTCATCTTTGAAGGCCACAGTGGCACGGTCCCCAGAGGAGAATCCGGCCAACCGCCCCTGGTCCCGGGGTACCTTAAATATCGCATAATAGCGGTTGCGGTCTCCTTCCTCTGCGCTGATAACGTGGATGGCGCACTCGAAATCCTCGCGGTCTGCCTTTTCTTTCGCTTCTCTTAATATCTTAGTACCGACACCTAGTGTAGCAAAGTAGTCGTTCGAGCTGAAAAAAGATGCTCTAGCTGGCTCCTCTGGGTTGGATGCTAAAGCCCGGGACATGCCTTTACCATCGAGAAAAGCGGTCTGCGGCTGCAAGGGATAAGTACCCTCCCAGATTCGAAATTTGGTGATGAGCGATTCCAGGTCTTGCCGAAAATGGTAAGTTGTGTCCTCGATTAAAACAGTAAGACGGGAGGCTGACTTGAAGGCCTTCTGCAGATGTAGCAAAGAGTGAGAGGGCGACTCTATGAACATGTTTTCGGAGAAGAATCGGCCAGTGTCATATTGAACGGAGAGGGGGAACTGACTGTAGCTCGTAAAGGTTGGCGTAGTCTTTGGCAAGAGCTCAGAATAGAGTTCCTTGTTGATCTTGATAGGGGCAAGCTTCAGGCATGTGTCTCGAGTCAATCTGATGCACGTCTGCTTACGACCCCCTGGAGCGGAGTCGTCTTCGAGATGAAACGACAACTGGAGGTATGAGGTATAGGTAGGCGACACATGAAAAAAGATATCTCCGGCCGCCACGTACGTTATCTTTTTTTCTCTGGCGTGACAGATGTCCGGCAACGAGGTTGTTGCAGGTTTCGAAAGGGATATACCAAGTGGATCCTTAGCATCCCATGTTGGATCATGTGTGAGAGGGGACGTGACCACCGGTGTGGTATGCAACTCTTCATCGGAGATACCTTGTTGGATTTTGGTTGAGAACGGATCCAGCCTAAAAACGCTGGCGTTGTATCTTCGTGCCATCTTGATTCAAATCAGATTGGGCTTGAAGGTAGCATTCAACGTCTCTGTCCACTTCCACAAATTGAGCTTATCACAGACTCGAAGCCAGGTTGGTCTGTGTAAAACTTGTGGTGATAGAGGGGTAGAGCCGAAGGCTCGGCTGTATTTGAGGTCGATATTGGGACAAAAGAAGGTCGCTTAGGTGACGCGGGCCTGCTTGTCTCGACCGCTACCTGTTGACTGATCAACAAGGAAGGTGTGATCACACCATGGAGATGCTCTGTAAAGGTATGCGCGGAATGTGGTCTGAAAGTGGTGGTTGGAGGATCAATCGCCAGAGGCTTCCCTGAGAATCAACCGTATGCCTGAAGGGCGTGAGAGGTGTGGATGAATTTGTGGACGAGGAGGGGAGAGGAGAGGCGCCTCTCACTTGAGTGACAAGAACCCGACAGCCACCTAATCAGGATCGAGTTGGCCGGGTCCTCAGAGTGGACTCTTCGTTTTGTCAGGAGCGATGAGCTATTCGGACAGGTCTCACATACAAATTATCGAGGACGGGTCGAAAGCCAGCCTTGGGAAGGCTGACTGAAGGATTGTACAGTGATCCACAGGTGAGGTTAGCCAGAAGTGAGGTCTAAGTCTCTCAACATGTGACGTTTTAGAGGTAGGCTCGAAAGACGGAGTTCGGAAGGTAAGGCTCGAGAGATAGAGGTTGAAGGCTAAGGCTCGAGAGGTGACGCTGAGGAGATACTCTCGAGAGAGATGAGGTGTAACAGGTGAGGTTGAAGAGGTGAGTGAGGTGTGAGAGCTGATATTTGAACACTCGAGACAGAGACCCGGCATCCTGGTTGCTGTGTGCCTCTTCACCACCGAGCTGAGGGCGGTGAGCTCTCCAGTCATCTAGTGGGGTGCTCGAGTGAATTTCTGTACAGGTCAACTAGCAGATCCGATCAGCCATACTCACCTTGTCGATAACTAAGCTCAGTCTCGTGGGCATCGCATTCCGAAGTGGTATCATCGTCGATCCTTGTTCTTGTTTTCTTTCTGCTGCGCATTCGCGGAGGTGGCATCATTGTGCCACTGTCTAGTCCTCAGTATCGAACCAGCAGCGAACACCAAAACACTAAAGGAAGGTAACACAGACACATAGCCGCCATGGGCCGTGCGTCAAGCCCCGGGCGGCCAGCTAATCGACGCCCACGATCGGGGATATGTCATTGAACCTGGAGGTTGTCGGAGCACCCAGCATACCGCAGACTTGCATGAACTCAGAAGAAATGTGGGAAGGCCGCGGTTAGGAACTGAGGCTGCGCATTATTCAGCTCGACAGCTTCTTGGAATCTGGTGGGGATAGCCGCCGTGTGCAGCAGAGCGCCCGTCACCAGAGCCTGCTGTGTCTCAATTTATCGTGCCGACTGTGGCTCGACAGAGGGCACGGGCAGGCGCGAAAACAAGAGATTCAAGTAACCTGTCAGGCAGCTGCTACCTCAGGCTTCGGACGTTGGAGTGCATTGAGAGAAAGATGCTGGGTGGACCTTCCCTGCTGGATACGGTAGCTACCATGCTGAGTCCGGGATCCTGATGCCCTGCAAATAGTCATCGTTGTTCAGTTCTCATAATAGGGTTTTGCCGCCTGTAAGGAGGCAGTACGTTCGTGGCCAGCAACTTGAGTAGGGAGACAAATGCTCAAACGGCGATTGAACGGCTAGAGCCCGCCGCTTTTGACTCGCTTCTCCCGCGAAATACCTAGGTAGTTAGGCAGCGTCTCTGCTTCTCCGTAGCACAGAGGAGGCTTAGCATGGATCTTTGCCCGAGCTGAACAAAGGGGGCAATTCGGGCTTCTGGTCTCGGGGTATATAATGAGCTCTGGGCTCTACTTCATCACGGAGAGGTACTGTCCAACTCGCTACCTCAACAAGAAGGCTATGAAAGCTAAGGCTAACTCGAGTAGCGCACTGGGGCTGCGAGACGCGCGGACCGAGCCATCACGACACTGAACTGGACGCATACCAAACGCCAACAGCAGGTGTGACTGTTCGTGGCCACATGGTAAGGAGTGAACGTGTGTCCTATGCCCTTTCTAAAACGCCGCGGTCACCAAGAATGAAGCGTTGGCGTACCAGCTCTTGACTCATCCGATATCGAACACGGCCTCGACCTATTCTTCCATACAAGACCACATACGTTGAAGAAGGAAGATGGTCTCTTTCAATGTAAGCAGTAAATGCCGGCCCGCCTGCCTACTGTGTGCTTGCCACAGGTCATCTCCCCACCATCAGCGGAACCCGGATGAAGCATGGCCCAGCATACAGCCTGCAGCATGGCGCATTCAACATTCTAACACCCACTTTTCACTATGCCGAACATGCGCCCGCAACAGCTGTGCAATCTCCGTCCATGCTTTCTTCTGCAGCATCTTCCCCTTTTCGCTGGTGACGAGCTCTCCTTTCCTACACAGACACGTATTCGTAATATGTCAGCCTTGACTACGTTTCCCGGTTGTGCAGCCTCGATTTCTGCTAGGGTGGTCAGTCACTCACATGTCGAACACATCATGACTCCAGAACATTCCATGGGCATCCTTTCCCAACGTTGTCCCGCTGACAAGAATCCGACTGCCCTCCTCAGCCGTTCTCGCAAAGACGCGCTGGAACATCGAGTTGGCCAAGGTCATCAAGTGGCCAAAATCGCGTCCGAGGTTCGTGCGGCAGAGATTGGGACAGCACGTCGTGATGACCACGTCGTCGACGTTGTTGAGGCGTGTGGCTGACACGAGGCCCTCCATGACGTACATGAGCAAGAGCTTGGTCATGCAGTATGTTTCCTGAACGCCAAAATTTTCTTTGTCGTTGACGTAGTCGAGGAGCCTTGCACTGGGATTGTCGACCACGGCGTCCAGGGCCGTGGGGTTGACCATGCGGTGGCTCACGCTGCCGACAAACTCGAGATGAGAAGGAGATCCGCTCGTCTGGGCTGATTGGTGGAGCTTGGGGAGTAGCAGGACGGCGAGCAGTGCAGTGGACAGGACGTTGACCTGTAGGGACATTTCATATCCGTCTGGGCTGAGCTGGTATGAAGATGCTGCTATCCCGGCGTTAAGGACAGCGATATCGAGGGTTGGTTCCGCCTCGGTTATAGCCTTGGCAAACGACTTGACGGACTCGAAGGAGCTCATGTCGACTTGGTATATCTGCACGTTGGCAGCGTTGTAGCCTGCCTGTTGGCATATTTGGGCTCTAGCATCTTCACCGCGCTGGAGGAAGCGGACGCCGAGGATCAGACGGGAGGCGCCTAGACGGGCGAATTTGATCGCAGCTTCGAGTCCGAGTCCGACGTTTGCACCGGTGATGAGGACGGTTTTGCCTGCGAAGGAGGTCTTAGGGTCGGTGGGCGGGTTCTGCGCTTGGTCAGTCTCTGTTACATGCGAGGCTGCATGGTCCAGGAGCGAGGAAGCATTACGCGTGCTGACCACCACATTGCGGAAAGACCTTGGTCGTGCGGCGGAGTGCGTCCCATACTGGCTGCTGGTTGATTTGAAGGTCAACGGGATATGGAAAGGTCATAAAACCCAAAAAAGGCGAACTGCTCTCTTTATGGGCCTTCAGCAGAGCAGGCAGGAGGGGGGTGGGTATCGGCGAGCTAGCGGAAGCACTTCGGCGGACCGCTCGGTGGGTGCTCGGAGTCTCGGACGCGGGCCGGGCGGTGGCCTTGACTGTATCTCGAGGGTGCAACTAGCCACCCTGCTGCCTCTTTGCCTTTTCTGCTTGAATGATGTGGTGCAGGTCTTTCAAGATCTCCGACAATGGCGCACAGTGGCCTCGCGGCTCGTGAAGTGGCGGCTGCTCGCGGGCTTCCTCCCCCAACATCGCAACCAGCATCCTTGTCTTGTCCGGCTCAAACACACTCTTGCCCGCAAGTCCGCGAACGTCTGCAATCCCGAACTTTGCCTTCAGTTTTGACAACGTTTCGTTACTGATCTGCAGGAGGAGCTGGACCTGCAGATCGAGATGGTAGTCCAGCGAGAAGCCCCCCAGGTTGAGACCCGGGAATAATTGGGGCACCGGTCGTTCCAGGCCGAATAGCATCGGCATCGAGTCGAGAATGCTTGAGAAGTTGGTTCGGTATATCCGGATCAGGCAGACGAAACATGAGAAGAGCGAGAACATCGAGGGCACATCGCACCGGCTACTTCCGTTGGTGGTTGAAATACCATCGGGCGCAGCTCCTTCTGATGAAGGAGTAGGTGCCAGCGCAGCGGGACCAAACAGGTCCAGTATCTCCAGTAGTGTCTTGGATTGCGCGAGCATCCGTCCGACCAAGAAGGAGGAATTGTAGCCCAGCTCTGGAGGAAGTGTTGCCTCCGGACATTTGTCGGCCGCCTTGCAGTATTTGACAAGCTCCAGGTCCGCCAGAACTTCCCGCTGGAGCTCCCCCAGCTTAGCCTGGTAATTTTGTCGGGTGATGTGCGTTGCGACCCCATTCTGCAACGCCTCTGTGGGAGCGTCGGATGGCCCGGCAGCACGACTGTCTTGTTCCAAAGCACCGTTCCACCTGCTCTCTGCGCCGAGGTGGTTGGCGTGAGTAGCCGGCGCCAACGGTGTGTTGGTAGCAGCCACGGTGTCTGCGATGTTGATGTCTAATGCAGTATTTGGTCCCGTTGGAAGAGGTAGTACCTCAAGTCTCCGGCAATGGTATCTAGGACCGGTGCTAGGGGTGGTTATGCATTCCCTGCCGGTCTTCGCACACCTGTCACACTGCTGCATCGACTCTGAAGTGCGTTCGCATTTCACCTTGGAGGCGTGGCACGCATCGCAGGTCTTGCGGATGTACCATATTTGAGCGGAGGTCGGATCCTTTCCTTGCTGGTTGATGTGGGAAGCTGTGTACGCCGGCACCTGAAGGATGACGCCAGCCACGACACAGAGCCTGTTCGCTTTCAAGCATCGATTGCACGAGACTGCTTCGGAAGCCCGTTCACATCGGTTCTTTGAGGACTTGCAGCTGTCGCACGCCAGCCACCGGGATCTGGTTCTGCCTACAATCGTGGTCGGAAGCCTCGAGGTCGTGAACCGAAGGGGGGCGTGCTCAGCCATTTGAAATGCTCCCGGAAGAGCCGCCATGTCAGATGAAGGTCCCGAGAATGCCATGTCCTGTACGCCTATCACCGATGCAGCGGGTTCATGACGGCAATGTTTTGATACCTCTCTCCCGGGTGCGACCCCCTGTTTGCTTGCAAAGAAGTGGTCTTGCTTCTGCTGGAAAGACCGTGGGCGACCGAAAGAGCTCGGTGGTGGAGTCCGGGCCGACCACCTTCGGCGAGGCTATCGGCCAGCCACGCGTGCCACGCCAACGCCAGCCTTATGCGCCGACATCTTATCTTATCGATCAACCCCCGAATCTAGACTGCCGAGGCAACTTTCCCACATCTCCAGTAATTCATACAGTGGCTGCTTGCGCTGTAGCCGGTGGAAAGTTACTGCATACTAATCATGTAATGAACTGTTTTTATGGCTGCAGCGTCCGAGAGATCTTTCCTCACACAAAGGTAAGGCATCTCGACATTTCCGTCGCTCCAAGAACAGTCTTTGCTGCAGTCTTTCGAGGTCCGGTTGTTGAAAGATTAGACTCTACATTGACCCGAAGAGACCACTCCAAGACTCCAGAGATCACCAAGAGCCCAGCAACCGTTCGTGACAACAGCAAATACCCGGAACGATCTTCATCATGGCATCCAACGACAAGCCGCTCGCCCTCCTGGTCCTCATCCACACCAAATCCCGAGAATCCCGCGACAGGGTCATCGCGCTGAACAACGCCAACCTCTCCTTCTTCCGCAACCCGTCCACCCAGCATAGCACGCGCGCCATCTTCACGCCGACGACTCGGCCCAAAGCGCAGCTCGGCATGGTTCCCTCAGGTGAAGCATCGACTCTCCTGGGCCTTCTAGAGATCTGGTCCTCTCCGGCGGCATTCTCCGCCGTGAAACATACGCCCGTGTTCAAGTCCTTCCACTCGCGGGTCGCGGAGGAGAAACTGTACGATCCGGCGCGCGACATGGAGATCTCGGAATGGATCCCCGCCGCGGGGTTCGTGGCCAGGAAGGGCGAAAAGGAGAGCCCCAAGGCGGGAATTGTCATGCTCGCGAAGTTCGTGCTGAAGGATAATGATTTGGACGTGAACAGGGATGGGTTGGTGGGCGTGTTGGGGTAAGTACCTACCTAAGCATTTTGCTATCTTCATTTACTGTAGCTCATTTCCGATACTCCGTACGGAGTTCCCTATCTTGCCTCTAGTGGTGGTCGCTAACGACGGTGGTCCAGCAACTTCTGTGATTGGGTCGAGCAAAATGAGCCCGGCACGTTGACCTACCATGTCCTGACCAGTGAGAAGAACCCTGGCGAAGTGCTCATGTTCGAACGGTACAAGGATCTGCCCGCGCTGGGCGTGCACGGCAAGACGGCTGAGTTCAAGGCCATGTTCAAAGGCACGGGCCGGTTCATCCAAGGCAAGAAGACGGTTCTGAGTGAGTGGGAGGAGCTTGACGGATCCTTTGTCTCCACTACGCCAGGTGGAGCGGGATTAGGTGGGCAGCCGAAGCTGTGAGGCCCAAACTGCGTCCATAAACATAGACCGAGATCAGAGACGAGATTAGACAAATACCAATCTGGTCTCGAACACTCCTATATGGAAGTTCTTGCTGCTGGGAAGGGCATGCATGATGGGAAGACCAGCCAAGGACAGAAATGAAATCCAGGCCGACCAAGATTTCCTATTAGTGGTAAAAGATCGAGCGAAGGAGCATATCTCTGCTTTCAGACTGGCTATATGCATGACCCTGATTTATCCACAACATCGCGCAATGGTCAGTGAACCGTGATTAAGTTTTTGGATGAATTTATAGTCTTCGCTATGTGGTATCAGATAGGCCGCTGCCGTTTGCTATGTACTAATCAATCGTCCTGATGCATGCGCCACTTCCATCTTGCGGAAGTATCTCTCGCTGTGTTTTGGAACGCCAAAAGAGTCGATTATCCATCCCAGTGTGTATGTCTATGCCAGGAGGGCCCAAGTCTCCGGCTATATGTACAGTATTCAGGCCCAGCTGTTGTCAAAAAAAAAGCGAATGCGCGGTAGACGGTCTGCAATGAACAAGGTCCAGGTGGTAATGTGAACTCAAGCCGTTGATCGACATATTCATTTCGTCATTAGGTATATCATATCACGGCTCTCAATAGAAGAACGCCGCGACAAAGACCAACGCCGTAAAAGCAGTGGTAAAGCTGTACTCCAGCTCGAACCAGGCGGTTTGCGGCGCAAAAGCGATCTTCTTCGCTGCCGGTTTGGGGTGGCATACACCGGTCTTCGGGTCGCGGTCCAGAAGTTCCTCTCGGTCGGGACAGGTAGGAGGATCGACCGCATATGTGAAAGGAATCCAGAAAGAAGAGCAGACAATGATCCAAGCAAGAGGAGGCCAAAATGCGTGCGTGATAAGCCCGATCAACTTCCCTCTCAATGTGTGCTGCACGACCAGAGTTCGGTAAGTCGAAATGGTGACAGCAACCAGCACGAAGTAGACGTACGCAACGTGGAAGCCGGCCATGTAGTTGACCAGTATCGTCCATAACCGGCGGTACATTGGCGCTCTCTGTTTTGGGTCTCTTTCGTTGAGTGCTGACTTGATCGAACCTGTCGCCTTGAAAGCTTGTCGCTGTCCGCCGAGCCAGGTCGGTAGGACAAATGACCGGATGATGCAGAGAGATATATAGGGAGCCATCCAGAGCTGGTAACGGCTGCCTCTTTGGCCAGTGGTATAACCTGCGGGGATATAGAGGATGAACTCGCACAGGCGATTCAATACCACGTTGGCGAAACACGCCCGGATCAACCATCGAAGTTGGGTGTCATTTGAATAAGCCACCAAGGGTTTGTTCGCGACAAGAACAATCGGCAAGGCGAAGATCGAGAGGGTGAGGAAGATGTTGAACAAGCTCAGGAAGGCGTAGATGAAGCTCGACGACCTCTGTGCGAAGGACATTTGCTTCACTTGATCGCCCCACAAACAGAATTTGAGCTTGAAGGCCGTGTCAACGGTGCCGATGGCCCAGCGTGTACGTTGCTTGAGATGGCCACCATAGTCTTCAGGTACAGTTCCAAATTGTAGTGCTTCGTGGACAAAGGCTGTCTTCCAGCCAGCGCCGAGCAGGAGAGTGCTGGTGGCGACATCTTCCGCCAAGGACCCGCAGGGGAAGTTCCCAATCTGAGCCAGTGCAGATGTCCGAGCGATGTATCCGGATCCTGTGCACCAGGCCACACCCAGCGCATCCTTGACCGGCTCGGAGACGTGAACGAAGAAGTCCAAACTCTGACAAAGAGGATCATCTCTCGGAACGTTGTAGAAGAGCTGGGGTGGACACGCGAGGCCCATCTTATCATCCATCAGCAAGTGTGGCAACACGGCTCGTAACCAATGTTGTTCTGGAATCATATCTGCATCGAGAGCGGCCATGTACTCTCCAGCGCCACCCGGTAGGTTGTGGACTGCGTCCAATCCGTAGTTCAGGTTACCGGCCTTGAAGTGGTGAGGGACGCCAGGGAACTTTGGACGGCACATATAGAAGACATTCGGACACGTCTCACGCCATTCCTCAAGCACGTTTTTCAGTGTCTCAGATTTGCCATCGTCCAGCAGGATGATGCGGAATCGGTCTTGGGGGTAATCCAGATCGCATGCGGCGCGAACAGTATCAAGGACGAGGTCGTCGTCCTCGCCACAGCACGTGATGAAAACGTCGACTGTGGGAACCTCGTTGCCGATGAGCCTTAGCTTTGGCCTGTGGCGTTTCTTGAGGATAAAGAGCGACCAGATAGTCTGCATGAATATGGGCACAGCAATCGAGATTTCTATCGCCACGAAAGCCCACGCCAGCGGGAAGGAGTTGCCATAGAGCTTCTGAGCATCGACAATAAAGGTAATTCGTAGGCCGAAATAGAGCCAATACATCGAGAGGGAGGCCAGGCACAACAACGGCGCGAACCATCGGTAGAGCCATCTCTTCGTGCCGGCTATGAATTCCTGGTCATCTCGCGTATGCAGTTGAGCAATCTGGCCCTCTTTCGCCCAGTCCCTTTTGAAGTAGGTGGAGGGCGAGTCAGGGTAGAGAGGTCGTAAGGTCTCTTGACTTCTGAAGGGCGATGGTACTGGATAAGGCGAAGAGCTCCGCGTCTGAGAGCCTGAATATGACGAGTGTGCTCCTGGGGCAAATGCTGGGTATGATCCATTGGGTGCCTCCAACAGCGTGCTGTCGGAGATGCTTCCCGGGATCAGGTCTGACAATGTTCGGTTGTTGTATAGGTCTGGTAGACCTGGCGGCCTCGACAGCCTCCCTTGATCGAGTGGCGGGCTCTCTCTGTAGTTGCCATATATGGGATGAGCAGATGGTGCAGGTGGTTCGAGTAGGAAAGACTCTTGACTCTCCCGATGGCTTTCACGATACGGGGAGGACATGCTTTCTCTGTATGGCGGCGACGGCGATTCGATTGCGTTGAGCTTTATTTCTTGCATGACAGGCTGCTCCTCACCTCTTCGACGGTCTGACTTGTGAAGAGGCATGTTGGAGCGAGGGGTGGTGCGTTGTAGAGGGATACGCAAGGGCGAAAGCTCGGACACGTTGGGTTGTGTCTGTCGTATGGGACTATCGAGCGACAATGTTCATTCTCGTCCTCAATGCCTGTGTGATATACCAAGCGAGTGAAGTATAAACGAATGTGAATATCTGTCACAGATAGATGGAGTTATGGTAAAGTGAAGGTGGCCCACGGACTGCGGTGCTGCTATTGAAGTATTAGAAAGGAACAAGCACAACCAGCACAGGCAAAGTGAGCGGCGACAGGATTTTGCAAGCAGAAGGGTTGGATTGGCTATCCAAAGGGGGCGTGTTCTCGGGTAGCACGTACTTGTCCAACAGTGGCAGAGAGTGGCTCGAGTGGGTGCTCGACCGACCTTAATCATGTCATAGTGGAGAGGCTGGGTCCGGAAAGAGGCAGGGCAGGACTGAGGCAGATCATCGTGACATTTCGAAGCGGGAAGACCATGCGGAGGAAGAGATTGTTACGGAAGGCTGGGGCGACCAAGACAGGAACTTGGCGGAAGGAGAAGAAGCCGTGCTGGACACCAGGATTAGCGATGGCACAGCCAACTTTTTCGCTGCCCTTATCAAGCAATGCTCATCAAGGGGCCTCACTAACCATGGGCGTGTCGGAGAGTGCCAATTTGGCACGCGACGCTGTTGGGGGAGTGACGACAACAGCATCATCCGGCTCGAGGCGAAAGGGAAATCCCAAGCAGGGCAAAGGACACGCGAAAATCAAGGTGATTGTCTAATGGAGCAATCAAGCGCAACCCCTGGCACTGTGACCGGGGCGTCCCTGGCAGAAGGAGCGCCACCTGACTGCCAAGCCCGTAATCTCCACACAAATAGCAGTCTGATAGGCATTTGTCTTGCGGATACCGCACCTTGCTCAAACAAGTCTCTCCCGGTCAACCATTGACACTGACGAACCGATGCCTACCGCCTTAAAATCTTAGCTGCGACTGAAACAAAATTATCTCTTGCCACTTTGCCCCAAGCTGCTCAACCTGCTAGACCTGCACCGCCCACCGAAGCTCCGAGCTGCGTGCTGCCCGGATCTTTCCAGCCGCGCTGCGTATTTTCTATTCTCCGCCTCTGACATACTTCTGTTCTCCTGGTCGCCATCGCATATCTTCTCGACGCTGTGCTGGCCGACGTCTTCGACTGTTCGCAATTTGATCCAGGTCTCTACCACAGTTCTTTCAACAATGGGATATAGGTCGCTCGTTTCACTTGGCTTTGTGCTCATTCCCGTCGCAGTCACCATCAGTGTGCTCCTCGGGCTACAGGCATATCGCGAGTCCCAAGGATTGAACCCCAACCCCTTCGTGAGCGCAAGCAACAAGATCCGGTCAAAGAATTATTGCCAGAGAGCCTTTGGTATTTCGCCGTTCACAAATGGCCAGAAGTACACATTGTGAGTCTCAATTCTCCTTCTCACCAAACGACTGGACTGTTTAAACAGCCAGTTTCAATTTGCAACTATCCGAACCCCTGTCAGGACGGACAAGTTTAAAGTTGGAAGGCTTTTTCGTGTTCCTGGCTTGTAGCCCGGTTGGGCAAGGCGCTGGCTTCGGACCAAGGGCGCCTGCAACCCTCCTGAAAGTGCCCTTGCAGCTCGGAGGATCGACTGGATGTGGACTTCCGACTCGACGCCCAGACCGCAACTGCAACCAATTATGTCACGCGCAACAGAGGCTGACCAAGATTTCCCAGAAATCCCAATCAGTGGGCCATACCAGAAAACTATGACGGACCTGGAGGTCTGTGTATGAACGTGAGTAGTAACGTCAGACGCGTGCATTGCATTCTTGCTAACAGACAGGATCACTAGGTCACCAGCTACGATGTGAGCTTTCTCAAGGCCCAAACCGTGAATTTACCACGCGACGACGCTAACAATCCTCCAGAACGGAACTTATCCCACCAAAACCACGGCTGCACAGTGGTCAATCACAGTAAGTTGTTCCACGATCCAGCGGGGCGAAGTGTAGCTTTGCAGACTGGCTGACAGCAAGCCTTAGTGGCAATATCCTCGAGGTCCAATAACCCAACCTGTGCATGCCTTTCCCAACATCAAAGTGGACACAGATGCCTTTCCCGTCGAAATTTCCAAGGTATCAGCAATCAACTTCGAGACCGAATGGTACTACGGCGTCGGTGACGAGAGGCCGGAAGCCGTCGACATCGCTGCCCTGACCACCGCCCAAATAAATGCCAATGTGGCCATCGACATGTTCTTGGACTCAAATCCCAACAAAGCCATAGACACAACACAAGCCAAGTACGAGGTGATGATCTGGCTGGGCCAGTACGGAGCCTCCACGCAGCAGATTGGTCTCGAAGAAGGCGTCGTTACGACTCAGATAGTCAATGGGACGACTTTCAGTCTATACACCGGTGTCAACGGTCTCAACCAGAATGTCTTGACGTGGGTTGCGCAAGACGCTGCGACCGGTCATACCAATTTCTTTGCCGATCTGGGTCCATTGCTGCAAGGCTTGACAGGGATAGGTGGGCCTACTGTGGATGGTAAGCAGTTCCCATGTTCGAGTGGCAACCATGCGCAGGTTCTCTCCTAAGATCACATTACTGACGACCATTTAGATTACCTCGGGTATATTGCGTTCGGCTCTGAGGCTTATGATTCGGGTTCAAACGTCACGTTCTACAACAAGCATTTGTCCTTCGATCTGGTGACTGTATAATAAATTGAGCATATACGGAGTTTTTACACGGACGACTAGCGAGATGGACGACGACTAGACGGCGAGGGATTTTTCCGCAGATGTCGAGCCACACGCCCAAATTAGCCGCTCTGTCCTAGGACTCGGTCGCAGGAAAACGAGAGGACCACAGTCGGAGAATTTACATACCGAGCTTCGGCTACGACCAATACTGGTCTAATCACGATTCACGAATCTGTATCGCCTTTCTCCCAGCGAACATAACTTAAGCATCGCAATTCACGAGAGCCTCGCGGCCGGCGGGATCAACCGGGGGCAATATTCCGTGTCTGCTTCAAGAGGCGACAACGTTATCGAGCCTGTGGCAACAGCATACGGATTGCCGGGCCGGATCACAGACTACGAGGTATTGTTTATCAGCAAAAATCTATTTCGAGCGACACGAAAACCACCAAGACAAGCTGCAATGCAGGGCTGCGTCGGCCATCTGTTTTTACTGGCCCTCGTGGCACACTGGGTAGGGTTTCTGAGGCGCAGGGACAGATGATCCTATTAACCGAGCTCAGACCCTCGGATATCCGTTTCCGGAAAAATCCACTGTTGCCACTGATGGCGATCTCAAAATGCCGTTGGAAAATTTCGACCTTCAGGGTCCTGCTATGTGGTCATTGTTGTCTATATTTGTCTCGCTTGAGGCTCTGAATACGAGTGCTCGTGGGGAGTGGATATGCGATCGTCGAAGGGAGCAGCATACGACTATACGAGGTAAACTGTACATAGCACGGAAAAGTGGGAGTACCCGTATGGGTCACGAGCACCTAGATTTCTACATGGTCCTGAGTCTGTAACTTGTACACAGTATCTCCGTGTTGGACCTACATGGTGTTCGTAACTCGTACCCATGTCTGGTCCTCGTGTCGGGCGCACGGCCGAACGCCCGACTTAGCAACAACTTCTCGGGCAGAAATCCGTGCACATCCACCGATCTCATGCAGGCGCTACAAGTACACACAGCAACATGCAGACCAAAATACTTTTGCCACAGTAATACTCTGTACTGTGTAGATGTCCAACAAACTTCGCCAATCAGCTGCCATGCTGCACATGGCCGTTATCATTGCCAGCATTGCTGCTGGTGGCGCCTCCGAGTGCTTATCAAACCACCGCATGATCCAACTGGCGTCTGTCGAGCACCTTGGCTCCTTGTTGTCACTCGCCCTTTGTATGAGGTACTCGTATCTCAAAGAAATCGACGAAGGCTCCAGCCTCCCCGGAGTTTCCCAGTTTCTACATTTTATCTAACCTTGGCATGTCTGTGCTGGGCCCAGACCGCTACTGTCACTTGGCACTTGATGCACGCTTCCAAGGTAGGAGTACGGAGCATGGAGTACTACAGTAAGTAGCGGACTCTGAGTTAATCAGCGTCAGGACTACATTTTCCTGAAGACATGTGCGTGCGGCCCGGCTCGAGTAATGTGGAATGCTTTAGGAGTACGGAGTAGGAGTCTGAGGTACTAGGAGGTACCTAGCAACGCCAGTACGAGGTAAGTGCTTGGAGTGTTTACCTTGCTTATACCTCGCTAACACATTGTAGTCTCAACTCGTACCGCGTGGGTAGGCTCGTTGGGTGACTCTCCGCGATGGTGGCAAGTCTACAGCATTGACGTCAGGATGGTGCATGTCACATGAAGCATGTCACGTGCTACCTGACTCAGCTCTATATCACGTGACTTGCACTAAGCCGTCATGGGCGAGGTGCAACAGTGCTCAGAAGTCAGCACCTTATTCAGCAAGGTTCAGAAAGTTCACCGGACGTCCGAGAGCTACCGCAGTACGGAGCTACTGATTAACTAACTTGTAGCCACTACTGCCTCCTGCCTAGCTTCCCTCTGTCGATACTCAGTGATTGGTGGCCTGCGTCCAATGTCCTGTTTCTGGTGACCAGAGTTCAGCTGAAGTCGGTGGTACAGTACCTTATGTGCCAGGGCTGCCTACCTAGTATCCCAGTACTCTACGAGCGTGTTACCCAAGCAGACTGGTCGGGGCAATGTACTGTTCCGTGTACTGCTGCAGTCTCACGGAGCTCGTGGTACCTAGGTATGCTTAAGGTTATACTGCAAGATATCGGAGTGACAGTACGGTAAAGGTGAGTGTGAAGGTGAAGGTCAGGTACTGAGTATTCAATGCTTTTTCCTGTCTCTCCCTCACAATAAGTAGGAGCTGATGGTAGCCAGCGATCTTTGTGCGGCTGGTGGTTTTGTCCTTCGTCGCTTCCAGGATGGGTGCTCCTACCTTCTTCACACTCAGCATGTCATTTGGAGATCAAAATCGACCTCTTTTCGCACTCTGTGCGCTCAATTGACGCGTTCCAATGTTTCTTCCGGGCCGCCCCGTCAAATGGAACTTCGAACCGGACTATGCGATCCTTATACGCCTCCGGCGCCCGGCCCATCATCTGCATCGCTTGAAGACCAAAGCGACAACACCGCTCTCCCCCGGATACAGCACAAGCTCCACGCCGTCTCCAAGCTTCGAATAACGCTACACAACAAGCACTTCCGGAAGAGGCAGTCGTCCAGCACGGGCCCGTGCTTCACGTCCTTGGGCGGCCCTTCCTGATCATCTGGACCCAGTCTTGCATCTTGAAACTGAGCGAGTCTGACATATAGTGCTGCGCCCAGCCAGAGCGAACTGATGCCGTTCATTTTCAGGGCTCCCGTGGCAGTTGTGTAGACTGGAGGGTATTCCTCATCCAGCTTGCCCCAGCGGTTCTGCGCGGACCTACTCGTCAGCGTACCTCGCCACCACGGTGGCTTTGAATTTGCTGGGATGGATCCGTATTTCCACAAACTGCACAGAATCGTCTGGCAACGGAGACGCTAAGCATCTTCCTGGCTCAGTTGACTTGCTCCACGACTTTCCTGCCGCGCTCTTGTCGATGGCGCCAGATGTTTGCGCAGGTGGGGACCTCTCGTCAATTCCTCAGTGCCTGCCTCAGGAGCGGGCGCAGTCTGCGTTTCGTTGTTTCGGACTTCTTACAGGAGATGTCTATTGCATGTCGTCGCTTCTCGCACGCCCGAGCGTTGGCTCGTTCAGTCACAAGCGTCAGAAACAGCAGTCCGGCCATGCAGAGTGCGTACTCGATCGAACTGGGCGTTACCCAATCGTGCCAGTCCAGACGTTCTCCTACCACAATCCTCCTTCCACAGGAGGAGGCACCCCTTACGAAGCAAAAAGGCAAGGCTGCTACCACAAGGATAATTCACCACGGGCCAGGTCTTTAGTATTTACCCAGCATTCTGAATACCCAAGCTCAGTTCTCGATGCTGGTTCGGGTCTGGTTGGTCGCTTCCGCCTCAACCAACCCCGCATCCTCTACGAGTACATATTTTGTGTGCAAAGATGCGGGGCTGACCGTCCGCACAATCGTCGGCTACACGAAGTCATGATTCATTGCAACTGACTCGAGCGCTTCTCAAAGCCATCTCGGAGCTGGCAGGAGGCACGGGCACCTGCTCTAGCTCGCAAAAATTGCATACAGTTGTCACTCAGGTTCTGCTTAGCCATTGCGGTACAGAGCGCGGCATGATTTATTCTGAGGTGGAGGTAAAGAGCGCCGCGGATACGCCCGAAAGTTGGGCGACCGAGAGCAGTCCGTGAGTCGACGTCTCTGACTCGACCCACGGGAACTGTAGCAACTGCTCATTTGATGCAACGCTGGTGACTTCTCCCTTGTGGATGGGTCATGGAACAACAGAGAAATCTGACACTGCCCTCAGCCTCAACTCACGTCGGTGTTAAGCACCTACTTTACTGTATTTCCAATTACCTGTGGGGATCCGAGGCACGCCCTGCAGTAAGAATGCACTGCAAGCCAATGAATTGAATTAGCTGGTGATGTGATACTCAAGCGGTGCAGGCGCCAAGTCATTCGTTGTCCGTACACGATAGATCCCGCTTGGTCTAGAAGCCGCCGAAATTGACCGAGGTGGATGTGAATGCATTCTGCCCCGCAGGATTTAAGGATGAGAACCCCTCGTGTTCCCCCCCTCGGGTCTGAGATGATTGCAAATTCACTTGATTTACAAGCAAGACCTCCTCTTTGAAGTTGTTGCATTCTTCATCGTGCTGAACTCGAGTACCGGAAGTGCGTAGTCTCCTGCAATCCATATCCGCTTCAACATGGGTTCCGTGGGGCCACAGTTCAATGTCTTTGAGGGCTTCTACAACACCATCAATGGCAAATTGACTAGCACGGAGCAGACCAGGCACGGCATCAACCCTGCAACTGGCAAGCCGAATCCAGAGGTGCCTGTCTCGACGCAGAAGGATGTCGATGACGCCGTCGCAGCGGCAAAAGAGGCCTTCAAGTCATGGTCACAGACCCCTTGGGAGAAGCGCAAGGAAGCTGTGCTCGCCTTCGCCGACGGCCTGGAGAAATACGAAAATGATTTTGGCAAGCTTCTTACTCAGGAGCAAGGAAAACCCGTATGCGCCCAGCTATCAGACCCAGCCTCGCCTGCTAACTCTAATGCAGCTCCAATTTGCGATCGGAGAAGCCAAGACAGGTGTTCACTGGATGAGAGCTCTATCGAGGCTAGAATTGAAGGAGGAGATTGTCGAGGAGAACGACGCGAAGCAGGTCATCGTCCGATATACCCCTCTGGGAGTCACCGTCGGGATCGTACCTTGGAACTTCCCCATCCATCTTGCCTGTGGTAAGATCGCTCCCTCCGTCCTTACGGGCAACCCGATCATCATCAAGCCATCGCCTTTCACACCATATTGCGACTTGAAACTTGGTGAGCTCGCTCAACAATACTTCCCGCCTGGTGTTGTTCAGGTTCTGTCCGGCGATGACAACCTAGGCCCATGGCTCACCGCTCACCCGGGACCGGACAAGATCAGCTTTACTGGCTCTACGTTTACTGGCAAAAAGGTCATGGAGAGTGCCTCAAAGACCCTGAAGAGGGTCACTCTGGAGCTGTGAGTGTAGCACGACACTGAGCTGTAATGCTTGCTGACCTCGTCTAGCGGTGGAAAAGATCCCGCCATCGTCACGAAGAACGTGGACATCCCGACCGTTGCCCAGAAGGTATGATCATATGCTGATGCAGAATCTCTCCCATCAACTTGGCTGACGGCTGCAGGTTGCCACGTTTGCCTTCCTCAACTCCGGTCAAATCTGCTTGGCTGTTAAGCGCATTTACGTCCATGAGTCGATCCACGACGAATTCCTGAAAGCCATGGTCGAGTTCACCAAGAACCTCAAAGTTGGTGATGGTACTGAGGAAGGTGTTTTCTTGGGCCCAATCCAGAACAAGATGCAGTACGAAAAAGTCAAGGTAGGTTTTCAGCCACGCCATCTGGCGCGTAGGTGCAGGGATCAAGGATCGCACACTAACGCTGTCCCAGACCTTTTTCAGCGACATCGAAAAAGAGAAGCAGACTGTCGCTGTCGGCGGCACGAACCCAGATAAGCCCGGCTATTTCATCACCCCCACCATCATCGACAAGCCTGCCGACAGCTCCAGAATCGCCACCGAAGAACCCTTCGGCCCCATTGTTCCCCTCATGACCTGGTCTGACGAGGCTGATGTCGTTGCCCGAGCCAACAACACCAAGATGGGTCTCGGAGCCTCGGTATGGGGCAACGATCTGGAAGAAGCCACCCGGATTGCTCGACAGCTTCAGGCTGGCTCGGTGTGGGTGAACTCGGTGAGTCCTGCCAATTGACTATGTCCTCGTAACTTATGCTAACGAGAGATTGTAGCACCTTGAACTACAGCCCGACGCCCCCTTCGGAGGTCACAAGGAGAGCGGCATTGGTTTCGAATGGGGTCTGGGTGGTCTGAGATCTTTCTGCAATGCCCAGAGTTTGTATATCAAGAAGACGCCTTAAGTGACACGAAGGTTTTGTGTATTCCCAGAGCATGCGCCGTCAATGACTCCTGGTGATGCTTTGGGGGGCCGCAATTCTTCGGATCAGTCCGAGATAGACAATCAGTTGAGACGTGGCCAGCAGGATCATCTGGCCTGAACGATGAGCCTCAGGGTTATGTGAAAGGGAAACATCGGCCCGTGTACCTGGAAAGACATTCAATTTATATACCTTTGTATTTTGTGTCTCTGGGCTGTGTACAATTGCCTGCGATATCGGGTCTGGAGACGTTTTCTGTCTCCGTAACGTGGTGACTTCGGCGTCCTGGTGGGCGACGCTCGCAAGCGGTGGTTAGTATCCGCGTTCACCTTTGCAGTCATTGTTGGCCCTACAGCCAAGAATGTCGCTACGCAGCCCTCCACTGGGCTCATTTAGTCTTCGCAGGGTCCGGCACAAGTTCGCTCGCTCGTGCTGCGAGTGAAGATGAAGCGAAAAGTGAGCGTCGAGTCGGGAGATGACTGAAGCTTTGCTCTCTGACCCCTTTTCGCCCGGGCACATCATGGTCTTATGGTCGACCGTAGACGGATATTCAGGCACTACGGACGGCCAGAGCGCCAGTTAATGCCAGCGAATAAATCAGAGGACAGCAATACATCTTGCTGGTTCAGCGTGTAAAGCGAGTACGTTGTAGGACTGGCTGGACCGTCACCGTGTATCGGCATATATGATCCGAGTCGGATACTCAGCGTCGGTCCAAAAGGACGTACGCATTTCCCCGTCTCTTCAATCATGGCGGCCCCTTCTCCTGCTCCGCAACCTCAATCCGCGCCTGCAGTCAACGGCGCTGCGGACCTCGAACTCGACGTGACGAAACTACATAGCCTCGATACGGCACAGCAAGATCTATACTTGCTCACCTTCGTCTCCGATCTGCAACTGCACGTCGAGCAGCTGTCGGTGGAGGCTCTGCCGTCACACCAAGCCTCCATCAAGAGAGAAGTGATAAAGATCGTGGGATTGGGAGCGCCGGTGCCCTCACGCGTCATCCGGAATGCGCTGGGCAGGATTCTGGCAGACTTGTTTGGGCGGGGGAGTCGCAGCCTGCTCTATGAAACTATCAATGAATTGCTGGCCATTCTGAACACCGGCAAGGCGGATAAAGAGCTCAGTTCCAAACACAGCGCGATCGTGTGCATCGGCGCGGTCTTTAGAGCCGCTGGAGATTCGGCCATTTCTCTGTCTGGGCTGACTGTTGCCACTCTGATAAAGTTGCTCAAGGCTCCGTCCGTTGGAGTCAGAGGATGTGTGTTTCGAGCCCTGGTGGGGGTGGTACTGGGAGTCAAGGGCAGCCTGGACGAACATGTGTCGCGTGATATCCTCAAATCTTCTCGAAATGCGGCGACAACCGACAGATCGACCTTCGTTCAAAGGTGTGCCTGCTCCTGCCTCCGCAGTCTTCTGAGTGAGACGAGTTATTTCAACAACTCCAACGACTTCGAATCGATCAAGAGCACAATTTGGAAGGTACTGGATAGCTCCGGATCCTCTGTCCGGCATGCAGCAGCAGCTGCTATGGCTGCCGCGCTACAGCAAGCATACTCCGCTAACAGCACTGCTGAAGTACCTGTCCTTCGAAAGCCCAAGAAGTCGAAGAAACTTGGGGACGATCTGGACGACGAAGCCGAGACAGAGAGACCCGGTTCCCCAGCGCCGGGACAAGTCAAGCCGTCTGTTCGGTTGACTTTCACCTTGAAAGAAGTCCTACGGGTCCTGTCGCAACATTATTGCAGAGCTTCCACAACGAACAGAGCACGTGCGGGCATCGCCATGTGTTACAGGTTTCTTCTCCGCTTACTGCCTCGGAAAACGCTGGAGGAAGATTACGGCTCGATAGCGACGCACATGTACGCAGACCTCCTGAGCCATCCCACGGTTTCGGCCAACCGTCATCGCCTTCTCCTGACGCGGAAGCTAGTCCAGTGGATTCTTGCCGATGTCACAGTTCTCTTGACTGAAAATGCCCAAATCAATGCAGCACGCCACCTCATAAACGATGTCCTGAAGAACTACCCTCAGGTGATTCCGGAGCGCCGAGAGCCTTCTAAGCGAATACTCGCTGGCGCTTTGACAACCCTGAATGATCTGTTGTTGCAGCTGGGCCCAGCTGCCAATGTCTTGCAAGACTCCTGCAGAGAAGCACTGTTCCAAGTCGTGCAACACCCGAGCCACACGGTGCAAAGCCATGCAGCTCAATGCTTCAAAGCATTCATCCTAGCCTGTCCGAACCAGCTGATGCGTACCATCGACCATGCAATGACACAATTGCAAAAGGAGTTTCAGCCTTCCGAGGGCAAGCAACCGCATCGGAGGTCTCTGGGGTTTGCCACAGCCATCGCCATTGCAGTCAGCTGTGCTCACCAAAAGCCGCTCCACGGCTCGGTTCAGACCTACTCTGCGATTTTCACTTTCGCGACAGACCTCCTGAAATCCAGTGCGGCGGCAGAGCTAAGGTTATCCGCAATGCAGGTGCAGGTCGCGTGGACCTTGATCGGAGGCGTGTTGAGCTTGGGTCCAAGTTTCGTAAAAGTCCACCTCAATCAGCTAATGCTGATGTGGAGGAATGCACTACCACCTCCCCTGACTCACGAGAATGCGAGCAGAAGAGGACATCTCGAGCTGAGCTTTTTGTCTCACGTTCGAGAGTGTGCTCTCAGCGCGCTGCTCATGTTTCTGTCCTCTTGTAGCGGTTTGGTTACATTTGACGGATCGAAACGCATCTCCACCATGCTGCATAACACAATCTTATTCCTCAACAGCTTGCCTCCAGCTCGCGAATCCGAAGACCTTTCTCACCGACTAGTGCCTGCCCTCCAGCTACAGGACTTTGCAATCTTGCTCCGACGACGGGTACTGCAATGCTTTGCGTCATTGGTCAGCTTAAAGCATCTCGAGCAAACCGAAGTCGTTTCTCAATCAGACCTGATAGGTCTTACCATGACAACCTTCACGGACCCTGAACGTCCAGTGTTGAAAAGCCTGGAGGCATCGCTGGCAACCACGGCGAGCACCTTCGAGGGATTATGGACGACCGAGGACAATTGGAGCTTTGGTGTCAGCAGCTTGGTAGACCACTTTGACACTTATCTGCCCTTTGATAGCCATTCACCATCAAGAAGTGACATGTACACGGACCAGGATGTTTCTGTGCCAGACGTTCTGCTCCGGTGCCCGGCCATACCTGCAATCGAGCACGATGCTGCGTTGGTAGCACGGCAGGATGGGAGGGCGAATGAGGCCGAATTGAGCTCACCCGCAACATCCTGCGTCAACTTGGCTATCAAACTTTTTGCGATATCCCTACCTCTCCAGTCTGGCCGAATTCAAGAGAGCACGATCGAGCAGCTTATCACTACTGTATCGCAACCTCTTCAACGAGAACCTGGCAGGAAGGCGGCAATGCAGGTCAATGCAGCCTTAGCGCTGTTGTGTGCGCTAGCTGTGGCAAACAATGAAACACCATACACATGCGGAAAGATGAACGTCGGGGCGATTGGGCAGGCCATCGCCGACTTATTGGCCAAGTATATCTGCAATTCCGATCCTACACTACGTAACATAGCTGCCCGTGCCATTGGCCGCATATGCAACCTAGCAGGGACGCAATTTACCAACAAAGAGGTTAAGTTCCTCATTGACATGATCGTCGCAAACCGCGATCCTAGCGTCCGCGCTGGGTGTGCTCTTGCTCTCGGTCATATTCACTCAGAAGTGGGTGCCATGGCAGCCAGTCTCCATATCAAGTCGATCGTTGGTGTTCTTCTGTCCCTGTGCAGTGACACTCATACCATAGTGCACTATTGGGCACTCAAGGGACTGGTCCTGGTGGCCGAATCAGCCGGGCTCGCATTTTCGACCTATGCAACGAGCACCCTTGGTCTTCTGGCACAATTGTATTCGAACGACTCGCATAATGAGGAAGCTGCCTCTCTCACCACCTCCAATTTTGAGCTCGAGCTTTTCACGCCCTTGGCTATTGCTCAATGTGTCGACAGCGTCGTCAATGTTCTTGGCCCTGATCTTCAAGATGTGTCCAAGGCCCGAAACTTGATTCTGGTCCTGGTCGGCTATTTGCAGAAAGAGGCTTCAGCACAACTACGAAGCGAGAGCTACCAATGCCTTCGGCATCTTTGCATGTATGCGCCGGCGCACCTGCAATTTGCCAAATATGTCTTGGATCTACAGGCGAACCTCCTATCTGACGAAGAGTTTCTCCAATCTGCTGCTGTGAAAGGCCTAGATGAGTTGATGAAGAGGAATGCGTCAGAGGTCGCTCGTGTTGCAACTTCTAGGCTTGGTGATGATCTTTGGGCATGTCTGGATGACAACCCCGGCAGTGGATCACTTCAAGCAATGCTACAGAACTGGATGCAGCAGACGATCCTTCTGGACACGGCCGAATGGATCGACAAGTGCCAGAGCATCCTCTCTCGAACAAGGTCAAAAGCCCCAGCCCCGTCACGGGTGCAGACGGCTACGGCGAAGACAGCATTACCAGATCTAGCCGACGAAGACGTGGCCGGCTTGACGGCAGCCGCGGGTGGACAGGGTGATGCGCCTGATGCTGCTCCTGAAGGCCAAGAATTTCTCCGGTGGCAGACTCGGGACTTTGCAATGCGATTGCTCAGCGAAGCGATGGATATCATCCATGCCGCCATGTCATCGGACCGTGTTATACATGCGGAAGAAGTCTTACAGAGCAAGGTGGCGGATGTGGTCCGCGTCGCCTTTTCCGCCTCAACGGCTAATGTGGTAGAGCTTCGCATCTGGGGGCTTCGGATCATCGACCAGATTTTGAAGTTATTTGGAAAGACGCCAGATCCAGATTTCCTGGAAGCATCTCTTCTCGAGCAATACCAGGCTCAGATCAGCTCGGCCCTGACGCCTGCCTTTGCTGCTGATTCGTCACCAGAGCTAGCGGCTGAAGCCATCGGTGTCTGTGCTACCTTCGTTGCGACGGGTATTGTGACCAATGCTGAGCGGATGGGACGCATTTTCAAAGTCCTCGCCTTGGGCGTGGACAACCTTACACGACCGACGCCAGAAGCAGCTATTGGTGATCTTGATAACCTCAGTCCTAACGCCCAAGCAATGCTCAAGATGGCTATCTTGTCGGGGTGGGCACAACTACAACTTGCGAGCGCTGACCAACCATATCTGGAGGAGATCCTGCATCCATTTATCCCCAAGCTCGCACCACTGTGGCTGACGTCGTTGCAAGAGTTTGCCAGCTTGCGTTTCGAGCCAGAAATTTCAGACACTCTAGGAGGCGAGGTAGCGGGCGGCAATCTGGACGAAAGATACGCCTCTTTCAACCGCGAAGTCCGGCTAAAGTTCTATCAGAGGAATTGGCTCAGCGTTGTCGACGCTATTGCTGTGCTTGTCGAAAAGGACAGCGAGTCAGTCTTTGATGCGCTCGACAATAAGCGAGTCTCAGCTTCCAACGGCCAGGCCAACGGTACGGCTACATCAGGCAAAGACATGAGTTTCCGTGAAGAACCAGTAGCATTCTTCTTCATCCTGTTCGGCCTAGCCTTCGAAGCATTGGTAACCCAGGCCCGAGAGGATCCGTCGCAAGTGTTGTCGATTCTCCAGGCTCTGCGGAAAATCCTGACCCCGGAAGTCTGTGGTAACGCCATCTACGAGGATGCCGTGTTCAATGAAACAACCGATACTCTGGACCGACTTGCTCTTACCAGTACCAGAGAGACACAGAATGAATTGGTAGTGATAGCCAGAAACCTCTCACTAGACCACATCGCAGCAAAGGACCAAGACCGCGATGACAAGCTTTCGGATGATATTGAACAGCTTTTTGAGCTGACGAGAATCATCATCCTGGTCTTGACCGGTCTCATTCCGACGTTGGAAGATCCGCCCGGTGTCGCTTCCCGCAAACTCGGAGATGATGGGGCTGCTCTTGTTCAGCTCTGCTTCCAGGCTCTGGTTGACGTTGCGTCGGTTTTTCCCGCAATCATTCGAGCAGACTTGCATGCCTGCATCATGCACAGCTACTGTACCATTCTTGCAACGGGAATATGCCAGGACGGAGTGTTACCACGAATCATGCCGATATTCAAGGCCTTCTTGCAAGACGTCATACAGTCAGCATCACTCGAGGTAGCGTCAAGACTCGTTCGCGGATGCCTTTGCCGGATGTTGTCAATTCTGGCGGTGGCGCAGCGCCGAGAAAACGAGTATGCCATCACATGTGCAAAGAACACGCTGTTGTCGATGACAATCTTGCTCACGACAGCCGGCTCGGCCCTTCCCCCTAGCGATGAGTCTGTGGCACAATCGCTGTCGGAGTTGCTGGACTGTCTCCAAGACGTTGGCCTGGCGAAGATTGCCGCTGGGTGCATGCGCTCGTTGCTGGTGACCAATCCGAAGTCAGCCTGTGACGAAGTAGTTGGCAGGGCTTTGTGGATACGGCTCGTTCATTTTGTCTCAGACCCTGAAGCAGAAGATCCGGAGAGCGTCAAGACGGTATTGACACAAGCTCTCGTCGCAGCAGTGGTGACCATCACAGGTTCTGGCCGGTCGGCCGCGATGTCGTTACTAGTGCCAGTTCTCCTGCTTCGTGCCAAGCAGGTCCCGACAGCGACCGACCCGGAGACTATGCGCAAGGAGAGTGCGGCAAGACTTCTTGATCTCGTTGCAGCTGATCAGATTGCCTTCAAAGTTACTGTAGGACTGCTGGATGAAGAACAGCGCTCGGAACTGGAGAGCCTGCTGCGTGCTGCTGGGGTGGGCAGGAGAGAAGAGAGATCTACAGAAGAGAATGTCGAGGCAAGGCCGGCTATCGAGCTGCGTATGGATTTTGGATGAGACGTGAAAGATCCGGCAAGCATATAACACTATGGTAGATAGAGGAAACCGAAGATACAAAGCGGGCACTCGAACCGTACTACACAGCTTGCGTAGGTAGGTGACTCAGCCTCGTAATTGCCATTCTGCATGACGTGATTGGTGCTTGGCGCTGCTTAATGCGGCAATACGAGGGACGAGGCTCGCTCAACCGATTCTTTTCAACCTTGGCTTGAGATCCATTTGGAACTGGATATAAAAACAAACGGGATACACCTCGCTCTGAAGTCTCGATAACCTCAAGGTGTACGGCCCGGCCCAAAAGACGCCATGGACCACGACCCCAAAGTCCCAACATACCAAACGTCAGACCCCACGTCTTTTGCCCATAAATCCGCGCGCGAGCGCTGGCCCGCGATCGTAACGGGCGCCATTGACGATGTGCACCGCACGGTGTCATGCATCCCGGACTCCGACAAGGACGCCCTCGCCGAGGGCAAAGCCATCACGTCGGCGCTGGCGACCCTGAAATACGAACTCCAACATAATCGCGTGCTTGGCCCCATTGCGGACGACGGCTTCCCGGACGTGGAACTGTACAATGACGAACTAGCCGCCAGGGGCCCGCCCACATGGCATAACGTCGAGTGGCTGTTCTCGGAATGCTACCTGTATCGACGCATCGCGACGCTGTTCAGCACTGCGACGACGAAACCGTGGAGGGACTACGACCCATTCTACAGGCAGAAGATGAAGACTTTTAGATCATCCAGGCCGGCCGTGCTGGAGCTCTGTGCGCGCTACAGGCAGATCGTCGAGCAAATCCGGGCCTCGAGCCGCGATGCGCCCGTGGGCGCCGACGTCACGGACCCGACGGAGATCGAGGAGGCCGAAAAACTGCTGTTTGTCGAGATGGCGGAGATTTGTCTCTGGGGCAATGCCACGGATCTGTCCCTCCTGACGAGTCTGAGTTACGAGGAGATCCAGAAATTGCAGGGCAGCAATGCGCGCAAGGAGAGCGAGAAGAACATCCTGGTGAATGATTTCGGGGCGGCCTTCGCTGTGCTGACGCGGGCGCTCAAAGCCAAGCGGGAGATTAGACGCGTCGACATTGTGCTCGACAACGCCGGGTTTGAGCTGTTTGTCGATCTGATTCTGGCGGGGTACCTGCTCGCGACGGGCCTGGCGACCGAAGTGGTCCTTCACCCGAAGGACATCCCGTGGTTCGTGAGCGACGTGGTGCCCAAGGACTTTTCGGCGCTGCTTTCGGCCATGGCAGACCCAAGGGCGTTCTATGAAGATTCTCCGGACGCGGACGCGGACGCGGACGACGAGCCCGACAACGACAAACCGGCTCCGCTGGCCGAGGAAGAGGTCGCGAACGTGCAGTTCCTCTTCGACCACTGGAGCCACCTGCACGGTGAAGGGAAGTTGATCCTGCGGCCGAACCGGTTCTGGACCCACGCGGGGAGTTTCTGGCGCCTGCCCGCCGTGGCGCCGGAGTTGATGGAGGATCTGAAGGAGAGCGAGTTGGTCGTGTTCAAGGGCGATCTCAATTACCGAAAGCTGACCGGTGATGTATGGCCCCCAACTTTTCCTGCCCTTGATCACTCGTCCCCCCTTTACGCGCACCCACCCGCTGACATGACTTGACTTGCTAGGCTGCATGGCCTGCCACCACGCCCTTCACGGAAGCCATCGGTCCGCTTGGACCCGGTTCAGGGCTCAGAGTACTCGCGCTGCGCACGTGCAAGGCCGACGTCGTGGTCGGGTTGCCGGAAGGGAAAGACGAAGAGATCCGCGCGATGGAGGGAGGGGGCGGTGATTTCGGCGCCAGGAAGTGGGCGTGGAGTGGCAAGTGGGCTGTTGTGCAGTTTTCGGACGGCAAAGCTTGAGGAGAGGTCTGCGTGGGGGGGGATGCGTCGTGGTGAAGTTTGCGTTGTTGACCTCCTAGGCAGAGCATAGATGATAGAGCCATAGAAAGGGGGGCATAGATCATGGACGGGATTGATATACGAGCACGACGAGACACGAAGACAGATGGATAGATAGACAGACATTCTTCACTAACGCTAGATTTATCTTATGGCGACTCTGTCTGTGCTATTCTTGAAACTTAGGTAATGCGTGCTTGCAGGGTCTTGTGGATGTCTTTTACCCTCTGAAACAGACTTGTTCTCCAGTACTAGTCCTTGTTCAATGGACAGTACAGGGATTAAACCGAATGTGCATATCCATATTCAGCAAAGCCGCGGGATTTGGTGGACCATGCAAGGTGGTCTCGAGGGGCTTACATTTGCGGGCTTGACGAGTAGATGAGATGAATGGACAAGCAATCTACCGTGTTTTGGTCCTTTTGAGCACAGTCAAGACGAGACGTCCTAGGAAGTGGTCGTTCGTTAACGGCTAACATTTGAACATGACTTGTAGAGCATGGATTGACTTGCTATAGCCTCCCAGGAGTGTACCTTCATCAATCGTGTAGGGTCTGTCCTGAAAAGTTTCGGTAAGCTGCGACTGTTCACGATAATCCCGAGACGTTTTATTGGCCTGAGAGGTCATTCGCTTTCGGACTGTCGTAGCCACAGATGCAGTGTGGGAGCAGGACGGAATAGCTGGCAGCTGAAAGACGCGTGGGCACTGCGTATGATGAAGAAATTGTGTGTGTGAAGATCAAGGATCTCATTGCTTTTGACGCAAGGAGAATGTTGCGCCTGGACCAACGGGGCTTTCGCAACCCACAACTCCGAGAAATGATACCAGTACAACAAATGCATCCAATAACGCAAGCCTGTCCTCGAGCATGGGGCTTGGGGTAGCAAGCTGGAGCTGAGAGTATTTAAGACGGCCGATAGAGAGGGCTGGAGGGTCCTTTGTGCTTTGACTGCGGTAAAGAGTGTGAGCTGGACACCATCGATAGCTCCGGACATGCTGCCAGTCATTAACATGACCCATGTTGAAGACACGTGCTCTGGCCCAGGAACTGCTACCGTAGTTCGAGGACGCTCCAGCACGGGTACCGGAGAAGTTGAAGCGAATACTCAATGAAAGGCGGCATAGCCCCAACAGAGCTGACCAGGAGGACTAGCCTGGACAGCGAGTCTTGAGATATACCAGGAGTGTGCCGATGGGATGTCTTTCGACGTCGAAGTCTGCTTCCTATCGCTCTGCATTCCCAGGGCGCATCTCATGATGAATATGCCATTACACGGCACCTCCTTCCAATTTTGCCCGGGTTCTTCGCATAAATCGGCCACCAAGTCTGTGAGCAACAAACCCCTTCAAGCAATCCGGCGGCAAACGCACGTGCCTGAGACAGAGTGGATCAATCAGCGAGCCACTGTAATGTGGAAACCCTCGAGTCGGTGACTGCCTAGGGAAGCAGAGAGCCTTTTGAGATACTTGAGGTCATCAGAACTGAGTGTCGGCCTCGACGGAGCCCCGAACCGAAGAAGCAGAACCTGCTTGAAGCAGGCGGCAGCCGTTCGGAGGCGACCACAGTATTCCTGAGTCGGAGACAGATGGACCGGCCATGTTCACGATTACCGTCTCCGTTACCGAGCATGAGATCAGCAGAGAGCCGTTGAGCATGACAGCCTCTGCTTCCTCCAGTCCTTGCAGCTGGCAGCAGCAGATCCCGGCGAGACATTGAACTTGAGGACCGAGAACTGCCACACACCATGTGCTGTGTACGCGGTGTTTGCGTCCGAAGTGAAAGGGGAAAGACTTCACGGCGCAACACGGAGCAGTGGCCCCGAAGCGACGATCCCTTCATGCTTGATGCATCTCCTACAGTAATCACGCGTGGCTGTATGCAATTAGTTAGGCGAGACGAGGCGAGAGGCCGTCGCCAAACCCGATTTTCGAATTGCTTCTTGATCGTTCTCACTCGAACTAATCCCTTCAGCTCGCTCGCTCAGTTTTTGCTAGACATTTGGGTGCCGTTCTTTCTGTCTCACTACCATAACCGCTCAACTGAACTTTTTCGACCATCTCCTGACTTTCGGAGTTCTTTCTCACTCAGCTTCCTACGTCACCGAGTTGGCCGAGTTTGGTGGAGCCCCTTTTTGCCCACCACCAGCCAGCCTTCACTTCGACAACAGCCCTTGTTTCCATCCGTCGCTCGTTTCCAATTACTCGCCGCGAGCAGCGGGCCGTGGCTGGATTACTGCGCTCCTTTATTCCGACTGCTCGTGCAACGCGCCCTCTCGACCCTCATGTCCACGCCGCTTCTCGCCTTCACAATGCCCGACTATGGCAAAGTCACAGACAAGCGACGCACCTCGTACTTTGCCTCGGCCAAGCAGTGGCTGCAGCTGAAGAAGTACCAATACGAAGTCACCTTTTCGCTGTACATGCTGACTCCGACGGAAAAATTCATCTTCAGTACGTGGCCATCTGCGGGCGCGATCGCGATCGCGTCTTCGGGCGTTACTTGCAACTAACCACTCGGCCAGACTTTATCCTCTTCCTTCTCGTCTCCCTCCTCGTGACGGCCGCGACACTCTACCTCCCGAGTCACATTGGCGTCATTTACAATCGCATGTCGTATTACGTCCACGGCGAATACGCGTACCACACTGCAGCCAGTCCTGCGGGAGAAGCCATTCCGTCAGTTGCGAGGGAAGGTCTGAAAATCACGTCTGAGGCAATAAGGTCGGGGGCAACACCCATGTCGCAGGCAGTAAAAGAACTTTGAGATTCTCATGGATACCCCCATTGCGTTTGTTCCCGGCTGCGGACATTTGTATTGCCGCCGGCGTTTGGGATCGAGCAGGTCGCATGCGGACATACTCGCTTAAAAGCTGTATACCTCCGGCAGGAGCGTGGGAAAACTCACAAACTGGGCATGACAACAGGCAGGCGGATCGGTTCAGTATATTGGCACGGAGTGGACGGGTCGTTTCCATTTCGACAGTCACAAAATCTGACCATGTAGCATGCAGCATGCCGTACGCCTTGTGCTCAATGCGCTGTATGCCCCCCCTTCACTTTGTGCCCGTCACCTGCTCGCAAACATGGAATCGAGTACGTCGAGTCGAGTCGAGTCTGTAGTGTGTCCTTCGCGTTGACACGTAATGTACAATAGTGTAATCAGCCACCCAACCAAGAAGCTGCAAGCACCGCGTCCAAAAAGAGATCTTGAATTGGGAATGCTCCCCAAAACGCCGCCGCCATGCATATTGACACTCGATACCCAATCACTCACTCACGCTTCCCCCACATTGTATTATGTGTCGTGGTGCACAACGTCTCTTCGTCTCATCTGTATATCACTCCCAAGCCCCCACGCCTATCTTGCAGCTGGCAGGCAGGCAAATATGGCGGTCGGTACAGGTCCATGTCTCCCGGTTTCCAGGCAGTCGACACACTGGCAGGTTAGAGATCCAGGGCCAGGTACGCACGTCCGATCCATAACTCGACATACACGCCGCAGCAGTTGGTTAATGTGTTAGGTTAGTCAGTTTCTCCTGCTCTTGCCCTTGTTCTTTCGCCCTCTGACTCTCCGTCCGCCTCTCCCTCAACACCCTCTGATGGCGCTCAATCTCGGCCCTGATTTCGTCGCGCTCGTACGGGATCCTGTGGCTCTGCTCCTGCGTGGGCCAGAACCCGGGCACCGAGAATCGGTTCTCCAGGTTCGTGCCGAAGTAGTACATGTATCCTATGGGGAAGGAGAGGTAGAGGCCGAACTGGAGCGACAGACGGAGGGGGGTTAGTAATTGGCATGGTGTTTGAGATGTGGTAGGTGGGGAATGGTGTAAAGTGTATGGTGTATAGCGCGGGCGGTGGATGAGATGGCGTTCGCATATCGCAGAGGTATATTGCATGGATAGATGGATACATGGGAGCGTGCATGCGCGCATGCGTGCTTGTGTACAGAGACAAATGAGATATGATCGGGCGGGGAGTTTGATCCCACAGGGCACAGCGATAGAAATACAGGGTAAGATAGCTAGGGTACTTCGAACGCACCTTGAAGATCTCGAGATTCGTGCCCCGGAGGGTGCGCTCGAGGAATTTGCGCACCGTGCTCATGCCTGCGTGAGTCGTTGGGGGTGAGTGAGGTTTATCTCGACATGACGGTGGCAGTGACGGGAATGGTGACAAGTACAAGTGAGGGCGTGATGATGGATATCGATAGGAGCAGGAAATCACGAGCTCGAACTCTGCACCGTGTCTGTGTCAAGTCTCTTGACTTTGGCTTGAGCTCTGTCTGGACTTTGCCTCCCGAGGCTGCGGTGGCATGACTTGAGATCCGCGATTGGGGGCTTTTAATTGGTGCTTGGCGCAGGACGTCGTATGGACCGTATTCAGTATTCACGCTCAGCCTTACGGTGCATGCAAGGCTCTCCACGGCTACTGGACTCTCCTGACTGCTCCTTCTTAAAACCTCTGCTTCATGCGAATTCAGTGCAGTGCAACGTCTTGGATATACATTCACACTGTGGGTTCATTCCTTCTCACTCGTTTGTCTGTTCTTCTCTTCTTCTTTGTCCTCTGCTTCGCCCTCGACTACGTCCTTTACTTCACTTTCATGTCTCCGCCGCTTCTGCCTCGAGATGTCTGCTAGGCACCTGTTCCATTTTGGCTGTTCTAGTGTGCCGTCGCCGACCAGGGCTCTGCATGTCTTGGGGAAGCAGCGCAATAATGGCAGAATATAGCTCTACCAAGGATCAGCAGGGCCCAGAATACTATACCCAATACCGTCCAAGATGTTGAGCAAGCACTGTACGTCGTGAGATCCGTTATCCAATTGAGCTCAAGTAGTGTCATGGGTCTCGCCTTCATTCACCCTCATGATCAAGGAAGTGTGACTCTTGCCGACAACTTCAACCTCCGTGTCTTTGATCGCCATTGTCAAAGGTGGTCTGTCTTAGGCAAACTTCCGCAGATCGTAGAGCCTGCGAGGCATGAAGGTTTGGCCCATGCTAATTGCGAGTCGTATTGCTGGTTGAGCAAAGCTCTCGAGTAGGGGCCGGTTTTGCTAGTTGAGGACGCCATCTTAGGGAATAGCAACCAGCATGCCTGCCTGTTGCGATCAGTCCCGGCTGTTGAGACCGACCGTGGTTAGTTGGCCACATGATTATGGGATATCTGATATGGGCCATCAACGAGCAGGTGTAAGGCCTCTAAAGCCGAGACAAGCACAATGACGCCATTTCATGCGCCCAGGTGGCATAAACAAAGCCCTGTGCGCGCTACTCAAGTCGGACCAGACTTTGGGAGCCTGCAGATGTCGTTATGTTGACGTTCGGGTCCTCACGAGCCGGACTCGGGCTTCGCGTCCCAGGAAAATGTGACCTCCATCAACCGAGCAGGCTGACGTGGCGTAGTTCCGTTTGGCAAGCTGAAGCCTCCATCGCTTTGTTCCGTACCATTGCCCGATGGCGGCTCATGGGCTTTCGGCTCCGTTTTCGGAGTGAACCTTGCGGCGAGCCAGTTCAAGTCGTTTTCATGCGGCCGAGGCCATTTGGCGTAGTAGAACCACTTCTGTTCCTCCTTGCCCCACTTGCGGTTTGGCACGAAAGCCTCGACAGAGTAATAGTTGTCACGCATGTAGATTGGTTGATAGCTTGGAGGACCGCTTCTTTCGAGAAACTCGTCAGTGCCGGCCGCGGCCTCTGCATCGGTGAGGTGATAAGTTCGCGGTTTGACAGCACCGCTCTTCTCGCCTTTCTTCCGCCAGTTGCCTGAGCGAATGATGGTGCGGGTTGTGGTATCAAGGTGTATTTGCAGGATCCGCGCATAAATGAGCGGACTCTTCATTGCCTTTGTGACAATGCCGGCATGTCGTTCAAGTAAATTGACGTTCCATTCCGGATTTGTACCGCGAGGTATTATAGGTAATGGCACGCGGGTTGCGAGGTTCTGCTGCCAGTGCGCAAGGTCAAGGATAATATTCAGGTTGTTCCAGGCAAGGACACAGCTCATGCAAGTGCACGTATGCGAGGGATCGATGTGTTTGATGTGTTGGTATGGATTCTTGTGGATCCGCAGCCGATCCTGCCACTGTTCACTCATCAATGCTGGTCGAGCCACGAGAGGCACCATCTCCAATGGTACCGGTAGAGGAAAGCACTGTTTTAACACCCAGTAGCGATGCCTCATGACGTCGTCGGCGATGGCTCGCTCGTTATCTGTAATCAATGCGCGTATCGACCTGTTGAGACGCAGCATGGTGAGAATCTCGCTTGGCTCGAGGAAACCCAAAATCATCAATAGGAGTTCTTGCGGGAAGTCCAGAAAAGACTGGATCTCCGAGTGCACTCTTCGTGCCTGCTTCTTCTGTTGCCGCTTCTGCAATCGAGCCGTCTTCTTGGAGTGTTTGGCCAGTGCAGCGGTGGTGTCAATTAGAGGCTCGTCCTCGACGAACACTTTGTGTCGCCGCCGCGCTGAATTGCTCACATAGTGGATTGGGAGCTCGTTCGACCCGTCGATGACTTGTTCATGAAGACCATCGGGAAGTGCTTCGGCTACTGGTCGAGTCGAAGCGCGTCGGGCTTGACCTTCCAATGACTTATGGGAATGCGACTCGACGACCTTTGGGTCTGCAGCATGTTCATGCTGGTTACCTAGTCTCCCTTGCCTCTCCGACTCCGGCAGCATGGTTACGGTCTCCTTGAAAGCTCGACAAAATGAGGGTTCTCCGGTGCGATGTCCGAACGCGGAGGTGTTGGATCAGTTAGACGTAATTTTCCATGGTGCTCGGAAAGCAGTCGAAATCGAGCGATCAAGCACAGAAATCGCCACAGTTTAAAGCTGCTAAATGACATGCTTGGGGTAATGCTCCGGGCGCCACCCACCTACCAACAGTGCCTCAAGCGCCCTTAGGTAAGCCTAGGAGGGCACCACTGGTGCCACCACGGCAGTCGCTTTGGTGCTGGTTGGGAGCTAGTGCCACTGGTGCCTACCCTTGCTACTGAGTACATCAATCCCGACTCCCAGGCCTTGACGCCTTCAGCGTGTGCAAATCGCCACCATAGCCATCCTCACTCGAGGTGTCCTTCTACATTGCTGGCTGTCTACCGCTACGAGCGCACAACAGCTCACCAGCCCCTTGACCGAAACCTGCTACGTAAGGGAGCACGCACATTACTACAAGATCAGCGAATCGACCAGCCAACAGGATGTTGATAGGTTTGTCCCTCGACCGTAGCACACCATGCGAATCTTCCACCAAGAAACGATGTTTGTCAAATGCAATATGTATCCTATGTATCGCGATGGCTCGACTCCTTGTCTACGCGATGTACAGTCCAAGCATAGGTAAAGTGCTTTACCAGAGTGGCATGATTTTCTTCCACCATCTCTTCGGGTGCCCCTCGTCAAAGCTATCAACCCAGTTTCGAAACAGAAAATTCTCATGGAAAATGACCACCATCATGACGGCGACGATGAAGAGCGCGAACCCACACGTCGCGAGAACCAGGATTGCTTGGACCCTGAGCGGTTGATGCGTCACACTGTACCAGATCCAAAGTGGGACCATGGTGGTTGCCATGATGAAGACGAGCACAGCAGGCACGCCAAAGTACAAGATTCTCGAAAAGGTCGATGGTGCCAGAGTGTGTTTCTTTCTCCTCAATTTGGGTTGGTACCATTGTTGGCGGTCGCATCGGAGGATGACGTTCGGACCCGCGAGGCTGGCTTGTAAGTGATGGCCTTGTTTTTCGGTGCCGAATCTGTAAGATAAGGAGGACAGAAACTCGGCCTCGACGGTCGAGTCTGCGCGAATGGTAGTGACAAGAAGAGCGCAGCCAATCCCGCTAATGTATGCTGTTTCACTGTCGCCGGATTGAGATTCATTCCTGGGGAGCAAGATGCAGACTTGTGCATCGCTGCCGGCGTGTTGAAGTACTGCTTCGTGATCATGAAGACTGATCTGGAACATGACCCGCAGTAGATCAGGTCTGGCCGAGAGGTCTTCGTGGTGAAACTCGAATGAAAACGATGGAGGCACAGTCGTAGTCACCGACATGAGAAACTTGAGGTTCAAGGTCCTAGGAAACAGGATTCCGCCGTCTATGAAGGCAAAGGTCCCATCAGCGTCTCGGAGAATGCCTTGGACTCTGGTGGGAATCCACCTCATTTGCGCCGGACCCGAAGCCGATCGCGGTAGGTCGCGGAAGAAGAAGGACGCCGGAATGCTAGGCAGCTCCTTCATCATGGCTGGGAGTCGATCGCGTGCCTGGAGAGTCATGATCTCCTTCCCACTGTAGCCCAGCAGCGTGGCCATGATTCCCCAGACGTCCTCAGGCCATGATGTGGACCGGGCTGACAATGAGTTCCAAACCAGGGCGAAAGCGACGTATTCTGACACCACCGCCTGTGACGCAATCCAGGCAATGTTGAATGTGATGAACGCAGAGTCCCGCAGATTGCGGAACAAGCTTTGAGAAGGTACATCAAGCCGCTTGAAGGCCTTATTGTACTCTTTGAAGTCCTCATATGGAATGATCCTGTCGCCTACACAGAACAGTGCAACGGATGTGTGAGCAAGCGACATCTCGCTGAAGGTCCAACAACGTGTCATCCAGCCCGAAGATGCAACCCTTGCCATGACTTCGGTGGTTGGCATGTCACCATCGGTTACGTCTGTCAAGGATTTGTCGACGATCAGAACAGCTTCCGCTCCTGCGAAGACGGAGTCTGTGGAAATCCATTAGCCCAGTAAAGGTGTCAACAGAGCAATGACAATAAGAGGGATGGGCATATGGCAGAGTCTTCTCAGTGAGAGATGCTTACAGATGCGGGCTATTGCCTGTTTCCTGAGTTCTTGCGAGTCTGCGTGGAGAATCGATGGAATGCAGAAGATGTCCAACCAGATGTCGAATGACTTGGGCCCTTTGAAGACATGACGGGCCAAGAACGGCGCAATTGAGAGGAAACCAAACAGCCGCTCCGCTTGTACTTCCACACGGGCCTTCTCGAGGTAGGACGCCAGCTTGAGGAATTGACATCTAAAGATCTTGTTCTGCTGTGGGATGACGATACCATCAGCCCAGACGTGACTGAACGCAATGTGCCGTTTAACGCCTTTGGCCCTGATCACTCTGAAACTCGGCCGGCCGTCTTTTGAGATTTTACATCTTATCAAGGGCGTGCCGCCTCCTCTCAGAATCGTTTTCACTTGCTCGATGTCTGGTCCTACAGCTTCACAATTGCAGTCGTTGGTCGCATGTTTACCCTGATGCTCGAGTGGGTCCACGTCGCGTGCAATGCACTTGATGGCACCGGCGCAACGCTCATGATCAAGTTGAGCTGGAGTTCTTCGAAGCAGGCATGTCATTGTCCAGACTGTGGTAAGATGATAGGTGCCGAGGAGTCTCAAAATTTCGTGGGGACACCAGCCATACTCAGCCATGAGCACGGCCAGAGGGCGATAGGATGCCGGTAGTCGTGGCCATTTAATGACATCAATCGACAATCGACAATCCTCATTCAGGTTTCCAGCACCCACGTCACTAGCCCACAGCATACCCCAGATGGAGGATATGAGAATGCGAATAGAGGAAAGGACCAGCATATGTTGCTCAGTGAGAGACACCCCGTAATGATCGGCACGATCGCAGAATCGCCAGCCTGCTGTCGTTGACTGTTTGATGCGTTCAACGTCCGCGGTCCTGGCTCGTTTGGACAGTTTAGAAACACGGCTGCGCCACTCCGCCATAAGGCCTTTCAATTCAGCGGAGTTGATGACCCGCTCTTCCGTTGAAGCATTGACAACGATGAAGTCTTCGAGATTAACCGACGAACCGAATGTGTCGCAAATGAGGCCAAAGTAAAGCCATGCTTGTACTCTTGCGAAATACAGGTTAACATCATCCAGCTCCTCCAGCTCATCCAAGTTTAGGGAATGATCACTATCGTTATTCACGATCTTGTGAGCAACAGCGTAGGTGTAGAAGTCATCGCCAGCCTCACCGACTTCACCAAGGAATGGGATGTCGAAGTAAGCAAAGCCCACCACTCGACGAGACGGTCTTTGCCTGTCAACTGGGATGGGCAGGTGATCCATGAGGCCGGTATTTGAAGGTTAATCTGGATCCGTGGTGTCCATCAAAGTGTCAGTGAGCGACAAGGTGTTGGATACTTATGTACTGCAGTTGCCTAGCCTTACAGAGGCCAAATCTGTACGCTGTTGAGCATCGTATCGTCAGGTCCAGCCTTACTTCGTTAAGGTAATACTGTACCATATCAAGGAATATTATGACATCTTCAAACTCGGTGACGAGACAGACGCTTGAGCTTTTTGGAAATTGAAAGTTCAGAACATCGTTGAGAAGAGCCCCCCAGCATGACAGGACTCATGGCGTACAAAGACACGCAGGGCAGGGCGCAGGAAATGAGGCTCGCGAAGTGGAGGGGTGACTGGTTGGCTGCAGTGGCAGCTGCAGGACGTGCTGCAGGCGGCCGTGGCCTCGACCGACAGCAGAGCGCAGCCCGTCCCCTGGTCATTGGATCTTCATCCAGTCCACACGGCGACTCGCCAAAAGATCCTGTGCTCGTTGCTGAGTTGTTCATCCGTTTCCCACTTTTGAATATGCTCTTACGCCTCCATCATGAAGATCTGGCGACGTGGGCCACTTTGCGGTTATCGCACAGGTAGTGCAAATTTGCTTGGAGCATTCCGGGGGAACTGAGTAATTTTGAAGCGAAGGAAATTAACAAACTGGGAATGAATACTGAAAGCTGATGAAGAGCCGGTTGACTGGGTAGCGACGGGTATGAGAAGTGGTGAGATTTTGTGCGAGGAGCCCCAGGGACCACATTCGCTCGGTGGGTTCCGCAAGCTGAGTACTCCGTACTCCGGACTCCCTATTGCACAGCGGAACCCAATGATGAATGAGCACAGGTGGACACCAAGCTCTTCTCCTAGAAATGCCGGCATAGACAGCCATGACTCGAAGCCGGGACGTGGACAGACGAGCTGTCAAAGAGCCTGGTGGACCCGTCAGACAGATCTGTGCCGGAGACTGTATAGAGGACAAGAATTGCAGACAATTGAGCCAGGTACATATGATCGACAGCAAGAGCGAGACTCGCGGATCACATTGGCGCCATCGCCGTTTTCCACTATCGTACGCTCAACATGTATCTACTCGAGCAAAGCAAGACACTATTCCATCACATACTAAGTTGTATAAAGCAGCCTTGGGTCGCTAGAAGATGGTTGATCCGATCGTTGCTTCTCCAGACACCGATCGCTATTGACTGACCACCCTCCCCTGGTCGCCCGCAAATGCAAACGACCCTTCGACCCCACCTTGAGGCCAAAGTCCCGGAGGCTCTGCTCGGTTCGACTGGGAGACTCCCCGTCGTGAGAGGAATGGTTTAATCATACGAAAGATCGCACCAGAATCAACACCCGTGCTAGGGATGAGCCCGGCTTTCACTACATCATTTACTCCTTCAAGAACTTGACCAACACATCAAAGTACTCCTCTCTCGCTGCCAACCATGGCAACTGCCCACAAGTGCAACAAGACAAGCGTACTGCCCTTCACTCCTCTCGCAACAGTCTCACTGACCTCCGGGCCACAACATGCATCCTGCTTGCCCGTAAGCACCAACGTCTTCGCTTCAACCTTGCCCAGCTCCTTCTCCATGACCCAGCCGTCCTCCCCTTCGCTCTCATAGCGCGCCCTATGCGCCCAGAGGCTCGGCTTGCCAGTCCACACGTCCTTCAGCTTGGGCACATATGGCTCCGGCTTGTAGAAGTACAAGTGGAACGCTGTGAGCATAAACTCTGTCAACGCGTCGCCGTCCTGAGGATTCGCGGCCTCGAACAAGGCTCTGAATTTGGTGCGGGAGGATATGTCTTTGCGCAGGTGGCCGAGCAGATTGGTGCAGAGGGGGACGAGCCGCCCAAGGCGCGAAGGATAGTACATGGCGTAGGCGAGGGCAAGGACGCCGCCGTCGGAGTGGCCATTACATCCAACCGGTCTATGCCGAGCTGTATGCGGAACTCTTCAATGTCGGACGCAATGTACCGGGAGAGCATAAGAGAGGCGGAGGCCGGGCGCTCGGAATCGTCGCAGCCTCGAGGCGAGAGGTAGATGACGGTGAAGTGCTCCTCGAGGGGTTGCTGCGTGGTTGCGTAGATGCTGCGGCTGATGCCCCATCTTGGGGTGACGAATAAAAGCACCGGGCCGGAGCTCTGGACGGTATTGTGGATAGAGAGGTCGTTGAGGTTGGTTTCGTGTTCGCGTGGTGTGAGCAGTGAGGATGCGGTCGTCATAGCTGTTGCACTATGGTTTGCTGAGGCACCGTGTGGACACCAATGCCGTCTGAGTGAGGCTCTGATCTTATATGGTTTAGAAAGAGGTGAGTCTGCCAAAAAGGGAGAATGAAAAGAGACCACGAGCCATACAAACCTAAGCATGGGCCGGCTTCAGACGCTTCTTATGGAATCGCGATTCCCACAAACCGTGGACACGGACCTGCCATATCAAGAACAAGGACCGCTTGGGAGGCCTTGTAATTAGGGTTGGACGATTGCCGCAGTAGGTTATTCTCACGGGGAATCGGGGTGCGACAGACTGTACAGATAGCTGAGAGAAGTACCAGCCGAGTTGGTCCTCGCACAGTCAGAGCTTGGATTACGTGGGAAATTTCCCCCTTGTTGCATGGCGATGCTTCCAGCTTAGGTCTCAGCGGCTGTCAACAATAAGGAAAGCAATGAATATCCTTGGCTGGACAGCTTCAGACCCGGTATGTGGGTCTTTGATGGCGGCATCGTCTGGATGCGCATGGCGTTCGATGTGGAGGGTGAAGAATGGTAACTTCATCGAGTAGTAGGTGAGATGGTATCTGTCGAGCGGGTCACCAGCAGGTGGAGTTAGATGGGACGATAGAACCACAAGAACCAATGGATTCACCAGATTAGTTATGGCGTAAGCATGGAGTGCTCTTGGTGTCTTCCTCCACAAGCTCACCCGCAACTCACCGCGCAATGCCACGTGATGAAACTCAAGCCAACCCTTGTTAAATACCACAACGACCCCATCATAGTCCACTAGCAAGAGTCTTCCCCAAGTTACATTTGAATTGAGCCAACAGGATGTTTGGAACCCAACCCCGGATTCCCGGCCCCGAAACATCGGGAATACAGCCAAGTGTAAAACAATCATTGGAGACCCAGGCCCTCGAACTTGTGTTCGAGGCAGCTCGAGCTGATGATCCTTCTGCAATTTTCCTAGACTTGACCCGGCGCAAGGCTTTCCGAGCAAATGGCAGATTCAGTAAGTTCGGGCCAGATGTGGATATCAACGAGGCGAAGGCCATGTCTTTTGTCGCCGAATCCACCCATTCTGTGCCCGTCCCAAAGGTCTTTCGGGCAAAAACATTTGAGGATGGAACAACCGTCGTTGAGACGAAATACATCTTAGGGAAGACATTGCAAGAGTCCTGGCCGACGCTCTCAGTGGAAGAGAAGAAAAGCTTCGCCAACGAATGAATGCAATATTGGAGCAATTGCGATCATAAGAAGGACGGCATATCGGTGGTGTCGACGAGAGGCCAGCGGTAGATATGCGAAGGGAGACCGAACGAGGGGGCTGTTCTTCAGTGAAGCCGACTTCAATAAATTCCTGCGACAAAATACCGTTACGAAGACCCCCGGAATATACCATTCAATGCTGGCCGGGCTCATGTCCGACACTCACAGGATTGTTTTCACTCACGGAGATCTCAGTCCGCGCAACATCATTGTCCAAGAAGATCGTATTGTGAGTGTGCTGGACTGGGAATGCGCCGGATGGTTTCCAGAAAACTGGGAATTTGTCCGATTCTTCTCAAGTGTTTATACCCGCATCGACTGGCATGAGTACGCGGATTTCGTTTTCACCGAGACGTACCCCAGCGATATGATAACGGATCACTTTCTGGGCCGCTTGACGCGGCATTAGGCATAGCTAGAGCATCGCGGAGGACAGGAAAGGTCGGAAGCGAGCTTCTGTATGTGGGGGGCGTTGATTGAATAGCCGGCAGAATTGACAAACTCTACAACGCGTACAACAAACTGTTGTGGACGACGGGTGACGACTCAAAGATGAGGTAGAAAACTGTTGCCAAGACATGATGTCATAAGCCTGCAGCTGCAAGTCCTCCTGGGTCTGGGTGCCTCCCACCGAGCCTCGACCATTGCTACCTACACTGAGCAAGACGAACTTCACTGACATCCTCTCACACCAAAGGCCGTCGGGCCGAATCATAACGGCGCGCCCTGGAGTGAGCACCTGGGTACACTTTGGAAAGGGGAACGAATCTGAGCCGTACCGAAGTGTGCATATCTTACATTCGGTACACCCCAGGCATGTTTCTTGCTCATGCTCGCCTCTCTAACCCGAGCCTACATGGTTGTAACGGCAGGTGTAGCTCCTCAACATCCGGCAACACGCCCTCGGCCGTCCTTGGCCCGTGCGGTGGCGAGAGTGTTGGTTGCCGCACTCAACACCTACTATCAACGTGACCGTCAGGATACAGCGATAGCACAATCACCAGAACACCACTTCACCACCGCCTCACCAGCCTCCTCTTTTCTGTACTGGCCCTATATGTCGCAGTCTCAGAATGTGACTCAACAATCAGGACTCAGGGTTCTCTATTCGAGTTGGCAACTTACTTCCATCATCCACCTGGTTGGAGATGTTGTGTTCGACGCCGTACTCCCACTCCCTTTTTTGTCTTCCGTCATTGACCGGCGCTTTCGGGCTACATCACACGGGCCGACAAGCACATGTAGTCGACAGCTCAGGAAGACTTCGGCTCGAAGAAAGGCATAGGAACATAAAAAGGATCAGCGCAATGGTTAAGCTTGTTTCAGGTGGAAAGTATTTTGAAACTCGGGCAAGGGCGGAGTGAGCGTACAAAGTCAGGTGTCCCGGGGAAGGTGAATTTGTCTATTCAAACGAGGAGCCTAGTCCTGAGACCTGTCTCTCACTCAAGAATGCCTCGAGGACGCGTCTCTTTCGTGCATCCAGCGCCTTCTTGTCTTTCTCTTTCAGCTTTGTCTCACTCTGGGCTCGGAAGATGATAGGTGCAAAGACCTCGACATACGCATGGACCAGTCTCTTTCTTCGCTCGGTAATGGTAGCTGCCGCCTCGCCACCCGTCTCAGCTGCGGCGGATGCTGATGAGATACTGCGCGTACGGCGCCGACGCAATGCTGGGAAGAGACTTCTCTTGCTTGGCGCTTCTTGCGATGATATCGACTCCGGAAGTCCTGAGTCGCTTGAAAGCGTCGAGGCTCTTGAACGCCTAGAGGACTTCCTGCTCATCGAAGTAGGTGTCGTTGACGTCGCTGCTGTTGGAGCAGAAGTACCATTGGTCATCATCTCGTTGACAGTCCTGGTGAGAAGAAAGGTGATGAATGTTAGCGAGACACTATGCACCGGGTTCGCGGATAGCGTGTCCATGACCATATCCTGGATTTCTTGTGCAGTAGGTTGCGCCTTGGCCTTTTCGATCGTGGCAAGCTGCTTCTCGATCTCCGCCCACGTACTGGCGGGCACTATACCGTCTTTCAGGGATATGAGGAAGGAGGTCAGAGTTTCTGCGAGGACTTCCAGACGCACAATGGCTGGCACGTCCGGGTCGAAGTTTCCATCCAGGCGGCCCGCTGTATCCAAGGCCTCTCTGACCCCAGCGAGAAGTTCCGACCTTTCTTCGCCTTCGTGGAACGTCCATGTCTCTCGACTGAAAGGCCATGAAGCACCTCCGTTGTCATACTGCCAAGGAGGTGTTTCTCCTTCGTGAAGCATTCCCCATTCTGCAATAGACCGTTCAATGTGGATCGGAATGATCTCTGTGAGAGTGTAGAGTTCCTTTGGGGCGGAATGGTGGACCGTTACGGAAGAGTAAGTGGTTGATTTTGTTGCTCTGTCGTTCGAAACCCGGATCCATTGCCGAACACCTCCTTCTGGTGCCAGCACCAACTCATCCAGCGTACGACAGAATGCAGATGGCAGCCACAGGCCTTTGACGGGGATGAAGTGGTCCCTTCCGCTTTCGACTCTCAGGACGAGAATGTCCTCCAGTTCCGCATTGCCATCGTTGAGGTCACGTACCAGCTCGCTGTCCGTGATGTAAACAGACAGTTCGATTACTGTGGTTTCACCTGGTGACAATACTGTCTCGAAGGTGCCCTTGTGCTCTGTATTTGCCGACGAATAGATGGAGCCAGACTCCACGCTGAGTTCCAACCATTTTGGCGCCACGCGAGCGCCTGCTTCCGAGTCGATGGGTTTATCTACAAAAGAAAAGCTGGTGGTGACCTGTCCAGTATTCGCAATGGTAACGGACCTTGTCTTCTTGACCCCATAGCGGACTTCACCGAAATGGACGACATTCATGTCTGCCGCACCGTCAGCGTTCGAAATTTGACTCTCGAAGTGAGGATCGACTACCAATGTTATCGATGGCCGACCTTCATTTTCTGCTTTGTCTAGCTGTTTGGCAACCTCCTGCTGCACCTTTGCCTTTAGTTCGGGTATGACAGCGTCGTAGGTGACGGTGAACACGGCGTTCAGTGGCTTGTGGTCTGAAGAGAGTATTCTTTGGTGCGAGAGATAGCTGTTGAGTTCAATCATGTCACCGTAATCTTCATGTGACTGTACGAGCTCCGCGTCGTGAACACCATCCTGAGTCTCGTCGTAATCGTCGTAATCGTCGCCATAGGCCATTCCATCTGTCTCAGGATCGTAGTCGAACATTACCTCGTGCTCAGCGGCAGCCTGGTCGATCCCCCTAGCTTTCATGGCTTCGTCCTTTTTGCGAGCTTCCTCTCGCCGTTTTGCTTTGTCCTTGTACGCCGCCAGGTCTCGGCGAGTCCTGTACAGTATCCTATCGCACCAACTGGGGCTTCTCTTCTTCTCGCCGGAGTCGAACATGCCAACGCTGCCAATATCATATTTGTACGTGGGCAAAAATTCTATGTCTCCCTCTCGCCATCCTTCATGAAATGCCTTCCCCAGCCTTTGCTGTGCACGTAGCTGGTCATGTGCAAGGAGAGAATGGATGGTGGTTTGGAGCGAAGCAGGGTCGTTCTTCGGGTCTAAGGGTGGCTCGGCCGTGCTATCAGATGCAGGCCTTTCGGCGTCCTTGTACTCGTAGCGGGGATGCGGAGCCGGGAGCGAGTCGGTCGATACGGGTGATAGGTATCCTAGCTCACTATCGATTCTGCGCTTGGATTTGTTCTGCACGTCGTACTCGTTCTGAGTATGAAGGAGCAAGAGTCTCCTGACATCTTGACCCGGTATGTCGTCTAGACGATAGTTGAGGTCACCGAACCAGAAAGCGAAATCTTCGTCCCCGATCTTCTCTTCTCCAGCTTCGACGACTTCAGCATCTGTGACTGGAGAAAACCGCGTCCGGGTGATGATCTGGTTCGTATCCCAAATTCGACGGGCTAACGCGGCTTCATCTGCTCCAGCAGCCAGATGACAATTGACGAAGCACATTCTCGTGGTCTCTCCGACCACGATCCTGACCGCGACAGCACCTTTGTTGCCAAAATAGCCCATTAGACCAGTTCCGACTGAGGTCGTGCTGACCGAGCTAATGGTTGGGGCCAACTCTGGGGAAGCAAAAATGAGAATGAGCAGGCCGAAAAGCTGTTCGTTTGCGATTTTCACATAGCCTTTAGGTAGAGCACGCCTCAGGGACTTCTTCCATTTCTTAGCTGGGTTCGGGTCGGTGTAAGGTTTTATGGCCTCGGTCATGGATGTTACATCAATGACCTCCTGCAGGCCGAGAACATAGAGGTCGATCTGCTCATGGTGGGCCTCCGCTGGTTTATCGTTCAGTGGTACGGTGATGGATTTCCTTGTTCTCGCAACCCGCGCTTCTTGCGACTCGACGGACTCGACATGGTCGTTGTCAGCGTCGGAATCATCGTCGCTGTCGTTGCCCTCCGTGGTCGAGAGCCCCGATAAGTCTTGATGAAGCCCACTGATACCGTGTCCACGCACGAACCACGCCCCCAAATCCTTCTCGGTGCCATTGATTGCGGCGACGTTCCAGGTGCCAATTTTGATTCTCATAGATTTCTTTCGGATGTACTCTGACTTGCGAGCCCTGACGGCAGCTGAGAGCGACTGAGGCCCTGAGTGACTGGCTTCGAGGGACTGTACATCAGGAGATGGCGGATAAGCACCTGGCAGCTTTGTACCCGAGCCCCAGGGATCTCCGGATTTCCATGGCTTGGGGGAGAGGTAGCTCTCTTCACTCGCCTTCGAGCTCATGGTTGGCTTGGCAGAATATCTGTCCGTTCAGTATTGAGATGCAGTCACCTCATGTTGGACAAGGGTGAAAGGGATCTCGTGGGTATTTGATCACCAGCCACTGGTGACACCCAGGTGTCGCGTGGGCAAAGTTATGACATCTTTCAAGACTGGCGCAAGAATGCTGTGGTGCTGGATGGTTTCGGATGGCACAGCCACCACAAGCAATAGATAATTGGCCGTCTTGCCTGTCACACCGGCTGAGTGGGCATTCAATCAGCATGGGGAGTCTGCCCACCTGCCGGTGGAGCCAGCGAGCTCGATAGGCGCTGCAAGCTGTTTGGTGCGGCTACAAAGTAGCTTTAGGCGCCACAGCGCCAAGCCTAGACAGCCGGACGTTGGCTCCTTAGGCGTTAATCCACCCCTACGAGGTAATCCACGCTTAATAACTAGTGCCTAGCTTGGTTCCGGGCGACGCTCTGCGTCATCTTTGGCACAGTAGACGACATGCGACTTTCTGTGCAATCGCATTCTGAATTTACTGGAACCGAAGAGTGTCTCGGCTATCCTTAGCAATATGAGTATATTGGCTCCGAGACCACAGACCGTGCTACAAGATGAATACCCGCCCGGTCATCGATGAGTCCTCTGGACCCGTCGCTCTTTCGGCATCGTTCAACAGCGATGCCAGCTGCTTTGCCGTTGGCCTCGACACAGGCTTCTGTGGTAGGTCTAGAGCAAATATTCCGGCGACTGGGTGTAGGGATCATTTCAAATATTGATGGCTGATCCAGTGTTCAACTCCGACCCATGCGAGCTCAAAGCATCGAGAGGTACCATTCCCGCAGGAATACATGCGAAGTCGAAATTCTAAGACGGATACAGACCTTAACGCTGGTATCGGCACGGCTGAGATGCTGGGGCGGTATAACTATCTCGCATTGGTAGGAGGAGGCAAGAATCCAAGATGGCCCCAGACAAAAGTATAGCCAGAACCAAAGAGACGAAGAGCAGGACACTGATGCATGGTGGCCAGGTGATGATATGGGACGATGCCAAACAGAAGGTCGCCATCACCCTCGAACAAAAGACCGCTGTCCTGCGAGTCCGTCTCACCAAATCCTGGATCGCCATTGCAATCCAGAACAGCATCCACCTCTACAAGTTCTCCTCCCCACCAGAGAGATCGGCAAGCTTCGAAACCGTAGATAATCCGCTGGGCCTATGCTGTCTGGGTGCCAGAATCGTCGCCTTCCCCGGCCGTTCACCTGGTAAAGTGCAACTCGTTGAACTGGCATCCGGTAACGTGAGCATCATCCCAGCACACACTTCCGCCCTACGAGCCATGGACCTCAGCAGCGATGGACAGTTACTGGCTACAGCAAGCGAAACAGGCACATTGATCCGCGTCTTCTCAACCGCCAATTGCACCAAGGTTGCAGAACTGCGTCGTGGCGTTGACCCAGCATACGTCTTCAGCATTGCCATCTCACCCAACAGCAGTATGCTAGCCATCACATCCGACAAGTCAACCTTACATGTCTTCGACCTTCCAGCCAGCTCATCCTCGCAGGCCCAACCAAGCAGCCCACTGAGTCCGTCGTCGCAACGTCGTCGCTCTCAATCGCCACAGGTCGCTAACAATGAAGAAGAAACGCCCACGAACCAGAAATGGGGGTTCCTCTCAAAGATCCCTCTCCTTCCTCGCGTCTTCTCGGACATCTACTCCTTCGCATCTGCGCACTTCGAGATGGGTGATGAAAGCGGCGGGCTCAATAACTCTACTCTTTCATATCTTCCCGCGCTGGGCTCGTTACCGAGTCGGCCACAGAAGGGCATTCTAGGCTGGATCGACAACTCCACGCTGATCTGTGTAGGTACCGGCAGGGATGCGAGATGGGAAAGATTCAGAATCGGCGAACGACCCGGCGTGACGGATGAGGGGCAAAGAAATATCTGGCGCGACGGATGGAGGAAGTATTTGGGCAGTTGAGAAATTGAGCCAGAAAACAGAGACATTCGCGTTACCTGGAGGAAAGCAAGCAGAAGGGAAAGGTCATGATCCCTGACGAGCATTCAACCCTTAGCGAGGCACATGCCTCTGTCGGACCGGCAGACTGCTCCTCGGAAAGGAGACCTCCCCGGCACCGGCCGGTCAGGTACAGATTGACTCGAAAATCAGATTCCTGCCTAGTCCGGACTTCTTGCTAGGCGACTATGAGCAGGGGATCAGGTCACGGCAAGGAATGTAGGGGGATCAAGTCAGGGCGAGGATTTGATCTCTATGGTACGCGTACTATACCAAAACGCCCTTGCACCATCAACAGTCATTGGAGGTCGATTTGGTATCTACAGACCTTGAGGCTGTAAGTCGGTCAAGAAGTCGAGCAGTGGACACCTGGTGGAGGGTATCGTTACAGGAATGACGCTTACGTTCTCCCTGAAGTCGTGCTGCGCGGATGGCGCGTTACTCACGATACTCGTCTATAAGAGAGATATGTCCGCAAGTGTTGGTGGGGATGCGTTGCACTACCCTGGGGACAGACGCACGGAAGGGATGATCATCTCGCTGGCAGGACCACCAGGGCCAGGATGGGAAGCAGGACAGGGATAGAAACAGCGCGGATAAATACAGGCCCATGTAGTACAGCACGTCAAGATCAACGTCCTTCTACTCTGGACCGTGCGAACAAAATGCAATTTGGACCGCGTGCTTTCCACCGGGCTGTACTCCATATGGACTAAACACGAATATACGGGCAGACAAACACTGTGCAGGGATATGTGGAGTACCGTACATGATCACAGCAGATTGCATACCCAGGTACCCAGGCCAATCCCAAAGGCCCGCTTGCTCGCATATCAGATCAAAGGATCAATCCGCCCACCTAGCAATTCCCAATCCCTAGAGCATCCTCGCCCCTACTCAAACGCGCGTGCTCGTGTTATCGGCATGGCAACTCCCCCCAGCTTTCCCGGCCGCGACCTCACTCGGCGTCCTGGCATAGCTAGGCGGCACATCCAGTGCGGGATTGCGGACGAAGAAGTTCCGCGGCCGCAACAGCACGGTCATCGGCTCGGCGGGCATGACGGGGTAGTCTTCGGGGGCCGGGAAATGGGTGAGTCCAAAGGTGTGCCAGAGGACGATGTCCTCGTTGTCGATCTTGGCGTTGGGGTTATTGGCGATCCATTGCGGGAGGCCCATGGAGGGTTCGCCGGACGTCTGAGGCACGTGGCGTCCTGCCGGATGGATTTGGGAGTCCGCATCTGTGGGGACCGTCAGTTTTGTGGTGACCCGACGAGAGACGAAAGGAAGAGGGATGGATGGAGAAGGCGGTTGGCAGAAAAGAAAAAGAGGAAGAATATAAAGACGGGGGCGCCGGGATCAAGGGGCATACATACAGGGTGTGACGTGGACGGCGTGGCGTGCGAAGCCAGCGCGCTTCCAGACCAGGGACCCCTCCTTGGGGAGCAGGGGCGGGACTTCCCTCGACACCAGCTTGTAGGAGACGGGCTTCTTCGAGTAGGGGTTCAGTTTGTTCTCATTGGCGAGGTCCCACGTCCGGGAGGTGTTGCCGTTGTAGTCGGCCATGGCCTCGACGGGGTTCGTGTATTTCGTCTTCTGGGCGAAGAAGGCGTTGCCGTAAAAGTTTTCGGCGCTGCCGGGCTCGCCAGGCCCTTGGACGGCGTCGACTTGGAAGACGGTGTTCTTGGGCCCGTCGATGTTGGGGTCCACGCGCAGACAGAACAGATGTTGGTGGTTGTGCGCGTTGACGCCGGGGTAGACCTCGGTGCCCCAGCCTTTGGTGTCCTCGCCGGGGTTCATGGCGTAGGTGTTCAGGATGCCCGTGAGTTTGATCTCGAGCTGCACGGTGCCATCTTGGTGGAAGATCCAGTACACGCAGTACTCGTAGTTGGCGGCCGTGAAGATGTGGCTGAGGATGAGCTTGCGGGCGCGGGTGACGATGACCGAGTCGTCGCGGAAATCGTTGTGCTTGAAGAGGATGCCGTTGTCTTCCTCGTGGATGCAGACGGCGTTCTTGATCGTCTGGGCGGCGCCGGCTCGGTTCACAAAGTCGAAGTCCAGGTAGTGGATGCTGCCTTTGCAGTCGCAGCCCAGACTGAGTGAGTTGGTCATGTAGCCGCCGCCATATTCGCCCAGGTCAAAGGCGTGTTTCCGCTGGTGTGGGTGCTCGGGGTTTCCGTAAGGGACCACCATTTCGGCGAGTGATAGGCGGTAGAAGATGGGTCGGACCTTGTTTTCCGCCTTGTCGAAATAGGTGATGTTGTTGAGGACGATGCCTTCGCGGTAGTTAAAGCCAATGTGGATCGACCAGTTCTGCCACTCGATGATGCGGTTCTTCATTGTGAAGGACACGCCTTCGGGTTGCGTAATGTTGATGGGTTTCAGGTCGGTTCTGTAGCCGCCGGTTTCTTCGATTGATTTGACGGTGTAGTTATTTGGTGGTGCCTTGTTGATCGGTCGGCGGACCTTGGGGACGTCGATGTGCACGATCTTCTGGAGGTTGGAGTCGTAGATTGGGCAGAAGTCCAAGGGGTAGCTGTACTGCGAGTCGTCGGGGTGGGGACGGTAATACATCAGTGCTTGTTGGAGTCTGACACCGTTGCCGAATCTCTCGTCGTAGCCAATTGTCCAAGGGTCACAGTAGACCTTGTGCATATCCTGGGGAGGAATACCAATCAGGCCGCATTGCTCAATGACGCCGGGGTCTTTGCGGACGACGTGTTCGACGATCTGGAGATCTTCCATAGTGATGAGAGGCTGCACATTAGGAGTATGCTCCCATTTAATGACTTTGCGCTCCGTCAGGTCGACATGGCCGTCGTAGACCTTGCCGTCGGTGGTGATGACGACAATGTCCGCGACACGGCTTGGTTTGGGAGTATGATCAGGGTCAGCTAGCCACTTCAGCATTTGAGCCTTGGGAGGCTCGAACAATGTGACGGCATTATAGTATAGCTTCCCATACTGCGATCGAAGGATGGAGACGGCTGTGTCAATCTCGAGCGCAGTGAGCGGATCAAAGGGGTGAGGAGGAGCAACGGTGTTGGACACCTGTTGGGCCAGCTGCTTTACACGCTCGAGAACCATGGTGTTCAGTCTTGGATGGATGGATGTAAGAGACACGGAGCTATGCGACAGTCAGAAGATGGGCAGAGAGGACGTTCACCAAGATATATGTCGACTGGCGGCGAAGTTCGTCTCCTCACAGTCAAGCAGGTTACCCTCCCCAGAATGCTTCTAGCCGGCACCAGCAGCTCGGGCAAAGCATCTAGCAGGTGCTTCTCCATTGTGTAACAAATCGATAAGCACGATAAGGGTCTCGCCGGCCGAGTCCTACTCGTCCAGGATCGTGGTCGCTTTCCTCTTTCCCGCATCTCAATCCATCCCGCAGTTTCTGACTGGCTCGTAATATTTGGCCATTTGTGGTTTAGTCTGTCACGTGGCCTGTCCTCCACAGTGGCACTTCGAGAAGGGAAGGCCACCACGAGCACGGTGGACGGTCTCAATCAACCAGGAATATTGCCTGGAACTACTTGCGAGATTGCCGTTGCAGGGCCGACAAACGTGATAAGGACCTGACGTGATAGGAAAAAAGAGGCTCGAATGTTTGTTGACGCGTACCAGCAGCGCCAAACACATCACCACCCCCACCAGAGCATAAACCCGATGCCTCGATGGAGCTCATAAACACGCGGAGCTATCCTGCATGGCTCGCAAGGCTGAATGTTTCTCAGTCGGACGAACCGATTCTGCAGCAAAAGTAGGCCGCCCTAGACCAGAACAACGCCGTTTCGAGATGGTCTTTCGTACTTTTGCAAGCTGCATCTTGTTTGCATACCAGGACCTCGTCTCGTGCATATGTACAACTCCATGCGTGCATGGCAATTCTTGTCCGTGATATTTTGAGCCCACTCCAGCACTTGGTCGTGAGCAGCAAGGTTGTGTAATGCTTTTCTTTTGCCTCTAGAGCGCCTTGTGATGCCCTGCGCTCTCGTCATGCTCGGAGGCATGGTGGTCCTTTGCGAAGAATAACTGTTCAACGATGACATAGCCTGTGAATGCGACAACAGCGATACCGAAACCGGGGAAAGCTCCCTTCATGCGATTCCCTCTGGTGAACGGGCCTGTATATCGCCATGCCTCGCTAGGAAGCCGTCAGTGTCCACGAGATACCAATATGCGCAACTATCCTTACTTTCGCTTCCATGGATCTTTTGCCCGCCATTGTGTGCTTGTTGCTGCATCGGTAAAGGTCTTCATGCTGAACCCTGTCGGGTTGCTTGGAGGTGCCATGCTCGGAGACAATCAAGGGTGGGTCGCTCCGACGATGGAAGACGAGTGGCGAGATTGGACAAGCTCCCCGACCCGGAGGAGGAGTTGCGGAAAAGATAGGTGAAGGTGTTGCTTTGAGGTAGACGAGCAGGTCACTGTAATGGGTTGTCTTCAATGACTGAACGAGCTTCATGCGGGTAAAAGTGCTAGTATGAATTAATGCTCCGCTGTACCCTGCGTCTCGGTGCGGCTCGACTACGGTTATGCATTGGTCGAGATCGAGGTGTCCCCGCATTCAGTTTATCCCAGAGTGCACTTTCGTTTGCGCGGTGATCACGACCGCGACTTTCGCAGAGCGAACCAGAATCATTGCAGTGACACCGTGGACCAGATAGTGATCGCGCAATAAAGACCCCCTCCCGTACCATGGATTTCCTACCCTTGCTATGAGCAACATCTGATTTGCCCTCGGTTCTGGTTTCATCTCGAGACCCACGACAACTGCCTGGCCTGCAACATTCCGCAGTCGCTCTCATGGCGCCTCCACGGTATGGCAACCAGTCCATAAATGGACCATATCATATGCAACAGAGTCATCTCCAATCTCATCCGTCCTCACACCAACATGGTGCCCTCCCACCCCCGGCTCACCTCGGCACTTCATCCTTTGGTGCCGGGGGTTCCTCCAGCGCAAGTCCTTTTGCGATGACTGGCAACCTGAATAATGGTTTTGACCGGACTATGCTCGAGGGAAGCCTGCTTCCAAGTCAGATTCCTCAGATGGGTTTCACAAGAGGGGGTCCTGTTCAAGGGCACCAAACATTTGACGGCCTAAGCAATCCTCTGGACAACAAGGACGATGCCAGAATCCGTAACGTCTGGAAGCACAACCTCAGGGAAGAGATGGACACGCTTAGACGGCTGGTCGACACGTACCCTTATATCGCTATGGTAAGAACAGTCACCTCTCCTGTTAGTGTCACGGCCTGACTGACCAAACTCGATTAGGATACTGAGTTTCCCGGAATCGTTGCTCGACCCATTGGCCAGTTCACCACAAAAGCAGACTACCACTATCAGACTCTACGATGCAATGTCGATTTACTGAAAGTGATTCAGCTTGGAATTACTCTGTTCAAGTCAGACGGAACACTCCCGCCGCCAGACGCTGAGTCTCCCCAGAGATCTCAATTTCAGCCCACCCCATGCACATGGCAGTTCAACTTCAAGTTCTCGCTCGAAACAGACATGTATGCGCGCGAGTCGACGCAAATGCTCATCAAGGCCGGGATCGACTTCGACAAACACTCCAAACACGGCATCGAACCCAATGCTTTCGCCTCTCTATTGATCAGCTCGGGCTTGGTGATGGATGCCGACGTTCGCTGGATCAGTTTCCACTCCGGCTACGACTTCGGCTACTTGATAAAGCTCATGATCTGCCAACCTCTCCCTGCAGACGAGGCGCAATTCCACACGCTCATCGAGAAATTCTTCCCTGCGCTCTTCGATATCAAATTCATTCTCAAGCACGCTGGCGCAAAGGGGCAGATCAACAGTGGCCAGCCTTTAACTCAAGAAGCAGCAATGATGGTGCAACGCACCATGACCAAGTCGGGTCTTCAAGATATTGCGGAAGAACTGGGTGTAGCGCGGATCGGTCAGGCACATCAAGCGGGCTCTGACTCACTGCTTACCGGTCAGGTCTACTTCAAGATGCGGGAGAAGATCTTCAGTGGAACTATCGAGGAGGACAAATATCGGTCACAAGTGTGGGGTCTGAACGCACAGATGCCTGTAACCGGTACCGGCGCAGGCGGCCAAGGGACATCGCGGGACTTCAGCACACCTCATATGAACGGAGCTACTTTTTACAACCAGAATGGAACACCTACCACACCGCAGACTGGCAACATCGGCATGTCAGGCGGAGGACAGGGTGGCGGAGGGCCTTCATCACACACCCCCGTTCCTTCACAGAACCTTATGGGAGCTATGACTCCTGGTGGATTCGGCAACTTCCAATATCAGAGGCAGTCCACTTAGGAGACTAATCTATCTTCGCAAGAGTTTGTGCTCGAGTCTCCAGATCCACTTTGACAGCCTGGGAAGCGCCTATATAATGCGAGTGACATTGGACGTCTACCTCGCTCGTCTCTCACTCCATCCCCCACTCGTATGCTCGCAATCGCCAGTTCCGATATGGCATCGACGTCTTCTCCAAGCCCATCGCGACTGCCGACCGTGCCCTTATTGCAGGATGATGGTGGTTCCCGGAGGAGCCTGCCGATGACGCTTTCGAGGACGCCTCTGGTGGCTCGCTGAGGAGGAGAAAGATCAGAAACAGGAATAGGAAAAGCGCCGTTCACAAGGAACAAGAGAATGAGCCTGACGACAGACCGATCCGACTAGACGGGGACCTTCGCGAGTAGGCCGCATAGATATGAGGAACCACATACTGGAACTGGTGGCTCGCGCTCTACATTGTAGCAAAGATTGTTAAGCATGGGCGATTACGGATTTTTGAATGATTATTCAACTCCTCCGTCTACGACCACGTCTCTTGCTTGTACCTGTTCTCCTTCTCGATCCTCGCCAGATATGCCTCGGCGTCGTCCGTGTTCGCAATCAGGTCTCTATACTTGTCTCTCTTTTGCGCCTGCTCCACTAACGCATCGACCAGCGCCTGTCTCACGGCCTTGGGCATCTGACCAGACGACCCGCAGACGATGATCGTGGCGTTCCTCTCCATGAGATACTCCGCGATGAGATCACTCCTCTGCCGCAGCCGATCTTGCACGTAGACCTTTGATTTCTGGTCCCTTGAAAACGCGGGAATCACCTCGAGAGCATCGGGGTACTCGGCCCGTATCGCGGCCCACTCGTCGCGGAAGAAGAAATCTGCCGTCTCGTTGCGACAGCCGAAGAAGACCACTGTTTCCCCGACTTGTTGGTGGTGAGTGATTTTTTCGTGGATGAGCGCGCGAAGTGGCGCGATGCCCGTGCCCGCGCCGATCAGGATATGGCTCATGCCTGCAGCCACGTCGCTTGCCTTGGAGAACCGGCCCTCCCTCTTGGCGGAGACATGCAATGTGGCCCCCGCAGGGAGTTGGGCCAAGTAGCGCGTGCAGACGCCCTCGCGCACGCGTTTGATCACGGTCCTATACTTGACGATCGCGACCAGCAGTTCGAAGTTTGTGGCTTCGTTATCTGCAACCTTGAGACGGCCGCCACTCGCGATGCTGAACTGTCGGGGACGCATGAGGGGGAAGATGTTGGCCACTTCCTCCCACGGGATGTGCACGCTGTCAAACTCCTGCAGGATCTCCAGGATGCTGCGCCGCGGCCGCGTTGCGTAGTCGTAGTACTCGTCTAGATACTGCCGGTCTGTGAACTCGAGCAGGCGGTCCCGGTGCATGCTGTCGGACGTGTGGTGCGCTATGCTTCCGAGGAAAGAGCGGCGCGGGATGGCGTTGATGTCGAGGTACTCGGTGAGGAGGGTGCGGAGGGTGAGGTCCCTGCGCAAAAAGATCGGATTTGCAGATAGCAAGGTGGTGGTTGCCAGCCGTGGTGGGTATGGGCGCGTGGGAACCAGCCGAATGCTCGTGTCGGCGACGTGCTGCCAGTTCATGCGGGCGATCAGGGCGTCCACGTCCGAGGGCATGTTTCGGGGCGAGATGGCCAGTGCGTCACCGGGCATGTAGTCGATCTTGCGTGACGCGCGGAGGCTCATGAACCGCACGTCCTGCCAGTGGTCTGGGGGGGTGACTCTTATGTTGACGTCCAGCACGACGGGAAAGGAGTCCTCCGCTAGATGGTGTCCGCTAATGGCGGTGGCGGCTGAGGGCCGTGCATGGGGTGCGGTTCCGTTCAGGTTCACGTCTCTCTCCGGATAAGTCGTGCCCCGTCCACCTTCGGCGTCGGCCTCGCCATCGCCATCGCCATCCCTCTGTCCATCCCGCGGCACGACCTCCAAACGCCATTTCCCCGGTAACACGACATCCTCCGAGATAGGCTCCTGCCCCTCCCTCAGCGGGAACATTGTCAACACCGTCTCTCGCAGCAGGGCCAACCACGCCAAGAATGCCCCCTCCGTACCTTCATCGCCCTGCTCATCAGCTTCACATGGCGGAATCATCTCCGCGGCCCCAAGCTGGCTAAGCCTCTTATCCAGCTTGCGCGCCGCGAAGTTGAACTTGGGATACGAGCTATCGCCCACCCCGACGAGGGCATACCGCACGCCCTGGAGCGTGGAGGGGCTTAACTTCCTCCGCAGAAGACTGGTCCAAAAGAGGCGGGCATTGCCAGGGAAGTCGCCCTGTCCTGTCGTCGCCACGACAAAGACTGTCAACCTATAAGCGTGGAGATGAGTGTGGGGGACGGCGTCGAGGCCCAGGACCGTGGTGTCGAAATGGAGTCTCTCAAGGGTGCGGCCGACTTCTTCGGCCAAGTCCTGCGAGGTGCCCGTCTCGGTGCCGTACAGGATGAGGGCGGAGCGGGTGTGCTCTTGGTCTTGGTCTTGTTCGGTCATCCTTGTCCTGCTGGTGCTGTGGGCCTGAGAGGGTCATTTTGTGTTGCTGAGCATGGCCGTCTAGTCATCTGAGGTCGGTTGATCTGGTCTGGCTTGATAGAATTTCTCCGATGCTCGGCCTTGGCGGGGGTCGAGGTCGTCATCCGTTTTCAAGCATCTAATTATCTACTCGTATTATGCACTGCAATACTTCGAGGAGTTACGGATCGTTTACGCAGTGTCCATAGAATGGATGATATAAAACTTCATAACCTAATGTCTTGTCAATGCCCTCGCGCATGGTTTCGGACCCTGATCATAATTACCTTGCCTTTGCGGGTGGACGCTTTACGCATTGGCTCTGTTAGACCTACAGAAAAAACTCCGAGCTTACCCTACACAACGTCTAGGCTTGTACGCTACGAGATACACGTCTCAGGATCCCTTTTAGGACAAGTCCCAACCGGTATCACGTCGTAGGCATAATCAGTCAAGGGCTCGGATGTGGTGCGCCTTCCTTCCCGACCCTGGGAAAGGAGGAAGGGGCAACCCTGGGGAGGAGAAGGCACAGGCCGCACTAGGCCCATGGATAGTTTGAGAGCTCGTTTCTCTAAGATGGATCTCGATAAGGCTTCGCATGAGGTGGCGCAAGCATTTTCGGGGCTAATGGTGGCATCCCAAATTACGGTTGATCAAGACCGATGGCTGTGCAGATCTTCTCGAGCATTTCAAGTACTAGTCAGGTACAACTTCCCGAATCTCCCTCGACTTGATCACAGGCTTCGCGTCCAGAAGCTCTGACCAGTACGGACAAAGTAGGACGCCTGCCATGGGTTCTCAGCCCCATCGCGGCATGTGATGTTTACCCCTAGCCTCTCTGTGCCACGATTCGAAGAGCGCCCGGCTGAAATGCCCTGCTACAGACTAACATACTGTACCTGGCTATGATTGGACTGCCTGATGCACCTTCGCAGGCTGCGGCTTGCGAGCGAGCCAGCTCAGCCTCAGCCTGAAATGTGGTTTAATTCCCTCTTCCCTACTCACCTTCCAAGATTAACAGCTACCTGTGTGCGACAACAGACGTCTCCAGCCTTGCCGGCCACGAGATATCGGCGCCCTCGCAATGGCTGAGCCTATCGGTGTCGTAGCCGCGACCTTCGAGTTCGCCAAAATCGTCCTGGAGGTGAAACAGCTCTACTCGTCGATCAGACGCGCGCTCCAAAACCTTCAACAGCTGTTGGAAGAGCTAGAGGCTCTCGGAGAGGTCTTGGAGACATTCAAAGAGCAGGAGGCCGCTCTGTCCGCGTATGCTCCGCCGGGTGTGGCTCGGAAATGCCGACAACGAAGCGAAAAGGCGGTCCAGAGCCTGAAGCCCATCTGTGACGAGCTGTCTAAAGCCATCAAGCGCTCGAGAATTCGCGGATCGTTGCGAGCAGTCCTCAAGGAGGATGCTCTAGACAAAGCCCGTCAAGTGGTTGAAAGAGCCAAGGCCGATTTCATGTTGGCCCAGATAGCTGTCTTGAAGTGGGTAGTACAATGGTAGACCACTCTCTCTCTATATGCTGACCGTGTTACAGTGATATGAGCTTGCTGAATATCCAGAAGCATTCGGAGACACATATGCTGATCACGACTTCCACGGCAAGTGTATCTGCAATCGTACAGGATATTCGACAAGCCTCAGGATCCTCCACTGTCACGGCTCTATTGAGTCCCAGTAGTGATACTGTCCACCAAGACGTGTCAGATCCTACCCATAGCAATTTGTGCAGACCGAGGCCCCAGCAGCGATGGGTCAATGTTCGCACCAGACGTCTACTGCTTTTGCAAAGTCGGTTACTCGGGAAAGCCCTCGAGTTTGTCCAACAACAGGCGTGCGGCGCATGGACATACGGTTTTCGGCATTACAGTGTTCGAGACGGCCGCGAACCAGTCTTCAAATATGCAAGGGACGGCAACATTGTCGCTCTGCAGGGCCTCTTTCAAAGGGGCGAGGCATCCATCTTCGACCGAGATTCTTGGGGACTGAGTCTGCTTCATGTAGGAACAAACAACTATGCCTCTGAATAATCTGTGCTTACGCCCCGTAGCATGCGTGCGAATATACCAACGCCACATCGACAAGGTTCCTTGTGCAACAAGGTCTTGATCCTAATGAAAAGGACGACTGGTAAGTCTGGGGAGGGAATTTTTCCGTATCCACTGATGTGAACCCAAACAGGGGCCTGTCTTGCCTCGAAATGTCTTGTCTTTCGTATGGAGAAGATGAACGTATAGCGGTCATCCAGGCGCTCTGCGATGGCCCGGTGCTTGACGACTTGACAAATTCCCCGGAGAAGACCGTCAAATGGTGGTGCCAAAACGGCAGTTTTCAGGCGGCGTCGCATGTAATTGCGTTTATATCGCCTCCGTGGAGCACCCGAGAGCTATCTGCTCGTCTTGCAGCTGCATATGAGGCATGTCGTGCTCACCAGTATTCAGATATGTTCTGGCTCGGCCTGTCTCGGTCCCAGCTCGATCCATCATGTCTCATGTTGAAAACCTCTGAAGAGCACGCTCCTCCAGTATATGATACTCTTGTGGTGCAACTCGCGACAGCGTTGAGCGAACACTGGAGAGAGTTAGAGGAATGCCCTGATTTCAGTGGTTGGCGAGCAATATTCCGGACGGCGGTAGGCTTGGATGGTGTCCGCGTTGCTATGGAACATGATGTCCGCTCGCCAATGTTGACTTATCTAGGCTTCTATACAGATTGGTCCAAGCACTCATGGGCAGATCTCAGCACCCAACGGCTGACGCACAAGCTTCGCCACTGGGTGACGGAGATCTCTAATGCCGGCCAGGACCTCCGGGAGTACGGGATATGGGAACATGAGCGTTTAGTCGCGAGTGACCGGACTTTTCGATATTCTTGCGACAACGACCGATGTCTATCCTTTCGCGTTGTGAATTTCGCCTACGGAGCTGTGCCAGAAGACTGGCAAATCTGGGTATCATTGTCCTCTGACGAATGCGTGGGAGAGTTTTGGAACTTGCTGGCTGATCGGGAATCAAACTTCAGCATCCCTGGGGCGTGGCCCGATACTGAGGAACGTTGCTGGTATTGTCACTCAGAAGATACCCAGGATCCTTCAGCCCTGGATCCGTCCTTCTACACCTCAAGAAGACGACGACGACGGGTATTTAGATACTTTGACCTGACAAAGGAAAGCTTCGACAAGTCCCATTATCTCGACAGGAGACAATATTTCGCATTCTTTTCCAAAGAGGGCAAAAAAGAAAAAGCAAGGAGGAACCGATTCTTCAGGGAGGCTGGAATCGCGCCACCGCCAAAGCTGCCTTATTGAGAGGGGCATTTCCAGCAGGCTCTGAATCAGATCCGAGACGACTCTCCTGGGAGGAAGAAAGACATCGCGTACGCCAGGATACGCTGCTGTTGCTTGATGAACGATCGAGAGCGAGAAAGGAAGGCCGGGATCGACTCATATGGTGCTTTACAGGTGATCGTGGAGGAATTGAATTAGTTGCCTGCTGGGATTTGAATGGATTCTCACGAGAAACATGCACAGGGCATCGCCCATCTGGTTCCGCCCTACTCCTTTACGCTGAAGCTTGTGGAGAAATGCACATAGGGGATTTCGGGAATGTCTTAACCGATCTCCACCCTGAACCTCGTTCCCGACAGCGAAAGAGCACCTACCCGTCTGTGATCGTGCGTCGAGTCTAGTCTCTCCTAGACACAGCCACTCCATGACTGCATAAACCAGCACGGCAGGCCTTGCAGGCCTAGAACTCTCCGCCCTCGTCTCCTCCTCCCCCTCCAAACCCGAGCCCATCGTCATCGTCGCGATCCCCATCATCGAAATAATTCTCGGCATTATAATCGTCCCCATCCCCCTCGTCGCTCTCCTCAAAGTCCGAATCCACGGGCTCTTCGTCATCGTCGTCCTCGTCCTCGTCGCCGATATCCTCCTCACCATCCGCGTTCTCAGCCGCGTCGACGTCCTCATCATCGTCGTCCGTATCGTCGACTTTGGTCCCCGCAGCCCGAGCCTCCGCCTTGCGCCGCTTCTTCTCCTTGGCCCGCATCGTCGACGGCGGCGACGGGCCTTTTTTCTTCGTCGGCGGCTCGAAGTCGTCTTCGGCGTCTAGGCCGCGCTTCTCACCCCGCGCGTTGCCCGTGCGATCACCCTGCTTCCTCTCTTTCCGCCTCGCGCCCCTACCTGAAGGTATCAGTGCGTCGGAGTCGGAGCCGGCCGTCTGCTCGCCTTCCGAGGGCGCGTCCCCGTCTTTCTTCGCCGTGTCCTCGTCCTCCTCGGCATCGTCTAGCGCCGCGAGGGCCGTGGCGGCAGTGTCGCGCTTGCGCTTGCGTGAGTGGTGCCGTGAGGCGGAGACGCTGGTGTCGTCCTCATGGTCGACGGTCTTCCAGAGCGGGTGCTTGCGCGCGGGGTCCAGCGTCGACCAGAGTTCTTGGGGGAAGTATTTCAGTGCTGGGTTACCACGAATCAATCAGCTCATGTCACTTCAGAGCAGACAAATCCCCAAGATCATGTCACGTCACGGCGCTTCACGTCGCATCCCATCACATGGTTCCTCTTCTCCGCTCTGCGTAGTCTGGCGAGGTGTGCCTGTGTGCGTGCGTGTGTCTCGAGATCCAAGTCTCCACATACCGTATTCCCTCCCCGCGCCCTTCAAGTCCGGCACCGCGCGCTTCTTCTTGTAGTTCCTGCTCGAGTACGTCTCCTGGTCCGTGAACGGGTCGAACCCCGCGCGCTTGAGCGTCCGCCCTGTCGTCGGGTCGGCCACGCTACTCGGGTCGAGGGTCGCGAAGTAAGGCCCGTTGCGCACGCGGGTGCGGAAGGCAAGGTGGCGGGATACGGCGGCGAGTTCGCGCGTGGAGGGCGGGCGTGGGACGGGGAGAGATATGTTCTGTTGTTTTTGAAGCAGGGTGGTCAGTTAGGTTCGTCTAGTCCAGTCTTGTCTGGTCTCTTGCCAGCTGCAAATATATTGCGGAGACAGGAGCGGAGCACGGGCGAACTGTACTGGAAAGAGAGGCTGCGGCTTCTTTTGCCGCGAGGAGAGGTTCTCCTCGTCGTCGTCAAGGTCGTAGTCTTCTATCTCCGGGGCGTTTTTGTTGCGGCGGCCACTGCCGAAGCTGCCTCCCCGTCCGCCGCGGGACATCTTGAGGCCGCCTCGATGGGTGTTACCGGAGATCAAGCTCCCACCACAGAGTCAGATTCGGGGCAAGGGAGAATTGATCGTCTAGAGGCTCGGTTACGAAGGGAACGCGCCAATCGAACTCAAGCCAAAAAGTTGCTGGCAGAATTTTGGAGTATGGTGGGGGTGCGTCTCTGACCGCCTTCGTAAGGCTGAGGCTGTAGCTTTACAAGGCTGAGGAGTACGGTTAAAGAAGGACGAAGCTGGATCCGAGTCAGCCCCTAACGCATCGGAGAGTGCACGCGGGTCGTTAGGGCTACATTGTCTTGCTGAGCAGCGGGTTCAATCACTTGGCCAATGGACAGCCTCCTTCAAGCCACTTGGTGACACCCTGTAAAACCAGACAGTAAAGCCGGCAGGATTGCCTTGTGTTTTGCTCTCCTGTCGTGCGGTCTTAGACGCCTTGTTAAGCTGACGCAAATGCGGATGTCGATACCTCTGCCATACTAGCTGGTCGGATCTAGCCTAACATGTAGCGGTCCCTCCTTCAGCCTGTATCACCTGCGTCGGCGAGGAATGACAACGGCCATTCCATCCATTCCCCCCAGTGAGGACCAAGATGTGCGGATATCGATTCAATCAGGAACTTTCCAGAGTCTCCTACCACCCAACAATCCTTGTAGAATCTGAGCATGACGGCAAAGTATGCAAGGATGACGAGAGCCTCAGGCCGTCGCTGGTTTAATTTGTCCTGATAATCCCCGTTGAGCTGGATCGGCCACGCAAGGAGCCATCGCACGGTGTTATAGGTTTCATTGGGCACGTTTGAAACAGCGTAGAGCCAGTGCAGGCGGTCGATCGCTGAGTTATATGTTTCCTTGGCTTGCTCTCCTAAGTCCGAGCTCTCGGTTAGCTTGGCCAAGTCGAGACATTGCCGGGGTATCTGGTATGGCTTTTCAGGCTGCGTAACCCCAAAGATAGGCCCTAGCTCGGAGTTTTTGAGATCTTCGTACCAGTCTTGAATGACCAGCTTTTGGACGTTGCGCATGAGCATAATACAATGGATAACGTGGTCAAGATACTGGTTCATGCCCAGTCCCACCGTGCGCGAGGGGTCCGCAAGCACATGAACCGCAAGAAGCGATGTGAACATGAGGACTGGGCCGCAATTCGAGGCGTCGACCTCCCGTTGAATGCTGTTGAAAGAATTGAGGGCTTGAGTCTGCAGCTCCGTGGATGTGGTGTAATACCATGGAGAGGATTCGGGCCGGCAGTAAGCGAGGTGCAGAGCCGAGATTGCAAGGAGCTCGTACATAAGGTATGGGTGCCCAAGAGCCATGCGCACAACCGACGTTCTCCAGACCTCTCCAACCTCGTTGTTATCGTTGAAGGTCCTGTACGTGGAGGTGACGAATTGATGCAATAATTCAAGGTGTTTCATGTTCAGAACAGCATCTGATGTCTCTGAGGGAGAAAATGTGGGTGTCACATTGAACTGTCCATGACCTTGCCGTTGCTGGCCTGGTGTTGAAGTCTCCGAAATGCTAGGCCCTGCGGTTTCTGTCTCCACGGATGGGGTGGTAGGCGCAGATGTATTTGGCGCGAACGCGCAGTCTAGCCCAGCCGTCTGGCAGTTGACGCATCGGGGACGTCTCTCATCGCACTGAACGCGGCGTCTTCGATTAGTCCACCGGTAAGGAAGTGAGCAGAGAATGTACGAAAGATTGCATTCACAAAATGCTCGTGCCCGTAACTTGCCTTGATGTGTCGCTTCTTGCAACGGAGACAGCCTGAACGTGACTTTCTATGAGGTCGCCGTGGCATTGCGGCCTAAGGCGTAAATCTGTCTACGTCCAAAGGTATGCTGACAGAGCCGAGTAACACAGGAGTACCCTTAGCGCTCGTATAAATCCGATCTTCTTGCTCAGTGATTGCTCGTTGGCGTACATTGTGCAAGTGGGCGATGGCATTTAGCTTCCCGGCCGGCAGAATTGTTGTTGCCTAGAGAGCTTCAAAGTAAATACCGCCTTCAAATCAACCACACCCTGGTTTGAACACCCTCATGACAAACAGTTTTTCAGCTTCAGATTAACACGAGTGCGTCAGACAAGCCTCGAGAGCCGAGAGGTACGGAGAACGTAGCTGTGTGCTTGAAATGGAGTTTGAAGAGCTTCGCGAACCCTACCACTAGTGTAAGCCGAAGGTCCTTGACCGTCTCGCTTGCAAAAACAAGCAGACAACAAGTCACTTTCAACCGGAAGGTGCTCATGCTTGCAGTTCCCGTTATCAGGCAAGGTAAGTGGTCGTCTGGTGTCAGTAGTCAAGATGACGAAGGTCGCACTTGAAGCGAAGGATGGGAAGGCGCCTCCCACCTTTCGAGCATTGCTTTAATTACTTCAGCTTCACCATCACCTCTGCCTGGACTGATCCTTATTTATTTCTTCACACCTTTTCCTTCGCGATACTCAACAAAAGCCTCTCGCACACAGCACTGAAGCGTCTTATACTCTGGTCACTACCTGCTTCGTGGCATCTCGTTGCTTCGGCCACATTACATTCTTGCTCTGCGTTCACTAACCTCCTCCACGAATTCATCGGCCTGAAAATGCTGACCTTTCTATCCTTCCTTCTTACCGCCATGATGGCACATCTAGTGGTGGGCCTACCCGCTGCTCTTCCCAACAATCCCGGAGCACTCCAGCGTGCCGATGTGAGCTACAGCTGCGACTGCATTGATCACTGGTTCCAGCACGGTCGCTTCTGGATTCGAGCCTCCTCCGATACCGGTTGCATGTCTTTGGAGACCATCCCCCAGACAATATATGCTCTCAATGCCATTGCAAAGCCAGACTATTTCTCGAACGACTATCCGAACTTGATCTGCAGCCTCGACCACCACAAATGCGAATGGACATACAGTCCCCTCGACTCTCTCGCCAACACACCGTCGTCACCAGATTCGACGACCAGTGGCATTCACCTTGGAGAGAGAGACATATCAACGCTCGAGAAAGTCGACGGTCCGTTCCTACTGCCCCATTTCGTCACTGTGCCGAGCAACCAGGCACCTCAGAAGAGATAGAGCTCGCGAGACTCTATCACCTTGAGACACCCAAGATGCAGACCCAACTCGACTTTACGAGGTTGGTGAGGATGAGAATTGCCATGTTGATGAGGACCGGAACTGGCGGCTCGGACAATAATAGTGACTGAGATGACACGCTGAAGAGGAGGTGGTCATGCCTCCACTCACAGGCGCCCGTCTTACCCGGCTGATAACTATGTACCATCACTGCTGGTGTACCATGCATACTCTCAATATGATAATGGAGGGGTTGTAGACGCGATCGGAAGGACAGATCCACCACCAGCATCAGCATTCTGCTCTGTCAGTTGAATCGGTCATGCACTGGAGACAGTGATACCACGCTCGTACTCATCGCGGACAGAAGATGTAAATGGCTGGGCTGTGCGCATACGATAGAGAATATTATGATACCTTTGTCTCAGTGACCTAGCACCGACGGAATTGATCGGAGCCTTGCAGCTCTCTTATCATCGATTGGCTGCGAGAATTTCTTCTCCTGCCAAGAGCCCTAGGCGGTCCTGATCTCAGTGGCCGTCTTCTTACCCCAGACGTTTCTGCATTGACTCATTTCCATTCGCATTCTCACTCAAATGCTCTGAATTTCATGATACAGCCTCACTGCACATAGAGCCATAGCGCTGCGCACAGATTTAGCGTCGCTCAGTTTTCGAATGGTATTGCGCCATTGTACTCCGTACGCCCCAGAATCTTTCCTTGTTGCGCAGACCAAAGGCTTTAAGCCATGCCCAATCGCTCTGAGGTCGCCTACTTCGGCGCTGGGCCTGCCCCTTTGCCCACATCGGTCATAGAGAGATCCGCCGAAGCATTTGTCAACTTTGAAAACACCGGCCTCTCACTGGGCGAGATATCGCACCGTTCTCCGACAGCAAACAAAATCCTCGCTGACGCAAAAGACGCATTGACAACTCTCTACGATATTCCCGCGGATGAATATGATATCCTGTTCATGCAAGCGGGAGGTACTGGAGAGTTCAGCGCCGCCCTGCAAAATCTCGTGGGAGCCTGGATCGAGAAGCGCCGGAGGAAAGCCGTCAGCGAGCTCGGAGAAGGCAAGGATGCCGAAGTCCTCGAGCGGGTGAAGAAGGAACTCGAGGGTGAATTGAAGGTCGACTACCTCGTGACAGGCTCCTGGTCGTTAAAAGCCAGTCAAGAGGCAACGAGACTGATTGGTGCGAAATACGTAAATGTTGCTCTCGATGCAAGGAAGAGCAGTGGGGGCAAGTTCGGCAAGATCCCGGACGAGCAGGAATGGAAATTGACACCCAAGGGGAGTGCATTCGTATATCTCTGTGACAACGAGACCGTCGATGGCGTCGAGTACCCCAGTTTTCCCAAGGCGTTGGAAGGTGACGAGCAGATCGTCGTGGCCGACATGTCCAGCAACTTCCTCAGCCGGAAAATTGATGTGCGGAAGTATGGTATTATCTTCGTGAGTCACCATCGGCCTTCGCTGTATAGAGTATGCTAACAATCCGGTTCAGGGAGGTGCGCAGAAAAATCTCGGTATCGCCGGCATCACCGTCGTCATCATCCGCAAGTCCTTGCTGGAGCTTGTCCCGCCCCCGACGTTCCTTCATGCCTTGTCGCCGGTGGTCCCGACTTCGGGGTGTCTGCCACCCATCATGTTCTCGTTCTCGACCATCGCGTCCAACAACAGTCTCTACAACACGCTTCCTATCTTCAACCTGTATGTTGCAACTTTGGTTCTGCAACAGCTCGTCGCGACGTACGGCTCAAAGAAGGTCTCCGGGCAAGAAGAGATTGCCGATAAGAAGGCAAGAATCCTATACGATACGCTAGACGCTCACTCGGACACGTATCATGTCGTCCCGGATAGTACGGTGAGGAGCAGGATGAATATATGCTTCCGAATCGTGCAAAAACAGGGCGGAGAGCCCGATGACGCCAAGGAAAAGGCGTTTCTCGCCGGCGCCGAAAAGCAAGGCCTGCTCGGTCTGAAGGGCCATAGATCTGTTGGTGGCATCCGGGCGAGCAACTACAATGCGGTGCCACTTGAGAATGTGCAGAAATTGGCAGACTGGTTGGTCGACTTTGCGAAGTCATGATCGGACGATGGGCTGCTAGATCCCGAACCTTGAGGGACTGAACGATCTGAACCTGGTTCTCAACAACCTGGAGATTACGAAGATAATACGTTAGACAGGAAAAGTAATTTCGCCCTCGCATGTCTCCCAGAGCTGCTCTGCAAATATCCGCCTTTCACCTTAGCTGATACGGTGTTCAACTCGTCTCTCAGAATTGATCCATGGCACCAAAGTGTGACTCCGGGTATCCTCTAGGCGAACATTTTCCACTGGGCACTTCCACTTTACGATCTTGGCTTCATCGATTAGTAGTCACGAATAGGGAGGCAATCCTTGTCCTGGCAAAGCACACCGGCTCTTTCTCGTTCTGCTTGCCCTCGTGGTTGGTGCTTGACTTGGCTGGGAGAGTCTCCTCCTGTGCAAGACGCTTCGAAAGACGAGGCCAGTTCACTTCCAGAGTCCAGCCAGTCCTGCGGGCCTGCATGGAGCATTCTGAACACCAAGTTCTTGCTCCAGCAATGTCTGTCAGCCAAATGTAGAATCAGGACACCGACATGCCGACACAGTGCAACCTGGATCTTGGTTCGCCTTAGGCTTCTTTGTCAGCTCGCCATGCTGCAAAATCTGCAGGTCGGGTATGTAATTAATAGCCCACGCGGGTTACTTGCCGTCTCAATGCATGCTCTCGCGTAATGGGGTGTGGGTTTGCCTCCGCCTGCAATCAAGAATCCCGATGCGGAACATTAGCAACGAACCAATTCGGTATCGGCTCCCCTCACCTGCTTGTCAATAAGTCATCAAATGGGGCAAGCCTCGAATTGAATTGCTGACTGTGGAAGAAAGCAATGCAGCCGTGATGAGAGTCGGCGAGCGCAGCAGTCACAACGTCGAGGACGAAACTACTGGCTTGGGCTTGAGACCCGTCGGCGACCACAGCGAGAAGGCGAGGAACAAGGGCAAACGCCTGCAGCTGGAGCCCGCTCCACCGCGAGAATGCGCTGTTTCCACACCACACATCGTCGAAGGACTTGGAGGAGGGAGACGCAATCCTTTCGAGAGCTACCCTGTTCCTTTCAGCGACGAGCTGAACAAGTTGATGGATCATTGTAGGTCGTGTTGTTGATGTTGGTTCCGACTTCTGCAGCTTTGGTTATCAATGCAGAATATTCGCAGACGGAACGCAGATACAGTCGTTATTCGATATCTCGTGTACGGGCACAAGGGTGAAAACCCCTATGCAAAAGCTGTTGTGTTACCTTTCGTTCGACAATATGGCGGACTCTTTGCGCGATCATGGCAATGGCCTCCAGGCATATCGACGCGTTACACGGCATCAGGGAATCGTCCAGATCGCTTCGGCACATGACAGCCGCCTTGAGAGCCGTCAACAATATGCTTGGGAGAGGACGATCCGTATGCGACGACGCCACCATCTTCGCTGTGACGCTCTTGGCTACTATTGCGGCGAGCCCCATGTCTGACCACGCTCAAGTGCTATTCGCCGATATAGCTGACTCATTATAGCGGCGCCTGGGCAACGCATTGACATCCAAGAAACATTGGTTGGGGCTGAAGAAGATCTTGGCGCGAAGAGGCGGCCTGCAAGCGGTAAGATCTAATCGACAACTGAGGGCAATGATCATCTGGCAGGGGTTGACTGGTTGTGAGGGACACGAATTCGACCGACGAAGCTCCATTTCATCCAGGAATGACCTTGTGTTTGCCAAAGATCAACATAGCGCAGATTCTGAGTCGTGTGAGTGGCCGTCTTTAGTAGATAAGGCCTTCGAAAGAGGCGGGCAAGGAGCACGCCACGACGAACTTTTCAAGTTTCTTGGCCAACTTGAGGGCATCTCGCATAAGATCTCGGATCGAGAGCACGCATGCAGGATTTGAAGCCGTATCTGAGAGCAGCGTCGGAAAATCTTCGCAAAGGATTCCATGATATACAGTACCTTACTGGGGAAGACAGAGGTGACGGACCATCAGAGGCGCATACAGCTATGACTTGCCAGGCCGCCTGTCTCATATGTTTGGCGGTGGCTTTTCTCGAGTACGCCGACCAGCTGGATATGGAGGAAAAAATTCCCCGAGAGCAATGGAGGCACTGACACAGGAGCAACTCTGCAGGGGCCTTTCGCCGGAGCATTCTGCTGGCGCGTCTCCTCATGGGGCTGGTCAGTGAAGATGCAGCACCCGAAGGTGAGCGAGCGAAAATAGTCAGCCGCTTGATATTGGTGCTGAAAGGACTTGACAGCAACACGACCATCCGCGTGGGTGCGAGAGGCTCTGACGCTGGGTGTCATTGTCCTGTCAAGAACAGGATGAACGTCTTCACTGAGCCAGTCGGGGCGCAGTCAGTTGGGTTGCTGTCGCGTTGAGATGCGTGTTGAAGCCGGCGGAAGTCCGCCCGAGCAGTGCCGACGGCAATCGGTAGACCTTCCGTTGCCCATGCAGGCTAAACTCTATTCAGACCGCGTAAGGCCGTCCGCACGTTCGGCATTTCGGCAGATGTCCAGGTGGCTGGAAAGGGAGAGGAGCGAGAATGAAGCTTGCTCGCCCCTCTGCTCTGCTCCGCAGTTCATCTCCTCATCTCCAGCTTTCCTCGGAATCCGTCCTCGAATGTCGAAGTACCCCTCACTGAGAATCGCATCTCCACACCCAGCGATAGAGCGACGCCTTCATGAAGTTATGGACACAACACAGTTGGCCGGCGGCGGAAGAGTGAAACGCAAGCAGTCTGGGAACAAGAACAAGACGTTGCCGTGTCCGCACTGCCAACGCCTGTTTGCGCGTCTGGTAAGCTCCCCATCCATCAACCACATCGGAGTCCAATGCTGCGGGCGGCGACTGACATGGCCGTGTGCAATACAGGAACACCTCCAGCGCCACATCCGCACGCATACCAAGGAGAAGCCGTTTGTGTGTGAGATATGCTCCAAGACGTTTGCGCGCAGCGACCTGCTGGTGCGACACGAGAGACTCGTCCACCCAGGCGAGGAAGAGCAACATACCACAAGGAAGTCGCACAAGCACCATCTCCAGAATGCCAACAGTGCAAAGGAAGCGGCGGCACGGGTGCAAGCTCAGGTGCAACAGGCAGTGGGAGTTGACTCTGATCCCATGGACCTTACGCCGCAGCAGAATCAGTCTTTGCTATCACCCCAGGCGAGCGCGCACGATGGGAGAGGCATGATGGATATGCTAGATCCCCAGCTCATGCAGCCTGCCAACGGCATCAATCCCGTCGAGGGTATATCTGCGCACCATTCATCAGCAATCAATGCGCCGTCGCTTGATCCATCCTGGGGCTACGACTTGAACCTTCTGTCGCATGCCGCAAGCCATGTCGCGTCAAGCGGCCAAGATCAGTACATGTCCGGCCTGCCTGTGACGCAAGAACAACTGAACGAGCCGATGCAACAATTGATGCCTGCTGTCACCGACGGTCAGTACCAACCGAGAATGCTGACCGAAGGTTACGGCCAGTCGACCTCGATGTTCGAAACCCCAGACCTTGGCGATCCCATGCAAGACTTTACAGTATTCCTAGACAGCGTAGGCCTTTCGTCCGAATGGTATGCCAACATGTTTGGGAATGATCAGGTTGACAACTACAACTCCCCAACCGAGTTGAGAGGTGATCACCTGAACATATCGAGGCCGCATTTGAACGGTGAGCATTCCACCGATAGCAAACTCGCTGTTCCACAAGAAGAAACAAGCACTTTTTCACGATTTGGCTCAAGATTACCGTCCCTTCAACCAGAGTCGCGAGATCCTGACTTCACTCGGCCAGACCCTCCGCGAAGCACGACGGTCGAAGAAGCAGAAGCCAAAGTGGTCAGAACCACCTGGGATGTCTCTGACTCGGATCGATCCATCTTTGCATCGAGGCTTCAAGCTTTCGACAATGTCATGCCGAAGGGATTCATTCCTCCGTCGAGGCACTCGCTTGCACGGTACTTGGCGGGATACGTTAATGGCTTCCACGAACACTTACCGTTTATTCATGTGCCGAGTCTGCAGGTCGCAGCTAGTGGTCCGGAGCTGGTCCTCGCTTTGGCTGCCGTAGGGGCACAGTACCGGTTCGAAAATAGCCGTGGCATCGAACTATTCTATGCCGCCAAGGCCGTTGTGCTGGAACAGATCCGGCGCCGTGATGAGTCTTCGACGCCCCACTTGTGGAATCGACCTCGCACTGGGTCGATGGTGCAGTCGCCAGGAGGAGGGTTCGCAAATCAGAGCCACTCGAGCAGCAGTCCTTTCCAGCAAGTCTCTCCAGAAGAAGCAATCGCTGCAGACAGCAAGGAGCAGATGGACTCGATACAGGCACTGCTTTTGTTGACGGCGTTTGCGACTTGGGAGAGACATGCTGAGCTGCTGCGCGAAGCCTTGGCATTCCAAAGCATTCTTGCACGGCTCGTCCGAGAAGCAGGTCTTACTAGTCCCGAGATCATGCAGTCACCAGAAGAGTTGACTTGGGAAGACTGGATCCAGATCGAAGGCGAGAAGCGCACGAAGCTGATCGTCTACTGCTTCTTCAATCTACACTCAATCACCTGGAACGTGCCTCCGCTCATCCTCAACTCCGAGATAAAACTCAACCTGCCCGACCCGGCTAACGAATGGAAAGCAACCACTGCGGAACAATGGCAGAAACTACGGCAAGCCAATGCCGCACCGCAAATGCCTTTCCAAACAGCATTCTCACGACTCTTCACCAAGCAGAATCAAGCCACGTCCACTCCTATTTCACCGCTGGGCAACTACATTCTGGTCCACGCGCTCATTCAACAGATCTTCTTTGCACGGCAGCTCTCCCTGGCATGGCCTGGTGTGGCTGGCTCGAGTCTCCGGATGGAAGACATCGCAGTCCTCGACCGCGGCCTTTCGTCGTGGAAAGCAGGCTGGAAACGTGCCCCGGAATCCAGTCTCGATCCGCAAAACCCCAACGGTCCTGTCGCATTCACGTCTACTGCCCTCTTGGGCCTGGCATACATCCGCCTTCATGTCGACATGGGTCCGCTCCGCCATTTGGAAACCCGAGACGCGACACAGATTGCCAGCGCCTTGCTCAACACGCCGGACATACGTCGTGATCCACGTCTGACACCAGCGCTGTTGCATTCGGCCCACGCGCTCTCAATTCCCGTTCGCCTAGGAATTGACTTCGTTGCCCGCACCCAGACCTTCTTCTGGTCAATCCAACACTCCCTCTGCAGTCTCGAGTGCGCTTTTCTACTGTCCAAGTGGCTGTACGTCCTTTCCAACCTGAAATCGTCCGGCGGCGCACCCGTCACCGAACACGAACGCAAACTGCTCCTGTGGGTGCGCTCCCTGCTTGACGAGACCGAGATGACGGTCCCACTCAACGGCGATGCGAATGACCATACCGTTCTGAACGAGTCGCGCGAATTGCTCGACGACACGGAAAAGATGAGACAGCTGAGCGTCGCGGTGGTGAGGGTGTGGAGCAAAACCTTCAAGGGCAATACCAGCTGGGCGATTGTTGATATGATTGGCAGTGCGCTGGAGATTTACGCGGATATTCTCGAGACGCAGGGCGAAATGGCGGTGGCGAGTGGACGATAGGGACGTGCCATCGTCGGCGTGGCCATCAGTACTGCGGAACCCGTGTATCTGGCGGGACAGGCGAGAATATCCGCGGCGGAGGCCAACACTACTGCGGAGCCGGCGTATCTGGCCGGGCAGACGAGACTTTACGCGGCAGAGGCGTTGAGGGGTTTGTGGTTTGGAGGGTATGAGTAGCAATGGTGCATGAGCGTGCGGAAGAGACGGAAAAGCAAGAGAGCCTAAGAGGGAACTGCTCGAGTCGTCCTCCGGAATGGAGCGACGCTGCCCAGCGTGATATTCCTTCAGACTCGACGGCGCGCAAATATCCAGAGGTGGACTCAGGCTGTGCTGCGTATGCGAGCAGGACATTTTGAAAGAGTACATACAGGACGATCCAGGCTTCCTTGCATCGAGTCTCGTCGCTGTGTGAGTCATGACGACCGATGTGAGATGTGAGAGTCCAAGCCAGGTCAGTGTTACAGTCAGTGTAAGCTACTGCAGGTACAAGTACCGTACCGCGGCAGACGCCGACGCAGACGCATCAAAAATTTGTTGATTATCATTATTCCTCGGAGCACGGACGTTGCGCATGAACATGAACATGAACAGTCAAAAGTATGAGCACAAGCATGGGCACACAATGGGACGCGCTGGCGCTCCAGTTGACAGGTCTGTCTCGAAGATCTCCTGTCAAGTCTTTAGACTCATTAGGATACGTACTGTACATGCGAGCCATGCATGGACTTTGGAAACGCACGATTGCTGGCTGATTGCCGGCTGATTGCCGGTTGCTTGGTTGCTTGAGTTTGATTGAGTTGATTGATTGAGTGGCCGATTTGATGGTGAATCGTAGGGATAGCTAATTAGACGGTAATTAATTAATGCTAGAGTGACTTGCCGTAGACACAGGGATCCCGACCGGACCAACCGTTGGCTCAAGAATCAAGAATCAAGGACGGAGAATGAGGCACGTATCGAGGAAAAAAAAGGCGTGACCCTTCTATTCGAACAGATCGACTCGATTCGATAATTACAGAACTGCGGAGGCAAAACTGCAATTCTCCCGGCCGAAGGCAGCGTAGAGAGTTCCAAGTGCAGAGTACAGTACAGTTTCCAAAATTCGTTCTGCTCATGGGTATAGGCTGACACATAAGTATGCTTCGTGCAATAGAGTAATTATCGAGCAGTTATGCAGCATCCGCCTTAGCTACACACTGTAGCAAGCACACGTAGCCTACACTTGAGGTTGAGATACCGTAGCTCGGTAGGAATCCTCCTGGCTCAACGACCGACTGACTGACTGATGGTGAGCCGTCGTGCCTGTCTTGAAAGACCTGGAACATGTCCTGGCTACAGTATGTTCCTAGTACATGTACACCGAGCCAACATATATCCAAACCCAAATCCAAATCCACAGATCACACTACAGGGCCATACCCGTGTGACCGCAAAACTGAGCAGGTGATGGGCGTTGCACATTCGGCGTCATTGTGGTGGCAGGATGCACCAGCGCCCCTGCCTACCTCTTGAGGTTGCACGGGAGGCAGATGCTCAGCACCAGTGCTGAATCTGCTGAGCTTATCTTCCATGGCTGGTAGCTGCATTTCTCGACCGGTCATCAATCATACATACATCACTACCGGAAAGCCACCCAAGCTGCCTTTCTGACAGTCATGGTTGCAACTTGCAACCGGAGTTCGATCCATGCCATGCCGTGCCGTGCCAGTAGGTACCTGGTAGATACTTTGTATGCCCTTACGGATTATGGGAACAGACTCCATGGGATACCTGGTACTCATTGACGGTGCCAACTTTGTGCTGCGACTTCCTGTCTTGGTAATCGTTGTCCTGAGAGTCGCCTTTCCTTTCCTCTCCCTTCGTCTTCTTCAAGGCGTTTTGCTCATGTGTATTTCTGTGTACATCATCCTCCCACCCTCCCATCCCATCCTGCCTTAAGCCCATTGCGTCCTGTTTTCCTCTTCCCCAAGGCGCTGCTCAAGGCACCACAATGATGAAAAAGAATGTGTTTCAAAAAAAAGTGCTCCACATCTCCAAGGCTGAAGTGTGAGGCTGGAGAATTGGTGTAAAAGCAAAAAATTGTGCATGTGAACCAAACAAGAGAATCAGAACCCTGTTCAAGGCAAAAGCCTCAATCTGACCTCTGTAATGATTGGTGTGACATGCTGGTGTTTGATGTATCCCTCGAAAGTGACAAAGTGTGAGAACAATGGCCCAGAGCCTGCTCACTCAAATCTCTCAAGTCCTCCTCTTTCACGCATCGAGCAACCATCAAATGAGCACAGTCCTGTGAAGCTATGTACCAAAAGCAAAAAGAACATTGAGTATGATTTTGTACTTTTCCAAGTTTTTTTGGTGGCTTAACGAGCGTCCTCGATCCGCCTTTTTGTAATTTTCTGTGAGAGAAGAAAAGAAAAACAAAACTGTGCTCGGTTGCCAGTGCGTGTGTCACATATCCCCTGCTCACACGCATTGCGATCTCTGCCCAAGGAGCCCCGGCTTACCGTGTAAACAAGCACAGAACCCATTGAACCAACATGAGGAAGGTAAACAAGCAACCAAGGCAAGAAACTTCTGGCGTCCCGAAGCCTCTGCGACTAGACAGAAAACGTCAACAATCAGTGATGCCCCACCGAACATCTCAGACAGTCTGCAGCCATTGCGTGAAGAGCCCCCAGAACCCACGGGTCCGATAGGAATTGCTGGAAGCATTCAGGTGTAAAGACGGAGAGTGTGTAGTACACTCAACATCAGAAGATCACGGGCTCGGTGGGATCATGATCCCTCGAGCTCAAGAACCCACCCGAATGCTCCAGATAATCATAGCCTCGGGCCCTCTGCTCCCTCAGCCAGACATCAATTTCCTGCGAACACGCCGTAACGCCGATCAGCGTCGGACACCATCCTCGGTGGCCGCACTCCCGACACAACCGACACCGCCAGGCAGGAACTGCTTCCTTTGGCCATGGACGTGCCGGGGTGGGAATGGCGTACACCTCGGGCCACGTCACACTCTTCTTCTCGGCCGGGTTGGATTTCACTCCATTGCCGCGAGAATCAAGTGGACGTTGAGGATCGATCTCCTCAGAAGGCTTCGCCCGGTGCTTCAGGATCGACCTGACAGCAATGTCAGATCGATGGGTCCTGATTGGCTCCGGGTTGATGCACTTCTGAATCGACATCGCCTCTGGCTCAGGATTGGGCCGGCTGACGGCGACAGCAGAAACACCCCCAGTACCCCTCTTGTTGCCAACCTCTTTGCCTGCTGGGAGACCGGCAGCAGCACCAAGGGCCTTGCTTGTTCGTACTTGCTGAGGAGCAAGCCGGGGACCAGCAGATGGCAACTTGGTGCGAACCGGAATCCGTGACGCGGAGGTCGCCATCCCTGTGACGGTGGATGGCGTGGCGGGAGACTTGGCCTTCTCCTGCACGCCGCCCTTGCCAAGTGAGGCCGATCCACAACGACGAACCAAGATTGGGATTTTGGACGCCGACTGCTTCACGGCGACACGCTCGACAGTAACGGGCGGCGCCGGGCCCGAGCCAAGGGTCACAGTGGTAGCCTTGGGTTGCGAGGGGGCACCCTCACAACCCTTGACACCAGTGGCGGCCGACTGTCGTCGGAGGATGCTGTTGGCCAACCAAGGACGCGCCCTGGAAGCCCGCGAGCTCTTCCTCGAGTCAACACCGCCGGAAAATGACTTAGAAGCGAACTCCTTTGCCATTGTGAATGAGAATTGTGTAGTCTGTGTAGTTGTCAGCGAAATTTTGCTCTGTTGGGACCTTACTGTGAAGATGGAGAGAAGAAAGAAGAAGAGGAAGAATGGGGACAACAGGAAAGGACAGAAGAACGCCAGAGGGTTTGCCACCGCGAGGCCGTTTCGGGCAACACAACAACAACATCAACAATGATTGAGAGTGGTAAGTTTGGTTCCCAATCGAAAGTCTGCCGTGGGTCTTGGGCGGGTAACTAGCATCGTGAGGAGTAACGATATCGCCAGTGAGGTGGTGTGGGTGGATAGAATGAGGGGCGTCGACGTCAATGATGCTGCGGATGACGAGGCCGACGACTTGCGCTTCGTCGTGAACGAGGTTGGATCAGTTTGGGCTCGAGTAGTGTAAACCATAGCGATGCCTCAGGCTGCAGGGAAGCCATCGAAGGCATGTGTTGTGTGACGAGCGTGCGTCGTGCGTATCCATCAGCGTCATGCTCCTCTTGGTTTGTACGATGACCACCGACGTATAACAGGAAAGGCACACACAGGAGAGCGCCGCATGCTCGATGGAAGAGGACGCGAACTCGAGCGTAGCATGAATGACAACCAGGTAGAATACAACGACGCAGCAGAGGTAACGATCGATGGTGACCGACCGCATGCGCCGTGGCAGGGCAGCGCGCAGTGTGCAGAGACATAAAAGAGGGATACAGAGGCATCAGGAAGGACATAATACAACAACGCCGGGCCACATGACAGATGGGAATGCAATGCAAATAGAAGAAGTGACTGGGTGCAGGTGCGCCAGCTACTGAAGACAGGGGATGAAAGTGGTATACAACAGCACGGAACGCCTTTGGAAAACTCGCCCAGGATTCAGCGTCGAGGAAGCAATGAGACAAACATGAGATCTGGGCGAAGATCCGTTACCTAGGTAATTCGTGAGGGAGCCATCGTGCCTGCCTCGAGAGTGTTGCCATGACATCGCACTTGCCTAGTCGGCAGCAGAGCCGCTGAGTGGGAGAACTTGCCTTCGTCGGAAAAAACATAGAGGAGCATCTCATCGCAAGTAGCAAGTAGCATGAGGCTGCTGTCTGGGAGCGACTACGCCAGCATTCATGACGCCCTGGCTCAGTTAGTTATTTTTCTCACACACGTTGTGGTCTGATCAAAGTTGCATGCAGCCTTTTTCACGGCCAAAAGAAGCTCGATGGTTACGTAAGCGAAAGGAAATCTGGGCTCACAGCTTTTGGGACGGTGGAAGGATCATGATAATTCTTTACCCATGTTCCTGAAGGCTGAAAGCCTCCATCGAGATCAAGCCAATGTCTGTGTTGCCACGTTCCATGGCTAGCGAATGTGTCGGCCCTGGTGGCTGCTGGATCCCTAGACAATACTGGTCAGTCCGACGACAATGATCCACCCACCGTAGTCCAAATCCCCAGCCTAGATGAACGCTGGGCCTCCATCTGCCACATTTTGTTCGCCTACACTCGTGCTTCTATTCTCTCGTCGACTCTTCAGAAAGTTGCTCACCATCCTCTTACTGCCAAGGAGTCCGAAGATCTTCGCCGCACTTCTCCCAGCAGAGTAGGATCTGGATGGCACTGCATCTGTCCCATCTGGCAAAGTTTCCTTTCTAAGCTGAGCCACATCTTCAGGGGTTCTGGGCGCGACGCTCAAACGGTTGTCCCCAAACGTGTCAGGATGGCCAAATGTCCTTTTCCCAAGATACATGCTGTCGAAGGGACGATTGTGTGGAGGCACGTCCATGTTGAACGGCCGAGAGAGTCGCGCCACTAGATGGTGTTTGGCAGTCTCACTCGGACTCTCGTGTGATCGGCTCGGTGTGCTCGAGTCGCAAGCTTGAGGCGTCGAGTGGACACCATTTCGAGTATAGAACGCCGCTTCGCCAGCCTTTTGGCGTAATCGACCCGTTGAGGCCCCGTTCCGGAATTGAAGATGGAGTCGCCCCGGAGTGCTAATTGGCGGAGAGCCCTCACGAGTCGCCGGACTGTTCTCTTTCCCTGAGTTTTGAGGTCTGAGTGGCTTCTGGAGTTTTCTATCCTTGAACATCCTTGCAAGGTTTCCTGGGCTTAGCTTCCGCAGACTCCTGCTGTCCTTACTTCCATCGTCACCCTTGTTGGAAATGTTGCTGAGCGCACCGGCACTCAACTTGTTGCGCAGCTGATCGTGAGCTTGACCAGTAGCAGTGTCAATGCGCACTTTCAGCGGCTGCGCTCCAGGGGTGGTGTTCAGATCAGCACGAGGAGGTCCACTTGTATTGTTCCCAGAGAGCATCTCCTCTGTGCTGGGCGAGTCCTCTTCAGACCTAATCTGAGCGCTCTCTCGCGTGTGTGAGTTATGGTCAGGTGGGTCGAGTCGCCCATCCACTGGGTCTGACCATGGATTCCATTGACTTCGATGATAAGAAGCATGTTTGTTTGGCAAGATCGACGCCATCTCCAATGGTTCAGATCCTGAATGCGCCGGGGCAAGCAGCTCCTCTGAACTGTCGATTGGACGTCGGTATCGCTCGTCCGAACCACCATTCGTAGTGCGCGAGTAGATGCTGGCACTACTCAAAGCAAACCGTGATCGATTCATCACAGGATTGCTACACTGCCGAGTGATGATGACGCTTGCGGCGTCCGCATCTGGTGCATGGTCGGGGCTCCTGCTTCGGCTCCTGCTCCGGTCGCGAGCCCGACTTCGTCTCTCGTTGAGGAATCTCTTGAAGGGACTTGGACTGTCCGGACTCTTTTCGCTCGAGAAGGGAAAGAAGCTCGACTGCGATTCTTGCTCTACTAGTCGGTCCCGTGCCCTGCCAGAGTTCTCCTTATATCGGACATCCGTCCCGGGGTCCATAGTCGTCGGATCCAGGTCCCCTGAGGTAGAGCGACTGCTAAAGCGCCGGTTCTGCCGGTCGGCCGTCAAAGTCGCCAGCGAGATATCGCTCTGCACTGCTCTGATGGTCTGTCTTGCCGCAAGTAGACCTTTGTTGACCTCTTCGCGCTCCTGGTTGAGAGTCTCGACCGCAAGTCGTGTCCTTTCGACTTCTGCTTCCTCTTCATTGATTCGTTTGATCAAAGCAGAGTAAACTTGTTGAGTGTTGACAGCAGAGACTACCACGCCATCGTTTGTAACTGGCTGTAAAGGCTCTCGAAATATTTCAACTCCTCCGATATGTTTCCCTGCAGATGACGAAGGCTGGTGCGGTCCACCGTCTTTTTTGATATTTGACAGCCGATTGCGTTCCGTTGGACCTGAACGTATGCCTATGGAGCCCGTCATGCTGGAGTTGGTCCAGCTTGTTACCCGGGATCCTGCATTAGAATGGAGACTCTCCCGGCGCGCCGCAGAAGTGAGATGATAGGGAACCTTGTCAAGGTCTTCGAGGTCATCATTTTCGGGAACAGGAGGACCGAACTCGGTCTTCCCCAAAGTATCTTGCGCGTCTGTGAATGCATCAGACCCGCACAGAAGGCCCGTATTCCGGTCCAGGTCCGAAAAGTAGTTGCGCTGAGCCTCGAGCTGTTGAGGCGGGAGTGTGTCTTTTCTGTTCAAAGTCCTTCCAATGACTTGTCGGACACGGTTCCGAATCGTCGCAGTAAACGATGACGTTCCTTTGACTGCGGACGAAAGGGGGCCATCTGCGGGCAGGCTTCCACGAACTGATTTTCTGAATCTGTGATGCTCTTTCCTGTCGATCTTGTGGAAGCCATACAGCTCTTGTTCTTGGATTTCGTGATGATCGGACCCGCCAAAGTACTGTGCCCGAGCAAGCTGCACGGCTTCATCGTGCCTTTCCCATGGTGAACCTGAGCTCTTGTGAAATACGGTTGTGTTTTGCCGACGAAGGAATGGAACAGAACGTTGGATTCGTAGGCGAAGATTGCTACTTTGGTGTACCGTCGCAAGAGACCTTGACTTTCGGATGCGTCGACGGTACGAGGATGGCAGTGCTCCATAGTTTTCAGAACCACCTTCAGAGGAGGTCATAGCATGTCTGGCAGCAACCATAGCGAAGCCATCGCCTCCAGTTCTCTTGCTCATACTGGATGTATCCAAAAGTGCAGGTCTGGGGATATGGCGGCTTGAGGAGCAGAGCACGAGTACTGCTCGCATAAGTAGAGCGCGTCCATGGCAAGGAAGGAGCGACCATTGCGCATGGAAGCAGCATCTCTCAAGCTGGAGACAGGAGCGACGGCTACGAACAGCATTTTGAGTGTCAACGCCATCAAATGACCGCCCTCACAGCAATGGGCATCCCCGAGTATGGCGGCATGGACCAAGTCCAGGTATTCTCTTTGAGTAACTCATTGTGATCAGAGTCGTCGACTACTCCATGCATATGAGCATGAGGTTGTGACCACCCTCAGGGTGTACTGCGGATGACCGGCATTCTGGGTTTACCGGCCGCATTGAGTATGTCGAGTACGAGTGCCATCGACGCGTCGCGAGGCTGCTTGAAGCATTTGCCGACTAATAAGAGTGAGATCGGCATGGAGGACAGATTGAATAGTCGGCCAAGAAAGGTGGCACTTCTAAGAGGAAGGTCAGTAAGAACTGATGCACAGGCCTGTTGCTTCTCTGCGGCTGCAGACAACGATATCGACCTGGTTGAGGCGTCGGACACGCTTCGGCAGCTCTGACTCAATTCCTTTGCCGTCGTGGAACTTGCCTCAACGCGCCTGAGAATGTGCGAGCTGATGTGCCTCGAGATCGCGCCGGGGCAAGAGCCTCGAAATCGCACATCGGATTGGCCGATATGAGACCTGGCAGGCCACCAATCATGCCACATTGTGGGTAAAGACGGGTGTCAGGCAGATCATGTGAAGGATGTCAGGATGCGGGATGAGCCGGCGGATCAGGCGACACAGCTGCTGCGAGCACTCTGGCCTCGCTGACTGGCTGCATGAGCACTGCCCTGGTGTCTCACCAACTGCCCGCTCTTGCGAGCGCCCCAGGCTTTACGGAGTACTCCGTACAGCGTTTTCAAAATTAGTGACAAGCTGAGGCCACCGAATGCAACTAGCGATTCATTGCTCGGGTCCTTAACTTGACGAGTGAATGTCGGACGCGTATTTCTACGCTTGAACAGCAAACTCTTGATGGCTGAGCAACTGTGCGTCTCTCTCACATTATGGTGCATTCTCGGTTCGGAGTGGTGGATTCTGCAGCGCCCGTCCGGGCAGCAGGCTGAGGTATTTTCATTCGCACGCAGAGACTTGCGGAGGTTGCGAAATCCCCAGGGTTGTCGCGGACGTCCTCATCTCAGCACTTGTCAAGGGATTGCATATGCATCACGCCAGAACTAAGGGCTTTGCATTGCAGAATGACGGGCTATCCAAGTGCGCTCTGACATTGAGAAGCGAAGCCAGAAATAACTTGTTCAACTGTTTTTGAGATGATTCGTACGTAAGTCTCTCTCCGTGTGGAGGAATTCATCTGTTAAGTACAGATAGCTTGCGATGGCGCTATACTCAATCGCAACTAATATTGGTACATGAGCAATAAAACCAGTTGCCGCTTCATTACCAAATGTCCGTACACTCAAAATCCCATCTGCTTTTCAACTTTCACCACGAGGTGCGTTTAGAGCCCATAGGTTCAGAAAGATCGACAATCCCCGCCCAGACTAGTTCCACAGGGACCCTTTACTTGCAGCTGCAGCTGCAGTAAGTCGTCACCAGTAGTGCCATCTGGCGTCATTGACAAAGGACAAGGCGGCGGAACACATGCCTATGGCTGAAAAGAGTAGGGTTACTGAAAATCGCAGTCGAGAAAATAGATGGTTGTGCGCTGAACCCCATGCAAGCATCGCTGAAGCATGTTGATGTCAATTGTGCCCCATAGACGCCGTCGCTGAACCCCAACAAGACAGAATCGAGATGTGCCGTAAAAGCGGTGATGGAGAAGTAGCGGTAGTAACAGGATTGCCAATCGGATGTTGTGGTCGTAAATGTCATCGCTCATAGGGTATCGGAATCGTGAGCACCCCTCCTCCCATGTCCCCTGCCGGGCATGAGAAACCCGCCAAGAGTGGGCAAAGCAGGAATGGAGTGGAATGGAGGATAAGTGGGATTGGTTGAGATGTCGTGTGTTGGGCATGCTCTCGCTCCTGAGTGGGCGCTACCTCTCTGCAGGGACATGCTGCATGGTGACATCAGCCTCCGACGATAGAATCATTAGGCCCGACCGGGAGTTGAGCGGTTGTGTGAGGACCGATCGGTATTGTTTGCTAGGCCGAGTGCGAAAGTTGTACATCTGAAAAGAATGCCATGTTAGACGCTGTGAAGAATATAGCGCTGGGAACAGGCGAGAAGAGAGGAACGTACTCTGCATTCACTGCACTTGGCTCCGGGCGTATCGCATCGCCCACGGCAACCGCGAGGCTGGTTTGAGCAGGAGAACATGTTGGCTGTTGATGTCAGAGGAGCAACAGTCGTGGTTGTTAAGGTGTAGAATCGGTCAGCAGTGTGGTCGACTGAAGAAGCGATGACGTCTTCGTAGTATGCGACCGGTAAGGGCTTCGACTGTCCTGTGGAGGTGGGAGAGGCGGTCGTTGTGCAGTAGCAGTATCGTACGCGGGGCTCGGTGCTCTTGGTCGATGTCTCTCGTAGATCGATTGTGCGGTGCTTGTGGAGAGGAAGCAAATCGAAGACTCAAAGGAGGATGAAACGATGATGATATACTGTACAAAACCCAGGGCAGACCGGACAGTTTTGGTTAAGGCAGCAATTGGGCAATCGTGCAGAAAACGGGGCTTGAGCCTGGGTTGACAGGGGTGCAGATCGCATGCAATGAAGATGTCACTGGAGAGGCCGAACCACCAGAACCACCAAGACTGTTGGCGTCCCGTCTTAAGCAAAGTTTAGTCCAGTGGCAGCAGCCTGGCCTGATTCCTGCAACAGGGGGAGCCAGGGACCGCCTAACTGTTCTCCCGTAGGCTGCTCGGTGCGGCCTAATCACGTTATCCCTTCCCCACCAGCAGCAGCAGCGGCAGCAGGGTCTACGTACGCCTTACTCCCCAACGCGGTTACTGTAGGTCCTTTCCGTCTAGTCAGGCCATTCTCTGGTCCGAGTCTTCTACACCACACAGGCACAGCATATTGAGTGCTCGATTGGCATCATGGCTGAGCACTGCGACACGCAAGACTGTCTCTGCATTGCTTTACTCAGTCGTGCCGGTCTTGCATAACTCAGCATGCAGCAGCTCTAAATCCAGATCTGTGTCGGGCTCATCAGCCAGCACGAGGCAGAGCTACTGATTAATTAGCCACAGTTCCGAAAAACTGTGGTACGCCCGGCGCGTGAAGCGTGCTCGTATCTTGTATTACTCTACAGTTACATTGCGTATGTTCATTTCAGTGATTGTTCCATTGCCGTAGTTCCCGCCAGCATGAATGCAGTGCGCTTTCCTTCTTCGCTCGTGTCTGTCTCTCGCACCACACTGACGTTGATTGGACCATATCTCCCGACCTCCGAATGAGTTAAGAAGCCCTCTGAGTCAGGTAAGCATAAGGCTCTCGAAGGCAGGCTGCCTTCGAGGCGTCTAGCCCTCAGCCTGAACCTTGACGGATCCGCTCGGCCTCGTTCGCAGATGCTGTTTTACATCGCTGACTGTCGGCCCCGAGATCAGTCATCCGTTGTGCATAGTGAACGAATAGCTCCGTGGCAGCAGAGTTGGTGTCCTTCAGCGTGTGGTAAGGTGACCAGAAGCCGTACGCTCGGTCTTTGTCCGAAGTTCTCAATCTTATGCCTGTTTCAACACGGAGGCAACGACTTTGCACAATTAGTTCTTGCGAGCAATGTGTATCTGCACTGCAACCCCGAGTACATGTTCTTGCTGGCCTTCACCCGAATTTCGGATGTCCCGTCCTAATGGGCACTTCCATCCTTTGGGACCCCATCATGCGCCAGAGCTGAAACCACTTGGCTACCCCTGCAACTCTGCTGATGGGCCTGAGGTCCAGACCACAAGTCCAGAAAGAAAGATCTAGACTGTCTCCGGCCTCGACGCCATGGTTGTCCCGGTGCGACGGCACAGGATGGACAGATATTTTGGAGTGTCAGGACTCTTCGGCCGGCTATGCCAGCGCAACTGGCAGCGAAATGGCCATCGTACGTTACTTCAGCACCCAAGAACCGGACTGAAGCACAACGCATAGTACTGTATTTTGTCAGTAGTAATCATACCACAACCTGCAGTCATCGAGATGCGCGACGGTCCGTCCGCCAATGAAGCGCGCCTTCAGTCTCCCACGGTTGCAAGAAGTTAGCCGGGTTCTGGAACGGCCGGCTTACATAGTGTCCACCATGCGATCAAGCTAAGCTCATCTTCTGATGAACTTCCTTGTGTTGATCCAGGTTCATGTGCAGGGTCACCAGGGGAAATCTCCCAGCCGAGTATCCTTCCATGGTACGCTAGAATGCTCATCGAAGCTTTCGACTCTTCGAAAGCTGTCGCTTGATCCATGTTCCTGTAGGCGAATGCTAATTACGGAGTACATCCCCACTCGTATGGATCAGCCAGCCGACACACATCCTTTTCTCTCCTCATCGTACGAGTACGTGGTCACGTTCACTCTTGAAATGGAAAATTCTCTGTTCATGCGCTTTCCCACCGTGGCGAATGCTCCATCCACTGAATGCGAGCATCCGACCAAGCTTCGCACCTTCACCTCATCCCGTAAGGAGAGATCTGAGAACCAACCACCCTCCAATCGCACCAATTGTCGTTGCCAACAATAATCCGTTTCCCTCCCATGTCAACGCCAGGTAAGCCATAAGGCCAACGGCAAGCTCCTTCTTGCGGGCCTGAGCCCGTCTGCTCCGCCAGTCCGGGTCGATGTCGAACGGTGCTGCCGTTGGCACACCTTCACCTTCACCCCACTGCCTTGCGTTCGGCAATGCTTTCAAAGGCACCGTAGCAGCCAGCGCTACTGGACGATGATCTGAGGTTGTAAACAATGGTAGACATGTGTACTTTTGCGGAGTGACCTTGATGTTATTGCCATTCCCACGATCGTTCCAGAAGAATATCCTATCACACCAGGACGGCCAGCGGTGACGTGCCCAGCTCCAGTGTTGTCGATCGTCCTCTTCCCCACTAGCGAAGATGACAGCCTTGTTGCCGTCAGTGCGGTACTTGTAGGTGGGCGGAAAAGTGATTGGTGCTTCGGACAAGCCGTGTAGGGTCTTTCCAGCCTTGACCTGCTGAGTAAGTTGGTCTTCTGCAAGTAGCTGCTGAAAGTGCTTTGGGTCAGCCTCGTTGGTGGTTGGGTGGGGGAATTTCTCGTCCACGTCTTGCGGCGACGGCCGAAGCAGCGACGTTCGATAGTTGAGGTCTCCAGCAAAAAACAGATGTGACGATGAGGCATACATGCCGCATGCGGAGGCCTCGTCGATTTGCTGCGACGGATCGTCGCCTTGTAGCAGAGGTGCATCTTCATCTTCCTCATCCCCTGCCACGGGCTTCCTTGAGCTGGAATCCGAGACAAACACCAGCCTCTTCACAATGTTCTTGTAGTCTTCGTTCCGCCTCTCCAGCCCGTCCTCCATAGGCGCCAGATGGGCAGACACCCAGGTGAATTCGACTTCCCTTGCCATGCCAGGTGATTGATAGCCTATCCTTAGCCCAACTGCGCCTTTGTTGCCCATTTCACCCAGTCCAACCCCAACTCCAGCTGTCCTCAGCCATTTCACGTGATCCGCAACATCATCCCTTGCAAATACCATAATCCCTGTCATCCCCACATTGCGGCTTATCACGTTGACATAGCTGTGATCTTTCGAACTCGAGGCGAGTCTGACGATATCCCTCCAGGCGTTGAAGTAGGGCGTTAGGAACGATCCGCCCAGGAATGCGGCACTAATGGGCGCGAACTCTTGTAAGCAAATGACAAGAAACTCTGGTGAGAGGCTGTTGGCCGGAAGACCGTGGAAGAGATGTGGTGCGAATATGCTAGGATTGACGAGAGTGCGGGCACAGTTGTATGTGAGGATGTAGATGTTCATGGTCTCAGTCTGCTCGGACTGGGTTGGGTCAGCCATTATGGCATCAAACGGGGTCTGTGAACGGTCGGCAGTTTCTCGCCAAGTTGGAAGCTGAGGTGGTGCAGGGCACTCCGGGAGTCCAAGCCGGAAGTCCAGTCGATCCAAGACCTGCCCTCCTCACTGTTGGTGTTCACAAACATCCACTACGAGTTGGAATTGACAGAGACACATCTCGATAGAGCTCACAGTGCCATCAATGGCTCCTTCTGATTCGAATCTGGCTTAGCGTGGCCTGGCTTAGTCCCAATTCCAGCTTTCCTCAACCTACGTCATATTCTGGCATGCTTAGCTATGTTGGTGCTAGCGTCTCTTGCTTCGGCGCTTTCCCCAGTTGGTTTCCAGGCGACTAGCGTCTGAAGAGTCCAGCAACAACGTCCTTCGTGTCGTCGAAGCTTCTCTGCAGAGTAAATACCCTTGGTGTTCGTCCGTCTTTCTCTCATACCAGGATCTCCACAGTGTGAAGAGTCAGTCCCTTGATGTCCTAGCCCAGCTCCAGCTGCCAGCACCCTTTGCCCCAGATTGCCATAAGGATAATGGTACAGGCATGAGACTATGCACATCATGTCAGTCAATGGCATATGGTAGGTATACCTCGCAATACCTGACACTTCAACTCTTGGGCTCTGTTCCCTGGTGCTGATGCTGTCGACATGAGTATGTCTGTGGCCGTCCTCATTGACGACCTCTGGCCTCATTATGTCTGCCCGTGCAGTATTGGCACTCCTTGGCCTGGAGTATCCGGTATCTTGGGCCAGCGGCTGCGGACCAAGACATCTTGACTCACCTAGGCTGCTCCCAGGAAGATGTTGCTTGGAGGAGGATTTATCCATCCACTGCAGGAAAGTACAAAACGTATCTCCGGCGCCAACGCTCCGCCCCGGGACGTCTTCCTGGTATGAACGCTCCTCCTCGTGGATCGTGTATTTACGGTCCTCCATATTGCTTTTTGTTTTCTGTGGGCTGCAATGTCGCTGACAAACGTCGACATCATCTGTTCTGCTCGCTTCCTAACGAATGAGTTCACCTGTTGCAACCCTTCCGTCGAAGATCTGTGAGAAGCCAGACACCCATCATTGAGCACAGCTGGGTCTTCTCCTGCTTGTATCTTCTCTGTCTTCTTCTAGAGCACCTTTCAGTGGTCGACAGACAAGAACTCACCATGGCGAGCCAACACTCTGAAACCACTGACCACCTCCGAGCTGTCATTGTCCTTTCCCGCACCAGCTACGCACAAAACCGGGACGAGCAGGAAGCAAACGCCGAGCACAACAAAGGCACATACGAGTTCATCATTCGAAACGTCCATCGCAAACTGACACATCACAAATGTGCTTCTGCCACGTCTGGTGGCCATGCCTCTGACCCCTCCCCAGCAGCCCCACCCACGAGCTCTCCCTCCTCTGGTGCCGAAACGCAGCAGCTTCCAGTACCGCATCCCTGTGTGGCGGCCTCGGAATTCGTAAACGTCAACCTCAGCCACATTCGACTCGAATCCAACATCGAGAACCTCGCCAACCGTGGCCACGAAGAGCTCTTGAACCTCCGCTCCACTCTTGACGCCTACGAAGCCGAACCCAACGCCCCAAAAGCCCACGTCATCCTCGCAATCTACGAAAAGAGAGGCCTCGGCTTCAACATGATGGGCATCAAGGACTTCTTCAGCCGATACAAGCGCCTCACCATCACGCTGGTCGTCTTTGAAGAAGTGCGAGGTCGAATCGACTACACCTTTCGCTGCTATCATATGCACAAACTCCTCCGCTCGACAGATGCGCCACACCTGGACAAGTACTCGGACCTGCTCGAGGATATGTGCCTGCTTGCCTTGGAGAGGAAGAACGATACGGACACGCTGGCGGAGTTGGTGGCGCGGCTTGGTGCCCCTCCTCCCTCGGACCCATGGCAGATTGCACGCGACCAGGAGAGGGAAGATGTCGCTCAGTGGTGGCGTGACTTTCGATACTTGGTGCAGAACGAGCCTCGTAATCAGAGTATCTACAACGAGACTCGCTGGTAGGGCAAGAAGATAAGTCGGTTCAAGACGAGAGGAGACGAGTAGACACGACGGGATTGGACCGAAGAATTGGCTTCGAATTGGCTTTCGATCGGTCTGTCGATCGGGCTGCACAGCCTATGCTGGAGATGCCCTTTAACCCTTTAAGCACCGGTAGTTCAACGCCGAGATGCATAACTTATGCTGGAGATGAACACTGCCTCCTCATGTACCAAAGTACTCAGACACAGAGATAGCAGTCTCATAGCGATGATTGATCACGACGATGACCGTGGGCATAGCGCCATGCAGCCACAAACTTACCATACTGAAACATCCTACTTCTCACATCTTACTTGCCACTTGCTACTTGCTACTTGCTACTTGATAATTGCTACCCCCTACTTTCCACTCCCTACTTGATACTTCCCATCCTATTCCCAGTCCATGTCCCAATCAACGTGTCTGAATTCTGAACCCTCTCCAGTCCCGCCCGGCACTTGATTACCTACTGCAAAGCAATAAGTCCTCCCCATTCCAATGCGTTGTACAGTACGTTATTCCGCATCGTTGCCAACGGCGGCTCCATGAGAAGCATACCTCCACCTTATCGGTCCTTTTGCACGACCTGTTTTTGGTCCGCGACCATATTACGTGACGTTTCTGTTTCGGAATTGAATACTGTGCGTAGGACAGACAGCTAGCTAGGTAGATACTTTATATAGACGCTCACCTACCTGGCGTAGACTAGACTGTGTGTATATCCTATGTATTCCACTACACCTGTATCTGGCTGGTAGGTACCTGATCGCTGTGGAAGTGCGAACCAGGCCGTGATAGTCTTATGTCGTGCGTCTGATGGCTGTGGAAGTTTCAAAGCCTAGCTAGGACAGGACAGGACAGTCCATGGCCTGCTGGTCGTGCTGTATTGATTGCTGTCCGTGTTGTGTCATGATACAAGACTGACAGCGGACATGCAGTGATGCACAGAAGGTCGACAAACAGTGATGCAGTTCACGCTGCCTGCGTTGCAATTGCCTAGGTTTCAACAATCTCCCAGGAACAAGGGTACAAGTAGTCATTCATCCCATTTCATTTTGATCTCACTTCGGTCGGCATCGTTTTCTTCGCTACATAAGCCCAATGTGCCCACGCTTGCTCAAATGCATCCCGTCGAACATATGAAATTCGTGCAAATCTCTTCGCGTTATTGCCACGTCATCAGTGACCATCGACATCAGATCATCAAACATCAGATCATCAGATCATCAATATAACCAATCTAGAACAGATTTATGCATGCGGTTTGCCGCTTTCAACGTCTCCAGCCTGGAGGTGGCGGTGGTCGACCACCCCGGTAGAGGACTTCGCGCTCGATATACCTCTCCTCCTCTCGGTCCCATTCCTGACGCGGCCGCGGGGGTGGCGGGGGCTCGATCGCCAGCGGACGAGGCGCAGGTTCTTCAATGGGAGGCGGGAGTACCCTGTTCTCCCACTCGATCTCCTTGATGCGCTTGCGGCGTTCTTTCCGGATGTCGTCCGACAGGCCTACCAGGCGCGCAATATCCTCCTGTGATTGGTCAATCAGTCACTATCTTCGACGTGGCGAGACACTCAATGTAGACTTACGTAGCGCAAGTAGGCTATGATGTAGTAGAAGTCATCAGTCTCCTCGAACTCGTAACCCATCTCCTGGATGGCTTCTTTGACGACCAGATCCTTGGTCACTTCTGTCCACAGACCGTCTTTGGGGTTACGTTCTCTGCCATACCGGCGCGCTATCTCGCCGTTGGCTGAGGGCAGAGGTGCGGGGTGTGGAAGAGGAACAGGTAGTGGTGCAGGCAGCGGCGCAGGCAGGGGAGTCGGTCGAGGCGGGGCAACGTCGTAGCCATCATCAACCCCGTCAGGGATAAACTTGCTTCTCCTCACTCCATTGTATCTCTGCCAGGTAATCTCCTGACTGGCTCCGCCGACACCGTCCACTCGTACACGGTTGGTGCCAGGAGGTACATCCACTATAGCCCAATCACGAGTGGCTCCATGGTAGCCCTCACCAATGTAGGCTCGATCCATAGCACGGGAGTTGTAGTATTCTGCTTCTTCTTGCACGTCGCGGTCATGTCCACGGTATTGTTCACGACGAGGTAGTGCAGGTTCGTGGTACGGCTCACGTGCTGGCGGAGGATGGTTGTACGGCGTCATACTTCTCGGTGTGATCGGCGCATCTCTTTCTTTCCGGTCGATAACAATGTCCTCGGCCTCGGTGCGGCCGTTGCGGGTCTGCACCCTGCTGATCTCGATCCGCTCCTCCGACCGAGCTCGTTCACGTGGAGGGGGTGGAAGTGGTGCAAGTGGGGGGCTGGGAGGCGACGGCGGTCTCTCGATCACCCGTGGTCGCGTGGGAATTGCTACCTCGAAGCCATGATCGATATGCCGATGATGTGTAATCACTTCTTGGTGGATGGTAGGCGCATTAATGACCGGAGGCTCCGGGGGAGGAAGGGCAACAGGGGGAGCAGTGCGAGCAGACGTCACCGATGTGGCGGGAGACCGAGAGCGAGAACTGCGTCGGATGATGATTTCTTGTTGATTGCGGGTCCCGCCGCGTCCTTCCCGCTCCTCACTACGAATGATGATCTCCTCGTTAGACGCATCACTTGACCGTCGTGCCCTCGATCTGGCTCGCTCGTGCGACTTGGGTCGAGTCAACGGATAGTCATCGTAGCGCCGGGCGTCAGAGTTCTGTTCATCACGGCGGATAATGATCTCTTGCCTATCAACCTCTCCTCGAGCGGGTCTCCGATCGTAGTCACCTCTCCTGGAGATGACATCGTCATCGTCATAGTACCGCGAGCGTCGGTCCTCCTCTTCGTTACGGCGGATGACAATCTCCTCCCGAGAAGAATTGACCGCCCGTGGCGGTGGCGAGCGAACGGCCTCGCGCTCCCGCTCATCGCGCCGGATGACGATCTCCTCTCTTGAGGAGTTGATATCCCTCGGGGCCGGCGATCGGAAATCCCTCTCGCGTTCATCTCGACGGACGATGATTTCCTCACGCTCAACGTCTCTTTCTCGGAATCGAGGAGGTGGCCTTGACCGTTCCCTTTCGTCTCGACGGATGATGATTTCTTCACGATCCACGTCGCGCTCCCGCTCTCTTATCCGCGGAGGAGGCGCCCGGACCTCAGACTCGTCCCGCCTGATTATAATTTCTTCCTTTTCGACCTTCCTCTCGGGTTCGGGCGAAGGCGACCGTCGGCGGGGTCGAGCAGCGAACTCGAAATCTTCTTGTTCTCGCTTGCGTAGAACTATCGGGCCTGCCGAGGTACGGCCATAGCCCTCTTCGAGGAATGCAGGGGTACGTCCAGGACGCTCACGGATCTCCTCACGCACCGTTGTCTCTCGCTCTCGGACAGCGGCAGGTGCAGGGGTGGAGCGGCGGTAGTCTACCTCCTGCTCGGTGTACCGGTCATCGTAATAGCGACGTCCGTTTCGGGAGGCATAACTTTCCCGTCTGTCTTCGTAGCGGTCGACCGAGACGTCGTCGGCATATCGACGTCCTGCCATCTCACAGCTCGGTCAGCTTGTCAACTCGAGGTCGAGAGACGAGTAGTTTGGATCAAGTGATGTGGCTCGCTACGTTGGCAGTTTGGTTCGGCGGGGTGCTTGCGGGAGCTTATTGGAAAGCAAGGATTTGGAGAAATTTATACAGTATATGGCTGCAAAAGCTGTGTGGCCACCAGGCTAAATGAAGAAAAGAACAGAAAGGCCGTTACAGCAGAAGAAACAGTGGTTGAGCGAGGGCAGATTGGATTGTTACGCCAGGTGAGGTGAGAGAAGCCCAGCTGGGAACCGGCTTCTAGTTTAGGTGGGCTGCACATCGCCGACTGGGGGGCACGTGCAGGCTTTTTTGCCAGCAAAGCCTCTCGTGAGCAACGACCAAGTCATCTGTGCATGATTTGTTGGTTACGTCACCGCAGCCCAATGGGTGGGGAGTGCCTTTGACAACACGGTTAATTAATGCAAAGCACTCCCAGAACAATGCTACAGGCTCGTTCTGTTATCAACAGCTGACTGCAACTGGTGGCATCCAGGTCGGCCGAGTCTCGCCTTCTGGAATATTCGCTTCACTCGGCAACTGACTGGTCTAACAGATGGCCTTCATGTTCGACTCTCGAGCCGGGCAACAAGGGTCAGGCACAGAGATGCTTGCCGACGGGTTGGCCCGAAACTCAGTGACTCAAAATCCCAGCCTGAAAGCAGGTCGAAGCCCAAGCCAAAGCAGATCCTCACAGCCTTGCCACCAGGGACCTTGGGCATCAATCAACCATAGCTCACATTCTTTTGCTCCATCACGGAAAAGGCCACTTGGGCGAGCAAAAGTCCACACTTTTGTCTTCAGCTCATCTATATAGACACTTTGTGCAGTTTCTCGAGACCGCAAAAGGCCACCGAACAACCGAGTTAAATGCTGTACAAGTCCCCTCGGCCATTTTCAGTACCAATCCCTGTACAACGTGCACAGGTGGACGCACAAGGCTGATGCCCCAGAATTCGCCGTGGTCTGCTCCATGTCCCCACCGTTGTATGTCGAACGCCGGACCCTATTTCATACAAAATCCCCTTTCGTGCGTGTCCTGTTGCCATACGCCCTCTTTCGCTATGTTAAATGTACATCGCCTCGTGAACGCCTCCAATGCTGATCAACATGCTTGGGTCAATTGTTGCAAGTCGTCGGAAACTGACACCTCGTCTCGTCGTAAAGATCATTGCTTCTGTGCAAAATCATCGTCTTTTGTGGGTCCGATAATAGCCCTACGAGACTAATGCTCGTGGCGAGGCTTTACTCCGCCGCCCCGGGGTATGTTGTGCTTTTGGGTCTTCTTTACCAAAGCCGTATGCCACGGGTCTCAGGCCCTTGCAACCGGATGTCTATTAGCCGGCTCTAGACCGGTTGTGCAGTCGGATTAATCTGGGTTGGCCACCTAGCACATAGTGAGTCGTCAACCTCCGAACACTCGCTGGACCGGACTTACGCGAAGTTGCCTCGAATAGTCCTGGTTGTCTTGGAGGGACACGTTGCTAACGCGACCCTGCTCACTCATGTACAAAGCATACGGATTCAGTCTTTGATCCGTGCCCAAACTCCGGCGATCGGACGCGGTGGCCGACGGAATGACTGGATCAGCACTCCGTAAGTCACCGCCTAAGATCCCCATGGACGTATTGATCCGCGGAACTTTAGAACCAAGTAATCCAGCCGTCGACATTTGACTGACTTGCCGAGACGGGACAATGTTGGGAGGGGAGCTGTCTCCAGTTCGAGGGACGAAAGCCGCTTCTGGTTGGGCTTGCTCCTGCACTCTATTATGCCGCCGACGGAACCAAAGGTAAACCGCAATTCCAATCAAGATGCCGATGCCGAGTGCAACGCCCAGCACGATCCCGACGACTTTGCCAGTGCTGACGCCGCCGCCTTCACCGGTAGAGCTTTGCCCTAAGGTGGCGTCCGTTGAAGCCTTGGGAGATGGTGTCACGACCACGGTACGGACTTCGCCTGTCACCGTGGTTACACTCGTGTATACCTCCGTGGGGGCGGGAGTAGACGACGAAGGCGGGAGAATTGTCGGGGAGGGCGGAGGTATTGAAGTTGGCTAGATTTTAATCTCGTCAGTCAAGAACATTGGAAGTAGGTTAAGGTAGGTAGGAGGATCGGGGATGTAGGTTTTAGGTTGGGTTCTCATACAAGGGAGCTTGTTGAGGTCGACGAAGTGTCCGTTGACCAAGTCACAATGCTAGCCTCGGAAGAGCTCTGAGAGGGTCCAGGTGTTACCACTGAAGAAGAAGGAGACACTGGCCAGGTAGAGGAGGAACGAGAGGATGTGGCTGACCCAGTATCCAATAGGAAGGAGGATGCGAAGGTGGAGGTTTCAATACTAACCGGTGGGGATGTAGATTGAGACGGTGTTGAGGATGTTGATGATGCTGTACTTGAACCAGAACCCGAGGTTCCCAAAGGGACTCCGGCGCTCAACAGGTAATATCCATAGAGGCCATCACTGGTGGATCCACACCATTCAGAGCCGAAGCCGGGACACACTTGGTTGCAGTTGTATGTGCTCTCCTGCTGTGTGGGAATGTAGTTAGAGCACCAGCAATAGTAGCCTTGGAGGACCGCGAATGCGTAAGAGCCTTGACAGTGGGTCTGACATAACCCATTTGACTGAAATTCGCTATAAACTAAAGCCAACCGTCAGTAGTTGGATCGACTCAACAATGGGAGGAATACTTACAGCTGGGATAGCTGCCTGCGTTGTTCTCCGAGGAGCAATAAGAAATGTCGAGCCCATGACCCTGCGACAACCACAGAGAGAACACGGCCGTGTAAAGAAACCGGGCCGTCCAAGACGAGCCCGGGAACATGGAGACAACCATTGAGAGGGAGAAAGCTGTTCCACCTATTGCTGCATTGCAGTGCTCTTGGTGTATGCACGAGTGAGAGCCCTCCAATGTTACCACCTTATTGATCGTGCCAAGGTGTTGAGCCGCCGGATTATCGCATCGAACGTGAGCGGGATAGGTCTGTTCAGAGGGAGGTCGCCGTCAAGTGATTGGGCTCGAAACCACCTTTGAGCGGCCGTCGAGAGGTAGCAATGCCGACCCAATATCCGCGCTCGAGCTCTTCCTTCTTCAGTAGGAATATGCCTTACGACGCGCCGAGGGACAGCTGTTGTATGTCGAGATGGATGCAAGCGCGGTCGAAATTGCGCGTCTCGACATGAGACTTCTTCGTGGCAGCGGGAAACTGGGCTTTCGTCTGAGATGTGATGTGACCCAGGAGCCTGATAGCGGACTGTCTACTCCTCCATATGAGAATTATGCCTTACAGGCGGCAGATGCTGAAAACGGGACGCTTTTGCCAAACAGTAAGTCTAAGTAAAGCAAGGCTTGAAGGAGAGTGGAGGTGGCGTGGCAGAGATTGGCAGCAGGCCCAACGTTGAGGGTGCGAGGTTGCAGGTGCGGCAGGAGCTCGCGAATTCAGCCACCAAGCGAGAGATGGGAAAGCGGAGAGCAAGGTTGCAAAAAGACTCGCAGGACGCAGGTTTACAGGGACAGGAGGAGCGGGAGACTGACCGAAAGTGAGTGATAGACGAATGTCTTATTTCCGGGGTGGATCCTTCAATGGCCTTTTTTGGAAGGACAGGACAATCAAGAAAAGCAACAATCTTTGGAGAAGCTCCCATCGGCTGCTGGTTTCTTCGAGTGAGCGAAGATGACCGAGACAAAATCAAGAACAGTGAATGAGGCAGTCGTGCTGCTCGGGTGAAAGGCCGCTGGCAACAAGCTACAGACGAAAAGAAAAGATGAAAGATCGAGGCAATGAGGTGAAAGGGAGCTGTGCGTGAATTCAGGGCGGAGCCTGTGGACACCAAATGGATGACGCTGATTGATGAGGCGGACGAAAGTCAAGAAAACTCACTGACGACGACGATTCCTTCGAAATGCAGCCGCCCCGGTTGCGCCGAGGCCATGCCCTGGTGAGAATGTCGTTCTCTTGGACCATGAAATTTACAGGGATTTTCGTGGTACAGTACATACATCTATAGCAGATCTCCAACTGCCTCACCCTCCCAGCGCGCCCGAATAACTGTGTACCACTCCGCAATCCAGAGCACCAGACACGGAGCTCCCTCATGCATGTGGCATCGCTGGATCGAAATAACCGCGCAAGTCCGTGTGCCTGTCCTGATTTCAAGAAAGCTTCATAGACAAATCACAGTGCACTTACAACTCCGACCTCCGGGTCCTTGATTGGGCTTTATTCCGACGTACCCCACTGCCACCTGTCTAATACTCATCACTGGTATAGGACGTGCACCAACGGACTTCACTCCCGTGAGAAATCTACAAGGACCCTGAGAGTCTGCCTGAGTGGTCAATGCCCGAACATATGAGTAGACCCCTTGGTTGCTCGCCTTCACTGCAAGGCTAGTCAATCTCACCTCATACATAGCTCCTCCCTTGTGTGGCAGCTCGCTGTTTCTTTACGGTCACCTTACCCACGGTTCCTGCCGCGTAAAGCTCGAGGGTGACCTCTACATACACTGTAGTACGACTCGGTACTGTGGGACAACATTAGCCTTCGAGCTCGATGGCTACCCTGGTTCGCCTCCGGGCCAGTGTCCTTGCATCTTGTGTTGCTGATTCCCACCGTTTGGGAAGTCGCTTCACACAGCACATATGCGCATGGAGCTGAATCACCGACAGACGAATCATGAAGTCGATTCGTACCTAGGTATCTACTGACTATGGCAGACGAAGCAGAGCCTGGTTTGGTGATCAGCTTTTGCTCCGACCTTGATTGGACGGGATTTGCCTTTACAGTAGCTGCCGCAACCGCATCATGCATTATTCTTTTCTGATTGTGGCGCCTGCATTGTTCGCGCCTGGTTTGAGAGCTCTGCAGATGTGATTTCTCATTGCAGGATATGCCCCAATATGCCCGGTGGCTTTGGATTTCACCGCCACGCGTACGATTCAATTGTGTTACAGGACTTGCAATTGACCCTAGTGGTTTGGTTCGAGAGGATTGATTCTGGTTCACCGTCTATTCAGACCCTACGTGCCTGACACTTCCGGACAGGCTTCCGACAGCACAAGCTCTCAAAGTTTTGTCGCAAGGTTGTGGCAAAAAACAGCAAACTCGTCTTGTGGCCGGCGCAAGCTATGCCCGTGGTGTGCTTCGCTATCTCTGCAGAGTACAGGATCAGGAAGCTCTACCACTGGCCATGTCTCATCTCATACCGCCGGGCGGCGGTACGCGTGTCGAATTGGAAGGACGTGGGCAACCTTGTGCGCATCCCTCGAAGTGCGGGGGTGGGGACCTTTTCAGGCTCTCGCCAGTGAGATGCGCTCCTGTTACTGCTCTTTGAGTACTCGAGGTTTTGCATTTGGTTCCAACCTTCAATTGCATTCGATGGGTAGGTAATGAACATCTGTGAGCCAGCAATGTTAAGACACAACCATTGTTCGCATAGCGCTGGCTATCCTGGATGGTCATGGGCTACTGTGCAACTCGGTGTTGCCGTCCGGACAACAATTACCGGATGGTGCATTATGACATGCATACCGCTCACATTTGACATTCAGGGCTGGTCAACTGAAGCTTGGATGAAGATCAATTGCTTCCACGACGGTCTAGACTCGAAGTCCCGCTGTGCAGCTACAGATATCAAACTCTGGAATTCCAGCCTCGCTATTTCTTGATAGGTGTTGGCTTCCACGAGTCTGATAAAAGGCTCCCAGATCTGGAAACGTTGCCTCTGCTATCACCATCCTCACATCATTCGGTCCGACCGCGGCAAGCTACTGCATGCCGGCCCACGGTGGAAGTGTCAAGCAAGTGACAGCCGAAAGCGATGCTCTACCAGGTTAGCATCACACCAAGCCCACTTTTGTTTTGGGTGGTCCAATGTGAAGGGGGAGTGAGTGTCCTCGGCAAAGAGAAAAATTACCACCGTCTCCCCGCTTATCGCTGCTCCATGCCGTCCGTCCGATCACGATGCATGGTACCTCGCCGATAAGGCTTATCTGAATCCGTCAAGGGGTGCACCGTACGGCGTAGTATTGCCAGAACTCCGACAATGTTGTCATTTCAACAGTGATATTTGAAGCTGTCTCACGCGCCGACGTTAGCGAAGAGACTATGTTTCGTGTCCAAGCCATGTTTAATTTGAGAAGACGACTTCGTGGCGATCAAGCGGCAGAGCGCTCGCTTGATCGACAGCCAGATGCGTCATTTTGTTTCAGGGTTCCACCACTTCTGCCCGAGGCTGCCGCTCAGCCTTTCGAGTTGAATTGCACGTTCCACATCTCATCTCTTTATTTTCCGAAGCTCGTTAATCTTTGAAGATCGATGTCCATGAGCGCTATGACCCTAGCAGGATACCAAAAAAGCAGTGATTTTCCAGGGCGCTTCCTCTCAACCTGAACGTGGAAAGGCCAACGGGCGCTTACTGCAACTATGATTTTCTTCCCTACTGATCACCCCCCGACGTCAACACCACTTCGCGCAGGAGGTAAGGGATCAGGAATGGCTTGCATGCCATGAACCTCGAACTCAGTCCGCACAAAACAATTGTGTGACGCGCATAATGTCATCGCAAGATGACCATTCTTGCACTAGCTAATTGACCACTGTGCGTCTTCATTTTCTGGAAAGCGGTACGTTTGTTGCAGTCAGCTAGATTCACAAGTACTACCGATTCGCCTTCGTATGCCAACAGGCTATCTGATAATAACACAGTCGGATTTCGCATGCAGTGGTTAGGCTCAAATGTTAAGGGTAACCATGGGCTCGGGCACTGCTCGATTTCTGGAGTCCTCGACGACGAAGCGCCAAGGGGGCTCAAGATCTGGAGTTGAATCGTGGTATACATTTCTAGCACTCAGGGGACTGGCGCCAACTCTGTGCAATAGCCTCGCGGTCTCGGTGCCATCGTCCTGTGGGCAAGTGCCTCGAGGAGGGGTGTTCCTGTACCTCGTACTGCGAACAGTAGCTACCTAGGTATGTTGGCCATACTGAGCAAGTTGGACATTAGACAGGATATGGGACCTCCTTCCCGATGTCGTAAACCGCTGCACTATGTTATCTTTCGATCCTGCTCCCACAGACCTATATGTAGATAAGTCGGCCGTTCTCAGGAACTGTACTCTATCCGCAGTACCCATCTAGGAGTCGTCTGTGGGCACCAATTCGGCCTCACGGGAGCCCGAGCATGTGCAATGTTTGTCCCGCTCTAGGAGAGTCCCGTGAGCCTTGCTCTCCGTTTCCATCCGAATCTTCTTGCGCCTCGGTCTACTGAGTAGGAAGGGCAATGGTTTGATGTTGGGCAGCCACGGCATTTTGTCGGCGTTCATAAGCTGCTGAATCGCGTTTGGTTTGCAGGCTCTGGCCGTCCCACGGGGCATCTACACAGTAGGCGCGTGGTGCACCATCCGTCCCGTGAGTTAGCTAAGCCTGACTGCCACCAGCTGCCGTCACCACCGTGGGCGCACGCCCAGACCTTACTCGTACGAGTACTGTGTATGCCAGAAACTGCGAGCCCCGGTGGGAGGCCGGCGGAGAACAGAGCCACAGCCACGCCCACACCAAACGGCTTGAGTTACTCACATCGTCTTAGGTCATCTCTCTGGGGTAAAGGCTCCGCTAAGCTGACGGGCTTTCTTTACCTCGGCTAAAGAACCACCCACGCCACCCCAGACCTAGCCCAACCCAGTGCTGCGAGCTGTCGCGTTCCCAAATCCCATGGAGCTCGTCCGACCGAGCACCGTACCTGCCGTTGGTCTCTGTCTTTGTTGATCATACTGCGGTCTGGGTCCGGAGGGTTTTTCTGACACTAAGGAAGACTTCTTACGCGGCGGCCATCTTCCCTCGTGATTTCGATTCTTCCACTGCGTCGGTCTACAATCGCAAACATGGTGTTCAAGCCTATGAGCTGGGTACCCCAGCTTCCCGAAGTCCCAGATACCGTCCCGATATGCGAATTTATGCTGGATGAGAAACACGGGCGGCTGCCTTTCGCTGAGTCCAAGGCCGCCTACACCTGCGGTCTGACAGGGAAGTCCATCTCGGCGTCACAGCAGAAAAAAGATGTGGACAGCCTATCTCGCGCATTGGCGAAGGAATTTGGCTGGAAGGTCAATGCCGGCACGGAATATGACAAGGTGGCCGGTGTATTTGCGCTAAACACAGTATGCGAAACCCCGGGTTTGACAGGTTTCACACGCACACACATCTGACAGCTGGGTAGATCGATATCATGACCTTGAATTGGGCGATCCACAGACTCAACGGCATATCGTCTCCCGCGAACGCAGCCTACAACGCCGACGAGCTACGGCATCAATTGACCAATTCTGGCGCCCAAGTCCTCTTTACCGTCATGCCTTTGCTGCAAACCGCCCTAGCCGCTGCGGCCAAATCAAACATTCCAAAGCACAGAGTCTACATCTGCGAGATGCCGAACGATCCTCCTATCCCCAAGGAATTCAAGACCCTGACACAGTTGATCAAAGAAGGCGAGTCCTTGCCCGACCTCGAACCAATAAAATGGGAGAAGGGCCAAGGCGCAAGGCAAACCGCTTTTCTGTGCTACTCGAGCGGCACTTCTGGACTACCGGTAAGCTTCCGTCGCACAAGTCACGGCTAAAGCAGTCCTGACAAGAATACAATAGAAAGGAGTCATGATTTCCCACCGAAACGTCATCGCCAACACGCTCCAGATCTCTCTGTACGACAAGCCGTCACGCGAGGCACATGGGCCAGGGTATCGCGAGGTTGCGCTTGGTCTGCTGCCTCAGTCGCATATCTACGCCTTGATTGTGATTTGCCATGCCTCGACGTACCAGGGGGATCAAGTCGTCATCCTGCCTAGATTCGATCTGAACAACTACCTATCGGCCATTCAGAACTACAAGATCAACACCCTGTACATCGTGCCCCCGATCATCATCGCCATGGTCAAGAACAGGGATTTGACCAAGAAATTCGACCTTTCCAGTGTAACGTCCATCTTCACCGGCGCGGCTCCACTAGGCAAGGAAACGGCCGAGGAGCTGGCATCCCAGTTTCCATCCTGGAAGATTCGACAGGGATACGGCCTGACCGAGACGTGTACTGTTGTGTGCTCATCATCTCCCAGGGATATCTGGTTCGGTTCCTCGGGCTGCCTGATCCCCGGGTACGAGGCGAAAGTGATGAGCATCGAGGGCAATGAAATCACCGGCTACAACCAACCCGGTGAATTGCTTGTCAAGTCGCCCAGTGTTGTGCTAGGGTATCTGAAGAACGAGAAGGCCACGCAGGAGACTTTCGTGGATATGGCCGAGGGGCGGTTCATGCGGACTGGTGATGAGGTCGAGTTCCGCGTGTCTCCGAATGGCAATGAGCACATCTGGGTTGTGGATCGCATAAAGGAATTGATCAAAGTCAAGGTAAGTGCATTGCTCCAACACATTTTGCGCAGACGAATCTAACACCACCCAGGGACTGCAAGTTGCGCCTGCCGAGCTCGAGGCGTGTCTGCTCAATCACCCCTCCGTGGCTGATTGCGCCGTGGTCCCCGTCCAGGACGACCGTGCGGGCGAAGTCCCCAAGGCGTTTGTTGTCAAGTCGAAATCCGTAGGTCTGGAGGAGAACGACGCCCTGATCAAGCGGGATATCATGAAATATGTCGAGAAGGAGAAGGCACGGCACAAATGGCTCGCTGGTGGCGTCGAATTCATTGATATTATCCCCAAGAGTCCCAGTGGGAAGATTCTGCGACGGCTGCTGAGGGACAAGGAAAGGGAGGCAAGAAGGAAGGCATCAGCTAAGCTATGATTTACATGGTGGTTGCGCTGGTCTTTTGAAGTGGATACCAGGAGTACATACCGGTTGCATCAAGACTGTATAAATTGCTTGACAGGACTATTTTGAAGGTAATCTGATCAGGCTGCACATATCTCATGTCATATACGCGGCTTCTCGCAAGCTCTGTCCGTGAGCCGGACTGTACTTGTGTGTATGCCAGGATGTCGTGAGAACTAAACGAGATGGTCTGGTTCGCTCCCTCTACCTTGCGTTGGCGATGATGAAGAGGATCTCGCCATGTCAGAGTCGCCCGAACTTGCTTGAATAAACCCTGGAAGACCAAACATTGTAGACCTGGATAATTACTCGCCACAGACGCAATCAACGTTCTGTACCCTGGATAAGTCCGTCCTTTCCACGTGCCTTAGGTATTCGTGCATCTCACCACTTGCGCATCCAGCTCTCGCCCAACCCCACTACTGTGTGCACCACAATAAAAAAACTCGTCCCGCTCCCTTGACTCCCACGCGGTCCAAAGAATTCGTATACAGAGCCAAAAAGAAAACTTTTAGGCAAATGCATCAGCCGTGAATCGAACACGGGGCCCATCGATGGCAACGATGGATTTTACCACTAAACCACTGATGCTGCGATGCTGATATTTGGATAAATTTCCGTTATCAAATCTATTATCATAATTTTCGGTGCCCCACTACCTCGCACTGGGGAAGCACCCAGGAGGGTTCGGGTGCGCCGAATCACCCGTGACAGATCTTCGGAGAGAAACACCACTTGATCGCGGTAATCGTCACTCTGTATCGAAGCACGTATCGAAACGTTGCTTCCAACCGCCAACTCAATCCTTGATCTGGATACGAACGTCTGCCTTGAGGCTGTTCAACCAAGACTTTACCTCTTTGATCACTCTGAACTCTCCGCCACAGTAGTGCGAAGATCTGCCTCTGGTACACTGACCTGTGCAAACTTGAGTCAGGCATCGAGCACCTCCACGGCAGGCAGCGTGCGGTCTTCGCCGCCATACAGGGCTGGGAGCGATAAGTCACAAATGGCGCGCAGTCGAACGCGCATGTCGTGCAGCATTCCAGGCTTTCCATGGGCTGGTGGACACCACAGACGACGAACCATTTGACGTGCCGCTCGGCGGACGCTTCGGATCTCCAGGCGTTCGTTTGGCATGCACGTTGAGTGGGACCAAGCGGTGTGCTGAAGCAGGGCCTTCGATCTTCTACCCATCCGGCGAGGGTGGCCTTTCTCTTGAAAGGGATCATGGTGGTAACAAGACTGGGTGATGGACTGAGTGTCAAAAGGGACCGAAATGAGGAGATGCATCTCAACCCTAGCTTGAAGAACTGTTGGAATGCTGCTACAGCAGTATCTCGGTCCAATACATCAAAATTATCTTCCGTCTTTATATTCTGAAGTTTCTCGTTCTTGCGGTCTTAGCGAGCTCGCTTTTTGTCAACTGGAGTAGCTTTGCTGAGGCATATGCTTACCCCTGGGGACATACACACAAGTTAGCAACCTGTCCGAGCCCGACCGTATGATACGCGTAGTCTAGGCCCAGATGGGCGCTAGAAATTGCTGGCTATCGAAAGAACCCTCTCGATTTCTCGGTGGATGACATGAACCTGATGGCTCTGCGGGTCCTCCCCCTAGCACGGAGGAAGCGGCCGAGGGTAGTGACGGCTGAGATGTCGTTGCTGTTGACGAGACAGTAGGAGAGAAAGACAGACAACTCGAAGACCGCGTTGTTACCGCCATTGTGCAATGAGGTGAACGGGAGGCCCAAGGCGGAAATGGCATCCTCTAATGTAGCCTTCTATTTACGGAGGGTCCGAACGAACGCGACCATGCTCGTAATGTACAAGGCCACCCACACCATGGTTAGAAAGTATCGAGGAATAGCGCGCTCTGCTCGGCAGCCTAGGTGTGGACCGGAGAACAAGCTACGCTCTACTACGAGCTCATCGTGATACGACCTGACTAGCGGCTATATACTTCGCACTGATGGCGGTTCTCCAATACAGTCGACCCGTCTGATACCTCTGCTCTCTCATGACTGCTCAAGACCGTCTGGACTGCTCTCCTATGGCTAATCCGACGCGTCATCTGCTAGGAGGAGCCCTCACCTTCAGTGTACCAGGAATTCGAAAAGCCGTAATCATACTGTTACCACGCTCACCAGCTGGCTCGTTGTCTTGTTTGTTGCTCCGCAGACAGACGCCCTGAATTGTATGTCGGGACAGTTGCGACGAGTAGGTTTCGGCAACCTGGAAACCTAACGTAGGCACTCGGCGTGGCGCATCTCCCGGCAATCTGGCGACACTCAACCCGACCTCGAGCCCCATCGAATGCTCAATCTCGTCCACGGTTCACCTCCACGGTTCACCTCCACGTCGACGGCAAGCAGGGGCCACACCATTCCTTGATCTCGGGACAAGCAACAAGGCTAGTGAACTGGAGCGAGGCGTCATGGCCAGACGGGTATGCCTCTCGTGTGGCGGCTGGCAGGGCCTCTCAAACCAAACCACACACTACATCTTGAAGCAACAGCGCAAAGGTCTTGAGTAGAGTGTCTGTATTGCATACGTTGCTTGTCTGTCCTGTTGGTTGTCTATGTACTATCCGTAAAGTAAGCAAAAAAGGAAAAGAAGCGCAGCCTTGCGCTAAAGTGCCAGCCAATCAGAACGCTCGGTTACTAGGCTGGACATTGTCCAGAGAAGTGGCAGCCTTGCCAACCCCTGACCTCTCTCTCAGCCCCATCACACTAGGCGTGGTCGGGCGTCTTGATCGAACCATGTGACTATGCCATGAGATACCGATTAACCATAAGAGAACGTTTAACCGCCCGTTTTTACCCATTAGGAAGAAGGAGACATGGCAGTGAGGCGATAGAGTGCAGATCCGTCTCTCCCGGCATGGTCGGGAGTGATACCGGCCTTATATATAGACGTCTAGAGCCTCGCTAAGAACGAACAGAAAGTGAGGAATTTCGACAGGAAGGGGTAGGGTAATAACATCCGCAGGGCAGATACTGAACGTCCCCGCCACGGGCAGTGTTGGCAGGAGGGCTCATTCCACAAGCTTCTTCGAGGAGAACGAACGAGCACGGCGATGCAAAGGGGTGTCCAGTTCCACACCACAACGCCCAGAACAGAGATGCCGGAACGCCGCCCTTACTCTAGACAAGTTCAGAGCCTCGCTCGCACATGAGGAATTGCAGGACTATCTGCAGCCAGACCACCTCGATGGAGGGATGGCCGGCACTTGCTAAGCCCAGGCTATGACTGGAGTGCTGGTCACAAGTGCAGTGTCTTGGTACTGACGCAACACTTGTCTCTCAGCAAGGAGAGCCGCGTGCATGGACAGGGAGCCGCACACGAGGCGCCAGACAGTGCTTCGTTCTGCGTTATCGTGTTGGACTAGGCCCTGATAGGGTCTTCGCCAAGGTAGGGGCCGACAGCGTGTTGTTGATGCTCTCGACCCCTCCTGCGGCGGAGTCACCATCTCAACTTCGGATATGAATATATATATCCAGGCCGACACGATCTGAAGAGAAGCACCCGGCGACCTGGTCGTTGGGCTAGCGGCTAGGTGGATGCCGCGATCCCAAGGCGTAGGCTGGATTGACTTTGCGTTTGGCATGGTCTCATAAGGACTGGGCCGGTCTGATTATCTCCAGAGTACTTGCCTGATGGGTACCGATGGCAAGCAGACCAAGCGTGCGAACGTAGCAGGACCCCTCTTGTTCACGGAAAGATCCAGCCAGGATCAACGAAAGAGTATATAAGCTCCCGCCGCCAGCGGACGGCCCCTGCCCAGGAGAGAAGTCCATTCCAGGTGGCTTCATTGACGTCTACCATTTGTGTACATCGCCCAGTATTTCCATCCGCAGAAGAAGAACTGACCAGTATTTGAAACATTCGAGACAGACGACCCTGCCCGCTAGTGGCCGGGAAAAGCTTGCGTTGCTCTTTGATGGCAACTGGGTTTGACGTCGCCCTTGCGGATGAATCCGATAAACGCTCTGTGCTGTGCCAAACGAATACCCTTGTCGCGAAACAGACCGAACATCACTCTCAGTTGCTTTGAGTGTTCTTCGAGCGTCTTAGAGAAGATGAGCATGTCAGCGATATATGCTTTGGCTTTCCGCGGCGGTCCCACAAAAAGTCACTCATCTGGCGTCGAACGTGCTTTGTCGGGATTCTTGTAGCTCCTCACTGCTGTATCAAACCTCTCCAATATTCCCGCTATCGCGACGAGAGAGACGAGTGATCCCGTTGTTGACATAGCGCGCATGCCAAGCGGTCCTCCATCACCGGTAAACTGGGCGTCCTTCTTCTAGGCCGCAGATTTCCAATCTCTCAACACTGGCCCCGCGGCAACAGGCAGCCAGCTAGCAGGGAACCATGGCACCATTCCGGTGGGGGACGGCTGCAGCGCACCTTCAATGGAAGGAGAAGGCTCTCCCCATGAAATCTTTGCTGACCAGTTGCTCAAGAAGGATACTCTCCAGGGTCGTCATCTTGACGTTGTCAAGTATCAACGTCCTGGTGTATCGGTGAAAGAGGCTATGGTCTCCATTGTCGATGTACTCGTCGCAGACCTTCCACTTCTTCATGTACTCCACTCTCTGCTCCTCCATGTGACCTTTTCTTCTTCTTCCGCGCGCAAGCTGCTGTGGCAGAGAGTTTTGGAGGTGTATCAGCCACTTACCAGACCCTTCTCTGCCAGGCCATGCTCGATCGTGCCGTGATGGGGAACCGGACCCATACCCATACCGTGATGCAGATCTAGCGCATCCAGATCAGGAGGACTAAGGATTATTAAATTCCCCGAGATTCCCTATTCCACAGTTGGAATGATCGCATTGTGCAGCCTTCGTGAACCAAAGGAGGAGTATAACACGCGGTGTAAAATGCCCAGAACGCGGAGCATCAACCGCTCTGCCCGTGCCTATCCCTATCCCTTGGAGAAAGCTGACACCCAATGCGTTTGTCCGGTTCAGTAACTCGCCCCTTTAGTTCGATACGATTGAGTTCACCATGAGAGTCTCCAGCTGGGATGGAGGGTGGTGTGATCCAGGGAGAAGTCTCTCAGAGTTGGCCATTTCGGAAGAGTCAGACGTGCTCTGTCCGAAGCCGACTTTGTGGCTAGAAGGGCCACAACGCTCCACTGAGACCGTCGGTCGCTAGCTCTACTACGTCCACCACGTCGTCAGCATAATGAGGAAGACAAGCTGTACGGGAGGCAGTTCTGTAAGGAAACGCCAGCATGTGACATTTCGCTTTCAGGTCCAACAGAAGAACCCCCGCCGACGGTGACATAGTCCTGATCATGGTCAAGGACCCGCCGCACCGGCGGTTCGCGAACGTGTTCATGACTATAATGACGTCCATCAACATGGACATGTCCATGATGTACCACTGAGGTGTGTTCCGGTCGCTGCATCTCATCTTCCGTAGTATATATCGTCCGTATAGTCGTGGCGATCTTATCTGGCGTTGACCAAAGGTGAGGGGATGTGTTGTCAGCACGGACTGACTGGTGGTTGGCCTCACTGGGAGTGCGGACAGTAGCATCAGCCAACCGCCGGTACGATAGTCTCGACCCACAAGCCCAGCATAATCCGTCGAACCATTCCCTCTGTAAGATGGTGGTAAGCTTGTCGCGCTTATCGCCTTTAGGTCCGTCTTTTCCACTCTTCGCCGCCTCGGCCAACAGTCGCTTGTCTAAGCGGTTCGCGAATTTCTCTCGGCCCAGTCTGCTCTCGCACAATGCTCGCTCAAGCGGTGCATTGCCATACAACAGTTGAAAGACATTGGCGGACTTCCAATTGCAGTTACCCCTGGGTACGTTTGGTGTGCCAGGAGTACTCGGCATCTTTCTTCCTCGCTGACTAGAGGCTTGCTGAATATCTTCATACGCCCAGCGTTCACCAGTTCCAGGACGTAGTCACAAATAAGGGTGCAAGCTTCTTCTCTCTCGACCGAGTATGCTTATTGGTGAGAACCTGCTCGAATGTATTCATGAGGGTACCGCAAGGCAGATTGCGGCTGCCGAGAGTCCAACAGTAAAGTTTCGCTCGAATGCAGGATCCATTTGCGCGTTTATAGCATCCGTCCGGTCATTTGCCCAAGTCCGGGCTCACCATGCCCGACAGAGGAAACATTCCTGAACGGGGAACGGGATGTGCCTAACACAACACATAGTCTCCCAGCGTCGGGCGTCTGTCCAGGCCTTGCAAACCTCGAAGGCAGCCACCACTCGATGTTGTCTTCTTGCAGACGTACTGCAGCCCGACAGCGGAAGGTAGCTGCTGCGGTCTGACCCGAAAAACCAAAGCCATGAAGCAGCCGTACTAAAGTATGGACTGGTAGGTCCGAGGCGAACAAGCATTCGGTGCATTCAGAGACAATTTCCAGGAAGCGCGAAAGATAAACACACCGTCGGCTGTAGATGGCTGTAGTAGGTCGTTTCGATCAACTGATCAGCTAAGTCTCGTAACCAATCACTTAGCCATCGGCCGAAATCTTTTGATTCCTTCACTTGCGATTTTTTGGAGAGCGTGACCACCAGGATCAGCAGGACCAGAAGGACCAGAAGGACCAGGGGTCCGAGACAAGGTGGAGTCATGAGCCTTGTGTTTAGCGGCAGAAGAAGGGAGCGTGCCAGTGGTTGTTGATAGGGCAAAGGATACGAGGATGGGCTTTCAAAGGCAGAGTCGGGGCGTGGCCAACTCTGGGAAGCAGCTGGCGTCGCCATGCCGAAACCTGTAACGACAGCCCAAGGGACAGGGACATGGAACATCGGATATGCGGACAGGTGTTCTGCTCGAATGTTCCTCAAACAGCTGGATCCCCGTGGACCGAGAGCCAGCGCACGGCGTGATCTCAATGCTGGGTTTTGGAGTGCGAATAAGTCTCGTGTGTCGAGTGATGTGATGCGATGCTAATCCGGAGATGTGTGGTGGGTGTTGTGGAGTTCCACTGTTCCACAGCCCAGTTCTTCGTCGATACAGACAAAGATCGGGACTCTGTAAGACGTGGTAAGAAAGAGGAGGAACGGGGAGAGACCATGAGCGACTCGAATCCGAACGACGACGCGTAACGACCGTCTGCGACGTGATAGCCCAGGTAAGAGAGTGAGTTGCTGTAGGCGGACTGCACCCCACCACCAGGAGGGTCGAAATGTGTGTTGGGACCTGATGCATCCTCCTGACAGTCAAGATCCTCTGCTTAAAGTCGACCATGTCTGGGTGTCAGCGAATATCTATTAGTACGAACAGTGGGGATAGGTGTACGCAAGACCCGCAGTTCACCGTCCGTGGTTACCGTCTTGCGCTTCCCGACTTCAACGTAGAGTTTAGGTTGGGAAGGATGCCGTCCATGAAGCCGCAAAACGACGACGAACCCACCTTTCCTCGTCGCTCATGGTAGGTAGACCAGCAAGAGAGGCCCATTGGCGCGCTCCGCATGGGAATGTCATGGCTGCGACCACATCTCCCAGTAGACGATATATACAGTATGGTCGCCCATCCAGCCGGTTTGACGGCAGTAAAGGCACAGTGGCTCTGCAGCAGAAGGAAGCTCCTGTTTCCTCCACTCTTTTCATGGCGTGGCCACCTTCGTACGCACGATCCAGGAGAAACGGACAATTCGTCGTCGGTGGCGACTTTCCCCCTTAAAGCGGGGCGCATAGTCTTGACGGAGTTGCCTCGAATGGTGAATTGCTGGACCGACGCCGTGCTCGGTCAACGCCGCGATATAGACGACGAAGTGGCGTTTTAAGACGTCGACGTCTGGTTTTATTGCATTGGGGAGGCGACAGAGAGATTCCAAGGTCGGGAAGCTGTTGCCTGCAAGGATGTCTGCGATAGAGTGCTGCAGTATATAGTGAAATCTGAGTAGAGCGCTTTGTCAACGGTACTATCACTTCGGTGCACATACATATATTGTATGGATATCGGCTCGAGAACGCGGTCGTCGAACGATGGGCTTCCAGCCTCTGACTGTACATGACAAGCCATAGATTAGTTAGTTGTGATTCACAGCCGGTCTTGCGCAGCTTCGCAGACCAGAGAGTGAACGGGGAGGTAGCGTCCATTGGATGGAGCGGTTCTTCCGTGATTCCTGTTATCCACGGGAGGAGAATGAGATTACCTTCACCAGAGGAACAAGTGGCCAAGTACCCGCGACAACTTTCACACCAACCATTTCGCGGTAAGCTGGGACATCCTCGAGCATACTCTTTCGTCTGGGGAATTGTGCGAAGAGGGCGAACTCAGCTTGTCCAAGTTGTCCAGGACTTCTTCGTCGTCAACCCCGTCGCAGCAGGTGAGAGGTAATACTTACAAGCGGACAACAACGAGGTCGGGATCGGAGCTCGAAAGAACGCCGCCCGGGAACGCCCGCACATTCCCGCGCGCTCATTAGCATCTCGCACTGCGTCTCGTTTGAAACCACTCAACAATGGCAGCCGGAGACGACAAGCGTCTGAGCGTGTGGCATGATTTCGCGCCGCCCTAGGCTTGAAGCGCTTCCAAGCACCGCCGGTAGTATGCTCGACAGCCTGAAGTCGAGGACTCCATGAGCGTGTGGTGCCGACAGCCGCACCAAGGAGAAAGGGCATCCCACAGCCCTCGAGTACTGGGCATTTCAATGACGACCGGACCCTTTCGTTCAAGGTCCTCAACGCACAGTGAGTGAGAAAATATCAGTTAGCGACGGAAACCGTGACGTCGAACACATTTCACAGCAAAGCGGAACTCCGATGCCGCAGCATGCCCCTGCCCTAGAACAGGAAACAGACGACAGTACAGTGGTGCAAGAAGAGCCCTTCTCGAGTATCTGTCCAACTGTGTCTCTCGCCACCGTGTGAACCGGGCGTCATGACATCCTCTTACTCATCTTCAGTTGCTTCGGGAGCGGCGTAGGAGGCAACGGCAGAAGCCGCGTGCACTTCTCTCGCGATTGCTGTACGACCGCTCGGAGTGTAGTCTCTTCAGCACGCTCAGGAGTCGGAGCATAGCGCATGGATGCAGTGGACTCGTTGCCAGACGCCGAAATCGGTTTCATTGCTATTGCAGGGTTGTCGGCATTCGTCATTGCCAACTCCAGCTTTCTGACTCCGCAGTCGATGAACCAACTTGCAAGAAGAAGCGAAGGAGTCTCGCACAGACAAGAGGCAGCCCCCGTGACACGATGTGTCGAATACTGGACGTAGCCTCGCACAGACAGGAGGCAGCCCCCGTGACACGAGGTGTCAAATGCTGGACGTGTAAATGGTAAGAATTTTCTCCGTCCAAAGAGACGTTCTGCTGAAAAGGCGATCCGAGCTCTAAGCCACATGTGTCTCGCACAGACAAGAGGCAGCCACCGTGACACGATGTGACGAATACTGGGTCGCCTGTCTGCTCGAAGAGACATACCGACGACAACGCGACACAAGCACCAAGCCACATGTGGCGTCGTAGAGATTCTCGCGCGGTACTCGTACTTGACCCAGGCAAGACAGACCACAGCCGCATCGCTCCATGGTTTAGCCTTGTCTTCACTGCAGCATGGGCGTGTTAGCTGTAACCGAGAAGTACCCGATACACACAAGACAGGCCACAGCCGTGCCATTGGTGGCTTCTGCACTCTCGCAAACGAAGCAGTCCAAGCCCAAGCGGTCTTGAAGACGGCCCTTGCGTTACCCGTATGGAACATCGGCAGCAACAGGGCACCCTTCCAGACGACTTGCCAAGCTCACTCCTGCAACAAGACTACAGGCGCAGTCTGCAGCCGAGCTGTAAAGAAAGGTGCACGAGCTTCGAGTCGTGTCGACATAAACGTGGCGGAACTTCGAGTCGTGTCCAGGGAAACGGTGCCGGGGCTTCAAGTCGTCTCAACGGTCCCAGCGTACAGGGTCCGGCTTCAGAATTGTCAGACATTTCGAATGAGTCTGTTGAAGGCAGTGTCCAGTGCTCAGCTCCGGAAATGTCAGACATTTCGAATGAGTCTGTTGAAGGGAGTGTCCAGTGCCCGGCTGTGGAAATGTCAGACATGTCTAATGAACTGGTCGAAGGAGAAGCCTATCGCTGGGTATTTGCGCATGAGTCAGATTTGATGGCGAGATGGGAGAGCGTGGCAGTTCGCTCCGGAAAGTGTCCAAATGCTCCAGAGCGACGTCGATCCGAGTCTGCTCCGGCTTCCCGAACTTGTCCAAGCTGTTACAGGAACCTGCTGGCTGGTGAGCTCGAGCTGATCCGAGCGCGTCTGCTTGACAGCGACCATCATCTGCTGCGTACGCGGCCTGAGCGTCGTGATGGTGATCACCTGCTGGGATACGCGCTCCGCGGGGGTTCGAGTAACTCCCCAATCCGGCTCCTGACGACGAGTCGGAATCGGGTGTGGTATTTCTAATGCTAGCACTCTAGTAACATCGTGCCTGTGTCTGTGATCTGCTGCGTGTATTCGAGGCCCGAACTGACACAATTCGACTCTTTCGGCATCCGAAGCTGTCAACTCCCAAACAGCTCGGGAGTAGCTGCAGATTGGACACGTCCGTGTGCGCAGTTTCGTGCCAAAGACCCTACTGCTCACAACATAACGGGGAGACTCGACGGGATGGATGGAAAAGGATCCGCAGCAGTCGTCAGATCTCTATTCAGAGGTGGAATGTGAGCTCACAGTATGTCGGGGTAGAAGGAACTTTGACCGACTCCACGATGTCTGTACTGGAGATGTTCTGGGTGCTGAGGTATGGGTCGTCGGCCTTCAAACACACGCCGCTCGTGTATATATATGTATGATATCTCTGTGGAATGGTAGGGTAGAGTCGCATGACAAGCAGAGCAAAACGTAACAGGAGAAGGGCAGGAGATGGTACTCTGAACAAAAAAACGGACAATGAATGCTAGGGACAGGAGAGTGGGAATAGGGTACTTATATAGTCCAGAGGCGAGAAGGCACATCACCTGCGAGTGGGGAGGCTCGGAATGCAAACAGTCGCACAGGTGTCATGGCAGACGTACTGACTCTGAGCATCGTGAATTCTGAAATGGTGTGATGATGTTTCGAGACAGGGGTTCGAGTACTGTACATTTCGTTCAGGCTACGAGGACCTCGACGACTCGACCCCGGCTAAAGTGACTGTACAAAGCATGAGTCACGACCACCAGACTGTTCCAGGGTGATGATCTCGTATGGATCAGTGACTTTACCAGTTCCACGTCCACCAAAATGCCTTTTCACTTTTTCTCAGATGGCGCAAGCATGAGTTCGGGTCGAACATATTTGTCAAAGTCCTCCTCGGACAGTGCCTTCAGCTCCATCGCTGACTCCTTCAGAGTTAATCCTTTCTTGTGAGCATTCTTTGCGACCTTGGATGCCATGTCATAGCCGATGACAGGGTTCAGGCAGGTGACGAGCATGAGACTAGACGAAAATTCAATACAGCCCAGATGACTCAAGAACGTGTTGCTTACCTTTCGTGCAGAAGAGTGCTGATTCGCTTCTCATCGGCCTGCAGACCCTCGACCAGGTGCTCTACAAAACCATTCATTGCATCTGACAAAATCCTGGTGCTGTGAAGCAGGTTTCTGATCATGAGGGGCTTGAAGACATTCAATTCGAATTGGCCGCTCAAGCCACCAACGGTAGCCGCGGTGTGGTTACCCATGACCTGAGCAGCGACCATAGTCATAGCTTCACATTGCGTTGGATTAACCTTCCCGGGCATGATACTGCTGCCTGGCTCGTTCTCGGGGAGGACCAATTCTCCGAGACCACATCGAGGACCGGATCCAAGGTACCGAATATCGTTGGCGATCTTAAAGAGACTGACTGCAAGAGTGTTCAAGGTACCGGAGGCCTCGACAATACTGTCATGGGCAGCCAGAACCTCGAACTTGTTGGGAGCCGTCACGAACTCGGTGCCTGTCAGCTTGGTCACCTCTTCGGCAATGCCCTCGGCGAAACCCTTGAATGTGTTCAAGCCAGTACCAACAGCGGTACCACCTTGAGCCAATTGCCGCAAATGTGGAAGATTAGACTGTATTCTTTCCAAGTTCCGGTCAAGCTGAGCAACGTAGCCGCTGAACTCCTGACCGAGGGTCAGAGGCGTGGCGTCCTGCAAATGCGTCCGGCCGATTTTGATAATCTTGTCAAAGGCTTCCACCTTCTTTTGCAAAGCGTCCCTCAAGTTTGTCACAGCAGGGATAAGTCTCTGCTCGAAGTCGAGAACAGCCGCAATATGCATAACCGTAGGGAAGGAATCGTTAGAACTGGCAGACATGTTGACGTGGTCATTCGGATGGACAGGCTTCTTGCTGCCCATCTGCCCGCCGAGGATCTCAATGGCACGGTTTGAAATGACCTCGTTGGCATTCATGTTGGACTGAGTGCCGGAGCCGGTCTGCCAAACGACGAGGGGGAAGTGGTCGATCAAGGTAAGATCTGCCACCTCGGCGGCCGCTTTCTGGATGGCTTCACCGACCTTGGGATCTGCCTCTCAAAGTCAGTACCGCGGACCGGTCAAAAGGCAGCGCTAGGAAGCATACCCAGGCCATATTTCATGTTCACAGTCGCCGCAGCTCCTTTCAGAATCCCAAATGCGCGGACCACGCCTTCCGGCATTCGATCTTGAGGCTGATTGATCTTGAAGTTCCCCAGGGACCTCTGCGTCTGCGCACCCCAGTACTTGTCTGAGGGGACCTCGATAGGTCCAAACGCATCCGTCTCCGTTCGTGTGGAAGCGGCCATGACTGCGGTGCTGCTGAACGCTCGATAGGAGTTCGACGGAGCTCGGAGTGATATTGAGCTGGCCCTTCGTAAGGTCTGAGAGGGGCAGGAAGAGAATGTTCGCGAGGAAGAAGCTTTCAGACAACTACTCCGCACTGCTGTACGAGTCAAGAGCTTTGATGAAGACGCTGCGGCCTTCACAGTGACCGAAGCCCGTCCCAGCATGTTGCTCCGTTTGTGGACTGGAGAGTGTAGACGCTACCGAGTCAAGCAGAATTCTGGGCTATATGACCTCTCCTCAATCAGGGAACGACGGAGAGCTACTATTTCACAATGGCTCTCTGGGCGAATGGAATAATACATCAGAGGAAGCAATTAGTCGGGGAACTGTTGTCGACACGTTTGATTGGCGGACGACGATCACCGCGTGTGGCTTCCGACCGACCGGATCGAGCTCACCGCCGCGCCGACATGTTCCGACATGGAACGTTCCTCGTCGCAGTCAGGCTCCTTGTTTTCCCGAGAGAGAAGTCGGGTCTACCGATGTAATTACTGTGCTCGCTATATCTAGGTATGTATGCAATTCCATTTCCAGCTCAGGTGTTATCCTGTCACGCAGGCGCTGATGAAGACCGGGTATCTCAAGAACAGAAGCGCCAAACAAAATCTTCCGTCACCTCCGACAGGCGTGAAGACTTAAGCCGTGCCTTCAACGGTCTTAACGGCGTTGCCAATCATGAAGTCCTTGGCTTTGGCCATCTTGACCAGGAAACTGGGCAGCTTCCAGCCAAAGGCGATGCCAACGCCACCCTGAGAGCCGATGGGGACGAACTGCATGTCGCTTTGGATTTTCTTGTAGATCTTGTTGGTTCGCGGACCACCTGAGGTTGGGTCAGCCATGGGTCACGACAATGTAAATTTGGGCGCATCATACCTTTGCCCTGCAGATCTAACTTGATACTTTCCAGGATGGCTGGTGTCGCAAATTTAACGTCAACGACAGAACCGTCCGAGTAGCTGCCGACCGTGCCAATGACATAGACGCCAGTGACACCTGGCACATCCAGGCGGAGAGTGTGAGGATCCGTCTTGACCCTCTGCTTGTCGTCGAGCCACTCCTGCGGCACGAATTTGCTGTTGGGTTTGTCGCCAGTGGCCTCGATGTACACGTCGACTGTTTTCGTCTCCCCGTTGCTCAGTTTCAATACCTCCTTGCCATTCTCGGTAGTGTGCTCGGTGACGCGCAGGTTGTCGTGGATGACCTTGACTCCCATCTTCTCGAGCCTCTGTTGCGCCTCGGCACCCATCTTCTTGTTGTGAAGTCTCGTGAGCAGGCCTGTAGAGCCCGACAGCAGTGTGATATCCTTCTTGTTCCCATAGACCTCGCCCAGCTCACCGGCTGTCTCGACGCCGGCCGCGCCACCACCGGCGATCAGAATGGTCTGCGCGTCGGGTAGTTTCTGGTGGATTTCGTGGATGGCTTGCTTCAAGGGCTCGGAGCCGTCTGTGATGGTCCACAGATGAGTTGCGAACGTTGTGCCGGACGCAATGACAAGGGAGTCATAGTGGATAGCGTCGTTAGAACTGGTTTGAACAGTCTTGGTTGAGGAATCAATCGCGGTGGCGTATGCCTTGATGAATTGGTATTGTTCTGGCGAGTACGCTTTGAAGCCGGGGGCGATTGGGATCAGGGCTTTCTCGAGGGGCAGCGAGTTCGGGTTTCCGATCACCCTGGGAGCCCCGATCTTCCAGAAGAACTCTTCATTAGGGGCAATCTGAACGACTTTGTACGACTCCTTCCCATTTGGCAATTGCGGGAAGACACTCTTCAGGAGACCGTGCGCAACAGCCAGTCCACCGAAGGAGGCGCCAATTATGACAACGGTGTGTGTAGACATGGTACCGGTCAAGAAGTATTGGCTGACAAAGTCTCAATTACGGTGCGCAGGGAGTCAAAGGAAGATAGGTGGAGGTGAGACCGATGGCTGGAGGAGCGCAGCCGGACAATGTATTTATGTCTTCGGTCGAGACAGGGGTGTCCGTAGTGGCTGTCGAGCTGATGTCTCGGTGTGGTGCGTATGGTCCCGGGGCTGAAGATGCAAGATGTAAGACAATTTTCAATTTCCCTACAGGACGGCGAGCCGACGTATATAAGTCTACACTCAGGCCTGATGCAGGCGAAGTCAGCTCACCAGCAACCTTCTACCTCGTGAAATCCGGCTACCGCGCCGGCTGACAAAAGATTCTGTCTGCGTCAAGACTTCAACAATCGCAATTTATCGATCACTGGGGTGGCTTGCCAGGCGCGATTTCAGGGCGCGCTTCCTATTGGCTCTTTTTGCTGTTCAGTCTCGCTAGTGAGTCCCCATTTGGCCATTGCTCGTCGAAAGGCACGTGAAAATGGCGTGGAACTCTCTCTCGGTCGAGTCGACGACCGCAGCCAACCGACGATTCCCACGTGACCATCACCTACTCAAGGCTCTCGGTCGAGAGACGGGTTTCCCACAGCTTCTTCTAATAACATCCGTCCTGGGCGAGTACTGCTCTTGTGGTCTGCTGCAATTGCGCCGTGTGTGTCCATTCGGCGCAACCCATCCCTACTTGCATTCTTCCATTACGCCGTATTCGTAAAGAGATACGATCAGCTAGAAGTCACCAGCCCATCATTTACGCAAAGTATGACCAGGACGGAGTAAACGAGCATCAAATACCCCAACTCAGGCTCCGTCTTAGTCTATCGGTACCTACGTTGGATATACAGGGTAGGACGTTTTTGCACATTCAAAGCCAACGGACTCGGCACATGCAGAAAATCTCGTTAACACTACTCAAACACCTGTTGCTGAGTCACACTGATCAAAAAGATATTGGGTATCAATCGCGAAATTCAACTCCTCCAGCTACCTTCTCATTCATCTCCTGACCGTGGTGATCGATCTTGATTAGACATGTCGTACTGATAAGGATCCACCTCTTCACCTATGGATGGGGGAACCATCCAATGCTGCGACGCCAAGCGCTAACTCGGTCTTTCTTGTTGAGAGTCTCAGGGTGCTCAAGTGCAACAGCCTCAGCCTCAGTACTTGTTCGCGGTTGCTCAACAGGAGCAGGCGTGGCGTCTGTAGGCTCAGTTACAGAGGCAGAGGTTGTCGCAGCTTCGGCGTCGGGCACGGCGACTGAATTCTTCCTGGACTCGAGACCCTGGGTGACAATGCTGTGTCGTCTGGTGGACTTGCTCTCGCGGCGGCCGTTGCGAGTGAAGTGCTTGCGGTAGAACTCGGAATGCTTGATCAGCCATGGTTCAAGCCAAGACTCGGCGGCGTAAGGTCGGTTGCCAGTGCCAGCGGGCTGGTCCATAAGGACTTGGCCATTAAATGCTTCAGCCATGGAGATGATTGGTTTGTGATTTGAGGGTTGTTGACGTCTGATTTATTAGGTAGGATTGTGTTGTTTGTTCCTGAGTTGGTTCGTCCTCTTGATTTCGCTCAGGGGTTGAAACGTCAGATGTGAATGCTGGAATAGTGCCTGTCGAGGCGATCACTTCGCCCATACTTATGGTCTCGTGCTGACCGCCGAGGGGCTCGAGCTCAGGCGCGAAAAACATCGCAATGACGTCGACCTTGCCATGTGTGTGAAGGTCATATGGCTCAGACATTAAGCAATCGGAAGGTTTCTTACCGCGAACCGATGATCTAAAAGTCGGGGGAATAGTCAGCAATACAACCCAGTGGACCAGTCAGCATGCAACGAGTGTCAAGACGCCAGGCTGAAGGGCAAGGGGGCGGTCGTATGGTCCCTCTGACTGCTTGCAATAGTACGGAGTAGGTGGGTGGCCTCGTTGCTAGATGCTTCCAGCAGCGGAAGTCGTCGGATGCACACCCGTATCCAGGAATGAGTAAGAGTGCCAACCTCAGCATTACGAGGTTCAGACATCTGTAACCGACGGCCTAATGAGTCCAGCGCATGAGACGAAATCACGCAACGAAGGTCCGTACGCCCTGTATTCTCATCCTCACTTGGTGCCAATTGCACCTGCATCCGAGGATGCGAAAGTCGCGAGGTTGATTAGAATGGGGCATCATTGCTCTGGCAAAGGGCCTGCTCAGGCAGGCTTCTTCGGGTTAATTAGATCCTGTGACATATGATTGTCACAACAGTACAGCACAACTGGCGGGCTACTTCCATGCGTGCGTGCTGCAGCGACTGTGTACTGTGTAAAGAGTAGCAGTAGTGTGTAGAGAGAGCTGCCTGATGAGTGTGAGAGTGTAAGACCCAAGGGACGCGTTGTGGACGCGTGGAAAATGCCGCGGTTGACGTCATTTCGCACTTTCCCTTCTTGGGACTTCTACCTACAGAGTTGGAATTTCACGAAAACACCGGACAGTCCGCCGCAGTGCGCATCAGTAACTGCTGCTCTTCCACCTCATTGCATCAGTATATTCTACCTCTTCGTTCCCGTTGACCAGCTTCCAGGCGGTGCAAAGCATATTTGATGCAGGCTGGGATGTCAAATAATGACGCAGTCCTCGAAGGCGGCCAGCCTCTGTCAAGAACTGCTGGGCTCGTGCTGGTCATGAATACGCCGAAAGGTAGGCCTGACTGAGCAAATGGAGACGTGTTTGTCCTGAAAGGTGCAGCGCTAGCCCAAATGACAGTGTTTCTGATCCCATGCATCTTGACCCTGACCTGACCTGACGTGTGCGCTCTTCAATCATTCTAGGACGAGGTGTCTTTGCAACTAAGCACATCTCCAGGGGTACAGTAGTGGAAGTCAGTCCTGTGCTGATCTTCCCCGAAGATGAAGTCGAGAAGCACGTTCAGCATACTGTTTTGCAGCATTACACTTAGTGAGTACCCAGCAGACGCAGTGGAAAACGAGCACACTGACTGTCCGCGGATCATATCCGACATCTGCTCTCCTCATCACCATATCGCTTACTGTTACTTGTCGATAGCTACTGGCCATCCGAATCCGGCCGCAGCATGACCCAAGCCCTCGCCCTCGGTCTGGGATCCATGTTCAACCACTCTACCCGGGATCAGAATGTCGGGTGGATACGCAACACAGAGACCGAAGTGATCGTCTACACCACGCTCAGGGACATCAAAGCTGGAGAAGAGTTGTGTATCTCATATGGAAGTGCTAGGCTTTGGTTTCCCGACGCCGACGCACAGGCGAACACCAGCGAGGGGTTGGGAGATGACAACGACGATACTGGCGGATCAACGTTGGCAGAGCTTGATCTGAGTGGCTTGAGCAAGATGGACATCTGAGGCATGCCGACAGAGCACGACCGTGATCGTCATAGCTCGCCAGAAAGACATTGACAGCCGCTTCTGCAGATTGTCGTAACCGCCGTGGCGATGACTTTCCAACCCTGCAGCGTCTCAAACAACCTCTCAACACATCAAACTTACCGGTGCTTCAGAGGTTCCTCCAAACCAGCCTACCCCAGGCTTCAAGGAGGGTTCTTGGAATGCGCCATGCTCAACAGCTTTACGGAGGCGGCGAGTTTCACAGGGGCTTGCTGGACTCCCACCAGGATTGTCTCCGCAACATAACGACATCGGTCCTGTGTTCGGACTGATAATTCCCCCGTCCGGCCCGCTCAGGCAGTCTTGTCATCCTAGCCCTCCGGACCCGGTGGTCTTTTTACATGGTAAATCCTTTTGGTTCGGAGCTTGGGGGTCAATCTAGCTCAGGCTGACTAAGAAAATACGTCGCATATGCGAGCGAGAGCCTCGGCATAGCATAGGTAAAGTACAGTTCAGGCCCGGTGAGCTCAGACCCCGACTCGAATTTCCATTCATCTAGCATATGTATGTACACGGTACCTGAGGGCTGCTCTCTGAGCTTGCTGAATACCTTCCACCGAGTCCAGCCGTCTTACTACGAGTGATTGTATCCATTCCCAGCATTCTCCACTGTACTTGCTTTTACCTTTCCCTTACCCCACCATGCGTCCCAGAGCCATGTATTCAGATCCCCATCTTCCGCTACCATATCGAGTCAAGGCATTATTGCAACAGCGGAGGTCCGGGCAAAATGCCTCGCCCAGTGGTGGAAAAAACGAACACGCCACAGCACTCTGGATGTATGGCGCGGCCTCGACCCATTTGGCTGAGCACAAACAGCAACGACCGGCGTGAGGTCGGAGGAGAGGCATGTTTCTCTTGTCGACTCTTCGACTTCTCACAATAATAAGCTTCAAAGTCAGGTCGAGGCAAGCCGATGTCACGAGATTGCACATCACCGGAAGAAGAACCAGAGCCTCGCTCGCCCGGCCGGTTCTCATACATTCATACTCTGTGAACAGCACGAATCCGTCTCTCGCATGCGAGTCACTTTACCCAATGACCCAGGGGTCTGTAAGGCATCGGCGGTCTGGGATGACCAATGGTCCAGTCGACGTGCGTGGCAATACCGGCGACTTCGAACATGACAAAAGGTCTCGTTCGTGCAACTAATGGTCGACAGCCAGGCAGTCAGGCAAACCAATATATGGCCCAAAACAGATCGGGACCTAGATCTCCATCTTCGCCTGTAACGAAATTCTGCGCATATTGCTTGCACTCGGACTCGGGAGCCACATCCTGCATGACATATTGGAGCAATGGAAGGCACGTCCATGGTGTCAGATTGACCTACATACTGTGTACCCAGTGCTCTGTCGGGAGGCCGTAATAGCCGACCCTTGAAAGGCACTGCTGGGTGAAATCCACCATCACGCCCCCGCCTGGTGGAAGTTATCGACCCTACCACGACAGCCGCTTAGCTCAGCTCGGCCTTCGCTCAACTTCTTCAATGCATCACCACAGCAACATGATCATCCATGTACTTGTCGATGTTGCCCAGGAAGACACTAGCCAGGATAGAAATACCCCCGAACGCGATACTCGTCAAATATACGTACTTGTACGACTTTGCGTAGGCGATCTGCCCGGCCAGCACGACCATTTCGTACGCCGTATCGTTGCCTTGGATGCCAGGGATGGTTCTGAGGAGGGGCAGAAGCGACGCAGCCGTATACTCGATCGCCTCGGTAATGTACGTGACGTTGGTGATGTTGAGCTGCCCGGCCATGGTGCCGCCGATGTACTTTGTGGCGTTGGGCACGAACTTGTTCACAAAGACGTTGTAGTAGACCGTGTAGCCGATGCAGCCGCCGATGACGCGGATGGACAGCGTCAGCGCGGCGACCGTGGCGATGATGTCGTCCGGGCAGATGATGGTCGTCATGATGGACGCGGGCACGACGATGCCGCCAATGCCCAAGCCGCCGAGAACCAATAATCCCCAAAGCGTGGAGAGGTTGTAGCGGTCCGCGACCGCGAGGGCGCCGCAGCCCGCCGTCATGAGCACGGACGAGATGATCATCAGTTCGCGGTTGTGGCCGCGGAAGACGGACAGGAGCCACAGCACGACGCACGCGCCCGTGAGGATGCTGAAGCCGATGGGGATGCCGCGCACGCCGACGCCGACCGGGTCGTGGCCGTACACGTTGAAGGCCTGGGTGGGCCAGAACATGATGACCGAGAAAAAGTTTGCGCCGGAAATGGCCGTGATGATCAATGTCAAGGTCAAGATCCGGGCCTCCTTCTTCATCCTCGACGGGAACATGGGGAACTTGGCGAATTTGATTTCCCATATCGGGAAGGCCACGAGGAGGAGCACGGCGCCGATCAAGAGAGGGGCCAGCACGTGCGCCGATGACCATGGGTACTGGTATCCGCCCCACTGCAGGCCGGCTAGGAAGAGGATCATGCCGCTAATGGAGAGGCCGCCGCCGACGAAGTCAATCTCCCCGATGATCTCTTTCTTGGTGAGACCGCGCGAGTTGGGTCGAGGCGGGGGGAAGTAGAAGATCAGAGTCCCGACAAATCCGACGCACGCCCAGAGCCCGGCGAAGAGGCCGATGTACCGCCAACTGGAGTAGTAGGCGATCAGTTGACCCCAGAGGACAGACGGGCAGAACGGGATGATGGTGAAGACGAGGATGGCCACGTATTTGCCGCGCTTTCTCGTCGGTGCAAGTTCGGCCGTGACGGCGAGGGACGTCAGTTCGCAAATGCCGGCGCCCACGCCCGAGAAGGTCATGCCCACTAAAGTACAGAAGAGTCAGGAATTCTGGAGTGACAAGAGATCTAGAGGGGTTTCTTCTTACCGATAAACACGTTCATGTTCTTCGCCACGCTGCAGATAATCATGGCAATCACGAGCAAGCCAGAACCACCAAGGGCCACCCATCGTCTGCCGATGAGGTCTGAGATGGACCCGACAAACGGACAGATAGCGGCCAGTGCCAGAAGATAAGCGAGGACGAACCAGATCCATCGATCAACGCCGCCGATGTCGCTGTATATGTATGGCGGCACGCCACCGAACAAGTAAACAGGGATCTGAGAACCGGTCCATAAAAATGCCATGGCGACCAAGCTGAGTGCTCTATGTACTGTCATCTATACACGACAAAGGTCAGTGACCGCCGGCATGTCTCGTGTATGACGCGGGTGGCATATCCGGTGGACTTACAGGCGGTTCATGGTCGTGATCCTCATCGTCGCCATATGTTCGCAGACCATCTTTCTCGTAGTAGCCGGGATGACCTGGAACCCGCTCGTTGGTGTGAACCTGTTCGATATGGTGGGACGGATCCTTGTCAAGATTAGGTGAATGCGCGACATTGTCGCTGGAGCTATCTTCTTGTGCAGTCATGATGGGTAGAAGACAGGAAGAGCACGGGGAGGAGGGCGCGGGCACGAGTCAACGCGATAAGAGACCGCAAGGGCCACGTGGGGAAGCAGCAAGGTCTAGAGGGCGGGAGAGGAAGAAAAGAGTCGAAACAGAAGAAGAGCGACTGAAGTATGTCTCGTGTGAGGGAGATGAGTCGGTACAGTCGCATCGTACTTGGATTGGCAAGAAGCACCAACCCACCCTCTTTTCATTGACATGGTAATGGCTTGAGCTTGTGGGCCCAAGCGAAACAGAGGTCGAGACCCATGCAGAACCGAGGATGAACAGCAGCAACATGGGTAGAGGCTTTGGCTCCAGGGCCAGTCTGAGCTACGGCGGTAACCCACCGGCGGCGAGGGCTTGTCGCCACGCTAGAGGGGGTTCCATGCGGGATGGTCGATCGAAAGCAGTAGTTGGCAGTCATATGCACGAGGAGCAGATTTACCGCGGGAGGCACGGGCTGATTTGATCGCATGGCTTCGCGTTGGAGGCAGTGGGTGGCGGCAATGATGAATCAGTTCCGACGGAAGACTGGCTGGATTGGAGTGGACATGGCGTAGCCGCCACGCTGTGTATTGGGGAAGAGGCGAGACGACGAGGGTCAGGAAGCAGGAAGAGGAATCTGGAACTTGGGTTAGTCAGGAGAGTTTCTGCGAGACTAGCGATAGCCAGGATGCGCGGTGAATGTTGGATAATGGCATCATGGTGGCATCCAGGTGGGCGGAGGACATATCCTGATGCTGGCGGCAACTGACTGTTCTCCTGGGGAAGCCGTTGACATCGAGTGATGGTTGTTTGAGCCACCACTGGGTGACCGCCCGAGCGCGCCGATAGTGCGGTGGTCTCAGCTCCCTACTCAACACAGTTGGATGTCTGTGGGCACAAGCAGTGGATGTCTGTGGGCACAAGCAGTGGAAGTCCGTGAGCACAAGCTTGAAAGACAAGCGCGTGAAAGCAATGCAACTACTGTAAGCATAACCAGCAAGGTCAAGAGACGTGGAGCTTGGAAGGGAAGGTGGATTGAGGCTTCGGGGCGTGGAACAGCGAAAGTGCGGGGTTCAGGGCTGCGGAGCTGGGGGAGTGGTGGGCCCTTTACTTTGGGCATCGCATGCCGAGGTCACCCGTTGCAACCCACCTCCATTTACGGAGTACAGGCTACCGCTGAAGCTTGCATCTTTGTCTGCAGCTTCACAAGCGGACCGTACGATGGTAGGTACCTAGTATGTGACTTCCCGGACTGGTGCACAGACTGTTTTGGGACTGAAGCCGCGGAAGCCCCTCCGACAACGAACTCGCTCCGCGATTTCAACGCATGGCAGAGTCCGTGTACGTCCCCACGATCTGGAGTAGTGCTAATTAAGCCTTATCTCCGGTTCCTGCAGCTAATGTCTGGCACTCGTTTGCCCTGGCCGCATTGGAAAACGCGACCATTCTATCTGGTTCATGCCATTGGCGAGGTCATGGCGTCAATGCCATGAGGCGTTCTGTGAGAGCATGGAGCGATACCGCTATTCACAAACAGACAGATAAGGCTCCTCCTTCAGGCTCTCAAAAGTTCAAAGTCACACGGTCTCTGGCGTTCGTTGATCCTGACGACGGCAAACGGGCCACCGTGACGGCTTGAAGTTTTGGCTCAAGGAGCAGGTCGAGTAAATTGTATCAACAATCGGACTGGAGCGCAACTTCCAATTGATCCTGGACAAGTTGTCAGTGTTGAACTGTCGTCTGGAGAAAATCACTACCATAAAATTTCCGCTGGACTGTGTGTTTCTGAACATCCGTGACTCCCAAGTGTCTGTATCTTTCCCTCAACTTTTTAGCAGAGTGACATCTGACGGCGGAAGACTTACCACAAGTTTGAGGTACTTTGCGACGTCGTTGATGAAAACTCTTGTTGGCATTCGACTCTTGACCCGTTATCTCCCTAGCCGCCGAAAAGCAAATCCTGAATGTAAGCATCTGGGTTGCCCATTCAGCCCCGTTAAGCCGCTCTGCCCCTGCGTGCCTGAGCCTCAGTAACCCACGCTCTCATCGCTTGCGTGCCTCGGTGCTTTGTAGTGACCAGGAACCCAGCTGACTAAGCGCGAGTGCCTAGCCTTTTTAGGTGCTTCTCGGTGCCGGCTGCGGACCGGACATAACATCAATTAATTATGGTTTCGCGAGTTTGCTTGGGAGTTCCCCAATAGCCACCTAAGATATTCGTTGTCGTCCCATCCTCCTAGTTTGGATTTTGGTTCTTGACACGCTTCCTGCCGGCGAAAGCTCGTAGGTGCTCTTCAATGCAGGCGTTTAAACCTGGGCTGTGTCGACAGGCTCGACGAGCAGCTGCCGTTGCTCCAGTTATAAAGCCGCTGCGACCAGCTTCAGCGATCTGGTTCAGTCGAGCTCGATATCAGCATGGCCAGCATGGCCCCCACAAAGAGTACTTCCAGACACCAGGCCAAATGCCTGCGCCCGATACGACCCCCTACGTCCACGGCCAACAGTTCGCAGCCCCGGTGCCTACTATCCCCCCTGTGCCTGGCGCAAGCGGCCGCTCGCTCCTGGTACGCTTCACACGCTCCGTCTTCTGGGCGATCCTCTTCAGCTCTCTCGGTGTCGTGGCAGGCACGGCACTGATAACATGGGAATACCTACAGCCGCCATTTGAGCCAGGCTCGGAGATGGAGCGAGATCTCCTGGACGAAATCATGGATGCAGTGGAGTTACACCCTCTTGTCGACTCCCTACGTCAGGCAAACTGGATCGAAGACAACTACTACGCGGGTCACGCCGACTCAATCGCGACCGGGGGAATGCACCTCGTGGCCGAGAAGCTGCAAGGCACACAGGGTATCACCATGAGAACCTTCAAACACCCTACACAAGAGTTCACCATGATGGTCGCGTTCCTGGGCTTCGGCGTGGAAGGTTGGCCGGACGTGATCCACGGTGGAGTCATCACGACTCTCATCCAAGAGGGCATCGACCGCCAGATCCACAATTTCTACGGAAAATACGGCAATCAGCACGCACAGGCCATCTCTGTCGATTTCAAGAGGCGGATGAGACCCGGAGAGGTGTATGCGGTGATTGTGCCGCCGGCACAAGTGGAAATGAATCCGCCGCAGCCAGAAGTAATGCATTTGCAGATGATGCCGATGGTGGTCAGGATCGAGGCGCCGCCCAGAATCACTCCAGAAGCGCTGACAATCGAATTGCCAAGTATGGAGGAGCTGCATGCCGTTGCGAATGTGCAGGTGCGGTTGGTTCAAGACGTCACTCCGGAGAGGATGGCAGAGCTTGAGGCGGGCTTTGCAAGCCAGAAGATCGAGGACAAATAATATCAGCCCCAACACTCTGGCATCAGGCAATTCAAGGTGAAATTTCTCTGGCTTCGTTCTGGCGTGTATGACCACTCCGGAAACACTGCCGCCGCCGACGACAACAGCAGAGAAGTCTGGATTATTACTGCACAGGGTAAGGCCCGCTTCACAGAACGTTTGGTGCGACTTTGGCTGACCCTCTACACAGGATCACCATTTCACCCGAAGCACCGACTTAGGCTGGGCAATTGAGGAGTCTCTTGACTGTTCCGGCAGTATTCGAATCGAGTGCTGCGCGATATGTCGGTGCTTCCCCCTGCCGAAGATGCACGACGTCGGATCCTGTACATCCCGAGGCTACCGTGTAGTTGCGATTCCCTCGCAAGCTTTCCCTCTCCTTCATCGCCAGCAGACGCAGGTGCAAGGATTGAATCGAGTGCATGGACAGGTGGTTGCTGGCTCCCTGCAACCTGTGATGGGTGCAGAAAGGTGGCCACCAGCCCCGGACTTCACCTAAGAGTTGCTCCTCCATGGGGGGTGAGCAGGCGCTAGCGCCATCTTGGTCGACGAGGGACAGGGCCAGAACGTTGGCTGCTCTCCTCCGTGCAACCGCCAAGGGGACGAACGATGTCGCCGACGTCGCTAGTCGCTGGTGGGTGTCAACATGCATGACAACAGCCAAGGGACTGTGATGGCAGCCCTCCCTCTCCGGGTCTTGTGGACGACAAAGACGAGAAGGCATCCCTTGATTGGCACACATATCCAGCTCCAGCTCCCGTGTAGTCGCCGCTCGTAAAGTTGAGAGAAAGGAGAAACATGGTACGACGTAGGCGGGGGCATTGTGGATGCTTGTGCTTGTCCCGCCCAATAGCTGGCGCATCGGACATCAAAGGGCGGAGCGACCTGTATGCATAAGGATACCAGCACGAATCAAGCACGTCGCACTGCTTGCAGACGCAAAACTCTCAAAACGCCACCTGGGGAGAGCCTGCGATCACCTTTTTCGCCACGCCGGCGATGCGCTTCGTGATGCTCTTGGTGTTGCCTTTTCGGATGAATGTTGATGAATAAACCAGATACCAATGTCTTACAGCGTGTTATGTCTAGTTTTCCGAGTTCCGTGGGGTATTCGAGGCTGCTGGGAGGTATATCCCAGAAGTGTCAGCCTCATAGCGGCCGACTTAGGGAGACTCTACTATCTACATGGGAGAGGGAAGGCTCACACGCGGAGGAGGATAGATGCTGCAAGGGTTCTGATCGTGTGAAGGACCAGGAAGCGGAACGGTACTATAGTTGCGTCTGATTAGAACACCACGACACAATTTGAGTCACTAAGGGTGTAAGCGGTTCAATGTCAAGCAAGGAATGGATATGCTGGGGCGAGATTAGATCTTGCAGATAATCCATTTCTGAATTTTGTCTCGCAAGCATGTATGCTCCTTTTAACAAGAACGCCTTTGCCCAAGCATCCACCGCAGCTGTAGCCGCGCATCCTATCTTCAAGCTCGGGGCGATGCCTGTGCCCGGCTCTAAGGAATCCATGCTTCAATCCACATCGTACGCACGCATTTCGAAGCCGCACGACGCCAACGACACGCTGGTGCTGCCGCTGTTACCGATCGTCCGCTCCGCATTCAGCATCGTATCGCTCCTGCTCTGTACATTGCAGGTTTGTCGCCCCAGGTCGCAACCGCCACCACCACTACCACCAGAACCGCGAAACAAAAACAGAGATTTTATGATGTCGGGTTGGGGTTCATCTGCAAACGTGTAAGCTTCGCTCATGGATGGCGGGCCTCGCGTCCCCAGGCCCCTGGGATGTGTGTTTCATACCTTTCTCTTGCCACCGGTCATTGTGACGTTGACGAATCGTCGAGTGTATGTTATTCTCTTCTTCGCGCGGCCCTTGGGCGTCTTCTTCTTCTCTTGGGGTTCGACCTGAAGGAAAATTTACATGTGAGTAGATGTTTTGTGCGAGGATTTTGGTTGATTTGCTGGAGCGAGGATGGGGAAATCGATTCGTGTGGCGGCGCTGCGATGCAGAAGACGTGCAAAGTGTGCGCTCAACTCACCTTGGGGGTCTGAGACTTGACCTTGCCGGCACGGGCGAGGGATCCGTGAACTTTACCCATGGTTGCGAGCTGATTCAGTCGATTTGGAGATGGATGGTCGAGATCGAATTGATAGTCAATGAGGTGATGGTAAGGTGAGGTCCTGGGTGATGGATTTTGTCGGTGGGCTGCCAAGAGGGCGGCGCAAGTGTCTATGATCTGCCGTAGCTACTGCTGCCCGAGCACGTGATCTCTTTTCACTTTGCCAGGTTCGGTAAGTGGCTAGCCTCGTAGGCAGTGTGTCAGTGATGGGGGGAGGTTTCCAGAATAATCCTTCATCACTGTTACTCGTGTCGCTATCTATGTCTACGTCTCTAGGCCATTCCTACCATGGTCGCTGTCGATGCATAGCCAGCAAGCAGAACCGAGCTTTCCCCTTACTCGTCGACTTCATCCTTGGTGGGCAGGTCAATGGCACGGTAGAGCAGAATCAGGGCAGAAGCACTCTCGCCACCACCCGCAAGAGTCATGATCCTCTCTGCGTCCACCTCACTGACCTTGTCATCATTGAACCACCACCACTTGCCATCTTCCTCTTTGCGCTTGCCGCCCGGCGCCTTTGGATCGTCGACCAGTCGAGCCTGCTTCTTCACAAAACTCGTGTAATGGCCACTGTCAGCGCTTGCACCCTGGTGAGTGATGACACCTCGGAGCTCATACAAGCCCGACTTGTTTGCTCCTTCGTCAGCTGCGAGCTCGGGGTCAATCACTTCGAACAGCTCCTTCTTGGCTTGTTTGATCGATGCCGCGCGTTCTGCCTCATACTCGGCGTCCGTCTTGTAGACATCCATTTCGCCACCCTCGGGCTCCTTGCTCTTCGAGTCCTTTTTCTCCTTGTGCTCCCTTAGCTTCGCAATCGGGGCAGCCTCGACAGCCTTCAATGCTTCGTCGTGCGCACGGTCTGCTTCTTGCTTGTGGGCAAGTTTCTGTCTCTTTCTAGCACGCTCAACGTCCACTTCATCCTTACGGATGTTGCGAACCTTGTCACGAACTGGAATCAGGCGCTTCCTCAGGTCCTCGGTACAAAACTCCACCACGTCTAGCTCCTCCGGAAACGTGACCTTGCGCATGATCTTGGTCTTCTTCTGGATGTCCCGCCTCCAGTAGAATCGAACGAAATGGACCGTCAGGTACTGAGGCAGCCGAGATATCCGCGAGGTCTTCACGTACGTTGCGTCACGATCGAGCGTTGGGGAACGCTTTTCAATCTCCTCGGTAAGACCAGCAAGGATTCCGTCTCGAAGGTGGTTGGTTGTCTGGTCAATATGGCAGTCCAGCTTCAGAAAGGTGTCGTCGGACTCGACAGTAGGTTCGTTGTCTCCCACCTCGGCAGGAGGGGCAAGGGATGAATGAACCGAACCAGCCATGTAGCGATCGATGAAGGCAATGGCTTTCTGATCTTGTGCGTGTGTGTCTGTGATCTTGAGCTTTCCCCGCAACTGATGGACTATCTGTGACCAAGCCTCCTCCGCGTCCTGCTGAGCATAACCATGGCCATTCTTTGCCTTCTGAGCGAATTGAGGATAGATGGCTCGCAGAGAACTGAGGAACATCAAGGGCGGTAACCCTTCTTGTGTTTCGGACATCTGCTTGTAGAGGTCGCGTAATTGGGCAGTCAGATCGTTGTTTGCGCCGAGCCCGCTGAGCCCATGGCGACTCAGGTCTTGCAAACTGGCGGTAGATTGTTCGGCCTTGTAGATTTTGAGGGTGTCTTGCATCTCGGGTATGCTGCGAAGGACTTGCAGAGTAGAATTCAAGTAGCAGGTGTTTCCCAGATTCTGGAGGCCAGCCGGAGTAGCACCTTCTTGAGCGGCAGCTTCGGCTTCGGTCATGTCCTCGGCGAACTTGATCTTCTCGGTAGGCGGCGCGATCATTGCACTACCCTCACCAGACGCAGTACCGAGCATGGTGAAGATCTGACCGGGTTTTGCATTGAGCTTGGACAAATCGGTGTCATCTTTCAGCTTGCCACCTTTGATGAGGAGAGATTGACGGTCGGGTTCGACGCCAGTCAGGGAGAAGAGCTGGAACTTGAGGACTTCGCCGGTCGCGGAGGGGTCAAGATCGACATCGTATTTTTTGCCCTGGTGTTTGACAACAACTAGGGCATGTTAGATTTGGTGTTCGGTCGCGGTTGTCTGTGGACACTTACTGGGAATGGTTGCCATGGTTTCAGCCTGTGTCTGCAGAGAAGACACGAAGCAGCAGGGCCAAATGTAAATCCAGAAATGCAGGAGATGGTGAGCACGAGCAGTGAAAATAAATGTAGTGATTTGAAATTGGATCTAGAAAGGCGGCGAAATACTGGCGAAATACTGGCGAAATACAGTACTGTAGTGTATGCAAGGCTCTGGCCCGCCAGGCACAGGAATAGCACGTCACCGGGCGCTGGGGAGTCGCTGCTGGGTGACTGCTGGGTGACTGCCCTCTTCCGCTTCCCCACCATCATGCTCCCTAACTTAATTGAGTTGCCAAGCTGTAGCAGCCACAGGTGAGCGTAGCGACGCCCAGACACGCCTTAACCGTGCCTGCGGATGACGGATCTTGCGGACCGCTGTATAGTCCCCCTCCAAACGTCGTCTTTCGTAAATTTGAACCTGTGTTCATCTCATAGACCTGCCAACTGCTCTCGCAAGCAACGCGACGAGATAGACCCTTCACACTGAGGTCTTTTGTCCCCCAATCACCATCAATGCGGCGTTAAAGCGTGTCCATCCCCCACAGACTTCTGGAGTGAGCGCATTCAAAATGGTACGCCTTCTGGTGTAACCCTCTCTGTCGCTAAGAATGTCGCTGACGCTGCACGCAGTCCCAATCATTGCGCCCCTACCTTCAATGCGTCCGTTCATCTCTGACCGCCGCTCTCTCACTGTCCAACTTCGCCTCCCAGGCGTCAGAAAGACACAATGTCCCGGAAATCGAAGCACAAAGCTCCCCAGAAGTCTTGTTGAACCCACTCACAGTTGCTCGCAACGAGAATGAGAAAGTATTCATAGAACCCAGTGTCAACAGCGTGCGAGTCAGCATAAGGATAAAGCAGGCAGACGAGATTGAGAACATCCTTGTCCACAAGTTCACTCGTTTCCTGACCCAACGTGCGGAATCCTTCTTCATTCTGCGGCGCAAGCCGGTCAAAGTCAGTAGCGACGGTTCTCCTGCGACATGAACATGCTAACAGTCAAAGGGATACGATATCTCATTCTTGATCACCAACACTCATACCGAAGAAATGCTCAAGCATAAGTTGGTGGATTTCATTATTCAGTTCATGGAGGAGGTCGACAAGGAAATATCGGAAATGAAGCTCTTCGTAGGCTATCAGAATCTCACCTGGATGCCAGAATGCTAATACATTGATCAGCTGAACGCCCGAGCCAGATTTGTTGCTGAGTCATTCTTGACTCCGGTACGTCCTGGGCGTCTCGTAGGTGCTTGTTGATGCTGACAATGCGCAGTTTGACTAGCTGCGGGCGGAAGGAGACTTTGGCACAATGAGCTGTACCGAAACCAATGCAGCCTGTGTGGTGTTAACGACCTCGACACAATTGCAAACCCGTGGTGCTGAATGAGCCGTTGAGCTCCCACAAGGCTGAATGCGCAAGGCTGAAAATCAGAACACGGCCCCTGAGATCATGTGACATTTACAACACCACGCCTTCACGAAATGCAGGGCAGCAGCTATCAATGTTGTGATGAGGTCCTGGCCATCATCGACTATGAACTCAAAACAATTATCATGATTGAGACGTGCCTGATGCCTCCTGTGTGGTACTGGCTACAGCTGTTTGCTTGAGAGCTATGCCATTTCTTCCCACGACTGTCCGGACATGACTATGCGACAGTTTGCTGACTATGAACGACAGTGTATGTATGGCAAGGGGTTGTTCATTGAGCGTCTAATTCGTCTTCAATGTCTCCAGAGCGAAAGTTGGATTCCTGGACAAAAACAAAGTTCCCCTGGTCTCCTGTATACGACCAGACCTCTATCGATACACAAGTGACAAGAACAATTTCTTTGCTAACTAGCGTGAGGCGGTCAGGACTTTGCCAAGGATCTTCTCCGTTCAAGCAGCGAGTTTCAGGTTAGACAGACTGTTGAGGTGAGAACAGGCACTTTCTCTTCTTTTCAGAGCTCGAGGTTGTGTCGCAGCCTTCGACTCGTCACCGGGTTTTGCGGAGCATCGAAAACTGCAGTGACATTCCAGGCTCATACCAGCAGATGTGAACTCTGACTTGTGCTTTGGCACTGCCTCTTTGCCGAAGGGTGAATAGTCAGTGGGCGACGTGCTCCTTTCCTCCCTCTCTTCGACCTCGTTATCTCTCTCTCTCTCTCTCTCTCTCTCTCTCTCTCTGACTCTCTTCTTCATCTTTCCTCCACCCTCCTTTCTCTTTATCTTTCTGGTACACCCTTCAAGATCGTCAGCATGGACGGTCCTGGACAGTACCAGTCTGCTGACGGGAAAGACGCGTCCTTTTTCTCTTCCAATCAATCATCACACCGTCCCCAAACACCTTCTGTGCATGGTCATGTACCTCTCTTTCAAAATCTCAATTTCTCAATGATGCCACAGCAGACTCCTGTAACGCCTCAACGAGGAGCAAATATTCCACCTCAGCAGCGTGGCGCTTTCTACCCTAGGGTCATGAGCGGACCATTACCAGCGAATGACTTCCCTGTCCTGGCTCTAGCCAACCCTTCAGCCTCTTTGCCAGCCGGTCAGCCAATTGTGGGAAACCTGTACCACGGTCCAATGTTATTGGCACAAACAGAGGTCATATTTGATCCCAGTACCCCTCCTCCTTTTGCCGATCGAGCGCAGATGCAGACCCCTCGACGACATGGTGTTTTGAAGATCACAAATGTAAGTTTACCCTTCCGACTCTCCGTGAACTCCCCCCAAAGTCAGATTGCCTCACAGTGTGCGTGTCCCTCACATATCCGTCACTCTGCCGTCTGTTCTGAACTCAAGTCACTCTGGGGAGATCCCCAGATCCGCTGGGTTCTGACAAGAGTGCGACGAGGGATTTTGTCGTCCCAGACCTCTTGTTGGGTTGTCGCAGCCTTGCTGTTCTCTTCGTGTCCCTTTCAGGCAGTCGAAATGATCGAGCTGACAAGATGACAATCTCTCCCAGATCCCTTACACGATCAGCATCCCAGAGATGCACCAGTTCATTGGAAAGTACTTGCCCATGAGCCATTTGATCGATGCCCACATTCTCGGCTACCCCACCCACATTATCATGGAAAGATCAACGGGTAAAACCATGGACTGCTACATGGAAATCAAGTCGCCCGAGATGGCCGCGGCAGACTGGGAACATGCCTTTGGAACAAAGCAGATGCGAATCCCCAAGATCGGCCAACGCAATGTTGAAGTCAGCCTTAGCAGTCACGCAGAACTCATGAAGGACATCTTTCCCCGGGCGAAGTGCATCGTGTGGGATGACGATGAAAATGGCAGTCCGAAGCTCATTCCGAATCGTGATATATACTCATCCGGTTTCAACGGCTTCATCACCACCGAGGAACTCACGTGTATGGCTCGTCATGCTGAGTACCCGCAACGCGTCAGTATTGGCCGTCCAACTTTTGCATCTAACATGGTACTGACAAGACGTCCCCATTTAGTCGCAGTTCGCTGCTCGAAGTATGCATCGTGCGTATGAGTGCATGATTTCCACAACCTACAAGGTAAACTTCCTTAGACACCGTGAGGCAAGATTTCTTCTCATACGCTTGCAGTTCCCATGGTACGCTGCAACGCTGTACACAATGCGCCACGTCCAGGAGATCTTCAAGACATACAAGAGACAACTCGACCACCTGATCGGGCGACTGACTTCACCGGGCATGCAACGTGAAGTTGGGCTCGACAACAAATTGCTCATGGATTTGATCTTTGCTGGGCTCAACACTCCTGGGTTCTCAGAACGTCAGAAGGGCCTCATTGCCGATACCTGCATCGTTCTTGGTACTGGCTTTCCAGTCTCCAAGCATGCGCGCACTTGGCCTTTCCAGACTCTTTCCGTCCATCCCCATCAGCTCTCGGAACAAGATGTCGCCATGTGGCTGGACGTTTTCAGCATCGGCGTGGCTGTCATTGAGTCTCAGAATCGCCCGTTCATTGGCATCTCTTCCTTTCTTCGGGTCATTCGCGACAGCAATGCTCATATCCTCTTCGTGCCGACCGAAGAAGGCCTTGACTTGAAGAGAGCTCAGTTCGCCATTCTGGAGCTGAAAATGCTGAGCACTATCATGGAATACGGCTGGAATGTCTATCTTCCGCAGATGGGCATTGACCCTACGACTTTGTTCGATTCTCCGACCACTCAGGCGATCAAGAACAGCTTGGTCGAAGACAACGCTCCCGTCGGTCCTGTTACTCCCCCTGCCTTTGTAGGCAATAGCACGACTCTCACGGAGACTGGCGCGTACGTCGTCGACGACAGCGGTCATCGTGAGCCCGCCACCGACAATGTTGCCTCCGACAATATTGAAGATGACTTTGAGTTTATTCAAGCCGGAGCCACGGGTGTGAGCAGCGACTCTTTCAACGACCCTGAGCAAGCACTCGCTGCAATGCGCCAAGTTGTTGACGAAGTCCGGGAAGCTCCGCCGGCGGAGCAAGACAGCCATGCCAACCTTGGTCGTGCCGACTTCAGCCCGGAAGCCAATGGTTCTGGTGCTGGCCAAAACGAGATAGTTGCGGGCAATGTCAACGACGCTCCTGTCGCTCGCTATGTGCCGCCAGCTCGACGCACTAGCAACTACGGTGCCGTTCTGCTTGCGCCCACTCTGCCTCCACCCAACTTGAATCCGGAGTCTCCACCGTTTGAACCGACTCGTGCTTACACATATCCACTTGGACATGCTCCATACCTTCCTGTGGCAACGGCTTTCGCCGGACCCGGCCTCGGTAACGGTGACTTTACGACGTCTCCAGCACGCATCAGCACTCGACGAGTTCCAAGCATCCACAGCCACGATGGTGGTGATAAGGGTAAAGGAAAAGAATCAGCTCTCAGCTCTCCTGCTGCTCGTGTTCGCCTCCAACCTGCTCCGTTCCTAGGACAATCCGCCCCAATCCTCGGTGCCGCCTCCGGTTTCTCTGCCGGCCAGGGACAAGTATTTCCACAGGGTCAGATCTTGACTTATGGTCAGCCGCAGGGCATGACTTATGGTCAACCACAGGGCCCGACAGCTCAGTATCTGCAGGGCCTGGCCGCCAACGCCGCCCAGCGTCATGGTATTGAAATGCGTGATCCCAACAATGGCAATCTTTTCAGCACCTTGCGTCCAGCTGCACCCATCGGATCCACCACTGGTAATGTCACTGCAGGCATTGGCAATGGATCGATCCCACCAGGCACGGGTCCTCCTCTGTACCTCCCACGCACCCGTCCTGGCCCCACTGTTGTCCCAAACCACGGCACAGACGGCACAGGTCGTACCTTTGACGACACGCTGGACGACTGGTTCGCGGAATCCACCGATGAACCTACCCGCATGGCCATCCTCGCAGGAATGAACATGCGCACCGCCTCAGCGAGTACCCTGGTCCCGCCGACCACCCCTCCTCCAGCATATGCCATTCCCAACGCGCGACTTCGCCGTTCTCCGGGCCGTGAGCACCTGCACACCACCTACGAGTTCGACCAGGATCTGCACATGAGTCAGGCGGAGGGAATGCCATTCGGTCGCGTAGGCCCTTCGGTGCCTACCACCTTTGCTCGTCCCTTCGGCTCGTACACCAGCGCACCAAGCACACCGGCTCGCGGCGCCCTGCGCTCTCCGATCCGGAACGTCCCTCGTACGCCTGGGTCTGGGCCATTACGCGGCGCAGCTTCCTCGGAAGATCCAGACACCTCAGGCGGCGTGCGCGACCCTGGCTCTCTCATGCGAAACAGCTGGACCATTAGGTCTCCTGTCGACAACATCCGCTACCGTAATGTCGGGGTCATCGGTGATGGGTCGCCTCTTCGACGCGTCAATGCTGCCGCTGCTGCTGGAAGAGCAGGTCCTCTGGGTACTACTGCTGCTACGGCTTCGACTGCATCATCTCCTGCTCCGATGTCATCCCAGCCGTCGTTGCCGCAGCTCTACACGACCACGGAGACGACCGCGCAAGAACATGCACGTCGCGTCGCGATGCACCGTGAACGCATGCTCCGCCAATACATCATTGACGAGGAGGAAGATAGTGATTGAGCGAGACCGTGACGAATGAAACGTGGAGGTGATGAGCAACGACGAAGGGCTTCTTGTCTCGGTCTCGGCCTTTGGATACCAACTTGAACTTGGCTTGGACTCTGCGGACAAGGAAGGCGTTGGACAATGCAGATTGATCAGAGTGCTACGATACGAGAGACGAGGCCGTCCTGTCGAGACGGTACAGACTGAGTGCTTTGACGAGGCGACGTGGATCACGATCACTGACTCCCCAACGGGTGGTTACCTATGCGCACAACCACGGCTGCATATTGTATTTATTAGCCTCCCCCCATGGCATAGCATGGCAGTCAGTCAGGAACGGCAGGAACATCCGCAAAGAGTACTCCTAGCTAAGCACCCAGACATAAGCAGCTTGAAACAGAACGAAACGAAACGAAATGAAAATGAAAATGAAGTGAAATGAGGTCAAACCAAGAGAGAAAAATGTCAATGCAATTCAACTGAATGGATTGAACGCCACAACAGTCCCCTGGCCGTAGTTCTTCACGTCCATGTCCATGCACATGTGCTTGTGCTTGTGCTTGTAAGGACCCTGCCTTCGTGTGTGAGTCTCAAGCGTCCCGTCCGAGGCCTCTCGAGCATGGCATTTCGTGGTCCTGTACGGGAGTACTCTCCGCCGTCAATTTCTCCCTGTCTCTCTCTCTCTCTATCTACAAGCCGCCTAATTAGCAAAGGTCCCCAAGCAACAGTGGTAGAGTACTCCAACTACACGAGCTAATTACGGCATGTAATTAGCCATCTCAAGTGCGTGTTCATGTACAGGTCCCCTCCCCCCCACATCTCTCTCTAACAACCCATCTAACAAACGCTACCTGATTAATTAGCTGGATTTTGACATAAAAAATGTCTAGCGAGAGAACAACGTCCGTTGATGTCTCGGATGCATAGTTGTAGACGTACACATATGAACACCATATTCCATAAATATATACGTGGCAAGGTACGGAGTACTCTGTTACCCCTTACTCCGTACATGCACATCTGAATGTGACCCTGCAGCGGCACGTCGCGAGAAGCGAGAGGCAAAAAAGGAGGCGGGAAGCGGGAGGGAACAGGCGCACCACGCACCAAGCACACGCACAAAGCACGATTAAGTTTCACTTGCAAGGATGCACTCGACGGCCTCGTAGTACTCGCACGCTGGGAAGACGGTCAGGCTGCCACCTGCCAACCTGCCATGGGAGGATGCGAAGTGCATCTGCATGGCATGCATGGCGATCTAATGGGAAGGGAAATGGCAAGTACGGAGTAAGGTTTTCGGATAAGCGATCGCTCCACGTCGTCATATCCCCACGCGTCGGTCGGTACGAGGTGGGATTCGCGGCGGATGCAAGGTCGCTACGGAGTCCCCTGGCGTTGCTCCGGACTATGTACCTTGCGAGCTGAGGATGCGCATGAGACGACCGTTGAAAAGAGGGTCAAGTGAGTCAACTCATGCAGCAATTTAAAAGACTAGAAACAAAGCCCATCCTCGGATCCGCATCCTATTGTTCGACGCAGTCCCTCTTTGCCTTGTGGTTCGCATAGCCACCGTTGTTTGATGGAGCTGGAAGGCGTGTCTTGAAAACAACCGTCGAGGTTCGTTGAACAGCCTCGATTGATCGTTGTGATCGGTCTGCGGATCCTTTCCCACATCCTTGTATTATCCCTTGTTGTCCGCTGTTATGCCGTCGAACAACTGCTGCAGCAGCATTTCCGGACACCTCAATTCAGGCCTTTGGGCTGGCGGACGCTGCCTGTTCTCAATCCTTTCTTGATCCAGCCTCCGGGCCCTGGCGGAACTTTCTGACGAGGCCAAACGGGGAACAAGCTTAGCCAGAGCCGCCAGCCCAAAAACAATCGGAGGGTTGTAGAGAGTACTATGAGTACATGAAAAGCGCGGGCACCGACTTGTTCTTCGCAAAAAGCAGAAAAATTCAGACAGCCTTCCCAGGTACAGTGAAAAGAGCACATAACGCGTTCAAAAAAAGCAGATAGCCACCCAGTTTTCCGTCTCATTCCAGCATTCGCAGCCAAGGGTGAATCGGGCTCTGATAGCCGTGAAACCACCGGGCAAGAAAAGTCGTCATAGCTTTGCGGTTTTTGGAGTGATCAAACAGCCAACCCAGTCGTTTTTATCCCCAGCGCAGTTTTAGCCCTTTTCGTCCGATTCACCGGCGAAGTCCCCAGTAAAGACCGAAGTCGTACAAAGAAAGGAAATGGTGGGTTGCCCCATGTTGTGTATCTTGTTTAGCAAAAATCAAATCCGAATAGCGAACCGACGTTGTCAGCGACGAGTGCGGTGTTGGTGTCTGGGGCGTCCGAGCGGCCTGTCGTTGCTTCACAGCCGTTCAGGAAACCTCTGCATGCGAGCACGTTTTCTGATCGGGCAAGGCGGCTCTACTTCTTGCCATCCAGCTTGTTGAGCATATCGTTGTCGTTCCTACCTCGCTGCTCCGGCGGTACCCTGGTGGGATCGCCGAGCATCTCGTGGACCTTCATTCCGCTTCTACCGTTGGCTGACGAACCAGCCGAGCCGGGCTGGCCGGGAGGGGGGGTCCTTCCATCATCGTGGCTTGGTCCATGATGGGGTGAGTTGAAGCTGTGAGCGGACTGCGGGGTCAAGCCCGATGGTGGTGAATTATTACCCTTTTGCGACTGAGTGCCGTTGGCGTAGCGAGGTTGCTGAGGGAAGGACTGGTAGCTCATGGTTGAAGTGGCTGGCGAGGTGGGAGCGCCACTGTTGGGATCTTGATAGTCGTTGTAGCTGCCGCTGCTGTTCTGGCGCGATTCGTATGTACTGTTGCGCGGGCGATTGTTGGGGTGGGGAGACTGGGATGCATGAGAATTCTCATTGTGGGGGTCATCATCAGGAGGGGGACGCTTAAGACTGACACGTTCATCATGATGCGCAGGAGGTCCCTGCCCTTGTGCGTCATATGGTTGTCCAGCGGGCGGATAGGGAGCGTATGGGTAGGGCGCAGGAGGATAACCATGGGGAGGAGCCGGCGGATAGTTGTACTGAGGTTGGCCATGCGGTCCGGCGGGTCCGAGGGGTTGACCATGGGCACCATAGAGCATCGGCGGCGCTTCACCCTCTCGGGGATAATGTTGTCCATTCTGGCCAAGACGGCCATCCGGTTGACCAGCAAGAGGGGCCCTCGCAGCGTTAGGTCCATACACGGCATTGGCCGGGACAAAGGCAGCCTGGGAGGAGACGGGATGGAAGAGGCACTGCTGATTGAAGCGAACGCAGTTTTGACAACGGCCGTCGGGTGAGCTGTCGTAGCCTGAGCATCGAATCTAAGAAGCGGTTAGCATGAGCCTGTCACGGGGTCATGTGTCTGCCCATCTCGCGCACCTTTCTCTTTCGGCAGTACTTGCAGGCTATGGCCGTGCGTTGGCGCGGTGCGGCAGCAGCCACCGGAGGAGGATAGGGATGCGCGTAGTAGCCCGGGTGAGGATGCGCGTAGACCGGGGGAAGGCGGTAGGCGTCGGGTTGCATGGGTTGAGGAGGTTGTCCCAAATCAGGTCGCGGAGGGTATGCATAGCCAGGATGCGCAGAGTCCTTTCGTCTTCATGTCAGCTGAATGTTTCAATTCCGGCGACTGTGTGATAGCCCGCACTTACTGGGTAGTGGGGAGGATAAGCACTATGCTGACCTGGCCAGCCCGGTGGAGGGTATGGATGAGCTGTCCTTGGATCCGCATACTGGCCTTGCCTGGCAGGATCTGGGGGAGGATATGGGCTCCGGTCGTCTCGTGCGGCGGCAGGACGTCCTTGAGGAGACTGTTGTGAGTAATAGCCACCATGGCTTGGGTCGTCCGGCGGCGGATATTGAGGCCGTGGAGGCTCCCTAGAGTCGGCCATTTGTGCCATGTGTCCAAGGATCGTGGGGTGGGTAGTACAACAGGTCACGGTTCCAGAAGAAGGGTCGCCAGGTGGCCAGGAAGCAACCGAGGCTAACGGGAAAGGGGCAAGACAAAGGCCGTCGAGGCGTGTCTGATTGCTCCCAGAGCGCGCGTGGGTTGGTTGGGTGTGTGGGAGTGAAGGAAGAATGAAATCGACCTCAGGACCAGCTCAAGGTCGAGCGCAATCGTCGCAGTCGCAAGCACCGCACCGCAGAGGGAACGGTAAACAAGAGGAACAGGTCCTGCTAGGGTGTGTGAGGTGACCGGGCTGAGGTATTAATTATTGCTTAGAAGGCGAAAGGTTGTTTGGTGTAAGATGGGTACGAAGGTCCGCCGGGCCTGGCTGAGCGATGGGGTTCGCGGATGGATCAGGATCAGGTGTTCGCACAGGCTGCGGCAAGGACGTTCGGACGGAGGGCTGCGTAAGAGCCGTCGCCGGCGAGTGGATGTCGAGAGCGTGGGAGTCGGGTGAGAGCGATGTGAGAGTGGACAGGTCGGTGAAGAGGTGACGAGCTGAAGGATGACGAGGATGGTCGAGAAAAGGTCGTGGAGGGAGAATGATTGGCGATGTCGCGGATGTGATGGAGGTGGAGAGTAACTGGAGATGTGCTTGGAAATAAGTGGCAAGCGGTGCCTATAGGCTCTCAGCCGCCGCAGGCACAACCGAAGGAGGGAAGAGACTTTTTTCCAAAGGGAACCGCCTCAAGAAAGCTAGGGCTCCGGGCGGGAGGGGAGGGCAGCCAGAAGTACTCCCGGCCACTGTGGTCGCTACCGCTGGCCCTGCTGGTCGCTGTTCTGGAAAGCCTGAAGGCACTAGCCTAGGGACCTAGGGAAACGGGACGGAGAATCGGTAGTGACGCCCACTAGCCACTAGCCCTGCAGAGCAGGGCTTGTCAGGTGCCAGATGCCAAGTGGGGGCCTTCCGTGCCAGGCTCGTCACTGGAGCCGCGGCTAGTGCTAGCGCAGGTGTCCTCTCACAAATCCCAGATGGTCTGCTGCCACCACCAGGAAAAGTAGCGCCTGTGCTCGTAATCGCAGCCCGGCTCCAACTGGCGCACACCGTGAAGGGGATCTGGCGGCAGTGCTTTTCCTGGCGTCTTCGGCTGCCTGATGAATGCCTTGCGTACGGCTGTTGAGCACAGGTGGAGTGCAGGAGCCGAGGCGTGGAAGCCTGGTGTACTTGACAGGACGCAGCACAGAGTACCGAGACCGGCAAGCAGCAAGGGCGGATGACTTTCCCTTAACTTTCTTTGCTTGACCACCACTTCCGTGGGTGACACCTGTCAACTCCCAGAGGGCGTCCAGCGTGTGGCGGGGATTACACTTTTCGGGATGCCTTGCAGTTTGTGCGAGGGTGCCTGCCCCTCTTCTGCTTCGTCCGCTTGACGCACGGCTATTAGCGCTAAACGTGGGGCGGGTTGGAAGGCCAAGCGTGATGATATAGTCCTTCGTCTGATGATACGGGGGAGGTTATCAACGAACGGATTGTCCCTCTCGCCAGGCTGAACAAGCCAACTATCTATGATAATTGGCTAATGATGGCGAGCAAAGTCGAACGAATCTCACCGCGCCGAAGGATGGGATTCGGTCGGTTGGGGCGTATCCGCGAGTCGATCCGAAGTTCCCTCGTTCCACTCAGGGTTCTTCCTGCGTTGCTGGGATTTACTGGACGCAGCCGGACCTGATCGCGTCGTGAATAGACTCGGCCGTGACACCGTCGAAGGACTCGTCACCAGCCACCAGGGAGGGTCCACTGCGGAATATGGCGAATGTTGACGGAGGGGTGAATTCGGTTTTCAGCAGCTGTTCTTGAATGCCGTCCGTAGCAGTGGGAGCCGAGCGAAGACGAATGCCAGTCAGCTTGTCAGAAAAGGCAGATGGGAGGCGGCGATGTAACTGCTTGCCTCTCTGTTCTCGTTCGCTGCAGATGAAGGGCAGAGACTTCCCGTGAATGCAATGGCAACGTGCCAGGTGCGTCAAGCTAAAAAGTGACCTCCGCGGTGACCACGGGAATGGTAACGCCGCTAGGTTCGTCCCTCCCTAGAATCCTAGGACGAGCTCTCTTTACTTAGCTGAGGGGATGTCACTGCGAGTCCGCAGTGCAGGGGTGGCCCAAGGCTTGGACAGAATTGCCGCAACAAGCCGATGAATAATAGGGCACTCTCTTGCACTTGGTCGTTTAGGCTCAAACTCTTTAGATGAGGGGCACTCCCCGAGGTGCAACAAATGATCGATTGGATTGCTCTATTGGTTCGCATGGGCTTCGGTGACTGGCTCCAGGTGGCGAGCAACGTAAGTTCCGGGCTCCCTAGGCGTGAAGTGTTGTAAGACTTGGTAGTAATCCGAGCAGTGGTCGCTGGCACTCGTTCGGGTTGTGATTGTGATTGTGGTGTGAGGATATTCTGGCGGAAAGGCGCTTCTCAGGGCACAACAGATGCAGCTCCGACGGTTGCCGTCGGACGCGCTGATCGCAATGCAAACAAGCACAGCTGATCTCTGCAGGATGTCAGGATGGACGAGGGAAATCTCGAGATCAGGTATGCCCGTGAGAGCAGGGTGCTCTGCATATACATACGACGCAGCTAAACGGCACAGAGATCGGCTGTGCGGTGCTTCGATACTCCTTGTGCCCAATAACCATGCCACTTTTGGCAGAGAAGGATGAGGGTTATGGCCGTGTGACTTCGCGGAGATCTATTGAAACACTCTTATCTAACGGGCCGTCGCCGCTGGGCTTTGTACCTATGCAGCATAATACCGGCTTCGAGCCAGCAGCATTGCTAGAGGAGCTTCCGCTACGCGTCTCGAGCCGGATTTGAACTCACTGTTGCTTGAGGCCTTTCTGGCCGTCAGGCTAGAGTGCTAGCCTACAGGCACAAATGGTAGCTAATCAGCTAATGACGCTTCGGGTGTAGGTCCGTACATAGTGTTGAGGAGCGGCCCTCAAGGAGCATGCATTATCATGCAATGCAAGACGGAGGCAAGGACAGACGCCGTCGAAAAAAAGTGCCATCTCATGCACCATGCCCACCCTGCCTCGCTGTGCAGTCTGCCGGGTTGCGATTGGAGAGGGCGTCGAGAGGGATTGCGAAATTACTGTCTCACTGATCTTTCTTTGCAGTACCCAAACCGTATCATACGACATCTGTAACGGATCGAAGTGGAGGCGACTCGATGATTGTCCTCCGTATCTCCTGCAGTCTTTCTGGATTACACGCTCCGCATCTGATCTCAAATGGGTGAAGCCGAGATCTGATCGGAGATGTGACACGTCCACTCTTCACAGCGGGGAGTCATCCACATTATCTGAACATGGACTTTACCCTGACATGTATTGGCATGGATGCTTCGTATAGAAAGTCAGGTGTCATGACGAACTGCCATATGCAGTCGTTGGGGACAAACAAAATATCCGGATACGGTCATGCGTTCATGGTGTGTACGGCTCTGACCATTCCGCCTGCTGTGCGACTCGCAGGCAATCAACCATGATATGACAGCAGTCTAAGTATGCAGGCTCAAGCATCAGTACACCCACATATACCTGTCAACTTCTGCCGGTTGGCTGCATTTCCGCCCTGTCTTGCCTTCAACGGTTTGCTTCAGAGGATGGTGGGTGGCACACAGCCCCCTGCGGGATCCTTAATCCATCAACAACTCCTCATACGAGTCTTGGATGTGGATTCAGAGGATCGCCCAGATTTCAGGTGAGGCAGGCACCGTGGAGGTGAGATTGCAAGGTTAGGCTCACTTGACTGGGGTGACCACGGTGACATACACCGGCGATACTCGGCAGCGGTGTGCGTCGCTGGGATATCCCATCTCAAGTTCTTTCACCTGAATCACTTCTTGGGGCGCGAGGTGGTCCATTGACAGAAAGTTGTTATCTGACCCTGCTTAAGCTGTGCATCGCTGCCAGATGCAAGACTAGGCCATTAGCCGTGTTAGTCGTTCAAGCAAAGATGCTCAGTGTGACAGGGTCCCTTTTCAGACATAAAACGCGCCCGGGGTACTAGGCAGGCAGTGTGCGCTTCCTTGGGTCTCGTCATCGCATACCGTAGTGCGACCTTAGTAGCGGTTAATCGCAGGTTGACTAAGAGATGTCCACGCACTCTGGACACTGCAGGAGACTGCGGCGGACTTTCGCGGGGGCGACGCTTCACCGTTAGTGACCGGTTTAACGATGCTGCCCAAGGATGGCCACTAACGAGCCCTAGGTGAGCCACACCGGTCAGGGCTAAACCACGTAGGCCAGTGCAGCCGTGGCCTTGCCGCATGCCTAAGAGAACCACGGACATACTGATGCCGCAACCATCCTTGTACCTTGTACTCCGTACTTTCTCATCAAATGCACAAGCTACGGTCAGGTGTTGCTTATGCGTATTATAGAGTCTGAATTGGGGATGTTGACGAATGGATAGGACCCAAACTTGACGAGCTTGCGGGGTCAGGCCTGGAAGCTTGATCATTGGCGAGCTCGGGCAAATTCTCCTTCGTAGTGAACCCCGAAGTGCCAGCCGGTAGGTACGGAAGGGCGACAGGGGCTTCGAGGGCCCTAGCCGAAGGCGAAGAAGGTACCAGGCTCGGCTCTGCC